TAAAGTTGATTAATTGATTTTCAGATTGACATCCAATGAACCTGATTCTGGAGAAGTTGCCCATGGAGACAATGTGTTATCTTTATGGTAAACTGATGCAATTGACTATCAATTCAAAACATACACAGTTGAGAATTAGGATAAGTTTAGCAACATCGTTGAAACTGTTAAAATCAATTAGGAATCATAATAATTATGGACCTATGCATATTTTGGATACAACAATGAAGATTTGGAATTCTATATTGAATGGCCAGACAGTTCGGCAACTAAATCCTTTAAAGGTTGGCATGTTGTTGCCAAATATTGGGCTTTGTACTTAGGTTAGGACTTTAAATATAGTTTCCACGGCAAAACTGCTTATTCAACCTTAAGATTTGGAAAAGGGTCATGGGGTGTTCCGACAGAATTTGAAGAGTACAAAGTTGGCAAGAGTAAGTTATGGCCAGGAGTACAAATGAAAGCTTATGAGTCTTAATGGATGACACATACTAAGGAATCTGAATATGATAGTTTATTACATGAAGAACCTGAATGGGTTACTGATGGTGTCTATGAATATGGATTTGGAATGTGGACCAAATTCTTCATCACAAATCCTTCGCGTATTTATGAAAAGCCAGATCGTATTTTGATTGCTAGATTGGGCTTTAGTGATAATGATTAGGCTGAATTTGCTGTTTATATAGGCAGAGGTGACTATGAATTTTGGGCTGGATCAATGAGACCTGTTTCCTACACTAAGAATTTAGATGGATACTGGAATTATATCTATTTCAGCTATTCGAAATTATAATAAATTGCAGTTGGTTATGTGAACTTCAATACATTGTAATAAATACAAAGAACTAAATTTGAGCCATTTGATGCTGATCCTGCTAATAATTATGTTCGTTTTTATGTTGGAAATTGGAAGAGCAATTAATATGGATTTAACGGTAGAATGGCATCAGCTGTAATTCGTATGGGAAGAGGCTCATTTATTTATGAAATAGAGCAATACCAAACTTGGATGGAACCCTATTCAGTACCAGTTGATGAGGAATTGGGAACTAAAGATTATGAAATATAAGGAGCGGACAATAAAGATGCTGAATCCTATGATACATTCCTGTATGACCATGAAGCAACTGAAACCCAACAATATTCTGTTTATGGATGGTTTAAATATTATGGGGATTTGTCTAATACTGATGCTTAAACAATTATCAGGTTAACCAATAATGAAGTTGGCCATCTGAGCGATGCTTCCATATTGGGAGATAGAACATTGACTGCTATATAATAAGGAGGTAATATGATATTTGGCACCTATGACATTGGATTTATTGATAAAGATTACGAAGTCAATAGACAGGCAGAAGTTGATCTTGGAGAATATAGAGGAATTTGGATGTACATTTGGGTAGGATACTCGAGATTTGATTAACAGACAGGTTGGTTCTTGGGATTCCCAGATATTAGTAAAGGTGGAGTCATTAAAAAGACTCTCCACTTTTCACCAAAGTATCTAGCAGTATATTTTGGAAAAGATGGCATCAATAAGAACTTTGTTGGTAAATCAAGACATGTTCATGCTTGCTATGGTACAACTCAATGTTGGCATTTTGTTAATAAGGTAGAAGCAGAGGAGAATTTGCCAGCATGGATCCCATATAAATTGAATAATAAATTTGAATTCTTTATTGAACACGATCAAGATGCTCTAATTGTGGCCAAGAATGGCAATGCAGCTATTGATGTAGAGTTTACTGAGACCAATTTCCCTGGTTCTGATATTGAAGCCATCTATGAATACGGTATAGGATTATGGACAAGATGGTTGATGAATTATCCATTCATATTGTTAGAGAAGGCTGATTCACATTCAATCTTTAGATTTACTACTAACGCATAATATGAAGATGCCTAATAAAATGGTGATAGAACTGTATCAGCCTTTGTTGGAAGAGGAGAATATAAGTTTAGTACTTATGATGCTGTCCTCAATAAGAATGACATAAGCATAGGTAGCAAATTCGATAAAGAGTTGGAAGGATATTGGAATTTCGTGTATTTTTGTTATAAAAGAATTCCAACTAATCCTAAAGCGATAGGATATGTGTTCTTGTCTAATACCAACATAGTAAAGAGAGTGGAAATAGATAATGCTAAGCACTGGTTACTAAGAAATTATGCAAGGTTAGTAGTTGGCAAGAAAGAATTTGGTCATTCTGCATTCTAAGGAAAACTGTTTGATCCAAGGGTCTTCTTAGGTAGAGACAGTTTTATTGAGACTAGTGAAGATCTTATTAATGGTTTGATTCCAAAGTTTAGAGCATTCCCACCTTATAAGGAAAGGTAGGATAACGAGCCTGTTCAAGTGGAGAAAGCTAAGATTACAGAAAGAGTATTCAAATAGTATGAAGAGAAATACAGTGGTGTATTTGAGTACAGTGTGTATGGATTTGCTAAAGGGAATAAATTACGAAATGTCACAGAGTGGACTACTCTTGTGAGAGTCACACAAAATACACCAGATATTTAAAAGGACAACGAGAATGCTGGAGATAGAACTCTTTCAATATTCGCTGATAAAGGCAAATGGATCTATAGTACTTATGATTATGGGGACATTGAAGTTGCTGATGACGATGATGGAGCAAGTAAGATTTTATTGAGATTTTATAGTCATCCACTAGTTTGATATGAATAAACAATGGGGCAAATGGACATACTTCTATTTTGGCTATTCATTTAAATTGAAATAAGCATATGCGTACATCAGATTCATCGATTAAACTGAAAATTCATACTTGTTCGAAGAGGTTTACCACTTTGTTCCCAATTATTTGAGTGTCTTCTTTGCAGAGGATGGCTACGGCAAGATGTTTGATGTAAATTGTGTTTTAACATATCTTTTAGGGTGAAGCCTTTGACTGGTATTTGGGAATCGGAGATGGAGCATTTACAACCACACCAGATCCAAGACAGTGGCCAGTTGATCCTGCTCCACCTCCTGATAGGATTCTATCAGCACTTTTAGCAAATCAAGGTTTCAATTCAGGAAGAATAGTAAAATCTTAAACATTCTTATAATTGGAAGGTACTATAAATTTAGTTGAGATCAAAAAAGATGAATGATTTATTTTATTTCATTCTTTTAATCAATTTTAATGATATGTTATTTCTAACATTATGATAATAAATAAATAAATAAATAAATAAATAAATAAATAAATAAAGCTCATTACACAGAGCTTTTGCTTAAAATCTAAGCGGTACAACTTTGAGGATTATATACCAAAGAATGATATGTAAATCTCTCAGATTACTCAATACCGTATGCAATATTGGCAATCATGTTGAGTAGAACCAAAGCAAAATCAATGTAGAATAATACATGACCAACATTGTACTTCTTAATCACATAATATCCTAAATTCGTGAAAACTAACACTCCAATAGCCTAAGATAGATATACAATTATACTCCGATTCCATAAAAAAAGAATTGATAGCCAACTGGTAAGGTCAAATTCTAATATTCGCCAACCACAAATGAAATGAACACTTGCAAACAAATGATGAAATATCCATAATTAGCTGTCGCTCCAGCAGCTCCAGCAACTAGGCCAAATTCCATCATAGTTACAAACATGGTTAAGCCAGCTGCCATTCCCAAGAATCCAGCTATAAATCCTGTGGCCCATCCTGCCCCGTAGATCATAAAGAATCTAGATATTGGGGTGAAATAACGTTCGTTCATATTAAAATTCACCGTATTTTTTAGCAATTCTTTTTTTCTCATATAGAACAACACCCAAACTGTTATTATGAGGTTTGCTCCAAATAGGAGGATCATCATATAGAAGTTCCATGGCTCGCAAGCAGAATATTTATTTCCTGCATCTTGGTCGTTTGGGTAGAAATATGGCGATATTTGATAGGAAGTTGTCCTTAATAAAATTATTAATTCATTGACTGCGAAGTTCCCAAAAGCCAAGAGGATTGGTACCAAAGGAAATCTAGAACATGATTCTTCTTGGAGCTATTTGAATAATTCAGCCATTCTTTGTTCTTCAAATATGTTGCCCTTGATCTACTATTCAATCGTGATAATCGAGGATTGCTGCATTTCATTGTTTACTTCTTTGTTGTGTTCCACTTTTTGTTCAGATTTTGCGAAATATAATAGCACTGGGCAAATAATCAAGAAAAAAAGCATCTATAGAGTCAACAAAGGTAAAAGTGGTAAATAGTTTGCCAACTCCATTCCAACCTGCATCGAAATAGGTATTCCCAAGGCATAAACCAATCCTATCTCGAAATTAACTAAAGGGCGTTCTGGAGAGTCAGGATGACTGCAAACATAGAATAATATTTAAATACCTCTAAAAAAAGATTATGACTTGATTCACCAATTGTGCACCGAACATTAGACACGCTGTGATATCTCCAGAGGTGGAGGAATTAAAATTTAGAATGGCTTCCAAAAAAGGGCGTTTGACAACACCGCCTAACAAACTTGAAAATATACTAACCTCCCAAGGCTCCAAGACTGCCAATTCCAATAATGGGGATGATCAAAATGTACACGATGATAGAAACTGCATTCGGGTACAAAACTCCTTCTCTGCAGCAGCCTACTTGTCCAGTGGGTTTGCCTGAGACAATTAAGCTATTGCATGCGGAGAACTGCCCACAGGTCGAGCTTTGGCAATTTATGGTTCCCCTCCCCTGAAACAACGAGTATTGATCGTTTTGGCATGACAATATTGAAGACATTATAAAAATATTTACAAAATGTTCTTCGAGAAATAAGAACATAAGAACTTACTAACTTAACTGAATGATACATTAGTGCATCGAAATCAATGCACCACAAGACAGAGCAGGCTCACTTCCTCGATGATAATAGTAGTCTTTCCACCCAATTCAAATCCAGAGAGATTTTACATTTGGAACACCTATTGTGCAAAATGAAACTTATTTTAAATAAATATGAAATAAATAAATCTTTCAATTATCTAATACATAATTTCCGCATGTTGAAGGCTGTTACTCCAATGAACGGAAACCATCCCGATAGCCATTCTCGACTCCCCATACAATGTTACCAATAATATTTAGAACAACAATTCCAAAGTCAATATAAAAAATTATATGCCCGATATTATATCTCTATAACAACTTATAACCGTAATTTGTGAACGTGAGAACTGCCAAAACCTATCAAATCTTTATGAATTCCTTACTCCCAAAGCATAAAAAAAGAATTGATCTCCAACACTTAATCCTTAACTCTACGAAGCACCAACAAGGAAATTTGTAAACACTTAGATACAAATCAAAAAGTAGCAATAATTGGCAGTTGCTCCTGCCACTGCTGCAATCAATTTAAATTGAACCATAGTCACTACCATTGTTAATCCAGCTGCCATTCCCACAAAACCTGCTACAAATCCTGTTAAAAATCCAGCTAAATATACAAAAAAGAATCTTCTTAGAGGAGTGAAGTAGCGTTCATGAGGATAAAAGTTAACTGTGTTTTTCAGCAATTCCTTCTTCCTCATAAAAAAATAAACACAACTCGTTATCAGGAGGTTCACTCCTGTCAGTAATAGAACCATATAAAAATTCCAAGGTTCACAGGGACCTTTATCTTTATTTTTATTATTTATGTCTCCATCAGGAAAGAAGTATGGCGAATATTGGTATGGGGAAGATCTCAACAGTAATAAAAGCTAATAATTATAATTGCAATATCTACTTCATTAACAACGAAATTCCCCAAAGATATTAGAATTGGTACAAGGGGAAATCTTTAACATTGTTCAGCATAAAGCTATTTATATATCTTAGCTTAACTTTCAGTATATTCATTTTGATTTTATATCTGCTACTAGGACATGGTCAGAAGTGCTGATTCCTTAGCTATATCACTGTTTTGATCCTTTAGATCTTCTAGTTCATTCTGTCTCCTAGCATAATATATCAACACAGGGGATATTGCTATAAAAAAAAGGATTTAAAATGATAATAAGGGCAGTAACGGTAGAAAGTTTGCTAAATCACTTCCTAAGCACATACTTACCGGAATAGCCAAAGTATATATAATAGCTATATCATAATTAATCACGGGTCGTTCTTGCACGTCAGGATGACTATTTTTATAATCTGTGATTTTTACTTTTGGAGGAATATGAACACCATATTCACGATTTGTGCACTGATCATTAGACAAGCAGTAATATCTCCAGCTATACTGGCATCGAAATTCAGAATAGTTTAAAGGAATGGACGTTTTACAATCCCTCCTATTAGGATTATAATATATAAAGATGTACCTCCCAAAGCTCCCAAACTTGCTATTCCTATTACAGGAACAATCAACATATAGACAAAAACTGTCACAAAGTTTGGTTCTAAAATTTTCATACGGCAACACCCTGTTGTTTCTATCAATTTATCATTTAGAACAGTTAGACATTTGTTGTATTGACCACAACCATTTACAGTACATCCCAAGCCTCCGTTGAACAAATTAAACTTTGGATCTGAACAAGAGAGTGGCCTACTCATAGCAAATAATTAAATTATAGAATCAATTGAAAACCTTATATATTTACTTTAATTCAAATAAAGTTTACGTTTATAGCAATCAATATAAAATATTATAAAGTTTGATTAAATTTTATAATCAATATTCTAAAAATCAAAACCATTGTATTTTCTTTTAATAATTGTATAGACAATGCTAAATTTAGCTGATGATAATAGATTAATTCGATTATCCATTATTTGTTTATGTAATGGATAATCAATAAAATAAAAAATAATTCAATAATTATAAGAGAACTTCATTTGTTGATTTTTTTAAGAGTTAAGTATATTACTTATCAATATTTGACTCTTACCTAAAATATTACATTTATCGATTCCTAATTTAACCTGGTGTTGATTTTGTTCTCTTTTTATTTAAGGATTTTTATTAGTATATAAGGGTTATTACAAATATTTTCTGGGGTAATTTAGTTCTGAAGATTTGCGGATTTTTGTTGATATATGCAAGATGAATCGAAAAATGGTTCGTTTTTTACTTAAACATATATCTATTTTCTGTTTAAAAATTAAAAAATACTTGTACTAAACATACAAACTTTTAATAATACTTATGATAGTCCCTGAAGGAATTCCTCGATATATAATCTTCAAAAGGAGGTGGCTAGTATTGTTTGCTTTCTGCTTTTTTACGTAAAAGATTTCGTAAAAATAGATTTACAAATGCCTTTGGATTCGTCCAATACTCTCCCATTTTAACTCTGGCAGCTGAATACTATGGAGTTCAGGATGAAGATGTAGTTTGGTTTAGCAATTGTTACTATCTCTCGTACTTTGCAGTATGTCCTTTTACAATAAAACCTCTCGAAAAGAGGTTAGATATATCATTAATCTTTGCCTCTCTAATATCTATGATAGGTACAAAATTTATAAAAACAATATAGGTTAATGGATGATATATATATGCAAATAGCAGTACTCAGTTGCTCTGATAGGTTTTATTTTGATTGGTCTGGGTTAAACATTTACTTTAGCAGCACCTGCATGTAATAAATAATAGAAGGTTTTAGTTATCTCTGATCGTTGGTTTCCCATTGAGGAACGTACTTTATCAACGAGTTTGGGTAGTTTCTTTAACTTAGTTGGATTAAATTTCTCAATCGTTTATGCTTCACTTTCATTTAAAAATACTTATGATTATGAAGGAATACAAAATAAGATTGAATAAATGAATCTTTTATTTTCTATATTAGCCACATGTTCATTGATGTTTTGTGTTCTGTTGATAAGAAATAAACCTTAATCTCCACCATCGAAATCAGCGGTATTAGTATTTAATAACAATGAAAAGATTTTCGACAAAATGTAAATAATCCCATCCTTTAAGTCAGCTTTTAGTAGTTTAGAAGTGACAATGGATTTATTGACCTTCTCAATTTTCATCGGAGTATCCTGGGCATATATGGTAGTGATAGCTATCCTCTTGGTTCCTTTCAATTACACAATTGAGCAAATAGGTTATGTGAGTATAGTCTATGCAGCAACAGGAACGATTGGAGGGACAGCTGCGAGCATTTACATGGACCATTAAGTCAAGAATCATCAATAACCTAACTACGATTATTTGATTAAAATTTTCCTTACAATTGGAGTCTTCGGAATCTTAATAAAATCCCTAATCATTAACTATGTTAGTGATATTGTCATAGTGATACTATCAGGAATCATAGGATTGGGGCTGAACTCTTTTCTCCCCTTAGCCTTACAGTGCTATATAGAGAAACTATTTCCATCATTTGAATTGGTTCTCACAACCATAATAATGCAGATGTCAAATGTATATTGTTAGGATTCATTATTTTTATAGCTCTTAGGATTCGTTTTAAATTACATCTTAATCTTAGACGTGTTCCTAGATGTAGGACTGTATGTAATTTTGATAGGATTAAGTCCCTTTTACATTTACTTGATCTTCTTTTACAAGACTAAATTTAAAAGATTGTAAATAGAGTAGGAACTTGAGCTTCATACAATGTGATTTTGAAAACTATTAGTCATAGATTGAAATTAATATAATTATAAATTAATGGCTGAAGATTAAGATATATGGGAATGTCTCTTTGACTATTTAAATCAAGCACAAGACAAAGCTCAAAATGATGATTCTGAAATAGTTTCCTATTCTAAAGGGATACCTAATGTTGCAATCGATCCATTATCTATTGGAGAATAATACCCCAGAGTAGAGATTGCAACGAGAATGCCTGATGGAATGTATTTTATCAATGATTACCGTTAGAATTCCATCATCCTATAAAATGTAGTCTTAGAAAATGGTCAAATTTCAAGAATTTAGAGATGAATTAATCGATGAGATAGATGAATTTTATTAAGAGGATCAACTTGAAGACATAAGACAAATATATCTCCAATCCAATCTAAAGCAGAGGGATTATGAATTCACCAATATTTTACCATTTATGCAAGATGAATTAGCATTAAATCCCGGAATTGAGACAGTGCTTTATACCAATCATGATATGTTTAGTGGTGAAATTGAAAGTGTAAGTTCTGCTTATCTCCACACCGATTTGAAATCCTTTAGCACCACCAATATCATCAATAGAGGTCAATTAATTAAGGATAAGAGGGGTCCAGAAAAGGTAGAACTTGGCGATAAATTACTTTCATTAGAGAAATTAGAGCAATAGATCCAAGGTTTGGCAGATTCTGTTTTTCTTTAAAGTCAATAAATACAATAGGAAAGAGATATTAGAAGACAGGAAAGAGTGGTTGAATATCAATAAAGAATTGAATATATAGATGACAAATTCGTTAAGGATTAGATTCAATCTATTATACACACTTTCCCTAGTCAAAGCGACCCTAAATTCAATACAATTTGGTCTCTCTTTATTGATGAATAAAAAGAAGAACAAAAGCCCATCTAATAATAAAAACCTAAGCAAATTGAAACTCTTGAAGATTTAGAGTTCCAAGAAAATGCCATTGTGTCAGAATCTGATATACAAATGTTGTCTACTCTCACTGAACTTTAAAGACAAGCCAGAGAAACTGCTAAAATTAATAATATAGCTAATGATGCTGATGATGAAGAAATCAAAGAGGAATAGAACACTATTGTTAAGGCCAAATAGATTGTAGATTTCAATCAGATTGACAATGAACCCACCTTTATAGACTAGATGTATTATGCTGAGAAGGCAGAACCAGAAATTTAAGAATAGGATCCTGAAATTAGAAAATAGATACAGGATGCTTTACAAGTGAAATCGAAATTCAGAATAATTAAAGTCTAAGACATCATTAATAATTCCAACAAATTAATTGAAGACAGGGATTATAGATTTGCTGTTGAGGATGAAACAGACATGTCCAATTTTTATGATCAATTGCCAAAGGCTAAAATGGCTAAACAGTTCTAATTTGAATTAGATGATTTTTAAAAGAGATCCATTTTGCATCTTGAAAAAAAAGAGTCAGTATTTGTTTGTGCTCACACTTCTGCAGGTAAGACTGTCATTGCTGAGTATGCTATTGCATTAGCATTTAAACATAATAGAAGAGCATTGTATACATCACCGATTAAGGCTTTGAGTAATCAGAAATTTAGAGAATTTGATCAGAAATTCGGTAATACAGGAGTAGTTACAGGCGATGTTTCAATTAATCCAGGAGTATAATTGTTATTAGACATTAGGCACCATGTTTGATTTTAACAACTGAAATATTAAGAAATATGTTATATAGAGGAGCAGAGTTGATTCGTGATATTGAGTGGGTCATTTTTGATGAGGTCCATTACGTAAACGATTAGGAAAGAGGTATGGTATGGGAAGAAACAATCATCATGTTACCACAACATATAGGAATTATCATGTTGTCTGCTACAGTTCCAAATTATATGGATTTTGCCAATTGGGTTGGAAGAACAAGGAAATAAAAAGTGTTTGTGATGAAAACCTTCACAAGACCTGTCCCTTTGGAACACCATATATTTGTCTTTGATAAATTTCATACCATCAAAGAAAGAGATGGAGACTTCTTGGCTTAAGAATATAATGGTCTAAAAGTAATTGATTGATTAAACATTAATAGAAAAAAATAAAGGAAATCGAAGATGAAAAGAAAGGATTAAAGGAGCGAATTAAGAAAAATATGGATGAAAAGAAGGATGATGAACTTTATAAGAATACCAATAAATCAATGAGATAAAAGTTAACTCAAAAATAGATCAAGTCTAAATTTATTCAAAATATATCAGCTGCCAATATGAAATAAAAGGATGAGAAAAGAGCTATGACTTAGTTGATTAGATTATGTGAAAAAAAGGATTTGTTGCCTTGTGTCATTTTTGTGTTCTCAAGAAAAAAAATAAATGAATTGGCTGATTCTATTACTAAATAAAATAGCCTAAAATTGATTGATCATAAAACTGAGGCTCGCATTATTGGATTTTTTGATTAGGCTTTGCTTAAATTGAAATCTCAAGATAGATAATCGCCATAATTGATCAGATTGAGAGAGTTATTAAGATTTGGTATTGCAATACATCATGGACATCTATTGCCTATTGCCAAAGAAATAGTCGAAATTCTATTCTCAGAAGGACTAATCAAAGTGTTATTTGCTACAGAGACCTTTGCTATGGGTATTAATATGCCCACCAAGACTGTGATTTTTCATTCTGTTGAGAAATTTGATGGATCCAATACCAAAAGAATGTTACACTCCAGTGAATACACTTAAATGAGTGGTAGAGCTGGAAGAAGAGGAATCGATGAAAAAGGAAATGTGATCATTTACATTAAAGACGCTTAGAACTTACCTGATGAACTAAGAATGAAGCAAATGGTTGACTCCAAGGGATTATAATTAGATAGTAAGTTCAAAATCACTTACAGCATTATTCTAAATCTATTGACTAGTAAAGATATTGATGCAACTGAAATGATGAAGAGATCCTTCCATGAAAATTATAGATTTGTATAATTGCCAAAATAGATGCTGAGTTTAGAAAGATTAAAAAAGGAATACATCAATACTTCTCTGATTTAATGTCCTTATCAAAAAGGATTGAGATCAGGAGTATCGAAGTCATTGATTGAAGAATATGTGGAGATCTAAAAGAATTATCGATTCTCTTAGATTGGCTTCATTTAATAAGCCATAACATAGAGTAAGACCAATATCACTTTCCCCAGATTTGTTTTATTTTCTGATCATTTTGGAGAAATAAGCTTGGGAGTTGCTCTCTCTTAAGACTACTTAAACGACGACATCTATGATTAAAACTATGTTCTCAGACCTTAAGAGATAAGTATGTTCTCAATTATATAATAGCATAATTTAATTTTAGTGTTTTAACCATCCATTCTGGAAATGAAGATGAGAAACAACAAAGGAGGTACAAGAAAATTTACTTACAATATTAAACATAATTTTTAGAAAAAAAGAAAGAAAAACAAAGAAACAATTAACTTAAATCTAATAGAGAATTTTATTACATAATTAATAGTGTAACCGAAGAGAGTATTATAGACTTTTTGGACGATCAAATTAAGGCATCTAACAAAACAAACTTCTTAAACATTGAAGTCTATTATGAAGATTACGCTACTTAATTGTTGGAAAAGCAATAGCAATTTCAAGACATGAAGTAGATGTTACAATACATATATGCTCCTTAATAATAAAACAATAATAAAAAACGACAGGCTGTGCTTACTAAATTTAAATATAAATTCAAATCTAATAAACAATAAAATGATGAGGAAAATGTTGAATAGTTCAAATTCAGAGAAGAATAATTAAATGAATTGATTAATCAATAATGTCAATTTTGTGATTTAAAAGATAAACATTTATAACAATTGCAACTCAAAGAGAAATTGAAGAATGATATGCTTGATATCAAAAAAAAGATTCAAGGAAATGATAATTAGAGTTAAAGTGATTTCAATAATAAGTTGAATGCCTTAAAATTATTAGGCTATGTAGATTAGGCAGGATTACCTCTAATTAAAGCTAGAATTGCTCGAGAATTGATGGATTAAAGTTCCATTTACATTTGTGAAGTGCTTGTAGATAATATCATGGAAACTCTAAAACCTAGTGAAATAGCTGCGTTGATGTCAGCCTTCGTCTGTCAAGATAGAAGAAAATTTGACGAGGAATTCGATGAAAGCAACATTGAAGTTATGCTCCATAAAAAATTTGATGAGATTTCCCTTGAATTAAGTGGAGCTATTATAGCCACATATGTATTGATCAAAAAGACCATTGAAGAAGAAAGTAAATTATTAAATTGTAATATTTAGTGAAAATGGACGCAGTAGATTCAAAAGACTCATCTGAACAAATAAAAAATGTTCTCAATTTTAATTTAACTCAAGTGTAAGTGTCAATTTGTTATTTTTAGTATCTATTTGTGGGCTTAGGGTTAATCATTTGTAGATGTTTGCTTATAAACTGACATAGAGGAGGGTTCTATTGTTAGAACTATTTAAAGATTGGAAAATATGCTTAGAGGTGTAATTAACGCATTTAGAGTTATGGGAAATTTGAAAATGGTGGATAAGGTTGAAAAAGCTTGCCTATTAATTAAAAAGGATATAGTCTTTGCTGAAAGTCTTTACTTTGACTCAAATGCTAAAATCAAAGAGAAAAATTGAGGCATATTAAATAAATAGTATTTTTAAATCCATCATCATTTTGTCATAGAAACGCTAAGAAATGAATAGGATGGCTGAACTCCTTATCCTTTTACTTGATTCAGATTTATTGCTATAATCTTAATGAAATCTTACAGCTATACTTTGTTGGTTTATGAAACAAATAGTTATAGTCTTTCCCAGCAGATTTTTGTTGAATATCCTTTCTCTCCTCATCTTTTCGATTTAGAGCTTTTATTAAAATTATAGATACGTAATTTAAGCAAAGCCGCTAATTAATTGGCATTAAATAATTAGACTTGAGGTTTATTGTAGTAACTTTTAGAGCTATTTAAAAGAAAGGCTGCCTATTATTAGGACAATGGGGTTTCACATTATTTAGTTGGAGAACCATTACTATCAGTTTGCTTTTGTTTTTGTTATGTATGGGAATTATTCATCATTTCTTTGCTTAATTCAATTGTTGTCTTAGATCTTTTATTCTAGATTTGAATAGGATGGTCATAGCCATTTAATTATTTCTCTTAGATCAACAATGATAATAAATGCTAGACCTTTTTAATTTGACTTTCATAACTTTACAACTCTAATCTTATCTCCATATTGTCCTTCTTATAATTTTCATTATCAGATTTCAATTGTTGTAATTCCTCTTTTGTTTAATTATAAGTTTCTAAATTCGCATAATTATTTACTTTGAATTTCTTGGATTTCCTTTGTTTAACAATTTACTTTAAGATCTAGTTCTTGTAATTTCTCATTTACAATTCTCAAATTCTCATGAATCTCTTCTTCTCCTGAAGGATTACCTATGCGTGAATCAACTTACTAAATTGATATTTTGTATTATTGTGATTCTAACTGTTAAGAGGTCAAAAATGATCCAAACTAACTCTTCTTATTGATTTGGTTAGAAGACTCTGAGATATTTATATTTTTACATGAATTCTAGATGATCTTACTATTTACAACAGACTTTTCATTATTCTCTTCCTCTGTTAACATTGGGTTTTAAGAACATTCGAAATCGCAGTCTGATTCTTCTAAACGTATCAATTATTCTTATTCAAAATTCGAGACATGACTATTGCTTAGAGGATTGTTAATTTGAGAATCTGAATCGTCCATAGTGAACTATAATTATTTATTGAAACAAAAATAGTATTAGACAAAATCATAATTACAAATACTTTGATTCATTTGAGACTGATCAATAAAACTAATGCCACATAGACCTAATAGAAATGTTATGAAAAACATATAATCATTTAAATATTGATATGAATCGCATATTAGTTGGGTATAAAATAATTATAATTATGTTATGAGAATAATTTTTGATTGGAAAATATATTTATGAAGTATAAGATATTTACCTCAAAATTGATTAGGAGATACTTGCTAGAATATAAATTAATCAAAGCTTTAAGATATTCTTCACCAAGTTTGTTCTAGTGAAGAAAATTAAATTTAAATTATACATTTGAAAGAAGGTAGACATAAATATAATGAATAATTCAACCTAAATTTTCTTATATCCTCACTTAAAGGTAAAGCCAGCCATCATTATCCTTCCCCTATAAATAAAGTTCTTTTAACTGTTTTGTAGATGAATTTTATATTAATTTATTTCCGCCATAGAATACAAAAAGTCCATCCATTTGTCCAATATATTGTGAGAATCTGTGTTTAAAATGATTGAATAGATTTTTAATTAACATTTTTTCATTTACCATCATTTACTTATAACCCAAAACTGATTTAGGTACTTTTTTTGTTCAGCAGTATTTATATGTATATCTGCAATTATAGGTATCATTTCTTCATGCTTTTCAATTAGACGAAATGATAGTTCCTATCTTTATTCGTATGACTTTTGAGTTTTAAATTAGGATTTCATTTAAATTTAATTATAATTCTTTATTATCTTTTTTTGAATAAAAATTTGAATTTCATTAATAGAATAATTATCAGATAATATCAGAATAATCTTTTAGATTACAATAATTATCTAATTATTCAGTAATTATAATAGATATTCTTAATAGTGTAACATACTTCATAATAACAATCGCTTTTGTGTCTTTTTTTTTTACATATACACTTATATTCATTTCATCATCATTTAATTACTCAAACAACTTCCTTTTATATCTAGTATAATCATTTCAACTAAATTGATAAATTTTCCTTGCCTGAATCTTAGAACCTAAAATATTGCGAAAACAGTGGAAGTCAAAAGGCTTAAAATATTGTTATATATTTTTTGGCTCTAAAAGTGTTATGCACAATATTTAGAAGTTAAATAACTCTTTTCATATTTAATAAAATTCTTTTATCATTTAACTTTAGCTTATGTTAAATAGAATTCTTGAGTAAAAAATATGTTATATCTATTATGCACTAAATAAAAATAGAAATGTAAAGTTGCAAATAAAAATAATGATTAACTATTCAATCTTAATTAAATAGCAATATTGTAATGATTATAATTTTATAATTATTCCCAAAATATTGATACGTTTTAATACACTGATAAACAACCTTAAAGTGTAGAGTTTATTCANTTGATTCATTTGAGACTGATCAATAAAACTAATGCCACATAGACCTAATAGAAATGTTATGAAAAACATATAATCATTTAAATATTGATATGAATCGCATATTAGTTGGGTATAAAATAATTATAATTATGTTATGAGAATAATTTTTGATTGGAAAATATATTTATGAAGTATAAGATATTTACCTCAAAATTGATTAGGAGATACTTGCTAGAATATAAATTAATCAAAGCTTTAAGATATTCTTCACCAAGTTTGTTCTAGTGAAGAAAATTAAATTTAAATTATACATTTGAAAGAAGGTAGACATAAATATAATGAATAATTCAACCTAAATTTTCTTATATCCTCACTTAAAGGTAAAGCCAGCCATCATTATCCTTCCCCTATAAATAAAGTTCTTTTAACTGTTTTGTAGATGAATTTTATATTAATTTATTTCCGCCATAGAATACAAAAAGTCCATCCATTTGTCCAATATATTGTGAGAATCTGTGTTTAAAATGATTGAATAGATTTTTAATTAACATTTTTTCATTTACCATCATTTACTTATAACCCAAAACTGATTTAGGTACTTTTTTTGTTCAGCAGTATTTATATGTATATCTGCAATTATAGGTATCATTTCTTCATGCTTTTCAATTAGACGAAATGATAGTTCCTATCTTTATTCGTATGACTTTTGAGTTTTAAATTAGGATTTCATTTAAATTTAATTATAATTCTTTATTATCTTTTTTTGAATAAAAATTTGAATTTCATTAATAGAATAATTATCAGATAATATCAGAATAATCTTTTAGATTACAATAATTATCTAATTATTCAGTAATTATAATAGATATTCTTAATAGTGTAACATACTTCATAATAACAATCGCTTTTGTGTCTTTTTTTTTTACATATACACTTATATTCATTTCATCATCATTTAATTACTCAAACAACTTCCTTTTATATCTAGTATAATCATTTCAACTAAATTGATAAATTTTCCTTGCCTGAATCTTAGAACCTAAAATATTGCGAAAACAGTGGAAGTCAAAAGGCTTAAAATATTGTTATATATTTTTTGGCTCTAAAAGTGTTATGCACAATATTTAGAAGTTAAATAACTCTTTTCATATTTAATAAAATTCTTTTATCATTTAACTTTAGCTTATGTTAAATAGAATTCTTGAGTAAAAAATATGTTATATCTATTATGCACTAAATAAAAATAGAAATGTAAAGTTGCAAATAAAAATAATGATTAACTATTCAATCTTAATTAAATAGCAATATTGTAATGATTATAATTTTATAATTATTCCCAAAATATTGATACGTTTTAATACACTGATAAACAACCTTAAAGTGTAGAGTTTATTCATTTCCTCATGATATTAAAATAATTATAGGAATTGATAAAATCATAGTTGTAAAATCAAGTTAAGTGCTTGAGTTTATGAAATCTAACTTTTTTTTATATAAATTACAAATCGTGATAAATAGAAAGTGTCTTCTGAATAATGTATTTCAGCTAGTTCATAATAATTTCAAGAATCTAATGATTATCCAATCTAATATTATCACTCATTTACACTTTTTTTTGATAAAAATATAAAATAATAAATCTTGATGGAATATAAATGTATCTATATATTATTAATATATTTTAAAATAAAAGGTCAAATTCTTCCTTTTTATTTTAAAAGAGGCAATTTAGGCTAGCTTTCAGATTTATGTTTTAATTTATATATTGTTGAATTTGGTAAAGGAATTTCTTTGTCTTCAGTATATCCCCATTTTGGACTCTATAACTTTGAGTCAAATTCATTCAAAGCTTTGTGTAGCTTGCTCGCTTTAAGATTTTGAGGTTTTTTTACATCATCAACTAAACGATAAGCCAAATAATACAATTCTTATAAGCATTAATCCTATCAAATTAGGATTTTAGCTTCTTGGGACTAGTCTTCTCTTTTTCTTTAGTATGTTTTTTGGACTATTTCTTGCTTTCATAGATGCTCTTTGCATTAGCAGATTCAGCTGAGGATGAACGATAAGACTTTTTGATATCTTCATCTTCCATCATCCATTTGAAATGTTATTCATTAGATATTTTGATATTCCTATCTCCTTCACGATTAATAGCATCATATATTTTCTATTCATATGTGTCCATTTCCTCAACCACTCCATCTTCTGCGTCATCATACTACTTTTTATTTTTTTATTATAAACCATCCACCATTGTTTGATAATCCCTCTTACTCATCCTATCAGGAATCTTGTATTCTCCTCCTTCTTTAATATACCCATTGTCAAAGATGATATTCGTACCTTATTTAGACTAGTAATAACTATTCATAGAACCTTCATGGCTTCAATTAAAGGAGGCTATTTTGGATATTCAACAGCAGCTGCCTTTTCCAATTTTCTATTTTCGTCTTCTCCTTTTGCAAATGCTTCCTTAACGGGTTTGATTTCAGGTTGTGAATTCACTTCCCTCATGACTTTCTAAGGTTGATTAGTTTTTGTTTCTGGTGAAAGAATTTCATTTATCTGTAAGTCTATGGGCCTATTATATACTAAAGGTTTGTACTTTGTTGTAAGAAACACCACTTAACCATCATAATCATACGTGTACTACTTATTTTTTAATTATTTCAACTGTTCTTTCTTTTTCTCATCTTATTCAATTTACTCTTCTTTTATTTTACGCATTCTTTCATTTTCTTTCTACTTGTCCAATTCTTAATATTCTCTCTATTCACGAAGTCTTTCTATAATGGCATCAGGAGTTGGAGGCTTTTTAGTCTCTGGCATCTTAATTAGGTTAGGCTTGTATTCTTCTTGAATAGTAGATTAGAGAGTTGTCATCTATTGTGAAGAGCCACCCAATTTATTTATAAGTTTCATTTTGCTTACAGAATTTTAAAACTTCGCAATTGAATTTCTGGAGAATCTGGATGAAGATTGACTTCTTTAGGATCTAGCATCATCAAGTGTGTCTTATCCAGTTTATGGCGGTTATAGTTTCACTATCTTAACTCCCTTGGCAGTCATATTATCAATTGTTTTAAAATGCTACAACATTTTATATAATTAAGTACAGGCTCGTCTTCATCGATCCATTTATTCAAAATAGCATATTTAGATTCACCATGGTCAAATGGCTTTTATTGTTATTTATTTTACATACTAAGAATTCCTATTATACAACTCCACACTGCCAATTCGCTATCACTTCACAATTATATCCAGGTTCTTTCTCACATAAGTAATGCTCATAAAGATTTTATCCGCATTTTATTATTAAATAATCAACAGTTGGATTTACAATCTCTACAGTCTCAAAATTTTACATTAAATTGTTAAAGTATTAAATATATTTAATAATAATTATACATAAATTCCACAGTTTTCATTACTGTTCCTATTCTTCCTTTTTGTATTGCACTATTGCGTATACAAAGTGTACAATTGCAAAAATACTGGTTAATTATAATATTAACGTAAGATATATCTCAAATAATCAAGATTATTAATTATAAATTAAATGAAAGACATGGGGAAATATGCTTATAACAAATATTAAAACTCAAATTAAGCAATTATATTACTAATAGTATTGTTTCCCTATACTATGAAAATTTAATTAAAAATTTCTTGTGATTTAGAATTTTCTATTGTTCAGATAGTATTTATTAAGAAATTTTTGAAAAGTGAAATTAACTAATTCCAGCTGACATACGCTTTTCCTTACTGGGATTCAAGAATTTGAATTCTTAGTTTTATTGAAGTTAAGCTTTCTAGTTTAGTGATCCCCAATACTGGTTTTGAAAATTTAGTTTTGTATAGGATATTCTAAATATTTAGAAATAGGTATCAATTTATAAAAATGAATAATATAAATTTAATTGGAGAAATGTATTAATTATTTATCAAATAATCAATTAGATATTTTGAGATTATTATAATATATTCTCCTATAAATGGTGATATAATTGATTATATTAAGTTTTATGTTTAGTTACTAATTTTAATTATTAAGTAATGATAATCTAAGTATATAAAGATTTAGTAGCAACTAAATATTTGATTAATTTTATTTCAAATCTCAAATTGATATTGGAATGTCAGTATCGTAAGAACAAAAGATAACATCAACCCCCACTCTCAAGGAGGAACAAATCCCCTAAAAAAGGCAGTCCCAAATATCAAATTTACTCAGGAGAAAAGATTTTAGATCAGTTGTGAAAATTTTACAAACTGATAACAAGTCGAGGTTAGGCCATATTCCTTTACTTTAGAACAAACTATCAAAAGCTGAAATACTAAAACTAAATATATCATGTTGGTTAAAATCTTTGCATAAGCGGAGACAACAGATCTATTTATGTGGCTAAACTCATTAAGATTGTTAAACTGTACGATGATGAAGATAATTGCTTACCTTTCATCAAAGTACGATGGTTTTGCAGGAAGACTGAGCTGGCGGGATTATCGAAGGATTGTTTAGATTGCATTTCTGAGAATGAAGTCTTTAAAACAAATGAATTTGACTATATAGAAATAGAGAGCATCGTAGGACTAGCTACCATTTTAAGTTTCGAAGAATATGATCAAATAGAAGAGCTATATGATAATGTGTTCTTTACGAGAGCTCAATATGTAAATGAAAAGTTATTGCCTCCTTTCTAACAATGGAAAAAGGTTTGTATTTGTAAGAAACCAGCTAATCCTGATTTAAAGTAACCATACATTATGAAGATAGGTATATTTTCTGCGATCTGTGCTAAAGATGGTTTCATTTGAAATGCATAGGATTAAGTTAGGATCAAGCAGAGAAAATAAATAAATATATATGTCCTGAATGTAAGAACTGAAATTTAGTTGATATTTGATATTTATATACATATTCAATTGACTGATCTGTTAAATAATAATATTGAATATCTTAATTCAGTTTCTAAATTTTTATAATTATAATGAGGTTTTATGTCTTCTTTCTAATATTCTTTGTATTCTTCTTTGCAAGTATAATAATGCAAGTTCAATAAAACTTCTACGACAATAAACAGTAAGATTGCTTGAAATGCTCTGTAAGGGAATTAATCTTTTTCCTCTAAATCATCAAATTTGCTTTTAAACAGAAATTTAATATATTCTAAAAAATTGAATTTATCGATGTCGATTAAAATCTCATTATCATCTGGCCATCTTTTCAAATTGAATAAATACTCCTTCCTAAAATTTGATAGCTGCACTAATTGAATCAAAAAAATACTTTTTAGAAATGAGGCTCCTCCAATATTGATTAATATTTTGGGTCCATTCTTTTCAATTTATTTATAGATTTGTGATACTAATAAGGATCCTCTAAGTTTTATCCATAATTATCTATTTTTAATTTCTTTTTTGTAAAATTCTAAAGTACTTTTCTGAACATAAATATTTTATATAAATAAATAATATACCTTCCTAATTAAAATAATCATAAAATCAAAATCAATTTCTCAAGAAATATTTTTATTTTAATATCTGCTTCCCCTTCTCCTAATTTTGATTTTTTTAATATCCTTAGCATATTTTTAAGTAATCTTAAAAAATTATTTTGTTGTTAAAAAATATAGAGAACTAACTTAAAAGTTTAAGCCAACCATTTTTACATAACAATTACATTGATATATTCATAAGTTTGAAGCCCTAGGTATTTAAATCGAAAAACATTATTATTTAAAAACTTGAGACTCAATAATTAAGATGAACTTAACTTTAATAAAAAATCGAATTAATTTCTATCTTAGGATAGTCAATAGAATTATTTATTAAAGAATAAAGTATTTCGACCTTAAATTTTGTTCAAAAGCAGGAGGGTAATAAATTATGATTTCAAAACTTGAAAACAAAAACAAAAATGATTAAAATTCAATGATTTTGGCATCATTCATCCATTTAGTTCATCAAATCTCTTCGACCCTGTAACTTTGCATACTTCAATTAACAGATTTGCTTTTATAATTAATATCTTAGTCTACTTTATCATTTATACTCCATTTATTATTGTTGTATTTTTTGAAGAATTTCAATACAATTTCTGGGGAAATGAAATTGACGAATGCATAGCCTAGGTTTCCTTCATTCTTATCTGATTAATTAATAATTACATTATTATCAGATGGAAGGTAAAGAAAATCAAATTATAACTTGAAGTCTTTATTTAATAGGTTTCTCAAATCACTTGGTCTCATGTATTTAGGTATATTTTTTAGCATTAGAGTGGTTCTGTCATCACAAAGAATCTTCTCTAATAAATGAATAATTACATTCTCTTCTTAAATGTCAAGGTTGTAGTAAAGGGTATTCATTTTTTAATACAATAGGTTTTGATCACAATCAAATAAAAACTTCATATCAATAAGTTCCTAAATAAGTAATTTTTGGTTATAGAGACTTCCTTCATCAGGCATAAGTAGTTTAAAGTCTCATGATAAGAATGTGATACCAAATGCACATAAAGAAGCTTCAAACTTCTCATCTTAACTTAGCAATGGCCTTGGTATTTATAATTTCGGCATATATTTGGATTCAAAGGAGGAATCTTTTGAACTACCAGATGAAGCTGTTGTATTTGCTTATGATGCTCTTCCTTTTTATGGCGTTGAATTGAATGCAATCTCTTATATATCACAAATCATTATTAAATATAAATAAATACAGAGGACATCCCATTATTATTTAGTGTAACTTTTGAAACCTAATGTTTACTATTCAAAGTGTTTTTGCATTTCCGAAAATATCTAACTAGAATAAACAGTTAATTGAGAGAATAAATATTAGTTTAAGGAGAATAGTGTAGATTACAAAAATAGAAAGAATCAAATTTAAGATTGGAGAACTTTCATTACTACTTCATTAAATGTATCAAATAATTAGAATTGCTTTAGATAAATCTTAAGTAAGTAGAAAAAAGAATTGTTTCTAAAGACTTAGCTGTTAGGAACTTTCTCGAGAATTTATTTCTTTTGAATTATAATTGAAATCATATCCATAAGTTATTTAATTTGTTCTAAAAATAAAGAGCCTTGTGTAAAAAGGACTATATTTGTTGATATGAATACCTAAAAATAGAATTGAACTCTTTATTGTCTCAATTTGATTAGATATAAAATTATTCAGTTTATTAATTTATATACTTGAATATAATTGGAAAAACAAGACTGATGAAGTCAAACTCAATTACCCCAAGTCTTTATTTTCAATATCAATATATTATTAATAAATAAGAGAGTATGAAAAGGAATATACTGATTTTGCTTTTTTAGTTTATTTATTCAGTAGAGTATATTTATTAGTAATGATATAATTATGTAAGCAGCTTTTTTGGTAGATTTCGATCATCCAAATCTTCTAACTTTTAAAATACTGCTAGCTTTCTTCAATTACAAATATTTGTGATTGTAAATTATAAAAAAAATTTTTAATTAAAATTCTCTTTATAATTTCTAAAAAAAGCGCTTCATCTTTAATTAGATTGATTATCTATTTTTGAGTAAATATTAAACTAATTGAAGTTTACACTGTTAATTAATTAGAATAATAAAATTTATAGTGATATTTAAATATATATTTGTATTTGTACAACACCTTGATCATAATTTAAAATGTTCTTTAATTTTTGAAGAGAGTTCATCGCAAGTTTTCTTAGCATCACCCAATAACATATTATTCTGGATTGTCAATTGTCTGCAATTGGTGAATTTTGATTTTCTCAGCAGCTGAATTGACGGTGTCATTAGCTCCAATAACAATTGCAAGATCAGTATCAGGGAAATCATCATTAATTTCATCCATTTCGAATACAATATCATAAGGAATACCAGCTTCAGCCAATAAGATTTTCAATTATCCAGGAATTCTACCAGCAACTGGATGAATAACAAATCTAACCTTAATTCCTTGGTCAATAAGTGTTCTGCACATATCAGCTAAAGGATACTATGCTTTAGCAATTGCCAAACCATATCCAGGAACGATAATAATTGATTTACTATTAACCATCATTTCAACAGCTTATTCAACATTGATTTCAGTAAGAGCACCTTCAACTTTAGTAGCTTTAATGGCTGCAGGATTAATTTCAAATCCACGGAAGAACTCTTGCTTCGATAACTAAAACTTTAGCTGCTGTCATTTAACCAGCTAAGAATCTGCCAAATTCATTCGCTGCCAATACTACTGCTTTGTATCCTGCAATATTAGCCATAGAACTCAAGGCATTCGTATGTTTATGTTCTAGTAATTCTAGGAACACATTCCATTGTAAATGCAGTTATCTTCTTCTCCTGTAATTGATTTAATAATTCTTTATTCTATGCAGGGTATATGAAAGATGTCTATAATTATTGAAATTAGATACAATGGTCTGACATTCTTTCAATGCTTTTGTATTTTCAGGAGGTCTAATCTTTAAGATTACATCAGATTAGTCATAAACTGAATCAGTATCAACGTTAGCTTCAACTTCTTGATATACATTATCTGCAAAATTGGCCTTTATGCCAGCTCCATTTCAACGAGGACCGTGAAATCCTAGCATACAATAAATTTTTGTATAAACAATATATTCCTATATATAAAATTAATTTTAAACGAAATCTTTGCTATATAATATATTTTAAATTATTATTATGAGAACTGCAAATTCAAATTAAGGGTAATCCTCGCTCCCTGATACAAATGAAATTAATGAGTACATCAAGGAGTACTTGAGATACACTAGCTATTCCAATACTTTGGAATGTTTTGAAGCAGAAATAAAGAGTAAATAGGTTTCCAATAAAGTAGATAATTAAATTCCTATTCTAGATGCTAAATAAATAATAGGGTATCAAATAGACGGGGGATGATGTGCCTCGGATATTTTAATTGCTTAAAAGTGATAATGTAAAATCGAAAAGGGAAATCAACATGGAAAAAGAATAAAAGCAATTTAATAAAAAATACCAATAAATTCTTTAGGCAGGCAGATAAATATTTTCTGTAAGCATAAATTTGTTACAATTGTTGCATTCATTAAAAGAGACAGCTAAAAATGAGAATCTAAGCGAAACCTTAGAAAACTATAAAATACAATTAGGAAAATACCATAAGGTTATAATAAATGAAGGAAAGCCAGAAGGCACTGAATTGATTACTGAATAAGTCATGCATGAACACAAAACTAAACTATTCAAAAACTACTAGGACAAACACGTAGATGGAATGATTGAAGTTTTACTCTCTCTAAGAGTGAATGCATTATAAATTGCACCAGAATTAAGAAAAAACTTAGTCTATGAATTGATAAGAAATGATGTATTCAACATTGAAGCTACTGAAAAATTTGATTTCGTTGTTCATTTGTTGGATATCAATAATCAAAGTCTCAGACATGCGATAACTAGTTTAATTAGTGTAATTAGTAGCACATTGAGAGGGGTAGAATATTTAACTTATAATGGGAATATGATAATCATTGAAAAGATAATAAAAATATTAAAAGAACAGGAAAACGGTTCAGTAACCCAGAGATTCTGTTTAGCTATTTTATAAAAGGCAAGTATTAAAGACACTGTCATCCCAACGTATGTTCACAATGAGATGATTTAGTGGATTATTAATCTCATTCAAAAATCAGTTAATACTAAAATTCACGTATTTTGTCTTGATTTTGCTTCTGCTACTTTGGCCAATATTATTCATACACCGTATACACTGTAATATCTGTAAAATTAAACTCGGTTTGCTTATTAAGTAATGGAGTAACTGCTAAAGTTTATTAAGGATCAAATATAAGTTTCAGTGCTTATGCATATTTTGATTTGCTTGTCATATTTAAGCAAGGAAAACTTTGCTAAATAGATGGAAGAATGCAGATTTGTGGATAGAATCAGCCAATTTGTAGAATATTATAGTGTCATTAATACTGGTATAATTATAATGATATTGTCTTAGAAAATGAGGCAGCAGAAATTGATAAAANTTAAAATTAATTTTAAACGAAATCTTTGCTATATAATATATTTTAAATTATTATTATGAGAACTGCAAATTCAAATTAAGGGTAATCCTCGCTCCCTGATACAAATGAAATTAATGAGTACATCAAGGAGTACTTGAGATACACTAGCTATTCCAATACTTTGGAATGTTTTGAAGCAGAAATAAAGAGTAAATAGGTTTCCAATAAAGTAGATAATTAAATTCCTATTCTAGATGCTAAATAAATAATAGGGTATCAAATAGACGGGGGATGATGTGCCTCGGATATTTTAATTGCTTAAAAGTGATAATGTAAAATCGAAAAGGGAAATCAACATGGAAAAAGAATAAAAGCAATTTAATAAAAAATACCAATAAATTCTTTAGGCAGGCAGATAAATATTTTCTGTAAGCATAAATTTGTTACAATTGTTGCATTCATTAAAAGAGACAGCTAAAAATGAGAATCTAAGCGAAACCTTAGAAAACTATAAAATACAATTAGGAAAATACCATAAGGTTATAATAAATGAAGGAAAGCCAGAAGGCACTGAATTGATTACTGAATAAGTCATGCATGAACACAAAACTAAACTATTCAAAAACTACTAGGACAAACACGTAGATGGAATGATTGAAGTTTTACTCTCTCTAAGAGTGAATGCATTATAAATTGCACCAGAATTAAGAAAAAACTTAGTCTATGAATTGATAAGAAATGATGTATTCAACATTGAAGCTACTGAAAAATTTGATTTCGTTGTTCATTTGTTGGATATCAATAATCAAAGTCTCAGACATGCGATAACTAGTTTAATTAGTGTAATTAGTAGCACATTGAGAGGGGTAGAATATTTAACTTATAATGGGAATATGATAATCATTGAAAAGATAATAAAAATATTAAAAGAACAGGAAAACGGTTCAGTAACCCAGAGATTCTGTTTAGCTATTTTATAAAAGGCAAGTATTAAAGACACTGTCATCCCAACGTATGTTCACAATGAGATGATTTAGTGGATTATTAATCTCATTCAAAAATCAGTTAATACTAAAATTCACGTATTTTGTCTTGATTTTGCTTCTGCTACTTTGGCCAATATTATTCATACACCGTATACACTGTAATATCTGTAAAATTAAACTCGGTTTGCTTATTAAGTAATGGAGTAACTGCTAAAGTTTATTAAGGATCAAATATAAGTTTCAGTGCTTATGCATATTTTGATTTGCTTGTCATATTTAAGCAAGGAAAACTTTGCTAAATAGATGGAAGAATGCAGATTTGTGGATAGAATCAGCCAATTTGTAGAATATTATAGTGTCATTAATACTGGTATAATTATAATGATATTGTCTTAGAAAATGAGGCAGCAGAAATTGATAAAAAAACAGTTTTAGATTTGTGCGCTCATATGTTCCATCCCAAGGATACTTCTTTAGACAATTCTGAGACTTTGGAGTTAAATGAACTAAAAACTGAAGATCGAATCAGAGAGTACGAGAATGAATAGGGGGAATTGATCTTTGAATGTTTTCAAGATGAAGTTAGTTGAATATTTATTTTTTATATATTTATTTAAATTGGATTATTTTATGATGAATTTATTATTTGGTGTTATATCTTATACATTTGTACTATGTTGTGGATAATTCATTTTAGAAAAATTGAGCTATCTTCAAAAGATCCAAAATTATCATTTCCGAAATACTTCACTTCAGGAAATTTATTTTTCTCAATTATTAAACACGGCATGATGCTAAATTTTTCACTAATTTTTATTTTACCTAATTGTCTAATCCATGCAATTTGCGTAATCAGACAAGAGTTGTAAATCGGAGCGTCCCTCAAGCTTAAAAGATGCTAACTTCAGAAAGAGAAAACCTATTGATTCAGATACGAAAACCAATTTGATCCTTAGCGTTGTCAAAGATCATTTGCCCATATATTAAGTATTAATGTTTGTCTATATTTTGAGGCAGCTATTATTCATAAGGTTAAATATTCATCCGCTAAACACATATTGAGAAATTACTACAGTGATACTGCCAATTACTTCTCACTTTAGAAAAAGAGAAGAAGAAGGATAATCTGTTGTGGGGTCTCCGCCTTAATTGAAATTAGCAGTGGAAATATAGTTTTGGCTACATAATAGTGTTAAATGACTCCCTATATCAAAAATGGGGTCAATGCCCAGATCAAATAAAAAGTAATTGATCATTTGAGTCTCTCAATTCACAAATAAATCTGTAGCTTTAATTTTAGGAGGTTGAATAAGAAATTCAGAATCGACCCGATAAAACAGATGAATAAAATAGAAAAAATTGAAAACAAAGTTAATTTTCTCATGTAAACACTTGAAAAATAACATATTGAAATGACACAATGATATATCTTTATTAATTATAAATTGTTTCTGTTCCTCACTTTCCTTAAATTCATAATAGAAAATGAGAAAAGATACTCAAAATTGCAATAAACAAAGGATTTATTTTATATAACACAATTAATATTTATATAACTCTTTTTCAATTTTTTGTAAAAGAATATTGGTTTCAGGATTTCACGTAGTTTCATATTGGTTTACAATCACAAATTAAAATTTAATTTTTTCTTACAGATGTTGGACTTGATTTTAGATAAATAATTAGAAAATATATCTTTGAAGAATCAAACTTGTTTTCGTCATGCTCAAGAAGAGAATGTAATTATTTAAAATTGCAACTTATTGGAATAACTAATTCTTAACACTTTAAGAACATAGCATAAAAGTATTTTATTCTAATTTTAATATATATATATTTTAACACTTGATATTAAATAAAATAAGAAATTAAATTTAAATATAAATTATCATTATGATGGTTTAGTTTTAAGTCTATAATAGTTATTTTACAATACTAGAGGTAAGCAAGTTGTAAAGTAGAATTTCGATTTTTATGTATTATCCATATCCAATCTGGAGGAGGGACTTGTTTGAAATCTTTGATTCGTAGAAGTTTGTGTAGGGTATCTTCGAATATGATAACTAATATTTTCTAAAGCAGTTCCCAATATTCCAGGAGGAGATTTATGTTTCTTAGTTTATTTCTTTATTTTATTCTTATATTTTAAAGACTATTATATGATTAGTTCCTCAGTTTTTTATCTGGAATGTTAAGTCGACTAACTTGATTTCAATAGCTTATTTAAATAGGCTTATTCGGATTCAGCAGGGTTGTCTAATGTTAGAGTTTGCTCTCTTAATTTATTATCATCTAATTTTGTTCTACTGCTAATCTTCAAAATTTAACTTGTACTATTGAATAGTAATTTCTGTTTATTTTCTTGAATTTGAATGAGATTTTCAGGTTTTAAGAACGTTTTATTTTATGTTCTCTCAAGTAAGTTGATTTTTTCAGATTGATCAATAAAATTTTTTTCATAAACCTTTATCTGTTATATGATCTATTTTAATTTTCTATCATTCAAAGCAGTTAAACTTTTATTTAATGCAGGATCACAATAGAGGACTCTCATGAAATCCCTCTTCGAAACTGAATAGACATTGTTACTTTCAAATGTGGAGACTAAACTAAACTGTCTGCATAAGTCTGGAGCTTTTAAGATCTCCAGTTCTCCAAACATTTCCCCTGCCCCCAAGAATTTTAAGGTCATTATTAGCTTTTTGTCACTGGCTATAAGATTGCCATACTTTTTCTTTTGATATAACTTATCAATTTTCTCTTGATTTGTTAAGGAAGGTTTATTGTATGCAAACTATTGTTTTAAAAATTCTACATCATCATCAACATCTTAATAATTATTAGTTTGATCTTTATTCATTCTTAAACATTTGATAACCTAAAGATTTTGAAAGAAGATACTTTAAATTCCCCAGTTTAAATGAAATAAACTTCATTAGATGGATCACCCTCTTTATATACAGTATGATTTAATCTAAATTTATTTAATTTCATAACATCGAACAATGATTTTACACTCATAAACTTCCAATCTTTGAATATGGAGAGTTGTGCAAATTCTTCAAAATACATCTGTCTTTATTAGTTTATCTTAGGATAAGTAAAAAGCATTACCACAGTCTTTTTGATAACCATATAATCCTCTGCATCTAAAACTGCTAAATGAGTTGGAGTAACAGCAGTAATAGTAGCAGATCTAGGTTCATTATTTTCTAATGCAAGCTCCCCAAAGGCTTAACCATCACTCATTTGTATTAACTCTTTTTCTTGATAGCAATCTCCAACGAACATTCTTTTATGTATTGACACTCGACCTTATAGAATAATATAGAATGTAGTTCCCACATCACCTTAAATATAACCAAAATTGGCTCACCTTCTCTAAACAGAGTTTCCCCCTTTTTCAGAGACGTGTAACTCATCTTTCTTAAACATCTCTCCCATAATAAGACTCCTTGGTCCTTCTCTAGCAGTTTCTAAAAATACACAATATGTTTTGTGGCTTTCTTCAAAATCTCAATTTCGTATTATGTTCTATGATACGAAGATTTTGTAAGAATAATGACAACTATTCCAAAAATTTAATCCTGGCTCAGATTCTCATAAATTGATGGTTCTTATTCCATTTATAAGATATACTACTTCAATTCTTTGATTTCATCTTCTTTTAATTAGTGACCATTTTATGAATTTTTCATTTATTAATTTTATTATATACTATAAGTTTAATTCAACCCAAAATCTTTCATAAACTTAACCCAAACTTTAGATTCTGAAATTAGTATGATATTTATATAAATAAATACGATATCAAGTTATCCATTCTTAAAATTTCTTAATAACTATTATAAATCATATCCAATAACAATATCCAAAAACTCAAATCAAAAAATCTCATTACTATGAACGAATTGAAGTCTTTAATTACTTTTATATATATTTTAATAACAAAATTCTTTTAACTATAATTTAATAAATAATTGATGAGCTATTGATCTTGAGTACCATTATGTTTATGTCCTAGCTTTAAAAATAATTCTTTTTTATTATTTTTGTATTAAATATATATATATAAGTTATATAGCAAAATTTTTCCAAAAACGCTTAGCATATTAAATTAATGAAAACATTAGTAACAATAGCAATTGTGTTCTGCTTGCTTAGTCATCCTGTAGTATGTAAGAAACACTACAACGATGAAGAACATTCTGCTTTCGAGAAAAGTATAATTCTTTGGTACATTATAGGTCACAAAAAACTCTCTCTTTAAGATGATCCTTCTTACAGCAAATTGGAAGAGATTTAAGATCATCCTCTAGGTTCAAAGATTCTGTAGACAATCGCCTTGTAATTAAGAGGAAATGAATCGTTGAGTGCTGTTAGCAAATTGTTGAATGACTTAAAGGGGGATTTGGAAGTATAATTTATAATCAATAATTTTAGGGTAAATAAATTGATGCTGATAATGAAAGAGCATAAATTGGCTCATAATGCAAAAAGGATCTTTAGAATTATAGTCAAAGAATCAGTCTCTCCATTAACGAAATTAAGGATGCTGAATTCAAGGCCAAAAGATTGAATGAGGCCATTGCTGTCTATCAAGCTGAAATCAATGAAAAGGCTAGATAAATCAAAGTATTCTAAGCCAAAGATGATACATTAAGAGAGATCAGAAGACAAGACAATTTAGACTTTTCAACAAGAACCACATAAATGAAAGAGATGGTCTAAGCCTTTGAAGTTATTCTTCCAAAATTACACTAAGTTTGGGATGTAGCTGCCTAACACAAAGCTGGATCATTTATTGAAGAAGAAGCAATCAATGAAGCCTTAGTTTAATTAGCTAAAATTGGGTATGCAATGTTTTCATCTACTTTAGAGAAGAGAACCCAATTACTGCCATGGTCGCACTGACATCAACTTTGGAACCAACTGCTGTTTAGACTTTGATTGAAAAAATGGAAGCCATTAGAGATTCAATTAAGGAGAGCATTAAGGCAGAAGAAGAGGCTGAAGCAAAGAATGCCAGAGTAATTGTGGTTTCTATTGTTTTAGGACACAGATACAATTTTAGCTGCCGTTTTCAATGCTATGGAGAGTTTGACCAGAGAGAAGTCAAGCGACGAAGAAGCATTATAAGAAACTATTAGAAATAGAGACATTCAAGATAAGAGATCAAGAGATGCTCATGCTGTAAAATAATATATTTAATCAGGAATTTAATGCAGCCAAAAATGGAAATCAATAGAGAAATTAACAATGTCAAGAATACGAATTATAATATCAATAAAACACAATCGAAAGAGATAAATAGATTGCAATTATCAAGGATGTTCAAAATATAATTGCTACAAAGATAGAAGTTGTTACATGCTTTGTGGAAGAGAATAATCTATTCTGATTAATATGATAATTATAAAATATTAATCAAAATATTCATTTAATTCAATCAAAAATATGGAATAGATTTATGACTAGATTCCCATGGTTGTAGTTCTTCTTATAGTGATGGTTCTGTAAAAATATTTTTAGGCAGAAACTATTTTTTAATTTTCATAGGAGTATATAATTGAGGCAGTACAATATTGTATTTTGTTTGATAAGGTTTTTACTGTTTTTTAAATAGATTAGTATTCGTTTCTGAGTTTTCAAAGTTAAATTTCTTTAAGCTTTTCCTTCTTCTTATTTGATTAATGTAATATTGGTATGAAGAATCTTTTTTTGGAAGATTTCTCACAGTACTTAATTCGTGATTAATGGAATGAGATTAGGCCGATTGATTATCATTAGGAGAGAGTTGTAAACAAATTTGATTATGCTGCAATCGAGGTGATTATATGTTAATTTTACATCCAAAAACAGGTAGTGCTTTCTGATTGTTGACCTATCTTGTCAATGATCGTTTGACAAACAATTAATATCTGGCAATAGGACTATTTTATGGATTCTCCATATTAATTAAGAAATTTTGTTCTAAGATATAATTATTTTTAACAAATATCTAACTTTTGATAATCCAAATATTGATCTTCAGAATTAAAACAGTTAGATTTACAAATCATCCTCATTAAAGAGAAGATAATTTTAACTACTATTTAAATTCATGAACTATTCTATGTTAACTTAATTTTGAGAACTATTTCTAAATTAAAACCATTTATCTTTGAAAGTCTACATAGTTGTTATTCATCAACTAAAATAGATGATTAAAGTGTCAAAAAAGTGAGGATATATATATAAAATTATTATTTTTCTTAATGAAGTTTAGTAGTTCCATACCTTTTCCTCCAAAATTGATATTATTTTGCATTTGATAAAATTTTAAATATCTATCTAGAAGAGAATACTCAATAATATTTCTATCTTAGGTTTATTATTAACGTTAATACCTTAAAAGTAGAATATATTATTAATTATTTTCTGAGTCAGTAATTTAAGAATGAGGCTAACAATATATCAAAATAATGAATAAGAATTATTTATATAAAAGATAGTTAGAATAGAAATTGATTAAGCTAAGGAATTACCAAGAAGAAGATTTAAAGTATGAAGTATCTTGTTACTTTATTTTCTTTGTTAAAATCTAATCATTTAAAAACAGATAAAAAATAAAATCAGTTTATATTTTATTTTTGGAACATAACAATATTGGAACCAAATCCATAGCTTTTGCCATAATCTAAATGATAGAACATTATTTCTTTTGTTGTTATTAAAAGATACTTTGAAATAAATTGATAATTGAGAATGCATGAATTACTTAAGAAAGCATTAAATAAAAAGAGAATACATTACTTATTAAAGACTGAGCTTCCTCTTTATATTAAATAAACATATGAATTAAAATATGAATGTAATGATTGTCTAAAAAGTATGATATATATGGAAAAATCAATCCACATTGTTTAAAATTATTATTATCTTCCTTCTAAATTCTCAATGTCTAGAAACAAGAGATTAATGGTGCATGCGGTTAGCAATACAATATAACTAAAATCATTATATTTTAGTTCCTAAACATTTATTAATATTTAGCTTTTAATATAATTAATGCAACATAAATAGATAAAAACAAACACCTCATAAAATATAAGGTAAAAGCTTGGTCTGAAGGACTCTTTAACCAATATTAATTAAATCTACAGTCAACCTCATTCATCAAAAGGTGCTGAAACTAGAAAAAAGGAAGTAAATTCTTATTTATTTAGAATGTGTAAGATTGCAATACTATGAAGAAAAAATTATTTAACATGTTGGGATAAAACTATAATTCAAACAAAGCATTCTCAATATCCCCTACTAATTCCCTTAAGTAAAACTATTTTGTTTCGACATCAACACAATAAAATTCAAAATAGCTTTTACAAAAACAAAATAACACTCTTGATTGCCATACTTCAGTTGCTTAAAATCTCTTTGGGAATTCGGCTAAGAATGTACAGTCATAACCATCATTAAACTAATTTGAAAAGTACAAATCCTTCTTAGAGAATCAAAATTTTGAAAACCATAATCCTCCAATCAATCAAGCAAAAAAAGTTGGAATTGCTAAGCCTAATTCCACTCAATCCAGAAATCATAAAACTGACAGAAGTTCATTAATTGCATTATTTGAGAAATTGCATGAAAAAGATTGTCATAATAAACATCGTAAATAAACATCCTAAAATTCTAATTATGTTGTTAATAACTAAAAATAACAGCCTTAAGAATGTTTCTACACAGAATTAAAGTTTCGATAAAAAATGAAAGGATCATTATCCAATAATTCCTCTGGTTAACTTTGTTCTCATCTAAACCCTAATTCATCATCTACTTAAATTCAGTAAAACCAATAAAATAGCATAGACGATAATTTACAATAACTAGCTGAAAGAATGTAATAAATTTTAAATAACTATCATTAAAAGTTGAAACAAGTGGATTTTGAAAAAGAAGTACTAATATAAGAAATTTAATATTGGAAATCTAAATATTAAAAGTGTTAATAAAAGTCGTCAATATCTTGAATTTAAGTTTAGATTAAAAATTGATAATAATCTTTTTTTATAATGATTAATAACAATATAAATAAAAAAATAAGTGAATTTATTCATTTCCTTTTTAATTATATGCTAATACATTTTTATTTTCCAACGCATAGATTAAATCTTTTATCATTCAAATAATAGTATTATCTAAATGATATATTAATTACCAAAATAAGTAGTATCTATTGAAATTATTTATAAAAATGAATTATTGTTTCAAAATTGAAAATTAATTCTTATAAAAACATGTTGGTAGCTGTGTACATTGTGTGTTTATATTCAATATTTACAATAAACAATAAGTTTAATTTTTTTGGATGATTTTATTTTTAATATTAATAAGATTAGACAAATAATGAGAATTTACTTATTGCATAAAATCATTTATGTATCTTATCTTGTATCTTTCCTTATGATCAATTTTATTGTCTGAAAATCATGATTTCTTATACTCTAAAGTTGTTTGACTCATTCAATCTATTTGAAACGCATAAATCGAGATATTTTATATAATATCTTCCGGTTTAGTTTTAATAAATCAGTAAGTTGTTTAAAATCTTATAATTATAAGTTAATACAAACTAAACATAACTTGCTCATATCAGTAAATAAGTATTTTATAGTGAAATTGGGATATTATATTTTATCTCTTAAATAATATCTTCTGTTATTAATTAAAATACATCAGCTTATAAAGGACATTTATTATTTTATGATCTTTAGGAACCAGTTGCAAGCCATTATTATTTTTATATATAAACAATTTAATTAAATATCATTTATCAAAACAATTATGTCCACACCCAGAAGGACATTAACTGTTAGTGCTAAACCAATTTTTTATCTCTTTCATGTGACCTCCATGCATGCATTGTTGACACCATAAGTAAAGACCTCTTACGGGTTTAAAACTATTTTTCCAATATTTATTAATACCATATTGAACAGATAAAATCGATCTTACAGATATTGCAATAAGCTCCTGTAGTTTAGTTATTTTTGCATGGACCAAGGCATTTATAATTGGTTACATATTTATTGCTAGTTCTAAATTATTCAACTGGACTTTCTAATGCAGCTTTCATTGCTAAAGTGTATTTTCCAAATGCCACTAATAATTCAATATATGACTGAGTCCATTTTTTGGCAATTAAATCAGGGAATTACACATAATTTTTCGCACAAGCAGCCATCCAAAATCCACTTGGAAGATCTCCTTAATCAATAACATGCTGGATTAATTAAAGGATAGAATTAGAAATTACTTGCCTAATATACTTTTAAGAAATTACATCATATGTTATTTATCAGTTAGCAAATAACCAATAGGAGTCATCGTTCTTAACAAATTCTTGTAGTAAGGTATTCTTTCTATATGAATTTTTAAATGTTAATCTTCAATTATGATATTCTTGCTATCTAATTCTTATCTGAAGGCTGCTGGATATTTTTCGAAATATTTGTATAGTTTTTATATATCCTGTGAATCCAATTATTTTTTTTCAAGTGTTTTATTATTATTTTTTGTAATTTGTGTAGTTAATTCCAGAGGAGACTTTTAATCATCATCAGATTAATCATTACCCTTGTTTGGTAATTATACAGGATAATCCTATGTAAAAATATTAGAGATACAGTCTTTGGATAACTTTTTAAAGTCATTAATAAGGTGTTCTAAAGCTTTCCAATAGTGTGCAATTTCTGGTTTATTAATTTGCAATGCAACGTTGCTATTGTATGAAAAATCTTTTTTTGAATTATAATTCTTTTAAAAATATTTTAGTTCCTCATCAAAAGGGATTTTTGGATCAAATATCTAATCAATAGCTTCTATATAGAAAATTGATCTAACATTGCTTTTTTGAATTTGTGAGTTTTAAGGAGATACTGAGGTTGCTTTTTGAATGTCTTACTATGAATTATGAATCAAATTATTTTGAGAAGTATTTTAAGTCTTAGCCTTTTGGAAGAAGATTTCATCATTAGAGGATTACCTTTGAATTGATGGCATGTTCATATAATATGGGTTGCTCTTTTCTGATTCATATTAATTTTAAAAGGGAGACTCCAATTTCATGAGCAGATCATTGTACTAATTAAAGGCGACAGGAAAGATGGGACAATTATTATATACTTGATACGCTTATCTAACGGATTACATTCTTAAGTACTTATCCTTAGATCCAGTAAAGATGTACTATTCATCCTAACTTAAAACAAAGGATGTGATGATATCATTATGACCTTTGACAATATGCATGGGTCGAAAGGGAGTTCTGATATCATAAGTGGTGACTGATATATCTCTGTTCAATGATGACACACTCAAAAGGGAATTGTTTTATACATGCCATTTGATATGGGAAGACCCATCTATATGCTAAATGATTCCTTTTTCCCTGATATCAGTGTGATTCTCTACTTACAAGATTTTGATTTCCTTATCATTTGATCCACTCGCCAAAACATTATCTTTAGTCCAATCCAAACAAATAATTAGATTTGTCAATGGGTCTTGTTTCCTACCCTTTAGATTAATCTCAGTCACTATATCTTGTTGTTTCCTAATGTCGAAATACTCTAATTAGCCTGTATCTGAAGCTGCCATGAAATAATTGTCTCTTGTAATATTAAATTTAATGTCTCTAATGGCTTCATTTCTTTATAATGTGAAAATTGGCTAAGCAGCAGTTTAACGATAATCGTAATAATTAATTGTATAATCCTAGCCACCACTAATAAAACAATTTTCATTATGCCAATTCATCCTATGGATAGCAGCTTGATGATTTCTATACACAGTTTCTTTTTGTTTGTCAATATCCCAAACCTAAAATTACCCTTACACCGATGCAGCCAATAATAGAGTTGGTTTTTTGCGATTAAATTCAACATAACCTATAGCTAATTTAGTGCCTTGTCTCCTCATATTCTATTTGATATTCATTTTTTTATTCACTTAATCCAAGTCTATTATTTTTAAAATTTCCCTTCCTCCGACAACCAAATTCCTTCCTTATTAATCAATATCAATTGAGGATATGCTTGTTTGCAAATCTAATTCCTAATCCATATTTATTTATATAAATATTTTATTATGTAATTATAAGTCAAAATAACACAAAGAACAGATTGCTATGTTAGTCTACCAAGGATGTTCTAGTAATTCACAACACAATCGTTCTCTTAAGGGAATCTAGGTTAGGTGATAAAAGCGTAATGATATCCTCTTTATTAAAGTGAATTAATGAAGACCCAAAAGATTGCATATTTTAGTTGTTAAGGAATTTCTGAAGATAATAAGATAGAAATTGGTTTTTAATTTGCTTAGCTTTTAAATATTGATGACGGTGATTATGTATAAATAGCAACAGGTAATTTTCTTTTTAGAATAAATTTAAGTCTCAAATTGCAATCAATCCAGTGCCATAACTATATATGTTCAAAAATGGTCAGATTATATGATTGTTCAGCATTAAAAAGATGATTTTGAAACAGGTCTTCTTAATAATATTTAAATTGTCTATAATGAATTGCTTTTTCCAATATTTTATCAAGAAGGACAATTTGTAACTTTTACTTTCAAAGCCTAAGACTATAAGGGTCCAATTGCCATCAGTCCTAACTGTGAAATTAATATTTTAATTGAAGAGGAATAAAAACCAGAACAGAAATTGGATTTAATTGAATTGAATGTCCTACTCAAAGACATAGATTCTTTTGAATCCTATATTGAAATAAATACAGATTTATATCATAATAATAGATTGGACAAATTATATTAGATAACATACTCATCATCCTTTCCTAAATCATATAGAAATTATGTTAAATATGCCAAACACCTGAAAAAAAACAAATAGAAATAAAATATTCCTAAAACTGCAATTGTCTAATTCAGATAAGATAATGATATTAATAATAAATATTGTTTCATTTCCAAATTTTATGCTAAACATCTTGGAATAAGAGAAGGTTAAGTGATTTTAATTAATACAAAAGAATAGGATATTAGTAAAGAAGCAACTATTAGAACAATCAAAAGAAACTAACTTATATTTCAAAAAATATATTTCAATTTCTACACAGAATTACCCTTAAAAAAAGAGTTTATCATTTCATAGATATTGGAAAAAATTGAAAAAAACTAATAAACTGTTTTACAAAGTAATTAATGATTAAAATATTAAGGCAGAGTTCATTATCTTTAAGAATCTTAAGAACAACTCTACTTTTTGAGAATAGTACAATTAATTGGCAATCAACCAGAACACTTCCTCTAAACATTGTCAATTGTAAATGAACATAATGAACCTAAAGTAATCGGAGAAAGAGAAAAAGGGTTGCTAACAAAACACTTAGAAGAACATCTTAGAGTAATTGGATTTACAAGTCCAATATAAAAAGAAATTAAACTCACTTAATACTAAGGTTTAAAATCCAAAAAAGTACTTAAATAGGATTACAAATTATTTTTATAATTATTTAATGGGCCAATCAAATAAATAGAATCCATATTAACTTAAGAATAAAAATCTTAATGTTTGATTAGTTGTAAAGAAACTTAAGCAATGCAAATTTTGGTTTCCTATTTTAAAACTAAATATGAAGTAATTAAATTAAATATAGACAAATTAAATCAGCAAGGCTAGAATGAAAAACTATCAAATGGTATAAATTTTCATATATCATAGTTAAAAAATTTATCAAGCATATCTTCTGGTAATCAAGACAGGTTTCTTTGAATGAAATTCTTATAGTACTTAAAGGAGTTGAATCTATTAAAAGCATAGATTTAATTGATTTTTAATAGTCATACTAAATACTTATTTCAAATGTATATTTTATCATTCATCTAGGTTTTAAGTAAGATTATTAGAAACTCAATTGTGGAATATCCATCTGTAAAATTAATAGTGATTTCACCATCTAAAGACTATTTAAATGGAAATCTATAAAGTATTTTTATAATCTAAAATAAGAAATATTTTCAAAGGACACTATCATAGAATTCAATAAACCAAAATAAGAGCTCAGATAGAGAATTTTTGAATAATGTTATCATTCTAATGAGATTAAGAAATCGGCTGAACTTTTAGCATCAAAATCTGAAAACTTCAATTATTCTCAATTTCACGCTTTATAAAATAGAGAAAAATATTAAGAAGAACTGAATCAAGAAATATCATAAGAATGGATTTTATAATAAATTAATGATTTGCAAGATTAATAGGTGTAATTGAGTAAAAAGATACCCACTTTTAAAGAAATAGGTGGCTTGAAAGAATAAAAGTAAATAATATTGGATCTATTTGAATTGCCTATGAAATATGAGCATTTGTTTGCTAAATCCAAAATTAAGCTACCAAAGAGTGTTTTAATTTATGGAATGCCAGGTTGTGGCAAGACCTATTTTAGTTTGAGTATCTGTAATGAATTAAAGATTAATGTGATTACAGTAAAGGGACCTGAATTACTAGATAAATATATAGGTATATTAAGCATTAATAAGTTTAGGATCTTCTGAATAGAATGTTAGAGATCTATTCTAAAAGGCATAATCATAGTCTCCTTGCATTATATTTTTGGATGAAATTGATTCCGTAGTGCCAGTGAGAACATCTTCACATTCGGGAGTGACAGATAGGGTTGTGAATCAATTTTTATGCTATTTGGATGGAGTGGAGGAAGGAATGAAGGGAGTATACATAGTAGCTGCTTCTAGTAGACCTGATTTAATCGACCCAGCTATTTTAAGACCAGGAAGAATAGATAAGCATGTTAGAATAGATCTACCTAATAAGGAGGAGATTCTTTAAATTTTGGATATTTACAAAGGACCATTAGAGTTTGATGGAATTTCAGAATAAGAAATAGCAGATTAATTGTTTGGGTTATCATAGGCAGATGTTGTGTCCTTTTTCAAAGAAGCCAGAATATATTTAACTGATAGGATAGTTTAATTAGAAGACTTTAGTCTTAAAAGAAAGGTGCAAAAGATTGAAGATTTTAAATTAACAAAGGATTTGTTTTAGGATATTATGAAGAGTATGAAACCAAGTTTAAGTTAAAAATAAATACTCTTTTATAAAGATGTTTATAACAGATTCGAGAAGGGAGGCTTAAAAGATATGAGTAATCAAAAATAAGCCTTGTAGTGATTATATGTTATATTGTTAAATTAGATTTATAATTCTTTTAAAGTCTTAAAATATATCAATTTTATTTGATTTCATTCAATCAACAGAAATAGAATTCAAATTCTCTGTATAGAATTCTTAAGTAAACTTGCGAGCCATAGTATATGATATGAATTATTATGAATATAATTCTAAAATTTAAATTTGTTTACATATATGATCTTCTTGACTTAAGAGGTAGAACGAAAGTACTAACAACAAATTAATCTTGAAAGATTTATTTAATAGTATTTATTAATAATAATTTAAAATTTATATGGGATCAAATCTTCTTGGGGGTTGTGAAATTATATTTCTTAAAGATCACAACGGAGTCTTTCCAATAATTACAAAATTAATATATATTTTAGTTTAATAAATAAATAATAGTTCTAATTATGGGCTGTTGTTAGGGACATTTAAATGGTTAGATAATATAATATTTTAGATATGTATCAACTAACAGAATTAGGGAAAGAGTTGACTGAATATCAGTAGCCTGAATATTTGGCAGATATTTTAGATTTGCAAACAAAAATAAAATTAAAGGAACAATTAGATGAATAAGAAAAAGAGCAAGAATTGAGTCAAAAAAAGGAGACCAACTACTCTCAAGACATGAAAAGCGGAAAAAAAGAAAATAAATAAGATTCTAAATAACAAAGTAACTCATAAGGATAAGAGAAATAGTGGACCATTAAATAGTCTATGTTTGTTAGAATTAATTCAAAAAAGAATGTGAGTGAATTCTACAATGTGAAAGAAATGATAGGACAAGGGGGATTTGGAAAAGTATACAAAGTAGTTCATAGACAAACTGGTATTGTTAACTTGTAATTTTAAGGCATGGTCAGGGCTATGAAGTTGATCCTTAAATCGAAATTGAAGAAGGAGGATTAGGAGAAACTATTAGAGGAAACCAAAATATTAATGGATATTGATCATCCAAACATTGTCAAATTGTATGAAATGTATTAAGATGATAATTCATATTATTTAATCAGTGAATATTGTGATGGTAAAACTATTAAAAATCATCTATGAAGGTGGCGAATTATTTGAAAAAATCAAATTCGTTCAAATCTTAACTGAACAAGAAATAGCAAACTATATGAAATAAATCCTGACAGCTGTTGCTTATTGTCATTCAAAAGGTATTGTACACAGGGATTTGAAACCTGAGAATATTTTATTTGATTCTAAAAATCAAGGGGCCACATTAAAAATCATAGACTTTGGAGCGAGTGCTAAGTTGGTCAATGATGAAAAACTTAATAAAAGGATTGGAACTGTATAATATATATAGATTATGTTAGCCATTTTATGTAGCTCCCGAAGTGTTGAATGGCAGTTACGATGAAAAATGTGATATCTGGTCATTAGGAGTCATATTGTATGTTTTACTTTGTGGATATCCTCCCTTCTTTGGTCATAGTGAAGGAGAGGTTTTAGCCAAAGTCAGAAAAGGAGTATATTAATTTAATAGTAATGATTGGTCAAGAGTATCCATGCAGGCAAAAGACTTGATCAGGAGAATGTTGTTTTATGATCCCTCTTCTCGTATTAGTGCATCAGAAGCACAGCAACATAGTTGGATAGCCAGCAATAGAGCTAAAGGAGTAGTCAACAATATCAGTTTGAGAAGACTATAAGATTTTGACTCCAAAAATAAACTAAAATATGCGATTTTATAATTCATAACAGTTTAAGTGGTTTAAAGTTAAGAGAAGGATGAATTATTAAAGACTTTCTAAGACATAGATAAAAATGGGGATGGAACTGTTAGCAAAGAAGAATTGTTAGCTGGTAATAAAATCATATAATTTTAGCCTATATGAAAATATACAAAGGTGATTCTATAGCAGCTAAATAAGTTGTGGATGAATTGTTTCCATAACTTGATGCTAATAAGTCTGGTAAAGTAGATTTTAGTGAATTTGTCACTGCCTCTATTAATAGAGATAAATCATTAAGCAAGAAAAAAATAGAATAGTCTTTTAAATTGTTTGATTTGGATGGCAATGGTTTTATCACTAAATAAGAAATTAATGAATTATTTGGGAATGAAATCGATGAAAATATGTGGCAAGACATCTTGAAAGATTGTGACATAAACAAAGACGGAATGGTATTACTCTTTATATATTAATTAGATATCCATGAATGAATTTGTTAATCTTTTGGAAACCAAAATTAACCGAAACTCATAATTGTAATGAATTACTATTTTTGTTAACTATGCGAATATATATTGCATGGCTAATCAATTTTTTATACTTATATTAAATATATATATATATAATTTATATTATAGTTATTTCAAAAAATACAGTTATTTTTAAATATAAAAAAAGTTGCGTCTATCGGGACTCGAACCCGACCTAAATGCTTGGAAGGCATTCGTACGAACCTCTATACTATAGACGCTGACTGAGAATTCAAAGGTTTTATTGTATATCAACATCTCTAATTAAAATTCGAATTGTGCTTTATGCAGAATTATGATATCATTTTCTTTAAGATATGATTAATAAAAAGTAAAATATGTTTATACGAATATATTAATTTACTCATTTTATTAATGTAATACTAATCGGCAGTTTTTAAGGTAAAAGATTTCCTCTCTTGTTGATCTTCATCTAAAAATTATTATTTTTGAAGCTTTGTTTGCAAAATGAAATAGAAAATAACCAACTCATTTATATTTTTGATTTCTTTTGTTTGCTGAATCAAACAATCAAAATTAATGAAATGAAGTAGAATTTTATGAATCTATTTGGATATTATCTTATTTCTCTTTCATTTTTTGTTCTAAAAATAATAAAAGTAACTTTTAATGTGATTTGATAAAATTGAATATTTTACGTATAATATTCTATCTAATAAATGTGTTATGTAGATTTAAATATTTGCTAGTCATAATAATAATAAACAATAAACAATTAATGCATTAATAAACACTTAGATCTACAAAATCTTAATAATACGATACGAAAATGGCTTGAATATAAAAAAGATAATTAACTTCAGAAATCAGGATATCTAATACTATTCTTTGTGACTAATATAGATGAAATTACTTTGATTAGAAAGCTATTTTATTATTGTAGTAATGATTTTTTTATTAATATTAAAAAAATAATTTATATAAATGAGTTTAGAAGTTAAGAATGCACATAGATAAGCATTTAAAGAAATCTTTTCGATGAAGGCAGTTGAAGGAAAACTAGACAAAAAGGGGTTGGCTGATCTTTTTATTATGATTGATTACAAGGTAATATGATTGATTGTAATGATTGTTAGATTCCATAAGAATAATTTGATGAGATGGTTTAGAGAATATTCGGGAAGAAAGAATAGATTGGATTTGAAGAGTTTTTAAAAATATTTAATTTAAAACTGACAGATTACACTTTTAATGATGTGAGAAATGCCTTCAAATTATTAGCAAAGGATGATGATAGGCATAATTATACATTAATCAATATTTAGGTACATTCCCTTAGAGAAGATTAAGAAGGTGTTACTAAAGAATAATGTACCTGCTGAAGAAGTTGAATTTTTATGTCATCAATTGGATCCCTTCACTGATACGATGAAGAGGGTGAATTATGCTGAGTTCCTGAAGAGCTTGAGCAATGTTTGATGTATGTGGATTAAAAGTATTACTTAATATTAAATTATTTAAATAAATTTTAATAATGAACTTTTCCCCACAATTAGGATTTCTAGCTCAAAAGTTTTAAGAGAAATAATAGAACAATAGGATCACAAAGAGTGATTTAGAACAAATACTAGAAAATGCTAATTATAGTTAATCTGATATTTAATCTTTAATCTAATAAATCAATGAGGATGAAATAAGTAAAAGTAATTTGTTATATAGCCTATAATTAGTTTTTGTCGATTGTGGGAGTTTCTGATAATAGTCAAAATGTATAAACTTATTAATAAAATAATGGGTATGAGATAGTATCTGAATAATAATAAAAGTTGACATCGGAATAGCTTCAAAGCATTTATGATGATTACAAAATTGCATTAAAAAATTAGGATTTCGAAAAGACCAAGTCAATTCTAAGTATTTGATTAAATTAAAATCCCAAGATTAGTATAGAGATATTGATTTAGTTAATAAAATAGATCCATCCTAAAGATAAATCTCAACATACATAGCTGTTTAGGGTCCAGATGATAATGTAGCATTGCAAACATTGGAATTGTTGTTTGATTTTGGCGCCAACTTAAATTACAAGGATTAATTAGGACAATCGATTTTGTTTTATATATGCAGGGACGGAAGACTAAAACTACTTGATTTTGTATTGTCAACCAACACTGTGAATGTCAATGACTAAGATCGATATGGATAAACGCCTTTGTTCTATGCTGCAAGAGATAATAGATATGATATCGTCATTAGGTATCATAATAATTGTCTATAGTTTAGATTGATATAGTACGGAATCGATATTAATATTGTCGATAAACTTTCAAGTTAAACAGCCTTATTCTATGCAGCCAATGGAGGACATGTTGATATATGTAAAGTGTTGATCGAAGTATGACTATCGGAATTATTGTAGAATGGAAGTAATCCGGGACATGTTGATTCATCCAAAAAAAATGCTCTATTTTTTGCTAGGAAATACAATAGAAAGGAAGTGATCGATCTATTTAATAACTACTTCAACAAAAATAAGGATGATATGTCTAAAAACAGTGGAGGAAATGACAATAGCAAAGGAGAAGCACCAAGATCCTAACAATAGAAGAAGAAATTTAATAACCTTCCCAAATAGTCATACAAATTGATATTTACAGATAACCAAGGGAATTAGAGAGAGTTGAATTCTGTTGAGTTTATAAAGTTTCAATAGGAATACCCAGAGGTTGCTAATTTAATTGTAAATGCCGATGAATTGATTGATGATACCATTATCAATTAGATTAAGGATGATGATACATGGGAGAAGATTGCTAAGAAGGTTTTAGGTATTTATGAAGCGTGTAACTCCCTATTTAGGCATTATTTGGAAGGCGAAAGGAGCTCATTTGTTTCATCAACCGGTTGACCAGAAAAAGTATGGAATCAGTGATTACTATGAGATAGTTACAAAACCAATGGATTTTGGAACCATTAAAGTATTGAGGTGTTATTACGATTTAGAACAAATTAAATTCAAATGTGTATACTTCTTGCCAAGAATTCTATGATGATGTGATGCAGGTCTTTGAAAATTGTATTTTGTACAATGGGGAAACGAGTGAGGTGGGATAGATCGGATTAAATATCAGATAGGAGTTTCAAAGCCAATTAGAATTGACATTATTAAAAAAATATTTATGATAATTATAACATCAAATTAATTCTTTTATGAATTTTAAGAAAAGTACTCCTTATGCGATTATGGCATTGGCAGGTGTCCTTGGGATAGGATATTTAATATATGATTATCAAAAAGCCCAGAAGGAGATAATTTAGTTTGAGGCTGATTTGAAAGAATTCCAAGAGGTTAAGGCTCTGAAAAAGGAAAAACAAACCATCTTCCTTGATTCAAAGGACAGTTCATTTAATAAAAAGTTAAACATCAGCTTTACAGGCACAAGATAAATATATTGCATTTGCATAACTGGAGGGCCAGGATGTGGAAAAACAAGTGTAGTCACATTCTTATAAGAAAGACTCAAAGACTTTTAATACAATGTTATAGTAGTTCCACTTTTGGATGATTTCATATTGGGTCAAGATTAAGAAATTATGTAGGAATTGGATAATTTGGAGAGAAACTAAATGATAATTAAGAAGATGATGTTGATGCAAAATCTGCTCGATTATTCTAAGGACTTGGCCTAATAAGTAAAAGACAAGGATTCTATCATTCTCTGTTAAGGTGGGATTTTAGATTTGTTGTCTGGTTTGGATGAAAAGGAGAAGGCCCAAATGTTCGAAGATCTTGAAGAGCAATTCAAGCCTTTGGCAACTTTGAGAGATAAAAATTATGATGCAGTCATACATTTAGTTACAAATGCTGAAGGACTCCAATAAAACTTCTATTTTGGCAATTCCTTCATCAACAGAGATTAAGAAATAAACAAGGCTATTGAGGCTGATAGAAGGATATAAACACTTTGGATGGGGCATCAAAATCATTTCTTGATTGACAATCGTGGACTTACATTCGATAAAAAGATTTAGAGGGCTTACAAGACTGTTCAGAAAATACTAGGGATGGAACAAACAAATATCAGATGGACTAAAATTGGATTAAAACAAAGTACAACTAATTGATATATACATTAGTCACTTTTCCAAAAGATCTCCATCGTACTCTAATAAAAATTACAGACATTTTCCTTTTAGACGAAAAGAGTTAGGCTCAAAAAGAATTAAACAGAGTCAGAATGAGATAAGTCGAAGGGGGCATTAAACAATATTATATGATTTCAACCAAAAAATCAGAGAAAAAAGATGATATTTAGTTTTTAAGGAGAATGATTTCCTTTTCGTAATTTCATCATATAGTGAATTAGAATTAGAACAAAATTAAGATCTTGGAACGACTAAGATATTGTTTTACATTTCAAAACTAGTAATTATAATTAATTAATTGTCAAGAATGATGTAAGTGGATGTTATCGTTTCCAAACAACTGGGTATTTTAAGACTAGCCCAAAGTGAGGGAATCGAAACATATAATATTCCTAAATGGATAGTAATTGATGATAGAGTAGACAGTATTAATATTTATTAAATTAGACAATCCTAAATATGATTCATTTAATTTGGCTCAAAGGAAAAAGATTTGAATATATCTTGAATTATTAAACAAATTTAAAGTTAATACCCAATAGCTAATTTTAGAATAATTATATATATCAAGAATTTTCTTCTGTTTCTTATTCTATTTCATAATCAGGAGGTAAAATAATTCTAACTAAATCCTCCATATCGAGTTTACCATCTCGATCAATATCATACTATTAAAACAGATTTTCAACTTCCCTCTCTGTAAATCCATAAGTGAAGGTCTTCTTCATATCCTCAATAGATATATCTAATAGATTAAATAGATATAGTTACATCCTTTTCCATCCTAATCAATTAAATTAAATAATTATCTAACTCTAATCATACTTTGTTTTGGAAGAATCCTTTTCCTTTTATTTGGCTGTTTCTCTACTCTCAGAAACTCCATTTCCAAACTCTCTTTTGAACTTTTAGCAAAAACTTCGTTGTATTATTGGATCCATTAATTCATGATTTTTAATTACTCCTACGTGAGTGAAGGATACAATTTCAACATTAGTTAATCAAAAGTAACAAACCCTCTTTATTTTGAATCTAAATAATTATATAAACTTGCAGTGACTCTTTTCATATGCGGTTTGTTCTGAAAAGACTTAGTGAATTCTTTCACTTATATAACCTAATTTTTATCTGAAAGACTATCAAAGTAACTCTTCAATTTAAAGATCTCATTTCTAGTAAGAGTACACCCTTTAGTAATTATGATATTCTTCATAATCTTAGTAGGCACAATTACCCTTCTGGAAGTGCCATCTCGCTAAGTGACAAATCTAATGGTCGGAGAATCATATCTTTATATCTTCCTAGAATGATCTCCTATTGCCTTTTCTAAGAGCTACAACTCATCAACATCATCATCCAACATTGAAGGTTTCATTTATGAAATCTTCGGCAAGGAACTATTAGAACCGAACTATTTTGATCTGATTTAGAGTTGACGCACACTTTTTGTTGTGGCCTTATAACTTTCCTATTATCTTTAAGTTAATTTATCATTTAGACTTTTCATAAAGTACTCGTTCTTATTTGCTTTCGTTATCATTTCTAGCATATCCGCAGCTTCTTGCTCACTGTAAGGCTTAAATGATTTAAACACCTCAAAAGGCTCTTGTACTTTCTATTTCGGCTCGTACTATGTAAATAAATCTTTGCCTATATCATTCTCTTTCTCCAACCATTCAATAATTCTAAATTTAAATCTAAATTTACTCGCTTAATTCCAATTAATTATCAACTTGAATGTCACTTTTCAAAAACATCAGTTTTGCAAACTTCTCTAATTGAACATAAGGAGGTAATTCAGCATTTGTTAATTTACAATATCCTATTATTATCGATTTAATAATTATCAGGAGTTCATTTAAACTTATGTTCCCATTACAATCTAAATCGAAAACAATATATAAAACTAATATAGCATTGCTTTTTACAATGAATTTTATGAATATGTTAAGTATATGAACAAATTGTTAAAACGCAAATGAGCTCATAAATTGATAAGAGTTTCGATTTCCTGCAAAAATTATCAAATATATATCCTGCATTGGGACGAGAAAATGGAACTATTTTACAGAATAAACTCTTATCAATAAAAGGAAGTGAAGTTCTACGTTAAAACTATTCATATACTGCTCGAATTTCAGATAATGACCCTGCATGTATAAAATTAAATACAATAAAGCAACTATTTCAATGCTGGATCCACCTCTCTTGAGATGTCAAATTTTAGTTCCATTTTTCTCATATGCATAGGGAGACTACTCAAATTGCCATTCTCATCCTATGTTGTTTGCGAAGAAACACTGCCCATAAATCAATTTATTATTAACAAAAATACATAATATGATTATAAAAACAACTTGTTAATTTCTAATTTTTTATAAATAATATAAAGTAATCTATTATTGATTGTATCCAATGCTAAATTATTATAGTCAATTTATTATTTACATATATAAATTTAAAGATAATTTATTAGATCAGAAATTAAACAAATTTACTTTTCATTTGATATTTCCTCTTTATTATATATATATCCATCTAAAATTGGTTGGAATTAGTTTATATATAAATTTATATTTATAATAAACTATTGTATTTCATAAAGGATTGGGAATTACTCAAATTCAATTGAGTCGCAAAAAAAATACTAAAAGTTGTAACTCATTATAATATTATTATTATTCCAATTTTCATACACTATTTATATCTGTTATAACATCAAAATAGAGATATCTAATTTTATTTACTAAATTTTAATTTATGCATCTAATAACTTTTATTAATAATAAACAGATAAATAATAAATCAACTTCCGAATAATTTATCTAGAATTGCTCCCGATTTAAGTTAATTAGATATATACCATAACACTTTGGAAAATAAATGATTTCTACTAAATAGAATTCAAGAAACAAAATTATATCAATAAATGAAAAATAATAATAAGAACAAAATAAAAGCAAATTAAGAATAATTATTAGATCACATAAATATCATATCTATATCAAATTTACTGGAATTATATAAAACCAAAAGATAAGAAGTTATATCTGATGCTTTTGATTATTTAATACAAAGTTGCATGACTTTGTATTAATTAATTTTTATTAATTTCAGTAAAATAAAAAGAAAGTAGTATTATATTCTTACTCATTTTAATCTTAAATGATTTATAGAATAGTAAAAGCAATCTAAACGAGTAGAACAATTCTTATTTTGAGATATCATAACTTTAGCAATTAATCAGAGATGATTAAATGTAATTTTAGGATATTAAATTTTAGTATATCTGAAATATGATATTTCCTTTAAAAAAAATATTATTATTGAAGCATCTATACTTAAGTAGCAATTTTTGATTATTAATAAATTAGTGTTTGCTTAGGAAATTCTACAGAATTATAAACATGCATTCTAGGTTATGAAATAATAATGAATTTTTTGGGAAATTTTGTTTGCTTTGTATAATGTCGAATTTATAAAGAGGATATAAAATCAAAATATTGAACACCATTCAAACTTTAATAATACTAAGAAGACCTTCTTAAGTTGCTATGAGATATAATAACAAATCAAAAAGTAATTAAAAGATATACTCAGAATAAAGTTTATCTTTGTAAGTTAAATTTGATGAGAGACTAAAATAGAAGTAAATTTATAAAAACCAAGAAATATAAATGATTAGAAATAGACTAGAAGGAATTCTAAAGGTTTATAGAATAGAAAATTAATCTCAAGCAATTCAATGTATTTTGGAATAATAAAGTTTGAATTAAAGTAAAAAACAAAACTAAAATTTTACATTCAACATAATTAGATATATTTTAAATAGTCTTATCTTAACCTACAATAAAACTCTAAAGCAAAGCGCATATCATAAGCTAAACATATAAAAGTTACTTTACTAAACTTCCTTTTTAAATAACTTAAACATAACCATTAGCAACTAAATAATATATTCAAAAATAATGGATTAACTGGACTTAGCAAGAATGAAATTCATTAAATGTATTCAGTATATAAGTCTTGAATGCACCTAAATACTAGGAATGACTAAAGTAAATATAATTAATATAATAATGGAATAATGGAATAAATCAAGTGCTAAAGACTTATCCATAGCTCCTAAAGGAACAATAAATTAATTATTTAATCTGTGTGGCTTGGAAACCAGCTGGGATTTGAAGGATTGCTTTTAAATAAAAAATTTAATAACAACTAAAAAAAATCAATTGAATTAATTTAAAAGTAAATATCGATAAAAATGGTGAATTGATGAAAATTAGAATAGAATACTTCTTTTGAAGAGATCTGCTAAAACTGTAATATGATAATGGAATAGATAATGAAAATACAAAATAGAGTTCCTTGCACTTAGAATTTGTTTGATATAATAACTAAAAAATCTTCAATTTATAAGTAGGGTTATATCTAAGTTATAGAATTCGATTCTGATGAAGAAATATCAACAGGAAAACTGAGATTGCTCATTGGGAGTTAAAGGCTAAGGCTTTGAATGCCTTATAAATGATAGTTTGGGTGATATCATCTTCGTGGATTAAATAACCTAAAATATCATTAAAGTAATATATATGACAGATTAGCATATGTAATTAATTTTCTTTTCTGTTTTATATCTCGAATTACATTTATTAAGTTGATTTATTATTTTTATTATAAAATGGTGTTTATTTTAACGCTAGAACAAGCCTAAATCTCAATTAAGACTGATAAACCTATGTATTATCCTGGAGAGATCATCAGAGGAGTCATTTATATCAAGGTAAAAACTAAAGATATAAATGCTGGTACATTGTACCTGAAGGTAAAAATTGGGTGTAATTTATATAAGCTTAGTGGATAAGAGAAAGTCAACTAATTGGATAAACACAACCAATTTTTCAGTTTTAAATAGTTTATTTTTTAAAAATAAAAGAAAATAACAGATTTTGGAAAGTATGGTAAATTTAAATAAATAGGAAAATGCCACTTGTTGCTTGTAGGAAGTATTTTGAAATGGAGGTTCCAAATTTATCACCTAGTTTTACAATAAACTATTATAAGATGGTACAATGCAGAATCTTATATTTTCTCTCAGTTACTATTTAAAGTGAGGATGAGAAATATTTATATAAACCTCCAAAGAAGCACAGAGTAGTGATCCATATTCTTTAAAAGCCCCAGATAAATGCAAATTTATCATTGGAACATTCTGGGGAATCAAAAGTATTAAACAGATGCTGTTTTTCTACTGGAGTATAATATTGATTATTAGCGTAGAGTACAAAAGTTAAGGTTCAGCTAGACAAACCTTACTACACTTTTGGAGAAAACATTGACATAATTCTACAAGTTGACAATCGTTAATCAAGTTCCGCTATTCATAAATTCAAATTCTAAATCACATCGCAGTTAGTCATTTTATATCAATAGTAAAAACGTAAATTATCAAATTATTTTGATTTATTTGATTAAGAATTAATTGGTAAAATTATCAGCTATTTTAGAATAAGTTGCAGCTGGTGAGTAAAAAGAAGTAAAAACGATTTTGAGTCTACCAAATGGAAAGCCTACTATAGCTTCAGCGATTTTTCCTTAAAGTTCTTTAAAGACTAAGAGAATTATATTTTAATATATCCTTACTCTCAAAGTGATTTTTGCGAAAAGGTTATTAGTAAGTTAGTAAGATTTAACCGTTCCTGTTCCATTAATTTTAATATAGAACTAAAAAAGAGAAAAAGACAATGTATTTTAATCAATGGATAACATTAGCATTGCTGGATCTATATTTGACACAAATTAAAAAATAAATGCAAGTATAATAAAAAAGTTTATCTATGGTGATCATAATTTTGGAGGTTATGGTGAATAAGATGGATACTTAGGACCTTAGAGAAAATATAATCCTGTTGAGAGTTTAGATGAGAATGCTTTAAAAGATATGAAAGGAGCATTAGAATAATTGATGTTTTAAAAATAATATGAAAATGATTATAGTGATGATGATGAGAAATTAATTGAAGAAATTGATGGAGTGAATGTGAATAATGTTAGCATAAATATTGAATAATCTGAGAAATAAGAAAAACCAAAAACTATTTTTTAATTAGGCAAAAAAAATGATATTTCATTACCAAATCACAATATAGAAGAAGCCAAATTAGATAATGGCATATAGGACTAATTATAAACTATTAAAGAAGAAGTAGATAGTAAAGGAACTTAATATAATCTAAATAATGCTTTGTCTTCATCATGTGTTAGAAAATATCATCAAGAAGAAGAGAATGATGATTTATAAAATAAGCAATTTTAATAGTAATCATATCCAATCGAAACTTTTGGTTCATTTTAAAAAGTAGTTGTAAGCAAGGAAGAATGTGATCAAATATAAATGGGTCCTGAAGAGTAGGAACACTAAATTAAGCCTACTAGCTTAAAAAAAAATAGGTCATTATCCAATTCGATTGATTAAACTGATTAAATTGAATAAAAGCAATTTAAAGTGTAATTTAATGATGCTACATCTGTTGATACTTTGGATGGTAAAAATGTTGAAAGATAAAGCACTTAATGTAGAAAAAATGAAAACCAAACCAAATAATTTTGAGTTATATTATATATTCAATAATTTAAAAATGTTTATGTTGAAATTGTGAAGTTATAAATTTTATCTTTAAATGTTAAATCATTTAAAATGCCATAAATCATCCTGATCATTAAAACGATATGTCCATGTACTTTATATCATCCTATTCCTCAATTTTGTAGCTATGACACTAAAAAGACAAAGAATTCCTTGAGCAAGTATCCTCTAAAAGGTTATCCACTATATCCAATATCGATTAGTCTATGTTTTCCTAATTTTATTCACTTAGTATGTATATCTAAGATAATTGCCTGTCTTTTGATGTAACTATTTAATTTCTTAAGGACTTAATTATATTTATCCATTCATCTAATTTTAATGTTTATAGCTATCTCTATAAGTCATATGTGGTTTCAATACAATCATCTATCAAGTCAAATTAGGCTTTATGATGGCCGAAATAGACAATACCAAATCTTTATTAGTGTCTTTCCTTTTCCGATAATAATTCTTTAAGTAATCGTAATCTTTTCTTATTTACTTTCACAGTCAAATCGATAATAAAGGCTATGTCACATTCTAATTTCCATTCTAAAAGTTGTTGTTGTTTTTCAAATAACGATGAAATCGAAGAGTTTTTTTTATTTTTGCTTGGAGACTAATGTAGCTAGTCCAATCTTCTTAATTTTACACATAAATCATCTGCTATAAATAAGTCTTTTTATTTAGACCCTTTTACTTTTTGAACACATTTACCTTTGTTAGTAATTTAAACTTATTAGTTTTATTTAGATTTTTAGTATTTAGCAGATTTCTAAGATGAGCAAGAAATACCCATTAAAGTAAGTTTTTATTAATTATATAAATTTTCCTGAAACTTCTTGATATATTGTTAAAGTGAAATATCATCTATTAAATCAAAATTCAAGCAAAACATTCTCCCCTTTATATTCTTTGATTTATATTCATGTATAACTGAAAAAGGATTTAGATTATTAGAGTTAGTAGCAATTAATTTAGTAAAATTAGGAACAGATGAAGAAGAATAAAAACACTCTTATAAGTAGATTAAAAGCAATAAAATATATTTCTGAGGAGGATAACAACTCTATGAAACATATCTGAATTTATTCATATCCAACCAGTATTAAATGTGCAGAAATAATTAATACTGGAGATATAATTTTTGGATTGATGCATACCAAAAGAACCTTAATGTTATAACTCTAGATCTAGTGTTGCTATTTAAAACAACATTATAAAAATAATAAGGGAGATGCAAGTGCTAAACTCTTAATATTAAATTATCAATTGAAAATGATGATATTCTTTTGAATACTGCCCTACTTTTATTGAAAATAGATTTAAATTTTATTTTACTAAACTACAATTAAGCAGAGACAAATTGTAATAAGTAGATATAAAGCATTAAATTGAATAACAATGATAGACTTAAAATAAGATAATTTTTTTAATATAATTTATATAATTCATATTTATAAAAATATAAGGATTGATTAAATTCTTATTCAAGATTCTATTTAATACCAAAAATTGATGGCAGAATGCTAAATGTATATATAAATTTCTAGATTTGATAAGATATTTATAATTATTTTAAAAATAAGCTCTTAAAATTGAAAATTCATGCATCAATAGGTTCGCTTTCATCTTAAATTTAAGTTTCATCGTTCACTTCATTACAAATTAACAGTTTCTCTTATTCTTCATCTTCCTTTTCCAAAATGTGACTCAAATCGGCTAAACTTGCATCATTTTATATTTCTGTATAGATTGAATTAGTCAATCTAATGAAATAATAGATTATCAAAGTAACTATGATAAACAGTAAGCCCTTCAACCAAATAGGCACATAATTACTGGTGTCTCCTGATTATAATACATCAGCAAGTGAATCTAAATTTGATCCCATATAAACCCAGAATCCAGCCCAAATGACTGTTCCAAAAAATGTTGGGTGAATGAACTCCCAATGAGTGATTCGAAATAACCCGCAAGCATAAGTCTTGAAGATTGTAGGAATTGCCAAAAATTACAGAAGATACATAACTTTCGTAGGTTTACGTTCTGTTGCTAGATAACAAGTGATGAAGTATATGTTTTCATTCATTGCTGTATAAATAAAACCTCTTATGCCATATCTTCCAATCAGGAAACCAATATATCTATCATAATTACTGATTTATTATATACTTTGCCAAGAATTTTGCTAAGGAAACTGTGAACAAAGCAAACCAAAAAGGGTGAATTAAAAATCCTGCTAAAATATCATAGAGAACAACATTAAAGCCAGTCAAAACAAACCATAAACCTATTGCTCCAATATAAAAAGCTCCTATATAATGTCCTATCTATATTTTTATAATAACTTTACCCTAGTCATTAAAATCATTGAGAACATTAAAACAAAAATATCGAAAGTCCCTTACCCAATATAAAAGTAAGACAAAGGTTACCAGTATTATGGAGTACAATACCATAATAAGCATTAGTACTTTTTATGCCTTATCTCTTTTAGGGTTATGCTCAGATGTGGCTAAGTTCATTTAAATTCACTATTACATGATCCCTCCTTTGCTTTTTAATACTTTTCCCTTAACTCTTTACTTTGATTTTCATAAAACAACTGATCCCTAGTTTGATCACTCATTCGTTTTTAATATTTATGAAATATTGGAAATTATAAAATTTATACTAATTTTAAAAACATATATTTTTATTTGTAATCTCAATTCATTTGATGGAGCAATTTCACAAACTTAGTTCATAATAGTTCCAAGAGAACTAAAATTATTGAAAATATTATCGAAAAATTTAGAAATTATGTTTAAAGATTTATATTAAATTTTACACTTGACTTCAATTTCAATTACTTTATGTTGAGCTGATTATTTATAAAATTTATTAGTCCTATTTGTATTATTATATAGTCTTTAATTGAAAAACAGTTAGTTATAAGATATGATACTTTTATAAATGCTTCTATTCTATTTTATTATAAAATGATTCATTATTGCTGTTGGACTCAATTATGATTGATATGAACTGATCTTTAGATTAATTATTTCATTGAAAATAATTTATTATAATGATCTACATCTTACTAACCAATAAGATTTAGAATCAAGATTGAGGTACTTCTTATTAATTTCATTTTTTAATATTTAAGTGTCCAATATGAAGGTAATTAAAAAGTCATTCTAAACAACTGGTCGAATAATAATCAAATTATATGATCCTTTTAAGTTTATTTATACAATAATATTATTCTTATTTAGATTTTAATTAAATTGATTCAATAACTAATATTAATCATAAAGATATATTATGCTCTATATTATGAAATAGAAATTTTGTTATTATTTAAATAGTGAAAATTTGATAATAAATTAGTTTTTGTCAAAATTCAAAAGGATATCTTTTCCTTTCCTTAATTACAAAATAGCTATATTTCAACTTTGAATTGAAAACTTAGGCATATAATTTTACAGCTCAATCATGTATTAGTATATAATTGTGCTTGATAATTTATTGGTTTTGAGTATATGATATCATTTCTTGAACTATAATTAGGTATTTTTTAATCAAGATTCTCATTATTTAATATATATTCTAATATCAATATGTCAATTGAAGTAGCAAAAGCTATTGGATTTGAAACAGAGGAAGTCAAGGCTTTATGTACAGATAGAGATGCAATTTTATATTCTCTTGGTATTGGATATAGCTCTGATCCAATGAATGCAGAGGAGCTTACATATTCATATGAATTGCATGAAGATTTCAAAGTGTTCCCAACCTACACTACATGCCTTCACAGAACTGACATTTTTAAGGTAGATTGACCTAAAATAAGTAGGCTTTAACGTCATGTCCAGGTATTCCAAACTTTAATCCAATGATGCTATTACACGGAGAATAGAGAATTTAAGTCTTGAGACCATTGAAAACAGGAGTGGAATATGTAACTAAAGGAAAAATAGCCAATGTTTCTGATAAGGGAAAGGGAGCTTTGATTCAATTCGATTTATTAAGTTCTGAAATAGACGCTCAAGGCAAGAAAACATTAGCTTTTGTCAATACATTATCTCTATTTATTAGAGGATTGGGAGGCTTTGGACATAAAGGAAATCCAGTTGAAAACATCCCTGCTATTCCTAAAAGGCCACCATGCAAAGAAGTGAAATAGGTCACAACACCAAATCAAGCTATAATATATAGACTGTCTGGTGATATTAACCCATTGCATATTGATCCTGTAATAGTCATTTAAATTGAATTTAGAATATGGCAGCTTTAGGAGGATTTGATAAACCAATCTTACATGGATTGTGCACTTATGGTATTTGTGCCAAGGCTGCAATTCAGACATTCACTTAGGTACATTTGTTAATATTCTAAATTAGGGAAATGGTGATGCTCTTAAAAATATGGCAGCCAGATTTACTTCTCACGTCTTTCCAGGAGAAACCTTATTGATTTCATTATGGAAGGAAGGAACCAGAGTTCAATTTTCAGCTAGGACTTAAGAAAGAGGATTAGAAGTAATTGTGGGTATATTAGAGTTTAATGAGAAAGCTAAATTATGAAAATAATTATAAAAATAAATAAATTAGTGGATTGTCATTTAATTTTAATAAAATAATATTTTCTAGCTTAGGTTTAAATAGGTTTAATATAGATTGATAGAAGGAAACTTAGGATTTGGATGTGTTATATTGATTTTTTTATGTTTTAATTCTCATTAATAATAATATGCTGAATCAGAAGGAAAGGCATTCTAAAGTAGAAGAAGATGATTTTACTCTTAATACTTCAAGTGCTGAACCATTAGAATTGGATGATCATTATACAAAATAAAAATCGATTGCTTGGGGGAGGTGTCATCCGATGATGTTTAGGAAGGGGAGTCCGACTGTTGTTATTGGACCACATTGTAATTTAAGATTTGATTTAAGGGCCGTTATTTATTTGTGCTTTTCTTTCATTCTTTATAATGGGAGTACTCTTTATTTTCCTTAGGATTAATGAGGATCCATTTATATTTTATACTACTCTTATTATTAGTATTAATCAATGTATCAGTTACCTTATTGTTGCACTGATCAACCCTGGGATTGCTAATATAGAGAGAGTCGACATTGAAAAGAATCAGGAAACTAGTCAAAAAACATGGTAAACTATTTTGTTATGGAAAGGTATTGCAAGGTGTGTAAGTTGATTCAAAGCAAGGAAACTTAGCATTGCTAAGATTGTGATATTTGTATTTAAGAATTTGATCATCATTGTCCTTGGACTGGGAAATGCATTGGTAAGGGGAACATCAAATAGTTTTATTATTTTATCATAAGTTCGATAGTGTTTATGATTTTTAACCTTGTGTTAATTTTACTAAAAATTAAAGAATAGGATTCTAGAGCACATTAATAACAATGATTAGTTTTATTAATATTATCAACAACTAAAAATATCTTTTTTGATGAATTCCTTCATCTTGCTTTAGTTTTCGTAATTTTCAGCTATTTATTGTAGTAGAGGATGTCTCATAGGATGCAGCATACAAAAATGAAGAGCATACTAATTGATCTTATTCTTCTTTTATTTAAATTAATTGCAATTCTTGATAAGTTTATCTATTTAGGGTTTGTCTAATTCCTTCTTCTGAAAAGAGTCAAACCACTCGATAAACTAATGCAAATCTTCCATGCTTAGTATTAAATTTCTGTTGAGATCAATCAAAGAACAAATGATATCCGAAATATCAAAAATGCTTGTGGCCAACAAATAGTCCCAAAATCTACATACATTATTAATATGAAAATTATATAGAAAGAGTGTCATTATTAATTTCGTAATCCAGATTGCATTCTAGACCTCCAAATTATGATAGATATGGTTGAATAAATCAGGAACTTTGAATTTTATTTCGTTTATGCAGATAAATTCCAATAGTTTCACTAAAGGCATTTCATCTTAATAGATGTAATAGAGCATAAATTTTGGATTTACCATCATCTATGCCAAAAATTGTAAGCTTTGATCGATCTATTTGTTGTTTATGATTAAGGTGAATCCCACCAAGAAGTTCATCCCTTAACAATAACCAAGCTTTGGAAATAACTTTGATAATTTTAACAAAACCCTTTCTAAATCTTTTTAACCATCTCCAGTTTCAAAGTATTTAATGTCACTTGATGTTACTGTTCTGTGAATGTCCTTCCGAATTGCTTTAGCATATTTCTAATCTTCTTCTACAAAAGATAGTCCATCTGAACTTATTTGGAATTTGGGAGTGTAAGCCATCAATTACCAACAGGACCATCTAATACGTTATTTGGGAGGCCCCATAATTAATTTAATTCTTGATTAAGAGTTATTTTTACTTGAATTCATTTTTTTTTAAGATATAGAAATTTATGATTACCATGTCCAAATTTGAATTACAATAATCGTAGCTCTTCCTATATTCGAATATTTCTTATGATTCAATTAGTGATTACTTGTTTTAATCTTGCTCCTCCTCTTCATCGATTTCAGACAAGAATTTTGTGGAAGCATCACAATTTAAATTTATTTGAGATATCAACACAGATTCATGGAGACTCTCTAACCAATTAAGAAGACATGACGTCTTCTATTGTTCATTCTGATATTGAGTAGGTATTAATGATTCTTTATGATCTTATTCTAAGTCTAGCTTAACTGCCTCATTCACTTAAGTAACTTTTCTTTGTCGAATCTGGAACTCAGCCCTCAACGTTGATTCAGTTCTATCGCTTTAACATAAAACCTAATTCCCCATTATGTTATAATAAAATTTATTCCATTTGCTTTAGTTTTTATTTTTTTGAATTCCAAACCAATAAGAAATCTTAATTAATAATATCATATCATAAAATTAAATGAGTCGGAAATTCACATGGCAAGAAGTTGGAGACAATGCCAAAAATGGATGGATTGTCATTGGCGATTCAGTCTATGGACCATAAGGATTTTTAGATTCTCATCCAGGAGGCCCAGCAGTCATCAGAAATAAAGCAGGCAAAGATGTCACTAGATTCTTTAATGAAATGGGTACTAAACAATATATGAAACAAGGTCATTCCTAGAAAGCTCATGACATTTTGAAATCCTTGAAAATTGGAGAGATCGATAAAAATTCATAACCCGCCAAATGGTAAGCCGATTCAGATCAAAGACTTGTAGCAATTACTTCTGTAATGCTATTATTAGCATTTGCCTTTGTTTATTTTTATGTTCTGAGAAAATGAAATTTGTACATTATATGATATAAATCTAATTATTTACTNTAGTTTCACTAAAGGCATTTCATCTTAATAGATGTAATAGAGCATAAATTTTGGATTTACCATCATCTATGCCAAAAATTGTAAGCTTTGATCGATCTATTTGTTGTTTATGATTAAGGTGAATCCCACCAAGAAGTTCATCCCTTAACAATAACCAAGCTTTGGAAATAACTTTGATAATTTTAACAAAACCCTTTCTAAATCTTTTTAACCATCTCCAGTTTCAAAGTATTTAATGTCACTTGATGTTACTGTTCTGTGAATGTCCTTCCGAATTGCTTTAGCATATTTCTAATCTTCTTCTACAAAAGATAGTCCATCTGAACTTATTTGGAATTTGGGAGTGTAAGCCATCAATTACCAACAGGACCATCTAATACGTTATTTGGGAGGCCCCATAATTAATTTAATTCTTGATTAAGAGTTATTTTTACTTGAATTCATTTTTTTTTAAGATATAGAAATTTATGATTACCATGTCCAAATTTGAATTACAATAATCGTAGCTCTTCCTATATTCGAATATTTCTTATGATTCAATTAGTGATTACTTGTTTTAATCTTGCTCCTCCTCTTCATCGATTTCAGACAAGAATTTTGTGGAAGCATCACAATTTAAATTTATTTGAGATATCAACACAGATTCATGGAGACTCTCTAACCAATTAAGAAGACATGACGTCTTCTATTGTTCATTCTGATATTGAGTAGGTATTAATGATTCTTTATGATCTTATTCTAAGTCTAGCTTAACTGCCTCATTCACTTAAGTAACTTTTCTTTGTCGAATCTGGAACTCAGCCCTCAACGTTGATTCAGTTCTATCGCTTTAACATAAAACCTAATTCCCCATTATGTTATAATAAAATTTATTCCATTTGCTTTAGTTTTTATTTTTTTGAATTCCAAACCAATAAGAAATCTTAATTAATAATATCATATCATAAAATTAAATGAGTCGGAAATTCACATGGCAAGAAGTTGGAGACAATGCCAAAAATGGATGGATTGTCATTGGCGATTCAGTCTATGGACCATAAGGATTTTTAGATTCTCATCCAGGAGGCCCAGCAGTCATCAGAAATAAAGCAGGCAAAGATGTCACTAGATTCTTTAATGAAATGGGTACTAAACAATATATGAAACAAGGTCATTCCTAGAAAGCTCATGACATTTTGAAATCCTTGAAAATTGGAGAGATCGATAAAAATTCATAACCCGCCAAATGGTAAGCCGATTCAGATCAAAGACTTGTAGCAATTACTTCTGTAATGCTATTATTAGCATTTGCCTTTGTTTATTTTTATGTTCTGAGAAAATGAAATTTGTACATTATATGATATAAATCTAATTATTTACTAATCATAATGCTGGACTATTGAATAAATCTAAAACTGGCAATCTGATCTCATTAACGACTTAATCTATATTCATTCTTGGCAGCATCAATTACCTAAGATGCATTTGATCTCTCATTAAATTTCAATAATACTTATCCTAATCTCTTTGGTCTAATAAGATTCTGTCATTTAAAACCCATAAGAATCAAAACATACCTAAGACTGCCAACAATTTTTATAATTTTATGTTATTTGCTATTATTTTAATTGATATTGTTTTAATTGGTTTCCATTAAATTTAATGATCTCAAATTCTAATTTAATATTAACCTATCTACAAAAAATATAGAAGCTAATAGTATGTAAATAATTCAAAAGTAAATAATTCAAAATGATATTTATATAATCAGTTTATTTTTATATTTAGTTGTTCTGGTAAAAGAAGATGATCAAATAGGTTTTTCTTAAATTTGAGTAAATCCAGAAGATAAAAACCCTCTAAATGCATCAATTTGGTTTGTGCAACTTTCCCTCACTCTAAACATTTCACTACTCTTGAACCTTTAAATTTTATAGCTTAATTTCATCACTTCATCATCTTAATTATATCATCTTCAAGTAAACTTTCTAATAATTTTTACAAGTTATTAAACAATGAGTTCTAAATTTGCCTTAATTTTTATTGTCAATTTAATATCTCTATGTAACGTTGTTTAATTATTCTAAAATTTTATTGTTGTATTTATTTCTGCCATTTACTATGATTCTGTGAATTCTTATTAATTTCGATAACAATAAAAGTGGGGCTTTTAAATTATTAACTTAAGCAAACAATTCTGCAATTTCTTATTGGAGAGATTATTTTAAAATTTTGAGATTCAACAATTGAATTAAAATAAGATTGAGACCTTATGAAAAACAAAATCACCAAAGTATTAAGCATATATTCTGCTAATATAAACCAGCTATGATTTATTTAATCTATGATTTATTTAATCTATCAACTAGAGCAGATCTAAATTATATTATTCATTTGAATTTTGAGAACTATGGACAACTTGAGTCTATTTCTCCAGGGTATCTAGATCAGCTACTTTAATTCCTAAACAACTTAAATTGTGGTTATTCTCTGTAGATAAGATAAGTCTATGATTATTTTCTTAGTTTAAAATCTTCACTATTCATTATTAAATATATATTTTTAGTTTAAGCAATACATAACCTATATACAACTTAGCTCATTTTATTTATTCTAAAATGCTAACAATAAAATTCTCTAACGATTTATTTAATTTTTATTGTTTCTTCTTTCCTAACACTACATAGTTACAATAAAAATCTTCTTTTGCATCTAATTCCTTCAAAATTACTTTAAAGAAATCAAATATCTTGTTAATTTGGACACATGAATGAGTAAGTAATTTTCTATTGTATGGATTAAAGATCGTAATCGGCAAAGCAGGCAAGCAATAGTCTTATAAATTAAAAAAATAACTAAATAGTAATAATCACATACCTAGAATTGGGATCATTAATATATGCCAAAAGACCTATTCCAGTAGAAGAGGGATCGAAGCAATTAATGTAAAAATTAAGCAAGTCAATAAATTGTTCACTGATTAAATTAGAAGTGATTCTTTATTCTCTCATGTAAGAGTAAACCATGATTATTAATGAGTAGGAGGATAGCCCCCCTAATAAATAATAAAATGAGATTATTACCTGTATATGATTCTGAGAGCTTAAGTTTTTTAACCATAGATTTTAAAATGAGTACAATCTATTATAAAGATGGATATTCTTCCATCCATTTTTTAACTAAATCTGTAGTTATTGAACCAATATGAGTAGAGTAAATGCCGTTCCCATTAAAATTAAAAGAAATGTCGACCTTTATCCCACTCTTTAATTTCTATTTAAGCTTTTTCCACAATTGAATTTGTTACTCATCTAAGTTCCTTCCTTCATATTCAAATATGTTAATTTATGGATCTATTTCTAATTTAATTATTGGAACAGCTGAATTAAATATTGGACTAAATTCAATTGAATATATATATACTTTGCTTTGACCACCCACTTTTTTCTGGTAAACTCAAAAAATAGGTTATCAAAATGACTTTTTAACATATTCCTATTATAGACTTCTAATCCATTGATCCCAATATCGATATCCGAATCTATTAAAGCTAATCCTGTAGCACAAGAGCCGAAGAGCCTAATGTTAAGAACTATATATACATAATCATTCCATCAGGAATACCTAAGAAAACTTTCTAAATTACTGATTTAACTCTGTCAAAAGCCAAAAATCTAAATGGGAGCATGTCCTCGTATTCACTCATAATATTATCTGTGAAATCAAGAATGTCTAAATTGATTTATTCAATCAATTTTTATTTTCCCTTTTATTAAACATTTTCTAATTACTCTTTCAAGCTTTTTTCTGAACTTTATGGCTATATGCTTAGATTCTTTTTTTTGTCGAATTGCTAATTTTTCTTCTAAATTGTAGGAGTGATTTCATCCTCTAAAGTGTTTTGAGATATCTATTCGCTTCCATTAGAAATTGAATTGATATCCTATTGACATTATTAGTCCTCAAATTTATTCCTTTTGAATGAATTTATCAATTTAGTAAATTTTTGTTATTTTTCATTATTATTTTTCTTAATTTTAATTGAATTTTTCATTTAATTTTATTTCTATTTGATTTCTTCTTCCTCTGATGTAGAAGAAGTTCTGTTAGAACAATGACTTTTAATTGTTTATGCTTGGGTTTCAATTGAAAATCTGGTGATTTCGGATTAAGGCGATTATAATTATAATTGTTCATCTCTGCTTTCTGGTATTGATTTTTAAAATCCCTTCTACTTTTTTTTCATTCTTTTTTACTCTTTCATAAACTATTCCTTAAATGAATTTTCATCATTTAGGGATATATTTGCAATTTCTAGAATATTTATTGTAATTGTTTGACCAACATCAACATAGTCATCATGTACTGGAATATCGGAATCTGTGATAAATTATTAAGAGATGGATTATTATTCAGTTTATATTAGATTAGACTTTAAATTGTTGACACATTAAACTTTATAGGATTATTACTATGAGTTTGAAGACTTGTTGGATTCACTAAAATAAGGATAATGAGTACTTTAAATCATCGCTAATTTCCTAAGCTGATGGAGTGTTTGGAGGTGTAACATAGGTATAAGTTAGGTTGCTTTGTGAATAGGATCTTTAAAACCTTAATATATTAGAATCTTAAAGATTTTTGCTTGACAATCTTTTATCTAATTCAATTGGATCTAGTCCTTTGAATGTTTACATTTTTTAGTATTTCTTTTTCTTCTTTTTTTTATCTTTTTTTTGTTTTTTATCTAAATTTTCAGTTTTAAATAGTTCTTATTCTAAATGTTCTTAAAATAATTGTTAGACTATTTTGTAAAACTTCTTTAAAATGTAGGTTTTCTAATCGACTAATTCATTCATAGATGTAATCAGCATTGCATTGATGATATTTGTATCTGTATGACATTTTAGTTAAAAATTCAACAGTAATTCAACTTACGATTTCAATAATTTGATTGCTGTGCCTGAGAATATGTTTTCGTAAAATCTATTTTCCAAACGATCAGGTTGCTATTTGATTTCTGAATATATTTCCTAGAAATAGAAGGTTAACTAAAAGTAATTAATTTTATATTACTCTTTCCTTATTGTTGGCTAGATTTTATAAAAAGAATTCCTTTAGTTCGCTTTAGGTACTTTTATAGATAGGTTGTCTAAAGAGTCTCTGCTTTTTCTTTTTCTCTCTGTGAACATTGTAATGGAAGGAAATATTTTTTTCAAATTCTTTGATGATCCAGACTGCGCAGCTATGAAAACTGTTCTGATGAAACCAAATGGGGTCTTCTGCTTTTTCTAATGAGGTTTTTGGGGGGGTGGATAGAAAATATTTATCAGAAAGGTCCTGCAATAAATCTAAAAATGAGTTTAAATTTTCCAAATGTGGTTCAGCAACGAAAATAGTATCCATAAAATTTTCATCGTCAACGATATTCAATTTCGAATACAATTCCTTTATTAATTATGCTTATTAAGTACTTCTGCTCTTGGATGGAGTGCTTTAAACTTCATCATGAACTAATCATCAATTTTAGACTCCAAATTAATTGTTGCTCTAATTATAGTTTTAATATTAACTGTTGAAGTAATGCATAATTTGAAGGGTTATTTAGTTTGTCATAGATGTACATTTTCATTATTGGAAAGGTTTTTATTTATCCTTTGATCTGAAATAGCTTATACAATTCAGATTATTCCAGTGTAGAGAGCCTGTAAAAATTAATCAACAAAATAGATACCATGATATCACTTCTGACTTGTATGTTGCAGTCGATGAATTCTATTCATGAATGTTATCCGCATACAAATTATAATAATAAGGGGGCCTATATGGATACATGCAATAATTGAAAGGCTGGAGAAAATTCATTTAATTTATCTGATTCATCTATCTACATTACGATTATGATTACATGTTGTGAGATGAGTTTGTTCTGATAAATTTAGTTTATTTATTTTTATATAATAATCTGAGAATCTTCAAAATTAGACCACATTAATATAATAAAAAGATATAAGGTACATAATTCTGTACCAGTCTAGAATTCACCTTGTTATCAAGTCAAAAATTGATCTACATTTCAAGATATGAGTTTAATTGAATCAATTAGAAATTATTTTTGTTCTCAAGAAATATCATTTTAAATTATTATTTTATATAGTACGCATCTTCAAAAGCAATTAATAATTAAGTATTATATTATAATTTTTTAATTATTGTTTACATAAACACACAAAATCTCTATCTATATTGAATTCAATTAATAGTATAGAATTCAATCCTCTTATTTTCATGGGCACTGTATAAATGTTTTCCATCTGAAAGAACTTTATTACATCCATAAGGATTCATAGTAATTTCCTAAACTTTCTAAGGCTACGTGTCTAATTTCCAAACTGTAATCTTCCCCTCTTACTCAAAGCCCATCAGCCCAGCAAAAAGGTACTACGATTCAGTATCAAAACTTATAGAATGAACAGGATAATCTTCTTCAAGATTTCTTAGTTCCTATAATTTTGGATATTGCCATATTTTTATATGGTTATCCTTTGAACCGCTTATCAAAATTCCACTGTTTTAAGAATTAGATAATGCAAGACACAATATTAAATTGCTATGCCCACTAACATCTAATATCTTACTATTTTTTTATGTATCATATAAAATAATATTTTTTCCACTTGCTATAACTAGGTTATGCCTTTCAGCAGCCAAGGCACTGACTCTGGCATTTGTTTTAAATGAATTTTATAATTTTCCTTCAAAATCCCAAAATTTAACAAATGTGTCATCCGATCCTGATGCTATGTAGTTTCCAACGAATTCGAGACATCTAATTCTATCTGCATGTCCTTCACATATATGGACTTATTTCCAAAGTGGACATGGTTTCCATATACGAACCGTTTTATCAACAGATCCACTTACAATAATTCTTTTTTTAGAAAATGCAATACATAATACTTGATCCTTATGTTCCTTAAGAGTAATTTTTAATTTTCTTGACTGTCTATGATGTAAAATTATATCTTACTTGTCCCATATTTTAATCGAATTATCTTTGGAACATGAGATAATTTTATCAGTATCCATTAATGCAAGATATTTCACGCTTTTATCATGGCCTTTTAATGTTTATTCATATTCTATTGATAAAGGATTCAACAAATTTGGAGTAAGTTTTACCGAAGGTGGACCAATAGACCTAATATTTTAATTGTATATACTATACTTTGAACTAATGTAAGATAAATCTAATTATGATTTGTTATCAATATTTTATTATCCTTAAAAATTGGACAATGACTAGGTAGACTATTTAATGTTGTTTTATTATTGATGAATGTTTTATTCTTTAGGTTCAAATAGAAGTTGATTTGAGATAGAATAAGGTTGTTATTTGTTATCTTAAAATATAGTATATTGATAAGAATTATTCTCATTTGTTTAATTTTCTTATTATTAATTAAGTATCTCACTTGTAGCAGGAATGAAATCAATATTCTGCTACTTCTCATCCTTTTATGTAGCATATGAAGGATAAGAATTGTTATCTTTTAAGAAACCTTTATTTTCATTTCTTGTTTAGGACTTCTGACTAGCAAAATAGCCTGTTTAATGAGTTTATTCTTATTAAATATACTTGAACACGCTTTGTTATTGCGGAGACTTTAGAGTTTTCGGAGACTTATCGAATATTTTAGATTCTGGAGACTTGGGTAATATATCTATGGACTGAGTTTGCATATTATTCACTTTGAAAGGTTCAACTGGCCTTTGTATTTCAAAAGATGAATTGTATGCATTTTATTTAGACCGATTGCTTTCTTAATTTTAGGCTCTATCAGATGATTTGTCCAGGTCAAATGGTTTAGTAATTTTGAATGAGTTTTATGTGTCTTATCTGCTTCTGCCCGATTATTGAGAATCTTATTCTGTGAAATAATTCTTTAGTTTTGAGTTATTAAATGATCCAACTGGCATTAAATCCCTTTATAGTAACTACTTTCTTATGGGTGAGATGCTGGCTTATTTTTATTAGAAAATCGGTTCTTTTGATCGATTTGATCTATTACTTAATTCTGCGGAAATGTTTTTGGCTTCAGATAAATTGGATGTCTAATTGAGAATACTCTAAGACTGTGATGGTTGCTAACTGGTTTATGCAGTCTAAGCTTGTTTTATAGGTAATTGTGAAAATGTCTATTTCACCTATTTTTCGATATCGACGATCTGATCATAAAATGATTCTAAATATTCTTTATCCCTTAATTGATCTCTTTGAATTAATTCAATCAACTTTGATTGGAATTGTTAAATATTCATCTTCTCTTATTTTAATTATATCACTAATTCTTTTTTTCTTTTCTCATCTATTGAACTCACATCTATTAATAATTAAGATATTTTGCTATGAAAGAATGCCTTTAACTATTCAAGTTTCTACAATATGTTAGTTTAATATTCAGCATTTAAGTATTTGAATTATTCATTAATGTAAGCATCCAAATTTTTAATCATGTGTGTATCATGAGTATCAATACACATATCACAAAGTGGTCCTTTCCTTGTACAATCATGTTACAAACATACTTATGTATATGGTAATGAATGCAGTTAGCAATAATATTACATAATATAAATTATTATTGTTAGATTACTCAGAAAATCAATTGAAATTATTACTCAAAATATTTAATTCATGAATAAATCATCAATTTTATTATCAGATTCTTATTTTTCTTAGAAATATAATATTGAATCAAAAATAATGTCAATATTTAATTTCAATATTATTTAAGATTTGAATAACATCAATACTTCATCAATCTAATTCTGAAGATTAAATACATAAATTATTTATACATAATTAAATTAATGTTTTCAGAAAGATTAGTCAGAGTTACTTTGACTCTACCAAAATTTGAAGGCAATCCAAAATTTGAATTAGAAGCTCAAACTACTACTTCAAGTTCAAGTATCGCTCTTCATTATATTTAGGGATCATTTCAATCCCCTCTAGACCCTAACCACTTAGAAATCGATGTCATAAACATGCTATGACTTCTATTTCCAATCCAAAGCATCCCCAACTCTATACTCCCATGCAAGAAAGCAAAAGAGCTAAGAGATTAAAGAATATTCCTTATGAACTCTAATGTTTCACTCCACAACTTCCAAATAAAAATTTTACCTCTAGTCACTTGATGTGTAATGAATTACTCAAACCTTAATCTAATAGTATTCAAAATAAGGATAAATGGCAGATCAAATCTTATATTCCTAAAACAAATAATGTGTTCAGTTTATATAAATTAAAAAAAATTGATTAAGAAGAGAAGAGAAAAGAAAAATATTAAGATTTGTCATAATTTAGAAATCTGAATAGGAAGAATATTGAAATCGAAAAAATTAAAGTAATAATTACTAATAATAGTTAGAGATATACTAAATAAAGGTTAGTCACTGAGAATTTGATAAGTGAATTTATTCGATAATTCAAGTCTCGTGCTAAAATTGAGAATTTCAGTTTCAATCTATGAAGATGAATTGAAATTGTTGATAGACTGTCTCAATATATAACTATCATATAAATGTTGTTCATCATTAAAAACATTTTATATTAAAACAATAATAATTTTAATAAAAAGAATGCTTCAAAATTTTATTCAGTTTCAATCATCTATAGGTAAAGCTTATTGGTAATAAACAAGAAAACCGGGATAAACTACTTAAATTCTTATAAAATTGGCAATTATTACAAAGTTATAGACTCATAGGGTTCAATAATGAAGAATCAGAAATAAAATTCTCTATCTATTGTACTTTATATGTTTAACTCTTTATAGAACAAATATACATTTGCAGAAGATTATTCCGATTAGGAAAGAGCCTTTAAACTATACTAAACATTTTTGAAAAAAAATACTTATAAAGTCCAAAAAAAGCATATAATTAAATTCCTCATGCTGTCAATGAAATGACTACTTATTCAGTGTATATATTCTATTTCTTTTTTCATTTGATTGAAAATATCATGGTCATTCATTAAATGGGATTTTTTGAGAAGAAATTTAATCATAAATTGCTAAAAATAACATCACACACATTCTGGACCTTAGGCTTACTAACTTAGCTTGTCTATTACTTGAATAGACTCAGATCAGCATTTCGAAGGTATATTTATCTTTATAGAGAGAGAGTTAGAATTGAAATCTTAAATCTAAAATGGAATGACCAATGGAGATTTTCTTGAGTAATTGAAGTTCCTTTCAAAAGAAAGATATTAATATGGATTGTTAATTTTAAGAATCATTGGTGATCTAGCTTGCGCTATGTAGAAAGCATAAATTCCTGAAAAAATTGTAACTAATTGCTAATATACAAGCTACATACAAGATTTAATAGAGGACTAGTTGCATGTGGAGGGATGTTAAGCTCAATAATCTAGATTTATTTATAAGCATCTAAAATCAATAAAAAATAGAATTTCATTGAAGTATGAGTATTGAAATAGTTGAGATATTTAATATTGATACCTCAAATTTATTTAATCATAATAAACATAATTGATTTTAATTATGTTTAAGATAACTTTATATTTTATGAATTATAATTTAAAGTGTGTTATGTTCTTTAATCCTCTAAAGGTTTTAATTATATAGTTAATAAACATTGAAAAAAGCTTAATTAATGATCAAGAAAGAGAAATAATACAAGTGCTAATGTTAAATAATAGTTATAATTAGAACTATACACATTCAATATCAATTCAACTTTGCCATACCAAACTTATGTTAAATCTTGAATACAAAATTTCTGGAAACTTTTTATATAAATTTAAAAGAGTATTATAATAAAATAACAAAAGTATTATCCAAAATACATCGCTAAAGTAAAAGCTCGTAATTTAGATCCTTTAAAAATAGCAATTTCCCCATAATTAATCTACCAGAGATTTAGTCATAATAAATGCAATGAATTTAAAAACGATGCTTAATATCGTAGCAATCAGAAGGTATGATTTAAACATTCTAAAAATCGAAAATATAAATAGTAAAAGTGTTATAAAAACTAAATAACAAGAGATTGTTTGAATAATTGTTGCTGGTACTACCTCACATTCATTACCTTAATTATGTATTTATAATACTTATTTCAGAAGTGAGGTTAGTTTATGTTATCCCTTCCAATAAACAAACAACTACAGACAATCCTAATGTTAAAATTAACATTTGCAAAGTTTTCTTTAATGTTGGTGGAAGGTATTTATTAAACAAGGATTATTCCATTCTATAACTTGATTAAATAATAATGCAAGTTATATAATAAATTACATATATATACAATGAATTCTAATATTCCTGCCAATTTCTAAAGTTTACCTAACCCTTTTAAAAATGAAGAATCAGTATATTAATTAAATATAACATCAAATTATTCCTATATCTATTTGAATACAAAAATTAATTTTAGAATTTTATTTATAATCCATATATATAATCATATAATTTATTATACAAAAAGTCAATCAAAATTAGTTTTTTTTTCTTTGGTTTCATTTCGAAAACAGATTTCAAAGCATATGACCCTGGACCAGGTGATTCGTTCTTCAGTCCAGGTAATGGCCTATCTCCAAACCCGAATGTGATTTACTTAAATCTATTATTCTAAATGATGTTATCAGTAGGAAGATAAATAGTAGGGGAGGCTGTTTTAGGTAATTTGATATCAGAGCTAATAAATAAATTTTAAGTTCATACTTAATTTTGCTATAGATACTAAAGGCCTTAGTTTTATTCAGCAATTTTAGATCATATGATCCAGGACCTGGGACATCAAAAGTTCTTGTCGATTATAACTTCATTCCAAAGCTGCAAGATCTACAAGATGCCTATTTTAAATCATATGTTCCAGGAGCTGGATTTAATTGATCTCTTTTCTCAAGATCTAATGGTCTAAGCTATTTGTTCCCGAAGCCAAAAGATGTAGCTCTTTTAGTTTTAGTGTCAGTTAAACAAAGATATTTTGGAGAAGGAAGTTAAGGAGCATGATGAGATTAGAACCGTTCTGCTCTAGGAAATGATAATTAAGGATTGGTTTATTATAAAATGCTTGAGCTAAGTTGATTTGGTTCACTAAATTATCCACGGAAAGTGTTGTTATTAATCAGTTTCATGACTGAAAAAAGTGGTTTGCTTTTAAGGTGTTATGAGTTATTCTCATTATTTATCATAATAAAATAAAATAAAATCTATTCACATTATATTATAAATGGGTCTCATAAAAATACTTGTGAATTTTCATGAAATTTGTAATTAAATAATAATATTATAGATTCTTTAAATTAACTTTACAGGTTCAATTCAATCTGAGTTTGTTTTAAATACTAACAACTTCCTACATTTATTGATGAAATCACTATCATTTATTTATTGCATAATTACAAGTAAATTAGAGGGATTGTAATTAAATATAGTTATATTGAATTGTAAACCAAACATTATGTCTTATTTGAAAAAATTTGGTAATTTTTCATTTGTGTTATTAAAGTTTTTGAGTAAAATTAAAAATATAATATAAATATGATGGAGAGATCAAGAAGGCATCCAGATCTTGATAATATGCCTGAGTTTTTATTCGAAAGTAATATAGTATAATAATCTCAAGATAGTCTGATATTATCGGATCCGAGGGAGGAAAATTGTTATTCAACAATAAAAGATTATTGTTGTCCGAATTTCACGTTGATGTCTTTTACTGCCATCGTTTCATTGATTCAATTGTCTTTGTTTATTGTTATGTGTTTCTTTGGGGATTTTAATCTTCAGAATACAATTTTGTGTATAGTATTTAAACATTATTTACTAAAGAATTCTCAGACGAAACTCTTGATAGTTTTGGAAGGTGCTCTGCATATAATGTGAAATACCAATTAGAGTTCTATAGACTAGTAACTTGTCTATTCATATTTAACAATGTCAAAGATTTGTGTGGAGAATTATTGTTGTAAGTGATTGTTGTTTCAATGGCTGAGAAGTTTATTGATAAGAAAACCACTTTGGTCCTTTATTTGTTGACTGGAGTGGCTGGATCCATAACATTCATAGTGTTTTATGATCAAAGTATACAAGGGAATTCATTTTGTGTTTTTGGAATGGTTGGCTTAATGGTTGGGTTTATAATTTAGAATGCACAATAAGTAAATTAAAATACAATATCAAAGGAAGAGGCAAGACAAGTAATCATGCAAGTAACAATTTTTATATTCATTATTGGACTAATTGGGATTTTTTATAGAAACTCAGTAATTTTTGGAATTTACGGAAGTTTCTTAATTGGAATTATAATTGGATTGATTTAACCAACATAAAACAGAATCTTTTAAAGAACCAAATTGAAATTCGTTGGATTAGGTGTTATTTTCATGTACTTTACTGGATTTATTTATATTTTTTTTTCTTTTAGAATACCATCACGTCCTATTCAATAACAATGAGTTTTAATTATTTTGATTAATTAATTTATTTGAATAACAAAATCACTCTATTTAATTATATTAAAATTAAAAACGAAGATAAATGGACAAAAAAGGCAACTTTGAAAAGTTAAGGTAGAAGTTGTAAAGTGATTTATTCAAAAACGAGAATCACTAAAAATAGTAAACCGACGAAATCATAAACTAATGTCCTTAGATTTTAGACTATGTTCATTGCTCAAGTTAGAGTGAATTTAAAGAAGTGCCAACTAAATTGATAGATGTTCTCTCAAATCAGAAACAATTAGAATAAATGAAGCAGTCCTTTCAAAATCAATATTAAGTAGGTAAGACATTAGGAGAAGGTGCTCATGCAGTAGTTCGACAATGTTGGTAAATTACAAATCCCGATGAAACCTATGCTGTCAAAATTACCAGGAATCCAGACCCTGAAATCACAGAAATAATGAAACAAACATTCCTAAATACAGTCTCCTTGAATCATCCATACATATGCTAAACCAATATGCTTTACATAGATCCTAATATGGAGTGCTCATATCTAGTCATGGAATATTTGCCATATCCAAGTCTATAGTAAATCCTCAAAGAAAGATAGAAACTGCAATTTGAGGAAGTCCGCTTAATTGCCAGACAGCTATTTGAAGCAGTATCTTATCTCCATTAAGTTGGATTATGCCATAGAGATATTAAACCAGATAATATAGTATTTGATAGTGATTCGAATTCAATTAAATTGATTGATTTTGGTGTTTCAAAAAGATTTCTTGTTACTGAAAAAGGTTGTAAAGATATTAAAAATAACCTTATGTGGACTGTTACTGGAACCATGCCATATCAAGCACCTGAATTATGGACAGGAACTGGATATTCCAATAAAATTGATATATGGGCTATTGGAGTAGTTTGCTATTAAATGTTATGTGCAAGACTGCCTTTGGATTAAACAAGCCAAATGGAAAGTTTTTCTACTTAAACAGAGTATACTGGCCACTTTCAAGACGAATAGTTTGCTAATCTTCCTCCATTAATTATTGACTTTGTTAAAAGAATCCTAAGTTGGGATCCAGAAAAACGAATTACATCCTAAGGTATTATCTATTTATAATTTAAAAGAGGCCCTTCTTCATCCTTGGCTTTATTAACCAAAGTTAATACCAATACATTTTAAAGGAAATTCCAAAGATGATAATTTCTCTACTTCAAATGATAAACCTCTATTGGCCCTTTTGAGATCTATGTAAGCTAATGCTAAGATATTTTCATAATCTGTTTCGAATGCCAATGAGAATTGTATTGATAAAGCCGACTTCAATAAAAAACATGGTTAAATCATAATCGGTTTAAAAGAAACAAGTTAATAAATAAGAGATAAATCCATTCATTTTTAATAATCAATTCATTCTGTGAATCTCAATAAATGCTTTTCTAAAACTAATACAGAGGATGTTAAAGATCTGTTTGATGTCATTAGTTATTGTGATAGCAATTCTTCCTTTGAGGAGGCTTTAGAAGAAAGTCCATACATACAAACTCAAAATTAAAATAAGCACTATAACTACAACAATAAAAAATTGCATTTTCCAAAATAACAAGCATTATTAAAGAAAACCATGGATAGCTTTGAGTGATCTATTTGATTTCAAATATTATAATAGTTGAAAATTGATCGAAAATTTAGATTGATATTTCTTCTAATTTAAAAGATTTTATTAATTTCATTAATATTTTAGTAGTAATATACTATATTAAGACGTAAATTCATGCTCATTTGATCCTCTTCAATTAATATGGCTTAGATATGATCTTATTTTGAAATTATGAAATTGTTAAATAATAATATTAATAATATTCTGCTATGAAATTTATCATTTCATTGAAAATAGAGATAAATCAACTTATAAAGTATTTTGAGTATTTTTTTAATTAAGAATGCTGTGAATAGAGCAAAATCCAATATTATTGGAGAATTATAACATAAGGAGAGTCATAAAATGCTAGAATAAGATTGTATAATCTCTTAAATGCGGTATATTTAGGTTAATGTTATTGTCTCATATTAGTTTAGATATATTTATATTCTAAGAATAATCACTCAATTTTTTAATAAAAAATGAATGAATTCTATTTTTTGTCTTAATTATTAATGCAAGTTTGAGTGAATTCTTATTAATTATCACATCCTATCATTGAAATTAAAGGAAAAATCTAAATTTATATTCATTAGAAATAACTGATATTGAAAATATCAGTTATTTCTAATGAATAAAAACTATGAAGAGGGCCATCGAATTGAGTGTTAAGAGAGTGTACATGTTTAAATGTTTTAAATCTTCAATGTATATTATGATATTTAATACATTAATTAGATTGGAATAAAGTGTCAAAGGATTATAGCATAATTTAAAAATAATTTTTTAAATAAATACAATGTAATTCGTCGCTGCTTATGCTTTGTTAGTTTTGGGAGGAAAGGCTCAACCAAGTAATTCATATCACAATGAATATCGTAGCTGAGGCAGATATTAAGGGATTATTGGCTGAAGTAGGTGCTCAAGGAGCTGATGATTAAGTCAAGGCAATTGTAGATGCATTGAAAGGAAAGAATCTTGCTGATGTTATCAGTGAAGGATTGAAAAAAGTAGGCACTCTCTAATTGGGAGGAGGAGGTATATATCCGAATCACTATCTGAAGCTGCATCAAATGCTCCAGCCAAAGCCTAAGCTCCAGCTGCCGCCAAATAAGAGGCACCCAAGCCAGTTGAAAAGGCCCCAGAACCTGAAGAAGACGTTGACATGGGTGGTTTGTTTGACTGATTATACATTTTAGTACATTCATATACATATATTAAATATTTTATCATAAATCAATTAGCCTTTGTTGACAATATTGCTGGGACACTAACATTAGTGGATTGAGGCTTAGCATTATTATTATTATTGTTGCTTCCATTGAAACTATACCCACCGAATTAAGCTTAAAATCCATAAGTATGAATACCTTAGACTGAGTTTCTCCTTAAACTTAATATACTTTCAGAATCGATTTCGTGAGCAGAATCCCTACGATTTTCGTTGGCTATTTAAATCATTTCATCTTCTCTGGGAATGTATGGAGCTGTTATTTATTTGTCTAACAATTTATCCCAACAATAATCTTTAAACCATTAATGGGTCTTAACTTCTTCAGGACCATTCACTCCTAACCTATTGGCAGGCTTCCTTTAGATGAGCTTAATCTTAATCAGAATTTCTACTTTATTAGCAAAATCAACTGCCTCTAATGACCATCCAGCTGGAATGTCAGAATTTTTTATTTAGACTTGTTTAGCAATTACTTGATCTCTAATTTCTTATCTGCTTTTCCCAACATATGGTCGCTTACCCATTATACATTCATATACAATAACTCCCAGTGCATAATAATCAACACCCACTCCATGATTTTGTCCTATTTAATTAGATTTAAAAATTGAAATTCTTACTGCACATTACTTCTGGAGCCATGTATCCAGGTGTGCCACTAGTGTCTTATGCGTTTTCTGGTTTCCATTAACGGGCAATTCCCATATCTGTCAATTTTAAGTATCCTTTATCATCAAAGACTAGATTTTCTGGTTTCACATCTCGATGGAGAATGCCATTTACATGTAAATATTCCAAAGAGACTATTATACAAACCACAAAGAATTCTATTTTGTTTATTTTTGAGTACTAGTTTGTTCTTCAGTAAATTTCCTTTATTTACATAGATGGTATCTCAGATCTCCACCTGTTAATAAATCCATGACCAAGTAGAGATTGTCTCTATCCTAGAATGCTGCTTACATATTAATAATGAAACTAAGTTAATCGGTTACTTTTACTTATGTTTCAATTAACTAAGTAGTTATAATTCATTCATTACTGATTACACACTTTTCTTGGCGATGATCCTATTTCAAATATTTACATTATTAACTTAGCTTTTGACATTATTTTCATAGCATACAAACTTTTCGACTTTTTGTTCTCTACCATCCAGACCTAATTTCCTTTATTATTTGGTATAATCTTACCTTTCCAAAGCCTCCCTTGCCTATAACACTCTTCTGTGTGAAATTAGAAATCGAAATTACTAAACTTAACTCATAGTATTACCTGTTTAATCTTCTGACTCTGTTGACTTTAGTGTGCAATTTCCCATTTTATTAATTAATGATTACAACAGCAAATTAACTAATTAACTATAAGAATATCATGTATACATTTATTAAAATTTTGTTCGTCAACTTATAAAGTAAGCTAGAAAGGCTATTATTTACCATCATGGATTTCACCTATTAACTTTGGATCAAATATAGAATAAATAAAATAATACTACTAAAGATATTCAGTTTATCATCCATATCCTCATCATCTTTGTAACTATAAAATGATACTATTAATCTGGAAGAACTACTTTCAGTTGTAGTCAAGAAGTCTCAATAATGAATGATCAATGTCAAAATTTAACTAATATAATACCAGATTGCAATAGTTATTACTTTCTTAACCCGTTTAAAATAACTGAAATAACATATGGAAATCAAAAAAAATCCAAATAAATAGTTTAGTTCTTATGGAGAACTAAGTTATTTAACAATAGATGATGCATATATATTATCTTAATCCATTATAAGAAATAGACAAAGATACTTTTATGGAATCTATAGTTTTAAATTATAACATTTAAATAATCATATTATCTGGATTCTATAAAAAATTACTAAAAAAATGATAAATATACTTATTTAAAACAAATGAAATACATATTGTTATATAAATATTGATCTTAATGAATATTTAAAATATTACTATGTGATGAGAGTAATTATTGATAGGGAAATTTAAATGAATGGAAAAATAAGATAATTTACCTGAAAATTTATTAGAAGATTGGTGGCTTGGATATTTGATAATCTAGACTTTAGGATATTGCTCACCAGTTTCTCATAGCGAAGAGCATTTAAATTTAGTTAAATTATATAATATATATGATATATAAGAGAGGACATAAAATTTACGAAATTTTCATTATTAAATAAAGCCACCCATCATTATTCTTTTTATTATTAATAAGTTTTTTTAAGAGTTTTTGAATATGGATTACCTGCCAATGATTTATTTGAAACAAAAAATAAGAATGCCTATCAGTAGAAGATAAATATAGTGAGTATCGTTATTTAAGTCTATAGAATTGATCTTTAACTTAAATTTATTCATGAATCATAAATTTAAAATTTTTATCCATTATCTTTAAAGATTATTTCTTATCCAATTCACTCATTATAGGTACCATTTATCCATGTTTTTCAACTAGATAAGGGATTCTTGTTATCTTTCTTTGTACGACATTTGTATTTGATATTGGAATATTTCATTTTATTTTTCTAATTATTCCTAATTATCATTTGTCAATTATTTTCAATTTTAATAATAGAATTATCTATCAAGTCATAACATAATAATTATATATAATAAATTATATAATTCAATTATTCAGTAATTATAAAAAGTATTACTTAAATAACATAATTGTAAAATACTTTAATTATAACCTTCATTTTTACATATTACAAATATATATTGATTTCATCATTTAATTACTCAAAATAAAGCCTATGGAACTCAATAAAGATAGAAATATAAAGTTATAAATAAAAATAATCATAAAAGAATATTATTACTATTGTTTTAATTTAAATTATTTTAAATCCATAAGTCTGGATTCTTTAATAACTTAATAAAACAAATTTTTAAGATTGAATTTATTCTTTTATACAATAAATAATATTTGTAAAAAGATAAAAATTTAGTATATTAAAATGCTTAATCCTCTATTATGGTATAAAATAGACAATTAAATATGGACATTAATGAAAAATTTAGATTTAACCAATAATTATCAAGTAATAAAATTATAGATTACTTTATTTATATAAAAATTAATATTAAATAAATGATTAGTTCTGAGTATCAATATCCAGGAGGAGCAAACTCATTTGCTTATTAACCTGTAGGAAGGCCTAGTACTATTAATTTGAGCCCGTTTGAAACTAAATTGATATATGCAATAGGTTTAAGTTTAATTCTTTGGGGTTTGATAAGATCGTATAATTATTGAGATATAGAGAGAAATAATATATCATTTAATTTATCATTTAGATTTTACTATTTTTAATTAACACAAACTCACAATTAATTAATTCTATCAATCCTCGATGGTAAAATGTAAATCATTTCCTCACACATTTATAACTCAGCTTAAAATTGATTTTGTTAATTTTATTAGTTGATAAATTCGGCCAACTATTTATATTAATTTAAAGAATTGGCTAAGTAAGTAACTTTAATTTTTTTGTCTTTCGAAAAGTAATTAGACTATGCCTTAGCAATATTTAAATAAGCCCTAATAATAGATAAGTAATATGCTTAGTCTCTTTAATTGTCTTCAAGCAATTTCAATTATTCAACTATTTTTTCATAATATTGAATAGCATTGAGACAAGCTTTATTCATTTTTTCAGTTAATTTTTTACTTTTACCCCCCTAAATATCATCAATCTCATTAAATTTCACAATGAATTCATATAATTCATTATTGATTTCTGCAACATCAACCAATAATTTTTCATAAATTTCTTAATAAGCTTTTGGATTTATGGAATTAAATACAGGAAGTAATAGGTCTAATCTTTTTTCTAAATAGGAAATAACATTATTGGGGTCGGGTTCAAGAAATGTAATAACTCTATACATAGTGGAAATATCACTAAGTATTTGGATATGTTCTGTAACAAAACCATCTAATACAAATAGAGACATGGCTTTTTTGTATAAAGTATTAGCCTGTCTAAATTAGGACTTTATTTCATCAAATGTTTTACTTGGTTAAAATACCTAAAGTAAACAAAGTTAACAATACTAATTATTTCACATTAACATCCTCAAATGTAATGCTATATTTATTAAATAGTTTAGGAAGAGTAGGGTCATTCTATTAATTGCTCTTAATACAATCAATACAATATGACATCATGCCTCCTATTACTCTCCCTTAAGCCATTTGTAAAGTGGCTCGACTAGGATTTTAATAGATGAATACAGTTTTTTTCTTTTTCCTTCTGGAATGACTGCTTCACCAACTAAAAGCAGATAAAAAGCCTAGGCGAAGTTCTATAAACCTGAATAATAATCAGATAAAGATATGCAGTTGAGAATCAAATCTCTTAATTCATAAGTTTTAGATTTGAGTTATCTTATCATTGTCTATCCACAATGAAAAGCTACCTAAATTCATTAATTTATTTATACTTTTTCTTTGATTTTACTTGTAGGACGTGCTTAAGCAATCTAAATCAAGGTGATTGTGTAAAATTCTTAGGCTTTTTCAAATCCTCCTTGTATTTTTAAGGGTCTCTTTTCACAGTCTTATTTAGTTATTAAGTATTCTCCTAATCGTTCAGCTTTTGCCAATATGGCTAATCCAGTTTCATTATCGTCTAAATTAATTGCCAAGAATCCTAAATGATTGTAGATGGATTAAATATAAGTCAAGTAATTTTCTATGTCTTCAATCTATGAAAAGAGTTATAGCGATTTTGCCATATTCTTTCTAGCTAGATTGAATAGAAAAAGCAAAATTACATTCTTCATTTTCTTTACAATTTAGAAAATTTACTCCTAATTGGTAATGGATGATTGCTAATTGCAAAGGATCTAATGTTTTTTGTAATAATTATTGCAATAAGGTTCTTGCTCTTTATTTATAAAGAAAGGGCTATTCTTTTAGACTTGGAAAATTTTCTAAGTGTTCAACCTAAAAGAGAGTGGTTTCAAACTCGTATAGCATTTTAATTGATTATTTTAAATATTTTATTGTAAATGTACACTTTATTATCTCTACTCATTTCTTGGTTTCTTTAGCTTGCTTTCTCTTTTCCTTGACTCCCACGAATTTAGCATTATACCATTCTTATCTTAATTTTCTGTAAACACTCTTAGCTCTTAATTCTTTTGAGATTACTGTGGCTTTCTCTCTCTTTGGAGTTCTTTAGAATGTGATGACCTGAAATGTATTGATATAATAGATACTTCTGGATTAGTATTCTATGTGACTGGTTGAGCTACAACTTCATTAGCTGAGTCTCTAACAACTCCATTCTTTGGTTTGCCAGCTACTCTTGGGAATAACACTAATTTAGACAAATAAGCCTTGATTCTCTTAACATTAACTGCCAATTCTTCTTAGTTATTGTTTCTTCTTCTGTGATCAACTGCAATTCCGACAGTTCTGGCGAATTAAGCATTAAGACCTGCTTCCTTCAATTCAATCAATGAGAATCCTCTTCCCAATTTCTATACTCCGTTGTATTTGATTGTTTATCCTCTTACGACTGGTCTAAGTAATTCAACTGGTCTTGGAGAAGCTCCTATTAAGGATTTAGAACATGATTAATTACTTAATGCATTAGCTTATCTTCTTTATTATCTTCTTCTCTTGGCAGCTGGTTGATTGTAAAATGTCTTTACAAATCTTGTCCAGTGTTTTCTTAAATGGGCATTAGGGAGTTGTTAATTGTGCTTCATTTTTAGAAAAAATTTAAAAAATAAATATAAGGATATTTAAAAATATATTAAATGACTCAAATTAGCATTTTATTCATATAAACAAAATACTTCTGCTTCTCTATTCATCCTCAATCATAGTCTTACTATTTTATTTATCATATGAATCCATTCTATTCACATTTCTCATAGTTGAATTCTAAGATTGACAAAATAACCATTATTTGTTATAATAGTATCTATATTTCATAATTAAACTAAATTACCTTACAAATCGTCTATGAGGCCATTTATAAAAAGTGAGAAATAGTATCCAATTTTTTTAATTTCCCAAGCATTCTATGATATTTCTAATGAAACCAATAGATTAACAAAGGATTAATTTGAAAGAGAATTAAGTTTAGAAACCTAATTATTTAATTTGGATCTGCTCCAATCAATATTATAATTATATATGAATGTGTCTATACTTATATCTCAAAATACTCAATCTTTAGCTGCTCTATAAATTTTATTGCATGCATCTTCTAAAAGTCCTAAGAGAGATTCTTGAGATTCTTCCCTTAATTTTTTTTCTTCTTCGATTTCGCTCTTGACTCTGGAAACAAGGTCTTTCAGCATTTCAAAGATTGCTGCTTCTGATTCCTCTCTGAATTAATTTATTCAATCAGTACCTTAATTTTTTCTAGTTACCCAATCCCTCATTCAATCGTTTAATTTCATCTCCAGCTCTTCTCAAAGTACCGTTATCGCTGTCTTCCCTGTCTTATCCTTCTGTTTTAACCATGTCATATAACTTAGGTAGATCATTTTCCAAAGATGTCGTGATATTTTCGATTTGCTCTTATCTAATTTTCCCTTCAGTTTAGATATCTGACTTCAAATAGACAACCTATGTGGAATGATTATTAATACTTTTTCATCTAAATATCCTGCTAATTTGAGATTTCCATCCTTTCTTAAAGCAATTTCTTATTCGAGTTTAGTTGTGATTCTACTTTCGAAAGCAGCAATTTCCCTCACTCTCTGTTCAAATTAAGTCTCGAAGGCATTGTTTTCCTCTTCGATTTATTTTTGAAGACGAACTATTTCATCTTTCAGTGCGTGCTATTATGTTATTGATACAGTATTTACAAGTTTCCTATTGTATGAGGTAATTGTGTCTTGCATTCTCTCTTCGACACCTGTGATTCTGCCACAAATATTGTCAATTCTGTGGGCTTTGGATGAATCATGTTATAATTAGATTGAGTTGAGCTTTTCAGAGATTTTAGCAAATCTTTCGTTGAAGGGTGTATTTGGATTCATTTTATTAACAAATTTATTTAAGTATATTTATATTTAAAGCTTAATATAAGAAATAAACATAATATAAAATTTAACAAAGATATTATATTCATAATAATTAATTTACAAACCAGTTTTTAAGTAGTCTTCATATTTTGATTCTTCCCTTGTGAATTTCAGACAGGATTCATATATACTTTTTAGTCAAACCTCAAGAATACCGACATAATGTCACACTAATTAAATAAATATTATATTTGATACATCTTTTTAGTAATAAAAATAAATGCCAAAATTTGATTTACTATTTTACATTTAGAACTTAATATCCTTTCTAGTTAGGTTAATCGAATGCAAGATTGATAATTATTCTGATATATTTTAATTTAATGACTTAAAATAATATTTATTTAATTTCTTAAAATAATGATACCTCGAGATAGTTAATTCCTTCTTAAATTTAAAATTTTCGCCAATTAATAATTATTAATAAATTATCACACTTATGAACAACGCTATCAAGAGTGAAGAAAACTTAGATTTTCAAAATAGTTTTGAAAAGTATAAGTAATTTGATATTTATGAATAATTCCAGAAAAAATAATCGACCCTCACATTATCAAAAGGTTGACGAGAATATTAGACAGCAAATTATAGATTAAGCATGCAACATGGGGTAGCCACTAAGATAAGTAAAATCATTTTAATTTCAGATAGCTCAAAACCATGGAATTAAATATTCAACTGCAAAAGCTATTGTCTAGGTGTACCAAAACGAAGGAAGAATAGGAAAAAAACGAACAAGAGATAAAAGAATTTTTTAAGAGATTGAAACCTACATGATAGTTGTTCACAAGTAATCTGGCAAAATCGAAAAGCTCAAACACAAATCTGAGTGCAGTGATCTAAAAACCAATTTTCAGACTGCTAAAATAAAGTAAAACCACATAAATTAAAGGTTATTAGTCTTGAGGAAGCCCACTATTCCTAACTAGCTCAATATTTTGGAAAGTATACTCTGTATTAAGAAGATGAGGCATAAAGTTCACAAAATGAAACCTTACTGAACATTGTTAAAACTTTGAATGAGTAATACTAATAATTTTAGAATGATCCTTCACAATGAAGACGATTAATTTATTTATCAATATAAAAAAATAACTTTATCCTTAAAAATGGCACTTTTTATTTTTTAATTGTTCTTTCTGTTTTATATTAATATATTAATTTTACTATTTCTTTTTTTGAATGATGCATATAATACTAATAAATAATGAGAAAAAAAGATAATACTCAAAATCATGAATAATATTATATTTCTCAACCTGATCATAAACATCTGGTATTCAAATTATTTAGATAATAATTTAAAGGATAAATTATTGATTGATAGTAATTTTGAATTATGTTTCATTAATAATTAAAAATACTAATAATTAATAAATTGCAATACTTTTTTGATTAAAATAATAAAAAATGTTATTTATATGTACTTAATGCTATAAAAAGATTAAGATTAAAGAATAAACTATTTTCAAATGTTAATTATTCTTAAGAGCAAATTTAATAAATTAAAGTTACAGTTTTGTGAAAAATTATTACATTATCCAAATATATACAATATAGTTTTGCTGATATAAAATTTAATTTTTGAAATCCATCCATATTGTTTATTGAAAAAATTCATAATGATATTACTTAATATAATTATGTAGACATAAGTCTTTCAAGATTTTCAAATGTTATTGCATTATTAGCTTTTAGTATGGACTTATTCCTTTTTAATCACAAAAGTAGCCCTTTTTTGTTTTAGCAACTTTTCTCTACTACATTGTAGCTTATCAATCCCAAAAGAAATATAAAAATTAAATTAATTTCTAAGAAATTTAATATATAATTAAATGTTTAATATAAATTGTGAAATAGTATCATACATTTTTACGAGACATAAATATATAATTAAATATATCTATAAAATCATTATTAACATTTTACTGCCGATCTCCTACAGTAGGGACAAGAATTTTTGATTTTCAACCATCTTATTAGACAGTCAGAATGAAATATATGCTAGCATTCCAGTAATATAATTTTCTATTTTTTTTGGATATCATCACCGCAAATGGGACATTAAATTGTGTTATTATTCTGTTCTTCCAATTAGGCTAAATCTACAGCTTAGTTTCGTTTTTATTACACTTCCAATTAAGAATTAAAGGACTTAATTTCTAACTTTTCTAAATCCTCTTCTCTCAAGTTGGTAACTTAAACTTGAGGATTGTCATTAAAAAATCTCCCATCTCTACAATTCCTTAATTATAAATAATATTGCCCCTCGATAATATGTAAATGTTTACTAATATATGAAGGTTATAGATGAAGGCGATGACAATGCTTGCTACAGTTACACCAGCAATTAAGTATGAAATTTACTCATAGTCAATAACCAATTAGATACCATCTATAATTACTTGTAGGAATTAAATTAAGACAAATAGATTTATTACAAGGTAAATCTTAGTAATCTCGAAGACATGAAACATTAACTAATTTATGAGAAACTTAATGAAAGGCTTGATTTCCCTCTGTAAGTTATCAAACTTGATAGAATAATAAAAACCTAAGATTTCAAATATGAATATTTACACACAAAAATGATCAGTGTTTAAAAATAAAAAAGGTACTCATATGTTAAAAATAATCTTCTGTCACAAGGGGGAAGTTAATGCACATCGTTCCTTCTGATTATATTTCTCGAATAGAATGAATAAACATGATTGCAAACAAAAAATGCTGATGCATAATATAATAATTGGGTAGCTGTGTATTTTTAAAGGTTTGTATCGAAAGTTCCATATAGAGCAATAATGAAACTAAAAATCTAGTTGGATTACTAAAAATAACACTACCTCATTTAATAGTATAATAGGGTAAGAGACTTTGTAATGATTTTGCCATATATTGAATAGTAAGTTTCGTAAATTATCTCCAGTTCCCAAATAGGCATGCCAAATTAAGGTAACCCAAATATAAATAACTCCTAAATGATACAATATTAAATAAGTCAAAGGTATTTTTAGTGCATAGGCTGTCTAAATTTTATGCAGAATTATACTTCTGATTTATCTGTTTAGATTTCGTCATATAAATAATAAGAGCTTATTGAGATTGGGCAACTTATAAATATTATTGCAATGGTTGTGTGAAATATGAGTTTGAGAAAGACCATTAATATTGGTTTATAAAATATTACTATAAAAATTAATATAATTTATAATAAGTTTTAATTAATTACATTTGGCATGCCACATTATATTTAAATTCTGAATAAAAATTGTTACTAATATATTTAAGCCAAAGCAAGTAGACTGATGCTTTTAAAAATAGTTTTAGTTAAGTAATATTTATTATAGTTACTGAAAAATTGAATATGTAATGTATTCTATAAAATTATTACGATATGACCTTATAAATAATTCTATTATTATTAAATGGAAAATAATTTAAATGCTAACAAAGGATAATAATTAATTGTAAATGAAATTCTAATACAAAATATAAAATTCTTACGAATAAAGAACATCATTATCTTTTCGTCTAATAGAAAAGCATGGATAAATGATACCTGCAATCCTTTAGTTAGATATAAGAAACATTTAACATAAAGAAATTCCTGATAGACTTTTAAAAAGTTAAAAAATGTTGATTAGAGACAGTATTTCAGTTCAAGAACTATTCATAATACTTAAATAACAATACTCGCAATATATGACATCTAGAGATGGACTATTCATATTTATTAGCGGAAATAAATTATTATCAAATTCATTTTCAAAATCTCTTAAAGAAATTTATTTACAAAATCAGGATAATGATGGTTGGCTTTACTTAGAAGTGAGATTACAAGAGAAATCTGGTTGAACTATTCAATAAATTTGTGTCTTCTTCTTAGATATACTATATTATAATTTTAAATTAATTTAAATGTTCTTCAATAGGACAAATTTATGAAGAACAACCTAATGTCGTGATTATCAAATATTCAAGCAATCACAGGATATGTTCTATTCAATTTTCAGGTAATTAAGCTACGTTTCCATTTTATCTATTTATCCAATCAATAATTATTCTGATCACATAAAATAATTTAAATATCAATTAATATCAATATTTATATATATAAATATATTTTTCATTAAGTTTCCCCTTGATGTTATTACTATGGATGAGCAATGTATTCAAAGTCTTTTTTATTTTACAGTCCTAGACAATTTGTTATCCATTTTGTTAATTCTTCTAATAATTTTGGGTATTTGATCTAATCTTTAATCCATATTGAGATTAGTATAAAATTTTTTTTAGAGTGAGCAATCTTAAAAATAAATATTAATTTTACTATTCCGCATACGCCTTGTAAATGTGGATTATCATCACTTAAATAGTGCAATATTAATTCTTCCCACACTCTATTTTCAAATCCTCTCTTCACTCTAAGTATTAATCTACCACCATTCATGTTTTATGGATCTTCCCATACAGGCTAAATTTGTTCTTGGAATAAGAAAAATTGTGCTCCCAAAGGCAACTTCTCAGGTTTAACCATATAAGAATAGTATGACCAAAATTCTCTAGCTGTTCCAAATGAGCCTTGCATATGTCTATACTTTACCTATTTATTTAAGCTGATCACTAAAATTGTCAATATTTTAGTCTTTGCTGACACTCAACCAAAAGGTAAACCTTGATCTTAATTAAGAATCCTAGTTCATACACGTAATTATGTAAAAATAAATAAGTTTTATTTAATGAATATTTGCATTTATCAAAATTGATTATATGACAGGTTTGTAAAAGTAAAGGGTAACTAGTAGAACATATTATGTTGGTTATTTACTTTTATGAAATAAAAATATTAAATTCAATCTGATATAAAAGCTTTTTATCTATCTAAACCTTTTTAAGGGACTTCGCTTTAAATTATAAAATTAATTATACTCTTCATCATTGCCTGAAGGTCTTTTATCTGAATTTTATTCTTAAACTGTTTCCTTCTCTTATTTTAGTCTGTCAACATTTAATCTATGGACATTTCCAGGAGTATATGGACTCGATCTTCTTTAAGAATATCTTCTCTCAGGAGTAGTGTCATTCTTAATCAACCCTCCTGAGATGTATGGTTTTTAAGGAGAATATCTTCTCGTTCTTTTATTGGAATACTCATCTAATTTGTGTCTTAGGATAATGTCAAAGCATACCTAATATTTTAAACTCTTTTTTGAATATTTTAAGATTCAATAGACTCAGCTGGTCTTAAATCAATCCTATGTTGTACTGTTTTTAAGCTCTTTTTACAATTAAAACCCTGTAAGCCTTTCTATTGAACTTCATATGGATTTATCTAATGAGTATCACAATGGAATAGTTCTCCAATGTAATTTTACAAATCTCCCTTTAATCTTTTAGTTTTCTAGGATCTTCGAATGTGATCATTTTCATCAAAATTAGAGGGCTGTTGGAAATTCTTAGGGCTTCTAAATTGATCTTTGGGACGTGTGAGTTTTGGAGATAATATTTTGATGTTATTTGAATCATAAATGAATGTTTTTGATTATTAATTTGTTGAATAGTTGCCTCGTTTGTGAATGATGCTATGTTAAGAGTCTAAATAACTTTTTTTAGGCAAAGTCACTTTTCCAATTACAACAATTTAGCTTTCAACTAATGGCTATTCAAGCTTTTGTTTTTATGCACTCTCTGATGCATCTGGCTATTGTGGGATTTCTGCCAATTTGGTTTGCATTTTACTAATTGAAAGTTCATTAAATTAAATTTAACTTTTTTTTGCCAAAAATTAGGAAAAAACATCACTTTCATTTGGAACCACTTCGTCCTTTTGCTTTTAATCAGTGCTAGTTTAAACCATTTCACCTAACTTTTTATATAAATCTTCAAGATTTTCACATCCTTATATTTAAGATACTATTAACTTTTTTTTTTAAGGATCTCCCTTAAACATCTTAGCATCCTTATCTTCCAAGATTATAAGCACTTCTAACTTTTCATCTATCATCTATAATTTATGTTAATTGGCTTTATAATTGAATTCCCATGATTCCCAAATTTTAATAAAGTTTTCTTCATTTAAATGTTAATCCTTAAATAATTCATTCCTAGAATGATAAGGATACTTACAAATTTAGACCTTTTGAATAGTCAGCAAAATCTTATATCTACAATTCTTAAGCATTTTCTTTTGCCAAACCTTTAAATGCTTCTGATGGATTCTTGAACTTTTACTAAAGGTTTTTCTTAAGAATAACCCAATTCTCAAGATTCGCTTATTGAGTCTACAAGACTTGCTTCTATTTGGTTAATTCTTCGATTTCGGACATGATATTATTAATTAATTAAAATAAATTTTATTCAATATTACTTTAAACTATTAATGAGTGCATCATTTTATTTCTTTTCTTCTTATATTTTATAATAGGCTTCTTGCAATTGTTTTCTTATGTATTCCTTTTAATACTTCCATTCTTACAATGTATTTTCACTCTGTTTTTGCATATTATTAATGAAGGCACAATCATTGGTGTTATGTTTTTGCTATTTTCTGGCTGAATAATAGTTTTCACTCTTTTTATCACCTTCAATTTCACCTCTGTTCTCTTTAATCTATATTTGATAATCCGATATCTATGAGTTCAATTTCAATATTTCTATTTTGAATTCATTTAATTCTTATAGGTGTTCTTTCTCTTGCTGTTGATACAAATTTGAGAATTTATCAATGTTGACATTCGAATCTATTACTCTTTATTCGAATTTAGATATAATGGATCTTAGTTTGTTAAGTTCCTGTTTATTTTGGTTGTCTATTGATTTTAACTATTAATTATGATCTTATTGTAACTATTCTATTTATAATTTTAGATCAGAAATAAGAGTTTCTGAAACAGAATTTCGTTTCTTCATTTGCTCATTTTCAGACTTCAATTTTTCAATAAGTTTATCCTTTTATCTATTATCCTCTAATTGAAATTCTTAATAACTCTATAATTCTGTTTATAATCTCCTGATTTCAAGTTCTTATTTTGATTAAATTTGAATATGCAAATTCGATAGATTTTTAATAATGTGAAATTCGTGTTATATTCTTTGAACTGTACTTTCCCAAATCTATGTGATATAATTTTAGAGTTCATTGATATTGATATTTTTGGACAGATATTCTGAGACTGCATTATTTGCTATATCAACAATTCCCCAAAAGTCCTCTTTATCATAATGATGAATTTCATCTATAAAATTGTTTTTTATTGTTTCTAATTAAATCAATTATATATCTTAATATCTTCTCTACGAATCATTAAACAATCTTTCCAAATCCTTCTTCACACTCTTCCATCTCTTGATAAAAATCTCCTTCTCACTATTCCCTTCTAAGTAATTCTTTATTTTTTTTAATAACTAGAAATAAATTAATGGATTTACAATTTGATTTAATTCCACCAGATCTCCTAAATCTTGATCTTGAAAGAACTCTTCAATCGCTTATTTGTAATACTCAATTTAAGTGTTGATATGATATTCAAACTCCTACTCCTGGATCATTTGCCATTAGGTTGCTATTTCAGGCAAAGAGCCTTCATTTATTGCATCCACAAAATACCTAAATAAGAACTTCTAATACTTGGACATTTCAATAAATGTAAACGGAGTTATGGCTTTGCCTTTATATTGTTTGAACTACACCTTAAATGATAATTTCTTCCTCAACGCAAGCACCTATTCCTGGAATTCGACTCTCAATTCTTCAAATTTTACGCTACTCAACTCTTATAGTGCTTTTTCATCCTCTGTAGGTCTTACAAGAGTGATACAATCCCTTTCAGCAAAGAATTAAGATATATGTCTTCTAATCTTATTTTTATTTTCTATAGTTTCACTAATTCCTTTTAATGGTTTAAGAGCAGCTTCTAAATAATCCTTTGGGAGTATCTTATTCCCATATTCATCCTAAAGTCTTAGTGTGAAATCTCTCAAGATCCATAAAAAGGATGGAAATGTCTCAAATAAATCCTTCTATGTATTCTAATCTGCCTTCTGTAGCATTTTTGTTAGGTTAACCTACTTTAGATTATTAACTTACAATTAAACCCAAATTCTACAATGCCATGTCATCGATAGTCCCAACACTATTATAAATAAAATAGCTGCTCATTAACATCGCCAAAAGGAATACTTTAACATCATGATTCATGTCTTCTTCAACTGACCCAATCCCTTCTGTATCAATTAAAATGGCTGGAATAGGTTCTTTACTTTTGTTAGACTCAAAATAAATCAACTCTGACCACATCCATAAACCCTTTATATTTTTTGATATGTATTACTTTAGTACAAGCATTGATGGTAGAACCTACTTCAAAACCTCTACTTTATTAAAGCAATAATTAATTAATTAGGTAGCTTTTTCCAGTTCGGTATTTGCCAACAACGACAATCACAGCAAAATTCTTGCATTTATCATTAAAAGATTTTATTATCTATACAGCCTCTTAGCAAAGGACCAGTTCTATTAATTTCCTTTAATTCAATACTTTTTGTTTAAGGCTCGATTGCAATCAATTAAATAGCTCTTGGACTTTGTTGCATAGTAAATTAATTTAACGATTAAGTTTTATAATTAATGTATTTATGCAGTAGTGAATAATTCATACACAAAAACAAAACGTTTGAAATTATTAATTTATGCAGAAAATCCAGTATAATTAAATAAACCTAGAAGTTGAATGCTATTTTATATGAACTTAAAACGATCTGAATAAGAATATTGTAAAAAGAAACTTATGCAAATAATAATAAATGAAGAATGGATATTTAATATATCCATTTAAAAGAGTAAATTCAATCTTTAATAAATTCCAGTATTTCTTGTTCTAATAAGTAACCTTAATCTATTTTAACTATTATTTAACCTTAAAGAGCAAGAGGATATAGGGGATACTATTATGCATACCATCTATCTCATTTAATCTTATTGTAGAAAATCAGGTTTTCAATGCAGAAACATGTTTGAGCATCATTCCAATAGGATCTTAAATTTTTACACTGAGATACTGTAAATTAGACTCTTTATTTAATGAGTTCATTATTTGATATGATATTTAATTCTATCCATTAAATTATTAGTTCATTAGCATACATTATGGGCGATATATGGATAGAGGAAGATTATTATCAAATATATAATATTATAATGTAGTAATTATTTTATATTTAGTAAACCTTAGATAATTTATTAAAAACAATTACTCCCAATTAGTTTTACTTTCTTATCATTTTATTATTTACTTAGACACTCTGTATAAGAATTATGTAGATTAGATGATAGATCACTATTGAATGAATTTTTTATAAAGATCTCAATCAATTTATATGACGACTTAGTGATTGCTTAATTTAAAATATTATAGGTATTGTAATATTTGTTGAGCAAGATTGAAATATTGTTTGATTAAGTGATAAACCTTTAATGAGAGAGTTCTAAATTTATTCACATTTTTGTTAATCTGTACATATTATTATATTTAATTAAATATGAACGTTTAATCAACTCACTAATCTACTTTACAGGACTTCTAAGTTATTCATGAATTGGGATCTGGTTCATTTAGCAATGTTTATAGAGTACATATAGTTTGTGTTATTTTTAGGTGAAAAGGATTGCGGATGGATAAGAATATGCTTTAAAAAAAGTCAAAATAGCTAACCTGAAACCTAAGGAAAAATAGAATGCTCTAAATGAAGTGAGATTTTTATATTCTATTAATCACAAACATATTGTTGCATACAAGGTAAGTTCTTTTTTGGAATTTTAGGAAGCCTTTATAGATGAACCGTCTTAATGCCTTTGCATAGTGATGGAACTGCTGTCAGGAGGAGATGTCTATAAAAAGATTTCTCAAGCCAGAGGTTCCACTCCCTTTACAGAAATGGACATCTGGAGAGCACTGATTCACATTACTTTGGGGTATTTCGAATTCATATAATTGATAGATTGAAGGCTCTTCACGATTAAAAGGTAGTACATAGAGATCTAAAGTCTGCTAACGTTTTTTTATCAAGTGATGGAACTTTCAAGCTTGGAGATTTAAATGTTTCCAAAGTGGCCAAAGCAGGCTTTGTATATACATAAACTGGTACTCCTTATTATGCCAGTCCAGAAGTATGGAGAGATTAACCTTACGATATGAAAAGTGATATATGGTAATTACTATTTTTATTTCTAAGGTCACTCGGTTGTGTAATATATGAAATGTGTAGTTTACAGACTCCATTCAGAGCGAAAGATATGGATTTGCTATTTCAAAAGGTCTAGAGAGGAACTTATGATTAAATACAAAGTCATTTTTCAAAAGATCTATCTCAAATTATTTCAAGCTTATTGCAAATATAGCCTAATAATAGACCAACTTGTGATTAGATACTTGCTAATCCTATTGTTTAAAAACATATGAAGAATTTAGAAACTAATATTGAAACAAAACCAATTAATAAAACTCTTATGGAAACTATACAATTTCCAAATAATTTTAAATAATTGAAAAATAAATTGCCAAAGGTACTATTAAATTAAATTATTAAGTCAAATTATGATGAAGTTAATCCAAATGTTAGTGCTGATAAAGTCTAAGACAATAAATCAACTGATAAATCTACTAGCCCATTTCGATATCCTCAACAATAATATCTCCCTATTACTGAATCTGGAATCAGCCAAAGCTAAAATTAAAGCCAAGTCAATGTGATACAAGCACAACAACCTTCTCCTTAGTAAATTAAAAATAATTCCATTTTGGATAAAAATCTAATTGGAGTTCAGCAACCCTAACCTCAAATTCGCTAATAACCATACAATAATAAAACTGAGAAGCCTCAATCTGCCTAACTTAATTCAAGATAAAATCCTTATGAAAGAGCACATGAACTGAAAGAACAAAAAGAAAGGGAAATCAGATAATAAAGAGAAAAAGATTAATTATTACGAGAGAAACGAGAGAGAGATGCAAGAGAGGCTAAATTAGCCAAAGAAGCTAAGGAGAAATAAATCCAAGAAGCTAAAGAGAAGTAACTTTAGGAAGCCAAACTTAGAGAGAGTAGAGAATAATAAAGACTATTAATGGAGAAGCAACAAAGAGAATAACAAGAGTAACAGTAATTTAGAAGAGTTTCTCCAATCTCCGCCTAACCTCGAGACTATTAATATGCTAACTATATCAACTAACAATAACCCAGAAGTCAACATTCCTATTCTCCTATCACTAGACAAGTGGAATAATAAAATATTTAATAGGGTTATAAGTACAACATTATTTCTATTTAGTGGCTAAAGAGTTAGTTATGGTAATTAAGTGCAACAGCGACCAATAAATAGCCAATCAATCAATGTGAGTCAAAACCATCCTAATCAATACAGCAGACCCTATAATTAAGAAATATCTCAGCATAGAATTTCTTAAACTCCTCAATCTGCTGCTCCTAGACAATAATACAGTCCTTTCCAAAAGCCAGTTACAGAAAGGTACCCTGCTCATCCACAATCTGCACTGCCATCCTCTAATATTAGAGAATCTTAAAAATCTGAAAGACCTTAAGTGTTTCCAACCTCAGCCAAAGTTGTTAAATAAAGATAATCTGATACTAATTTGAAAAAAGAATTTTCATCCCCAACCTAATAATAGGCGATTAGACCTGCTGGAAAACTCACAAGGCAATAATCCAATAATATATTTTAATAAGTTGACAGAATTAAGTCTGACCCTAAGCCATAGAATAACTTTATTACAGGCAATTATAATCATTTTTATCCAATTGACAATTATAAGAGACATGTATCAGATCAAAATCTAATAAAATATTAGTAACAATTCTGATTATATTATAGACTTCGATCATAAGATAAATAAGCATTACTACGTCCACAGATTAATAACAGAAAATATTGAGTTTGAACTATATTACTCAAGTTAAAAGAATTATCATTTTTACATTTATTATAAAATAATTCTTTAAAGTACAATGTTCAATCAGCTACTACTTTAGAAAGATCTGAATATCTATAATTAAGATTAGGGTAAGAATATGAGACTTTGGTTTCAATTCTTTAAGTATAGGGGGGAGGAGTATTATTTCTGAGAGAGGTAGATGTATTTATTATTTAATTGATTTTATTAGATTAAATTTATTTAAAATATCAGAATAAAAATAAAAGATTTAAAAAATTTTAAATTTTGACTCAACCTTCTGTTATTTGATTACTGAATAAAAATGGTGCTGACTTCAATTTAATCAATTTCCCCATTCTTTATTACAATTAACATTCATTCATTTTTTAGATGAACTCAATGTCATGCAATTAACCCTTTTTACTCTCTATTGTCTCTTGGATTATCTCATTTTTTCCCTATTAGCTTTTTTGCCCATTTAATATGATATTTGCAGCTCTAAGCTTCTAAATACAAGTTTAAAACTTAGTTTTTTTTAAGAAGTTTATTTATTTTTTCAAATCGAAATGTTCTAAATATAGTTGTAGTATAAGTTACTCTTTCTTGGTTATAAATATTTATTAAGATGCTGTGGAGTCAAAAGTCCTTATTGTACTACTTTTTTTTCCATTTAATAACTCTGAAAGATGCGATTAACAAACTTTCTTTAATCGCCTTTCTTCAAACACGGAAATGTAGAATCAAAATTGGATGTATGTTCAGACTCAGTATACATATTTCTACCAGCTTAATGGATGTCTTAGATTAGAGTGCTCATTTTAATAGATTAATAAGTCTTGAAGGGTTCAAAAGATTGCAAATTTTTATTTCGCATATATAAAATAATATTTATATTTTCTATCATAATGTATGTAAATAGAAGGTTTAATTTGTTCATATATTGTATGGGCAGTGAATTATTAATTACAATGATATCTCAAATGTAGGAGCAAACTTTTTTGAACTTGGATTCATTTGGAAGGACTGATAAAGAGTTATCAATAGATATGTAAAGTAATTCATTTCCTCTTTATATAAGTGATATGCTATTTATATTTCCAAAAATTAAAGAATTAAATATTATGTTTTTTATTGGAGAGTTAAAATGTATTTTCATTATGAAATAAATTAATTTTGGAGATAATAATTAAATGGGACATGTATAATATTTGCAGATCTACATAATAGATATAAACAACTTTGAAAGGAAACTCATAAGATCTTCTCCCCCCTAAGAAAAATGGAAAATTAGTGAAGAAATCATTTACCCATATAATCTGATTAGGAAATCGAAATGAATTTTGGAAGTGGATTTAAGACATAGTGAATTTTGGTTTGATACATAAGGTTAATGTTTAATAATACAATCAAGAATCCAAAAATGATTTCTAATGCAAAAACTTTATAAATGATTAAGTTAATTAGGTTTGATCAGTGTAGATATAGAAGGATAGTTTATTTTAATACACGTTGTGTGTTTAGATTAAATCCACCATTGAGGGAAACACATTCATGAAATCTTTTTAGATAGAGATGTTTTCATAATACACGTTTTGAGATTGCTGAACTGAATTGTAAGGTCCTATTTTTTTGAGTAAAAAATTGGTTATAGGGTAGGTTAATATGAATTCTTAATTGTTGTTGCTTTGAAAGTCTTCAAAAGACTTAGGATTTAATATAATTTAAGTTTACGGTTGAAGTTCGATAAATTTTTCTGTAAGAAAAGAGAACTCAAATTTGATTAATTTCTGAAAATCTGTTTTTGTGGGACTGTCTTCTGATTCCAAGACCACTTGTTTTATAAAATCAAATTCTTTGATGCAACTATTTTCAAGAGGAATATTCTCTTGTTTCAGTGGATTTAAGTTCAGTTCTGTTGTAATAGTTAATGTTATAATTGTGTTGACATCTGCTTAGGCTAAACACTATTCAAAAATATTCATAACTATTTAAGAAAGAAATTTAGAATTGATTTTGACATTGCAATCTTCTAAACTCAGTTAGATAACAAATTTTTTCTTCAATGCCTCTGACATATATTAAAAATAGGGTTCTAAATTTTTAATAAAATTCTTTAAATTAACAACTTTATAGCTTACTGACTCATTGTTTATTTTACAAGCATTTACAAAATAATAAAAGTTTTAAAATTAATTCATTATTGATAGATTTAAGCATTTGATAGACCAAACTTTTTCATTGCCTATAAAATTCAAATTCAAGATGGCATTCGAAAGATTAGATAGCTATGCCAATATTTAATTTGACACAGAAGTGACAATTTTATTGAGAAATTTGATTTGTTCTTCATTTTTAGTCATCACTTATTGTGGCTTCTCTTCCTTTAAAACAAATAAAAGGTAATTCTTTCCATAACTCAGCTATCTGATATCAATACTTAAATTTTTATTTTTTTCCTTCTCATTCTCAAAATACACTCCATCCAAATTCTCAATAAGTTTAAGATCATCATTTTTTATCGATAAATTTTATTTAATTTTGTAAAAAGAATACTCTTCCAATGTTTATCGCTTCTATTATACTTTTTTTGCTGACAGGTCTGCTGACTTATGCATCGGAATAGAAGACAAATCCACAAATGTAGGTATTTAATTCTTGTGTGACACTTATATGTTCCTCAAAACTTCGATCATAGTCCTTGTATCTTCAATATTTAATTAATTCTTTGCCTATTGATTTATGAATTCTAGTTAAAAAGAATTGTTGTGCTCATTTAAACTTATCGCAAAGAAAGAATGTGGTACATATTCCTCAAGTAGTTCTCTATTATAAAACTACATTAGATTACTTATATTTAGCATTCAAATGAGTGAACGAAAAAGCTAGTCTAAACATAAATTCATTGTAATGGGAGTATATAAGAACCAAAAATTATGATGCAAACATAAGAATGATGTATGAAAAATCTTAGTTAGTAAGAGCGTCTAATATATATAGTTAAACTGTGGGAACAATTATGAATGCTAGTATTCTTAAGCGAAAATTGCTAAAGAGATACTGGATAACTGAAATTGACCCACTGTAAAATCCATATAAATAGAGAGCCCTAAAATCAAGAGAACAAATTACTTTTATTTAGTCTCTGTGGCTATGTACACACTGATGATAATAGACATTAGGTACATAAAAAAGTAATAATATCTTATCTTGTTGTCAAATATTTTAGTAATTATCAGGACACCTAAGATAAATGCACCTAAAAGTGCCAAAGAGATTATCAAAACCAAATGTTGTCCATCAATCAAATAAATAATAAAAAAGTAGAAACTTAAAAGCATAATGACTATCTCTAGGATGCGAAAATAATGAAGCCTGTATTTACTCATCTCAATTTCATATAAATCTTCAAAGTCTTGGTTTGCAAATCTCAAGGTCCATCGATTAAATAGTAAATTATTCATAATTATATCAACTAATTGAAAATTTAATATATATATGCTCAAAGCTCTCTCGAATAGTTGTATTCTAAACGAAATATTCTCAAAACTGTTCTTAATTTCCAATCTATTTACTCTACTTAATTTTAAAATACTTACATGTAAAAAAGAATAGAAACTTTGAAACATTCTGGAATGTATAGATCAATATACTAATTTAGGGAAGTTACAATAGATCTTCAAGTGCTTATTATGTTGAAATAATTCACAAATATTTGATAATATAGATAATTTAAATTCGAAAAAATAAATTAATTAAATTTTATTTAAAATACTAAGCCATTAAGCAATAGTATATGTAAGTTGATTACCTTAATAATTTGAGAATCATTAAGCATAAAAAATATAATCAAATATAAATTCTCTAAATTATGGTAAATTCTAAGTTGAAGCAAATTTTATTTAATAATTTATGATTCGAGTCAAAGTAGAATGAAAAGTGACATCAAATTTATGTAGACTAAAATAATTCTTATGCAAAATTGTAGAATGCAATGATGAAGAGTGGGAGATCAGAGATTTTTGATTGAAAATGATCAGAAAGAAGAGATAATTTCATTATAAAATATTATAATTTAATGAGTGATATATTGATTGATGATCGTATTAGAGACTGGGTATTCTTGCCAATAATAATTGTGATGTTTATGATACAGATGTTCAGAGGATTGCTAACAAAATATATGGACAATAAAAAAACATCGCAAAAAGTGACATCAAAAGCTTAAGTTTCTGAGATGATTGATAAGTACGTAGAGTAGACAACATAATTAGAAATATAACTCAACAATCTTAAAGACTAGCGCGATTACATGGATTATTGCCAGATCATTCTTTTAAGATGAAGAGGGCTCATTTATGTGATAATAAATCAGGCATATTAACAAAGGCAAGTGAGAAGCCAGCAAAGGATCCAATGCAATCAATGTCCATGATGAATCCAGCTGCCATGGCTGATATGCTAAAACAAAATTTAAGTGGAATTGTATTCATGGCACTTCAATATTAATGGGTTTCTTATTTTTTTTCTGGTTTTGTGATTGGAAAGGTCCCATTTCCTTTGACTCAGAAATTCAGAACAATGTTATAGAGAGGAGTAGATGTGCAGAACTTAGATGTTAGATATATAAGTAGTATCAGTATTTACTTTGTGTTGTTGTTTGGAGGTCTTTAAAAGATTCAGTAATTGATGTTTGGGGATGATACTGACGAGTTTGTTGATGGTATTGAGTGTTTTGAGTATGATTAGATACTTAGATGTAGATGTAGATGCAAATGATGGGAATGCCAGCAATGCCCTCTTTTGGGTAGTAGAATGACCCAGGAAAATTGTTTATAGCTGAAAGAAGTAATTAAATGAATAGAATTTAGCTCGTTTGGAGGGAGTAAAGCATACATTTGAATTGAACAAATCATAGGATAAGGCCATAAAATCCTTAAAGAGATTTTTAATTCAATGATGTACAATAAATGTTATATATTATTTTGATAAACCATTCGAATATTTGTCCTACTTATACTGGGCTGGAGGTATCTACAAGAATATAATTATCTCCCAAATGAATATCAAGCATCCAATAGAGTTGATCAAGAAAAAAGTGAATTCAGATGGCATCACTTACAAATTTAGATGGAGTAACAATTCTGTCTCTATTGAACCCATGACTCAATTAACTCAGGAAATGTTAGTGTTGGTCAATGATTATGAATTGAGAAATTTGGGATTTGATCCTCAAGAACCAAAACCATAAAAACACATCAAGCAAGATTCCTAAATGATAAGATAACCTGAAGAACAGAAGAGAGAGAGGAGACAGAGTGAGAAGAGAGATAAATCATTAGATAAAGCACCTGAAAAACAAAAATAAGCAAAAGACTCCGATAGCGTCTAGACTAATAATACTACTGGGAACACTGCTCATAAACCAAGAAAAAGCAAGCCTTGTTAAGTGAAATCAGTTAAACATGATTGTGGGAGAATAGAATTCTTTGTTTGTTTTGATGATTCCACTGAATCCAAATGGGTATCACTAGAGGAGATGAAGGAGAAAGCTCCTTTGGCAGTTTGTGAATTCTTATTGGGGAAGGTCAAGTATGGAGGAGGAGGAGCTAGCAATAAAAAATGATTAAGAAATATTATTTATTAATTATATTAATTATGGGATATAGATTATCTGATCCTAAGAGATTTGGATTAGCCAGAACATCAAAACAGAGATGGCATTTGTGGAGAACTCAAATGACCTAATTGGTGACACATGAACGTATTCACACTACTTGGGCCAAAGCCAGAGCTCTCCAATTTGTAGCTCATAAGACATTCAAATTGGGATAATATGCCAGCAAAAATAGAGGCAATGCTATCAATAGATTAATGGGTATCATCTCTATTTAATACTATTTAGGTATTCTGACTACTAAATTCGCTATTAAGAAACTTATTAATGAAATCGTACCTAAATTCAAAGATCCAAAAGAATAAGTATTCAAAGTTGTAGAAACCAAAAGAAGAAGAAGTGATTTTGCTAGAATGGGATATATTGAGTTTACAAAGAATGAAATAGCCAAATATGAAGAATCCTAATACAAGCAATTGTAGGAGACAGGTAAGATTGTGGATATTAGTAAATACAATAAAACTTGGTTGATAGAAGAGAGAGATTTCATCAAAGATAAATTAGACTAAGCCCAATCTAGATTTGATGCTCTCTAAGCTGATCCTAACACTCCCACTGTTGAAATTAAAAGAGCAGATTAGGATGTTAAATTTTTCAAACGCAAACTAGAGACTGTTGAAAAGGACCTTTGGATTGAAAATAAGAATCCATTAGATATGAGAAGATATTTCAGAATTTATTGATATACGGAGATGCATTATTCCTATCAACCAATCTTGCAAAATCCATATTTCTTCTTTAGAAATTAGGTCTTTTTTAATTATAATGTACTTCAAATGTAAGTATGTTTATGTTGCCTTCCTGTCATCTATATGATATTATGATGTTGGTCTTTATTTATTAAACGATCCTTTAGAATAGTTGACATAGCAAATGGTCTTCGGTTTTGGAGGATCGCAACTCAAATCAGGCATGGCAGCTTAAGTATGCCACGATTTTCTTTTTGTTTATTTATCAAGTGGAATGTGTTTTCTGGTTGGCTCCCATGGAATTACAAAATTAGTGGCTTACTGCAATTGAAAATCTCTTTATTCTTCGAATATCGTCACTCTTTATCTACAATTGATAGAGACTGAAGGTGTTCTGGGTCTAATGCATTTCCAAAATTCATCCTATATTTTTTCGACCTTGTTTCTGAATCTGGATGTAGCTGAGTGCTCTCTCTTGGCAGTTGTATGAAAATGTTAATGAAAGGCTTGTAAATTAACTAATTGCTCTTCATTTTGAATGCATTCTACAGGTCCATCAACTTTCAAAATCTATCCTAACGATTTATCAAGAAGCATTTATCGAATTTTTGATTTTTCGATCATTTAAATTAATATAGTTAATTAATACACCATCCTTACCTCTCAATTATGGACACAATAAGAAAGATAGCAAAATGGCCAACTAGAAATTTGATCTCTATTAAATGTCTTAACCATTTTTTTAATTTATTCATTTTATAGTAATATCATAAAAGTTGATTTTCTTCTAATCCACAATGGCCATCATCACTTTGTCTTGGTTTTTAATCAATTGGACTCTGGGTTTAAGTCTGAAATGATATTAATAAAGCATACTTAGATGAAAGTTAGGTTATGCCATCAATTAACAAATCTTATTATTGGATATCATATTAACCATTACCTCTCTTCTAAATTCGATATTGCAGACATTAACCATTCTCAACTGGAATACAAAGAGCATATATTATTTATGAAGGAGTGAATTCCAGCAGTACTACGTCAACATCATTACCTTAAAGAATGTCATCTCTGTTTGTATTGCATACCTTAACACCATTACTAGATGCAATCAGTATTTCATTAACTGATAATGGGATCATTGTTTAACTACAAGGCAACGTGTTTGCATTCAACTTTCTTAACAACTTCTCCTTATCATTGACTTAGATTATAGTGGCTCCTTATTCTCCAGCCACATATACACAAAACAGTTCTCCAGGTTTTATCAATGCCATTTTATACTTCTTTTATCTACCTTGCACTTTTTAAATACCAAAAATTAGAAATAATTCTAGTTTGGTCGTAATATTTTTATATCCCAATCTTCCATCAGCATCTACAAATGCAAATGAATTATTTTGCAAATCTAGACCTGCTAAAATGGGTTTGTTTGAAAATGTATATTAATCCTATATTTTCGTATTTTGACCTTAAAAAATCCAGTAATAAACTTAACCATCATCTGCTCCTGTTATAAAAGTGTTCGGGGATAATGATTCTATCCAATTGATCTGTTGAGTATGCCCATCAAAGGCCAATAAAGATTTCTTCTCAGTATCAAACACCCTCATTTTGGAATCATTTTAACCAATCATAACAAATGTTGATTTATTTAATCCTATCACTGCCCCAATTATGAAATCTAAGGTAAAACTTCTACTCAATTTAATATGGGGCCATTATCTTTTTGTAGGATCTAAAGCCCTACTGAATTTGCAATATGTTCCAGATTTACCAATAACTATTGAGTCTGAAAGTCCATAAATTTCACGTTTCATTGGTTTAGGATTCATCTAATTGTTTTATTAAGAATTAATAGAATTATTTGATGATTATTACACTAATTAGAGAGGCTAAGGGATGCGATCTTAATTAGAATACCAACCTAAGAAATAACTTTATAAAGGTTCTTATATTGTTGAGTATAATCTTTATTAATCAGATTCAAAAATCTTAGGTGACTCATTTGCTATTAACAATTTTATAAATGATTCCTATAGATACTCCAAAGTATTATTTTCAATTAGTTTTAGTTTCCTTAAGAATTCTTCTGAATTATCACCCTATTACCCTAATTTACAAGTCAAAGCCATAGGTGTTGATAAAAAGTAATTGGCTGCAGGAAAGAATCTAGAATTGAATTACTTTCTGGTTTATTCAAATAATTACTCATAGTCTGAGTAAAATTAGTCCAATTTTCGAAATACGTTTTCTTTAACTTATTACAAGTACACCTAGAACTATTCTACAATGAATGTCATATCTTAAGCCACAAGAGTCTTTTAAGAGTCAATATTATCTTTCACTTTTTTAAGATGATGTTTATTATCTTGAATATATTTATATACTTTAAGATTTTCATCATTATTTAGAAACTATTCTAATTAAGTTTTATTCTACTACGTGGCCTAGTATATAGATTAGCTGAATTCAGCAAGGAATTGTTTTATCCCAAGCACATTAGTATTGTGTTCCATATGAGCATCCTCATTTAGGCATTATTAGCAAAGTAATATTTTCTTTCTTTTGCAATTCCTATCTGCGCAGCCTTTGATAATAAGTCCTTGTTTATGATCTTTGCAACGTAATGTAACCTAGAATACTGAAGGATGAAGTAACTCTTCTTGCATCGTAAAAATAAAAAATATAAATTGCAAATACAAATACAATTTATCATATCCTAATTGATTCACCAATATGTAATTATTCATCAAAGCTTATTTTCACATTTATCACAAACTATTAAATTCACTTTCATATTTTTCAACTTCTAATTCAAGCAAATATTAAAATACCTCAAAGGGTAACATTAATTTACAATCCTTTATAAATATAAATTGAATTATCGTATAATAGAATTCCAATCTAATCTAGAACACTATTGATTTTTTTTGGGATTGGATTTAGTAATTCATTGAGTCTTATTCCCAATCTTAGGATTGATAGTAATAGGCTGTATTGGAGTGATATTAATAAGAATTTCACTCTAGAAATTCAAAATAAATTGGTTGTCATTAGAACTATTACAAAGAGAATATATATTAATTTATTAACGGTTATATCTCAAAAAGACTCAAAAATGAATTACTATATAGAAAGCCAATTATAAAAGATGAGCTAACTACTAGAATCAAAGCAATCTGAGATCAATAAATTGAAGGCATAAGTCGAGAAATATTAAAACTATGATTAGTAAGAAATGCTATTTATTTCAGATAATTGGAAGAACTAAACTAATACATCATGTAGTTAAATTACCAATTTGAATAACAAGAATAGACTCACAAGGATTAGATTTATGTTATGTAGAGGGAGTTGGCATTTGCCTAAGACGAAATCAAAAATTTGCAAGTATTCATATTCATGTTTTTATTAGAGAACAAGAGGTTAAACTGAATAACAATAAATAGCTTCACTTCTAAAGGAATTATCAGAAATTAAACAAGAGAACAATCAACTCAAGGTAGAATTGTCGAGGTAATAACTGAAACCAAGGACGAATTCTATTCAAGAGAACAGTTTTCAAGAAGTTAAAGTAAACTTGTAGAATTCATAAATAGAGACTGTCTCCTCACTTGAGAGTGCATAATTGCAGCTTTACAAGTCCCTCCTAGAATCTGGTAAAAGAGAGAAGAGTTCCTTCACTTCCTGATGTTAACTCAAATAGATTATCTATCAACAAGACTTCGTTTCACAATTTGTCATAAAATCAATCATATTCCAAGAAACCTCCGCTTCAATAGATACACAATATCAGTCCTAATAAGCAAGTGCTAATTGTTCGTCAATGATTTAATACAGATATATATATATGGGAACTTTGAAAATTTAATTTATAATTAATGAGTAGTTTTAATACAAAATTGAATTTCTTATAATAAGAAATTAAGCTACTTTAAGAAGAAAACACAGAGCTTAGACATCTCCTATAATTAAATAAACAGATTCTTAAAATCCAAGGAGGATAAGCAAGCACAAACTATGTATTTTAATTATTGAATTCAGTCATTACCAAGTGTCCCATAGTTATCAATCGAAGTGTGTAAGTCTGATGCAAATGATTATCATGATACTTAATTCATAATCTCGAATTTGATGGATGAAAATAACAAACTATTATCCATCAATGAAGAATTAAGAAAGTAGAGAGATTAATTGAGAGCTCAAGTAAATTACATATATTATTTTAGAATCTCCTATTGCAACAAATTGAAATTGAAAACTCTTAAAGAATACTCGATATCCAGGCTGAAAAGCATCAGAAATTAATTGATTTCTAAAATTAAATTCTAGGAAAAGATAATCAAATCTAAGAATTGAGTGATTAATTGTAGAACATTCTCTCTAGAAAACGTCTCAAAACCAAAATCGTAATTAATTTCTACTATAGATTAAGCAAATACCTTTGCAAAGTGAGTACCTAATCTTTTAAAATCAACTTGAGACAATGAGCAAAGCTCTCAGCTATTACTATTAGGAGAATAATCTATTTAGGTAAGAGAATAAAAAGATTTCCTTATTGTTGGATTTATTAACCACAGATAAGAATGCAGAAAATAAATTAAATTCAGAATAAAGTCCTGATATCAATGATTCAAGTTATTACTTGGAGTCACTGCCAATGAAAGTTAAACAACCGTCTAATCCTAATTAATAAATCACAGTACCCAAGCTCGATCTTAATAAAGCTCACAAGATCCAATAAATTAATGTTGAGAAACAACAGGAATCTGAAGAATAACATCTTCCCATAGAATAGTTTCTAACCTATGACAAAAAGATTTATCCATAAACAAACGCTCAAACTCCATGTTAAGGCAGGGGGGGATAATTCATAAGTCCCAATAAATTGTTGATTTAATTGACCTCTTTGGCAGACTCAAATAAAACTTTGAATAAACAGCTTAATCAATATAAATAAAAGTTGCAGGATGAATTACTATTAACAAAATCGCTTGAGACCAAACTAGATGAACTGTATCGATATGTTTAAGACTTAGAAAAAACAAATGAAATTTTAATAGCTTCTTAAATAAAACTTACAAATAATCTTAAGAAACTAAAGGTTTTGATTATTACAGGTAAAAAGGAATAAACAACAAGTAAACATAAGTATAATATGTCCATTTAAAATAAAGCGGATGTATAAAAAAAAACTAAAGATAGAAGTAATTCGGTATACTGATTTATGATTAATTAATAAAATATATGAAAAAAATTAAACAAACTAGAAATTAATTCTGTATAGTCGCATTTCTTATATAAGGGGTGCTTATAAATAAGAATATAAGGAGGAAGTATCAATCGTCAGATTTCAATGAATTATCAATTGCTCAACAAAAGTTTTTGCTAAAGAAACTCATATAACAGTGTCAATTTCTTATTGATATTTATCAAATTGTAAAACTCACAGTTAGATAATTTAGAGTTATATGAAATTGGGCTAGAGTATTGTTTCATAGTTTGTTATTTTGGATAAATATTTATGCACGAATTTATGTGCCATTTTAATAATATCAAAGTTCATGAAATGTTAAAATATATTGATATTAGATAAAACAAAATCTAACATTTGAAAAAAATCATTAAGAAAAAGAAATAAAATATTTTTTTGAAAAAAATAACAGGAATCAAACAAATAAATTTAAAATTTGTAGAATTAATACGAGATTTATCCAAAATTAAATTGAAAGAGGGTCATCAATTATTTAAAAGTAAATAAATTTAATAAATAAAATTTTCTTGAATTAAAAATCTATTCTAGTATAGATATTCATATCCCTCATTATTAACAATGGAAAAATTATCACGCTTAATTGAGAACACCTTAATAACTGTCATATTTTCATTTGATGAGTAAATTCTGATATGAAATGAAGATCTACTCTCAAAATGCAGTCTTAATATTAATTATAAGCCCTATGATGTTAATTTTGTTCTAATTAAAATGTACAAACATTAGCATATTTAATATTGAACTATAGACAACAAAAATCTCAATTAAATCAATTTGCTTAAGACTTTTGAAAATTTATTCGTTACCTTAAAGTATGTATAGTTGTAGATAATGGTCAAATATTAAATTGAGATTTATCGTAAAGTAACTAGTTGGAAATGGATGTGGGAATGCTTGAGAGGTTCTTAAACAATATCAAAGTTAATAACTATCTAAATTTTGATAGTTGTCTCATGTATTTGATAAAAATATCTTTATTATTAATAATTAATTATTTAAGAATGGCTTCCTTTAGACCATAGTCTTCATAAGCTATTTCAGTCAGATCACCCAGTAGAGGTATGAGATTGTCATTATGAGTTAGTTATTCCAATTGCATCCAACATGGGTCATTCTTATGTGATTCCAGCAGCCCAAAATTTACCAACCACAGTAATAGTCAAAGAGAAAAACCCTGTTTCATATGACAAATCAAAAGAACATGATGATGAGTATAAGGATGAGTTAGAGTTGTGGAAGAAAAAATATTTTACATTGGAAGCTTAATTGGCTAAATATGATATTGAAAATGAAATAGTACTCAATTAATCTGACTATTTAAGAAAGATGAATTACAATCAAGGATTTTGGGTTCTTAAGAAGATGCCAAAAAGTTCTAAATTGATATTTCCAAAATTCAGGCCGATATGGACAAACAAAGAGGAGAAATGAATGATTTAGTAATTGAAAATCAAAAACTACTGAATTAATAAGTAGAGGTAGAAAGATTGAAGAAATTAGTTGGTGAAAGAGAGGATACAATAGGCTAAGTATTAATTATTTCTAATTGATAGTTGTCACAAAAGTGTAGAGAATACTAAGAATAGTTATAGGAATTGGAAGCATTTTAATAAGCATTACAAGATATGCATAATCAAAATGAAGGTAAAGAAAGGATGATTGAACAATGGAAACTAAAATATACCGAAAATGATTAAAAGAAACAAAAGGAAATAGACGAGTTAAAATAAAAATTAGCTGAATATAATCCAACAGAAGTACAATTTCTAAAAGCCCAATTAGATAGAGAGAAAATAGAATGGTAGAATAGTTAAAAGAAACTCCAACAAGATTTAACTGATGCTCTTAAACAACTAGATTAATGGAAAATTAAATATAATGTAAGAGTTTTTCTCTAAATTAGAATCTTGATATGCAACATTAATAACTCTCATCTGCATAAAAAGAATCTGTTGCTAGAATAGATACCTTAAATCAGGAATAAAATAAATTGACTGTTTAAGTTCATAATTTGAATGATGATAAACAAAAGTTATAAATAGAGTTGGAAGCCACTAAAGGATAATTAAAATTACATTAGGGTTTGATTGGAGAATTAGATAGATTGAAGAAGTTGTTGACTGATAAAAGTGCAGAACTTTAATAACTATAACAATAATCACAGTAAAAGGATATTGATCTTAATAATGCAGATTTAACTATTTAAGAGTAAAATTAAAAAATTAAATCTTTATCTTTATTGTAATAAGAAAATTAAAGATTGTAATAAGAATTAGATTAGCAACACAGATAAAATGAATAATTGCATTAATAAAATGCTGAATTATTGAAAAATCTAGACAAATTTAAGTTATTAGAAGAAGAGAAAATGTAATTAGAAAACAAAGTAAGTATGTTGGCAGCTGAAATAGAAAGATTAAAAGTTTAATTGAAATAAAAGAATGATAAAATTTTATAAGAACAAGAAGAATTGAAAAGATTATAAGAATAACTGAATGAAATAGATGAATTATAAAAGCAGATTGAAGATTTAGTTCTTTAATTAGAATAAGCAAATAATACCATTGATGAGCTAGAGAAGAAATTACAAACAATAACAGAGCTTGAATAAAAACTCTAAGATGCTAATAATAAAATATATGATTTAGAAAATAAAGTAGCAATGTTAAGTGCTGAATCTCAAAGATTGAGATATCTAAATGATTAAAAGACTGAATAATTAAAAGCAGCTGAGCAATAATTATCAGATCTCAATTTACTTAAAGAATAATTACATTAATTATAGAGTAAATACGATGCTCAATAATAAATGAATTAGAACTATTAAGCTGAATTAGAAAAACTAAGAGGATAATCAACTTAGTAAGATACAAATATTGCAGAATTGAGAAGACAATTAGATGAACAAAAAGCACAAAATATAGTACATAAGCAAGCTAATTCAGAACAAGTTATTGCGGATTTATAATAATAATTAAGCTCATTGTAATAAAGTTATAAGAAGGTCTCTGAATCCAATTTAGCCAATGAAGAAGATCCAACTTTGGATTTATAAAATAGATTAACTTTATTGAAGCAAGAAAATCAGAGGTTGAATTAAACAATTGTATAAAAGAATTAAGAAGTCTTAAATCATTAATAATAAAATCAATAATTACAAAAAGAATTATTGTCCTCTGATACTTTGAAGGTGGAAATTCAACAATTAAATGAATCAAATTCAGTATTGCAAGAGCAACTATAAAATGAAAAATAAGGTCGAAAAGGTTTGGAGGAGAAGATTTAGTAATCAGAATAAGAAAAATATGATCTTTAAAGTAAATGTGCCATGCTTTCAACACACATTGAAGGGATGAAGTATAAACTTGAAAAAATGGAAAATGTTGATGAATTAAAAAAGATCATATAAGATCAATAAGCTTAATTGGCTGAGATGGATGCCTTAAAATTAGAAATTGAAAGTCTAAATGATAGAATAGCTGAATTAGAAAAAGAACTAAAATTATGGAAATAAAAATATGAATAATTGGATTAACAATATCAATAGTTACTTCATGTGAAGGAATAAATGGAAAATAAATTAGCTATGCTTTCATCAGAAATTGAAAGATTAAAAGTCCTCAACTAAAAGAAGTAAGGGGAAATTGATCAATAAAATTAAGAATTAATGAAAATGGATTAAGAACTAAATGATTTACATAATCAATTAGAAGATATTAATGAATTAAAAACATAATTGAGTTCACTAGAAAACCAATTATAATAATTAACTGATGAAAATTAAAGCAAATCTGCTGAAATTACTCAACTCAAATAACAAATTGCTGAAATAGAGGGATTACTTGTTAATTAAGAGGATCTTTAGAATTAAATTAAGAAATTAGAAAAGGAATCACAATCAAAGGATGAAATCATAGAATAGTTCAAATAAAAAATTACATAATTAGAGAGTAAGATTGCAGAACTTGAAGACATCAAAGTATTTATATTAAATAATATTATCAGTATAAATATGAAGATAAAATGGCTTTATTAAGTAGTGAAGTTAAGAGACACGAGTTTAAAGCTAAGAAATTGGAAGATAAATCTAACGAACTCTAAGTCTTAGTTGAGCAATTAACTCATGATTTAAATGAGGCAGATACAAAAATTGTTGAATTAGAAAAGGTATAATTGTTAAGTTGAATATTATTTAGGATTTAGGGTAATGGAAGTTCGAATACTCCAAATTAAATAGTCTTCAATATAAAATAGATGAATACAGTTTCTTATTAGTAGTTTCATTTGCTGAAATTGAAGCTTTAAGATCATAAAACTCCTCATTAAATGAATAATTAGATAATCAATAAAAAACAAAAGTTGCCCTTGCATTAGCATAATGAGAGTTATAATAATAAATAAATAATTTATATTTTATCATTTGATATTCAACAATATTCGTCTAGTTGTGGGTAAAGAGAGTAAAATGAAAATATTCATAGATTTATTAAAATAATATTTTTGTAATTTAAAAATTATTAAAACTTTCTCACTCTGCCGACTAGAACTTGTCATAAAACATTGAACAAAAAAATTCAAACATTTATTATTTTGATGGTTAATTTGATGAGTGTATTGGACTTGGAGGGTATGAACTAGAATTCTTGTAAGGGATCTAATTATTATTCATTTAATCTTAATAAGAGTAAGGTTAAGTATTCTGATTGGATGGCCCCTAGTTGTAATTGAAGCTTTAATTATTGGAACATTATTCATGATACGGATTAAATTTTCTTTGTTTTTTTACGTGAGGCTCTTAGTGATTCTAATAATGTTACTTTTACCTCTAAAACCCTTATTGACGATGTGGTGACTGGTTTCTAAATTTATTATCCCTTGGTTTTTAATTATTATAGAATTAATGTTACTATGGATACTAATATTATTACTATTATTAAAATGGTTATTATTATTGTTATGATTCGTATTATTACTACTAAAACTGTTGTGGGTATTATTATTACGATTATTATTATTGTTACTTTCTATAATTATTTTATTTTATGCTTGGTGATGGTACTTATTCAAGATCATATTACATTGGATTAACAATAGATTTTTATAAGTTTTTCTAATTGGTCTGGTCTTTTTTAGTTAAAAATTCTTAGATTCCATACTATTCTAAGGGAAAAGCATAGCTATTTTATCTTTATTATTATTGATTTTACTGGCCATTACCTTAATCATGGGAATTTTAGTTTCTTTAGTGTCTATCATTTTATTTATAGTTTTGCTAATGGAATTATTAATTATTTTATGAATCCCATTGATTGTTTTATTGAGTGTGGGGCATCATTGATTTTTCATGACCTTAATTGTTTTATTAAGATCGATTTCCATATGATTAACTTTCCTACATTTTTTATTGATTTTACTAATTGTGATTCTAATTATGATGCTTAAACTTTGTATCTGCATTGACATATTATTAATCTTAGACTTATTTTTCAAATGGTTTAGTTTTTTAATTTTGTTCTTAAATTTAATTATCATTTTTATAATTTTAATAAGATTATTAGTACTTTTATTAATATTTCTTATGCTGATGTTGATGATGGTGATGATGATGTTAATGCTAATGTTGATATTATTATTCCTTTAATTCTCTTTCTTTAATTTCTTTTAACATATCTTGTTATTAATGATAATCATATTCTTTCTAAAATTCCATTTCTTCAAATCTCAATTTCTATAGCCTTAATTCAGCCTTTTTGATATTCTCTTAATGAATTCTTTCTTTTTCCTTCTTCTTCTATTCCTCTTTTAACCTCTCCTTGGCTTCGTTTTCTGCTTGCAATTATTTGAGAATATCTTGACCGCTTTTCCTTTCACTACTCTTTCTTTTCCTATTATCTTTACTCTTTTCTTTTCTTTTGGATTATTATGAACTTTTAGCTCTTTTCTTTTCTTTACTATCCTTCTTAGACCTTGTTTTTGAATTTTCACTCCTTTCTTTTTGATGTTATCTCTTATTATTTTTATTTTTTTATTTCTCTTTAACATCAATATCTGATTCTGAGAGTTTTTTGTCTCTAGATTTTTATTCTTCTTCCCTTTGTGCTTTGACATTAGGTTTCTCCACATTTTTTTCTGGTCCTTTTAAGATATCCTTGTCCTTTTATTAATTAATTTATTCTCTAAACTCTACTTATTTTTTATTGGCTTAAATCTCACCAAACTATATGCTGCTTTAATCACTGATCAAGATTGAAGATGAACTTACTATTGAATCTGGACTATAAATATCATTATCTTCTTAAAATAGATTATCAATATCATCTTTCCTTTAATTGTTACCTTATTGAATGGTTGAACAAGCAATGTTTTAATTTTAGAATTTAATGCCTTCCCCTGTTTATTGTTGAGGAGTTGGCTATTGCATTTTAGAGATGTTTTCATTTGAAGATTCAATGTATATAATATTTGATTTATTTGAATGACTCTGTTATTATTAGGTTTCTTATAATTTATACTATTTATCGACATTTTCAGGCTATAACTCCTTAGATTTTGTAAGTTCTGAATTTAATCTATTTGAAGCTGTTTTAATTATTTTAGATGATTAGCCTTTTTTGTTGATATCTCCTTGATAACTCTTAAATATCTCATCATCAATATCAATTATTTAATAAGGAGTTACCTCTTAAATCTCATTTTAAAGTAATTAATTTTGTTTAATAAATGTATCTTCATCTACCCTAGAAATAAAATTATTGCTTTCCTTATTGATATAGTCTAAATGCTCTTGTTGCTTATGAATTTAAGGCTATAAAAAGTCATATGAGTTCTTAATTGAATTTTTCTAATTTTATTTAAGACTATTGTCTTCAATTAATTTGGTATACTCAAATTTCTCTGGTGAAGAACTAATATGAATTATTTTCTATCCTTCAGGATTTTAATTATCCACCAATGTATTTGTTGTTTCTTGAATTGATGCTCTATGAAGTCCAGTAAGAGTTGTTTCAATTTCAGTAACATTTTTCCTTGTTTTTATTGCCCATCTTTTCATTAATATAGGTAATTTCTCCAACATTATCAACTCAAGTTCTTTATCACTCATTGCTTTATGGCATCTATCTTCAAATTAAGACCACCAATAATTCTATTAACACTTCTCTTTTAATAGATCATATAATTTAATTAATTCTGTATCTTGAGAAAAGTCAAATTCCTATTATACTTTCTCACTTAAGGTATCGATTAACTAATTTATTTTATCTGATTCATTGTTAAGATTATTATTTGCTATTGGTTATTCTGTATTATTTATTTTCTCAGATGTTTCATTAACTTATTCCTATTATTTTGGATTAGATTTGGATTTAAAAGAAGGGAAAGTTTGTTATTGTTGAATCTTATCCATTGTAGGTATCCCAAGCACTAAATAAATATAAGAAAAATTACATTTTTAATCTGGTAAATCATCTTTAAATACTGATTCCAATGAAATTTTTTGTTGTTCTGAAAAATAAGATCCTTTTGGGTTTTCTTAATTATTTTGTTACTTCTAATTTTGTATTACCTATTATTCTACTGATTACTATCTATTTGATTCACTTTATTACTACTATTAGTGTGTTTTATCCTCTATCTCTATTGATTATATGAGTGTTTTTTCTTTATTTATTTACTACTATTATATAACTTCTAAATTTTGCTTTTATGCTTGCTCTGTATTTATTTATTGATTTATTGAATCTTGATTACTCTTGGCCTCTTCAAGAGTATTTTATTCTAATTAAACCTCAGAAACTTGAATTTTATTAATTTAATTTTAATTTTCTTGTTTTGAATTCTTATGAAATCTACTTTTCTTTTTATTCTACGATGTCTAATTTTAATTTGATTACAAATCTCCTTACAAATTAAACTCTTGAGTTCCTTATCCATTTTGTAGTTTGAGTAAATATTATTCATAAGAACTGATGATTTTTTTAAATAAGCTTTCAAGGAATTTATATTCTCCTAAAATGTATTAATGCATAATCATCTACACTGGTTCTACCTTCATCTACTCAATATACCACAAGGCAGCAGGATTGTTCATAAAATCATTGAAAAGTTTTGTCTAGTTAAAATCTTTTGATGCCAATATTTGTAGCAATCTAAAAATATCATTTTTGTTATGAATTATAAGCAATAAAGCTAGAGTTTTCAACAACTTTGGTAATTTCTCTTTTACATCTATTCTATTTTGCTACTATTCCTGCTTGATATAATCCAAAATTATAGCAACATCATACTATTATGGTTTAATGAGACTATAGGTTCTACAGTCATAAATGCTAGTGTTATCAATCCAAAAAATCATTAATATATTTTTATAAATTTATGTTCAAGAATCTTAAGACATTAAAAAATCATTGAATTTATTAAGTTTTAATTTTGATTTCTAAGATTTATACAATTATTTAAATTAAGCATTTCTTTTTAAATAATTATTATTAAAGTTCTCTTACTGTTCATAATAAAAACAATTATTTATATCTATATGGATCCTACTATTAATTATATATTTTGATGTATTCTTAACCTTTTCCATTAATTCTTTGGCCTTTCATTAAACAATAGTTAATTGTGATAATGAACTCACATCAATTTTGTAATTATTAGACTGAAATATTATTGCTATTATTTTGTGCTGAGATTAATTAATTTTAGTGAGCTGTTTTATTGTAATTCATTTATGAAATGCTAAATTTAAGCGTTAAATAAAATTTTATTAAATAAATGGGAAACAAAGTGTATATCATAAAATCGGCAGACAAATCAATTTTTAATTAGAATCAATCACTAGAAGATTAATTTGAAAGTGTGGGAGGGTAATCTTTCCCACACATTGATCGAGTTGAACTTTATAGATTAAAAAAAGAGAATACTAAATATGCAACCATCTTTGAAAAAAGGCATTCGAATACAGCAACTGATGATGAAGGGCCATTGTTAGAACTTCATGAATAGCTAATGCTTCTAAAGCATAATCATTTGGTTAAATATTATGGTTTATGTATTGACCCTAATCTCACTACAAATTAACAAATAAGCAGATGGTTTTATGAAGCAGTTTATAAAACTTTGAAATAGGTTTGTGGACATCATTTTTCAAATAAGAGTTATATTCCAGAAAGGTAATTATGGAAGAGTCTTCATGAAATATTATTAGCCTTACATTTTCTTGATGCAAGATAGAAATGGCATACTCACATTCAACCTGATTCAATTTACTTAGATAAAAACGATACTGTCAAACTGATTCCTAAGGGTGTTCTAAGACTTATGAGTGGATATCAAATAGTACTCACAGGAAAAGGATAAGCCTTGTTATCTCCTTAACAGATGGAAGGTTTGAAATAAAAGTTGGAAATTCCAATTCATGATATTCAAAAGTCTGATGTTTTTTCACTAGGAATGACATTTTTGGAGTTGATGACACTCAAGGATAGCTTTGAGTGCTATAATTATGATCTTCATAATCCATACATTAAAGAATAAATATTGTAGGAGAGACAACTAGAAATTCAAAATATTGGATATTCTACTGATCTAGTGAGGATTGTCTTGACCATGTTGTAGTATGAGGAGATAGATAGACCCACTTTTATGGAATTATTAGTATTTATTTTTACATATATATAGAACTCCAATGAAGTTACTTAGAATCTAGGAAACTCAAGAAATAATCCATTGCAACCAACAACTCACACTCTTAAATAAGACCTAAAGATTTTTTAAAATAGATTTCCATCTGATTCTTCTACTTTGCATATAGTTTAGCCAAGTATCCCTATTACCAATAATCAATAATAAATACAATCCTCTCCTATTAGAATATAATCATAAGTGGTTCCTCCTCAATATTTACCAGTAAATAATCCTAAGCAACAAGAAGTGGATCGCCAAAGATAAGAGCAGATTTTAAGAGAATAACAGATACAATAACATCTACAATTACAATTAAGATAATAATAATAACTATTACAACAATAGGAATAGCAGTAGCAATAGTAATAGCTGTTAATTTAATAACAATAGCAATAAATACTTCTTTGTTAATAATAATTAGATAAGTTAAAGAACTTAGCACCCTAACCAAAAATAAAGGAACAAAAAGCACCAAATCTACAGGATTACATGATACATCCATTACCTACTCCACCAATTGTATTGGATCCTAACGCACGAAATTCAACTATCGATGAATTTTAGGAAAGCCAAGAACTAAATAATAGAATAAATTCTGCTTTAGCTTTATCGAGATAAGCTATTAATAAATATAAATGATTATCTAATGTATTTTATTTAGAGATATACAACTTTAATTTATTTATGATCTCTAATTTGATTGATTGCATTCTTAACCTTAAAAGGAAACACATAATTAGCTTCATCCCCTTATTTATAATCTTACGATATCTAAAATATTCTATTATTCTTGGTTTAAATAACCAAAGATTTATAAATGAGTTCAAAAGGTTTATAATGACTTTTTAATGGTTACTTAAACATCTATCTATAAATTTAATTAAACTTCTTGTATAAAGATATAAGATTAGATGTTTAACCAATTAAGTAATAAATCCTAAAAAGAAATGAAATAATATTATTTTTAAAGTTATGTGTAATATCAATTCTTTCCTTTTTTTTGTTTTTTCGATCGAGCAACATCCACAATATTCTTTGTTGGGGTTGATTGCGTAGTACTACTAAATTAAGAGGGACAGATTTATTTTTCAGGAGTAGATGATGTATCATTATTATTATTATTATTGTTGTTATTGTTATTATTATGATCATGAAACTCTTTCATGATTTATTCAAAAGTAGTTCTTAGCTTTTAGACTAGTTTTTAGTTTTTTTAATTTAATTTCTTTTTATGTATTTCCAATTCTTGTTAATCCTTTCTTAAGTCATTAACAATATGATTTGTATTCTAATAAAAGGATAATGATTTATTAATTTCAAAAGTTGATAAATGTGATATTTATGTATTTTACAAATCAATCTTCTAATCAACTTTTTGATTAAATTCATTAACATACGTTAGAAAATCCAATTTTTCATTGTTCATCTCTTGCTTAATTTATTCTTTGTAATTAGTCATTATCTAAATCAGATTATTCATGCAAATATCAAATTATTGATCTACCTTCTCTGTATTATTGCATATTGGCTAAATTGACAAGGATGCCAATTTATCTATTTTACCTTTCAATTCAACTTCAAACTCTGATATTAATCTCCTATGATGAGAGCCAAAATCATTTGGTACATGAAATTCTAAAAAACAATCAGCACAGCCTACATTTTTGATATTTTCAGTACCTATCTTTTATTCCTGATCACAGTGCTTGTCTAAGCAGATGTATTTAATTCTTTGACAATCATGGTGGTTAATTCTGCACTAATTCATATATAAATTAAAATAATTAGCGCCAAATATAATTAATCAATTTCTATACTGTCTCTAAATTTGACCATCAGGATAAACTATATCTACATTTCCATTTGGATATTCGATTTACTTTACTTTTTAACTATTAATCTTTTATATTATCCCATCACTGAAGAAAGTCTATTCTTCACCACTGGCATTTATGTACTTTTCAGTTCCATCTCCAAATCTAATTTCTTTTGTGCCATCATTAAAATGAATTTCAATCTATTAATTGGAAAAACGATAAATCTAAAAATCTATCTTAATATAATACATTAGGTCCATTGGCAATTGTAATTTGAGTTGTACTTGCATCAGCAAAAAAATAGATTACAGTTCCATTGGGTAAAGTCTGTTTTACATCTTTATTGGTAAAGTGGACAATCACATATCCATCAGGAAATACTTCCCTCTTGACTCCGTTATGGAAAACGACCTCTTTTTTACCATTAGAATATTGTCTAGATATCTTACCATCAGGTCCAACATTTTGATTAATTATTTTTGAAGGAACATCTTTATTCTTTCTATAACCCTGATAAAAACGATTTTGATCATAGTTGAATTCCTATTCAGAAATCAAACTATTGATATTTTTTATTGTAAATGGGATACCTTCATCCTACATTTCGACTAAATCATATTTCTTAGTATTTTATTATTACAAATTTCTTTTTTATTTTTCCTGTCTAAAATCATTCTCCTCTTAACTATCATCACTTAAGTCCTCATTTTATTATTCCTCTTCATTATCATTTTCATAATCATTTTCATCATCTGAATCTTATTTCCTATATTCCTATATCGATTACTTATGCTTTATTTATTATTCCTCCACAAAACTGTTTGGGCTTTGTCTTCTATTCTTTTGTTACGGAGCTTCTTTCTTTTAAGAAAGCCCAGAAACACTCGGTTTCAATTAAATTTACTAGGATTTGCTTTATTAAATTGTTGCTTAAGAGTTTGGCCTCTTTTATTCTAGCAATCTAAGTTCTAAGGCCTTTACCTCAGCCTATAATTCTTAATTTCTTTATAAAAGTTCTTCATTCTATTTCTTTAATCTATCATAGGATAATTTATTCTTTTGATCTTTTTGCTTTTATTCTTCTGTTAATTTTTAAACCTACTATTTTAATAATTCTATTTCTTCTCGCTCTTTTCTATTTGGTAAATTTTGTATTGTTTTTTATTGCCTTTCTTATACTCTTTTTTCTCTCAGCATTTTTTTTTTCTCTTCTTCCTTCCATTCTTCTAATTCATGTTTTTCCATTTCTTTTTACTTTTCCCACTCTTCTCTTTCTCTTTGCAACTATTTCAATTAATCATCACATTTCACTTTAGCTTTCTTTACCTTTTCATTTTCACTTTTGAATTTAGCAATTTCAGCATTTAAATTATCAATCTTGTCTTATACATATTTCCTAACAATTTCTTCTTCAGATTCTTAAGGTTAAGGCTTTTCTTATTTTTTTTCTTTTGCATCTTTTTCTTTTTTTAATCCAAAATAGGAGGTTGCAATCTTGGATTATTTAGGAGGTTCATCATTCCAATCTTCATTATCATCAAATTAATATTCTTAATATGAGTCTTGATGATTTTCAGATTCTTCTTTTTGTTTGAGAGGTTTTTATTATATTTATTATTATTATTATTATTATTATTATTATTATTATTATTATTATTACTACTTAGATGGTTATTATTATTTAGGTTGTTCCTTTGGTACATCCTATTTTTTCGCTCTTTATTAGACTTCTTTTTATTCTTACTTAAATTCAACTTTTTATTATTATTATTATAATTTTTAAGGTTTAAATTAATTGCTTTAATTTTAAATAGGAAGAGCCCCTGAAGCATTATTTTCCTTTAAAATTTCAGCATGTTCTTTCTTGGCAATATCAGATCTTTACTAAGCGTTTGATAAAAATTATCTTGTTCCTTTTTTCAAAAATGGTTTTTTCTTTGCACGTCCTTAATCATCAAAATTAGCTTCTTCAAGAGGTTTTTTAAAGTTATTTCGTGGAGGCATTTCATCAAAGTCTTGGTTTTTATTAGATTTAATAGGCATGTCATCAAATGCTGAATTTTTATTGTTTTTAATAGGTATCTCATCAAATGCTGAGTTTTTATTTGTTTTCACAGGTATGTCGTCAAAGCCTTAATTTTTATTTGTTTTAATCGGCATGTCATCAAATGCTGAGTTTTTATTTGTCTTAATAGGCATGTCGTCAAAGCCTTAATTCTTATTTGTCTTAATTGGAATATCATCAAAACCTTAATTCTTATTTGTCTTAATTGGTATATCATCAAAACCTTAGTTTTTATTTGTTTTAATTGGTATTTCATCAAATGGTTGGTTTTTAGCTGGTTTAATTGGAACTTCATCAAAGGAATTCTTTTTGGTTTTGATTGTTTAATCTTCATAACCTTTCTTTACAGGTTTAATTTGCATTTCATCGAAAGTACTTTAATTTTGCTTTGTTGAGGGGATTGGGACTTCATCAAAAGGATTAGAATAATTAGCTTTCTTAATAGGTTAATCTTCAAATTATCTCGATTTTTTTTGATTTTATTAATTTAGCCATTGTGTTTCTTCTTATTATTTAGTAAAATCATCTTGTTTCTTCGTTCTAATAGGAATATCATCGAAATTATTGCTTTTCATAGGTTTAATTGGCATTTCATCAAAGGCATTAGATTATTATTTAAAATCATACTCATCTTATTAAAATAAATTATTTTTATTAAAATTGGATCTAATTTATTGTTCATCTTGAGAAGCTTATTTAATTGGCATTTCATCAAAAGCAGATGTTTTCTTTTGTGGTTATTTTTGTTATTTATTGTACATGTCTTCATTATCTGATTAATCAAAATTTTGAATTTATTGTTTAATTTATCTCTGATCTCCATATTCATTGAATCTTTGTTAGCGTTGTTTTGGATCTTATTTATTTTTATATTAATTGAACAGTTCATTATCTGGCAGTGTGTAATCATGAAACTCATTTCTGTAATTTGAAGTTACTTAAATATCATCAAAATGAAGTTATCTATTAGTGTTTACGTTGGTTTCCTACTTAATACTAATACTTACTTCTTAGTATTTGGATGGATTATAGTTATGGATGAATTAGGATGACTATTATAATTAACATTCATCAGGTTTCATTTGGTTGTAGAATTAATTCATATCATTAACTTTGTTATGGTAAAACTTTTCTAAATCAAAACCTTGACGATAAGAAAATCAAATACCAGATGATTGGGTTTGCATCATTTGCATCATTTGCTGTTGAAACATTTTCATCATACTCTGCATCATGACATCGTTGGGATTGATGTTTTGATTTGTCATTTCATTTTAGAAAATTTGTTAGCCAAAATTGCTTCGTTGTTATTGCATTCGGAAATTGAATTCAAATTTTAACAATTAATAACTTCAAAATTAACTCCAAAACTCAAATAGAAATTATGCTTGGTGATCATTTTAAATCTTTTTCAACTTATCACAATGTTCTAAGGCTTCCTTAACGATCTCACTGGATTTGCTAGCATCGATCAACTTTTAAGTTCGAAGTTTGAATTAAAATAAATATAATATTTGAATATATGGGAATCTATCATATAATTTTTTATATTACCTATTCTCTTTCTCTTCTTCAATAACCTATTTGATAAATTCTATATTTTCATCAAGATATTTATTAATATCATGTATTGCCCCTAAAAACTCTTATTGGATTGTATTAGTATATTTAAATCCTTCATTTTCGAATGTTACATCGATTTCGCTTGGAATTAGAAATTTGGAGAACTCATCTTCACTAATCATTGTATCTAAAGCTCCATTTTTATAAATTTGATTAAGAATCCTTACTTTTAAGTTATTTAGTTATTGTTCTTCAAAAGTAATAATAACATTATTGCCTTCCACTCTTACATTGATAATTTTGAGTGCATTTTCATTATTAAACAACTCAAAGGAGTTTTCCACGTTAGTAACTGCCCTGTTAAATTATAATGTGACTGAATCATTTGAAATCTTTTCGACTTTTGTTACGCCAAAGGGTTAAACAACACCAATTAGCCATCTATGATATAAATAAACACCGTGTTCTTTTGGTTGTATATAAATTGCTTATTAAATTAGTTCTGTTTCTTCTTTCAATCTATCAAAAGGCAATGGTAGTAAACCTAAAATTTTATCAGTTTTAATTCTCTCAATGATATTTTCAGGTTAATTGTAATTTTTCATAAAAAATTTACTTCTGAAGTGATAGGCTGAAAAATTACTAAAGTTTTATTCAATCTAAATAGTATTATTAATTTATACATACCTTTTTCTTGGTAAATTCATCTTCTCTTCCAAAAGCACAAATTGATGATAGCCAATTTCTATAATTCCAAACATGAAAATTACGTTCATCTCTATCCAACATTTTGCTGCATAATTCATATTCTTGTTTGATGGCTTCTATTAATTTAAGTTAGTTGTCTTAATTACTTTATAATAGGATTAATTAAATACATTGAACTAATGAGCTAATCTATTTCTTAGCTTCTTAAAACCATCCATTATCGATGAGTCCAAAGAGTGTATGATTTTGGATGCTATTTTAGTAATATTGCTATGAGCATGAACTCAGATTGAATCAATTTGACTAATTATTTATATGCATCTATGCTTTTTGATTCCGTAAGTAATCCTCCTAAATGATCAAACTTTGTTTAAAGCACTTCTCTTCTGTAATTATAAATAGTAGCAATTTCAGGACATAACTTAGCCATGAGTTCTGAAAAAGCTAATTGATCTTCAGGTTAATTCACTTAATTTTTCCTCACTTTAAAAAAATAGTCTAAAGAATCTAATATCTATTGTCCTTTTTCTGCTCTTTGCTTTATCTCTTCTTCAGACAATGTTTCAGTCCTTGATTTAGATTAACCATGCATCATCTTTTATCAGAATATATAAAATTAAAAAAAATAATTTAAAATACATCATTTGAATAAGCCTAGATTATTTCTTTTTCTTCCTGTATACTTGGTGGTCTTTTTAATTTTCCTGCCTAATCTAGCCTATTTTTCTTTTCTTTTAATAATCCATAATTTAGATTTTTCATTTACTTTCTTTTATTTTTTTTATTTCCTAATTTTCTTTTGTTATCTTCCAATAACTTTAACTTTTTCATCATCTGATTCTTCAACTAATCCTTAAATAACATCCATAGTCTTTTTGGATGATTATCCTCCTAGTTGTACAACTAGATAAAGCTTTTTGGCTTTAGCGGAATTAGGATAGTCAACAACAATGTCACCACTAAAACCTAATTACATAACTCTTCTTTAGAATACCTGCTCTTAAAGCGGCACTAGTAATCATATTTATTTATTCGTTGTTTTCAGGATAGAATTGAAAAACTCCTCTTCCATTATTTTTTAAGCAGTTTCTTAGCGATTCAAAGAAAACTGTGCATCTTCTATAAGGGTTTTCTGATTTCTTGAAACTCACACATAACCATTAAATGACAGAAATTGAAATAGCCGCATCAAAGACTCCTGGTCTAAATTTAAAACCTTGACCAATATCGCATAGTAATAATTCCCCTTCTGTCTTTTCTTATTGAGCTACATTCAACATTGATTCTGAAATATCTAATCCTACCCAATTCACTCCTTCTTATGTTAGATAAAACCCTGAAATCCCAGAACCACATCCAATATCAAGTACTAAACTGCATTCATCTAGATTTAGATCCAATAATTAGATGGCTCTTTCACTTAATTAAGTTTGAATATTGATAATTCTATTGCAATTAGTATATTTAACACTTTCCTATTGATTATAGTACTAGAGGATGACTATATGATGATACTTACTAAATTTGGTGGTAATTGTGATTCTGGTCGTGACATTAATTTTTTATAAATTAATTTTATAATTCAATGTTTTATATTCTCAAATTAATCGGAGCATCATGTCTTTAAATTCTTTCAGAGAGAGCAACCCATCTCCATTTTTATCAACTTCTGCCATCAGAGACTCCCAAGTTTCTTAAGGAAGTTTATTTCCAGATTAAAACATTTGCTTCAACTCTTCAATTGTTATTGTTCCACTATTATCTTTATCTATGACTTTAAAGGCCTACTCTAATCGCTCTTAAGTTAAGGCAGTCTTTCTATTAATAGTTGCCATCACAAATTCTGAGTAATCAATAATACCAGATTGATTTTTATCTACTGACTACATAATCTAATCAACTTATAAAATGGCTTCCGATTCAGGCATTATCTTCATATAACCTTCAAGTAATTCTTTCTTTGTCAAAACCCCATCAGAGTTTTTATCAAGACTTTAAAATGTTTTTAGTAGTTCTTCTTTCTCTTCTTTGGTTGTAAATTGCTTTATTATGTACATGTAAGCTGCCTCTTGAATTCTTTAAGTAGTCTATCATTAGTTATTATTATTATATACTCTAAATGTCTTCATATTTGTTAGGACACTTTCCAGGACTGGAGCTTTAACTTCTTCCTTTGTATATTAGAGTATCCATGGATCATTTAGACACTCTTATGCTGAATATCTTTTAGATTATTGATACTCAAGCATCTTTCGGATTAATTATTTAGCTTCTGGTGAAACACTTAACCATTAAGTTGAAGACAATGAATAAGTTCCCTTTTTTATTGATTCGAAGATTTCATCATCAGTATTCCCATCAAAGGGAGGCTTGCCACTTAATAATATATATAAGACAACTCCAGCTGACCAAATATCACACTTCTCATTATACTATTCGGTAAACATCTCGGGTGCCATATAGTAAGCCTTTTAAAAGTTAAATTATGCTTACTGTTCCAATAATTTCTCTCAAATTCTTTCCTGTTGTTCTTTTAGATGTGCCAAAATCGATAACTTTTAACTGACTATCTTTCTTATCACTCTCATACAATAAGTTCTCTGGTTTTATATCTCTATGAACTATCCTCTAATTATGGCAATAGGCTAAAGCCTGTAATATTTGTTTCATGATCTTTGCTGCATCAATTTCTGAAAAATTATGAATCTCCATCAACTTATCATACAATTCTCCACCTGTACATAGTTCTGTTATTATGAATAATTTCTGATTTGTTTCAAAAAAGTCATAAATCTTTATTATATTTGGATGATCCTAAACTTATTTTGTTAGTTTACTAGTGATTTCAAAATGTTAACTTCATTGATAATATTTTGATATTCTTCAGAATGTTTACTATTTATTTGCTTTATTGCTCTAAATTACCCACTGGCTTTATGCTTTGCTTTCCAAACCACTCCAAAAGCTCCTTCTCCCAAAGGAGGCTGAATCAATTCATAATCACTTAAGCTGCCTTATGTGCCTTCATAAATATCCTTATAAGGTTAGCGATGTTCCTAATTGAATTGTATCATATTGTACATCACACTCAATTTCCTTCTATTGTTATTTGCATTAACAAGCACCCATCTATAAATCAATTTAATAAACAAACAAATTATCGAATATCTTGATTTTATAAGTCAAATTAGTAAATTATTTTTATATTAAAAATTCCAAGGAAATAATTATTTTAATAGATATATTATATATTTTACTACACCTATAAATCTTACATTATTTATGCATATATTCAACTAAACTATGATATAATTGATCACTAATTTTTTATATTGGTAAATTTTAAATAAATAAACCTTTAACCTTAATCTTAATCTTATTACCGCATAAGTATACTTTTAAAGTATTAAATAATAAGGTTAGTTTATAATTAACTCAAAAATTACAAATTTTTATATATGAAATATATCTCAATATAAAAATTTCAAGGGTTTTACTATTCTTATTATTTTTCATCTTGTTCGAGTTCTTCAAGCTTTCTCTTTAATTATGTCACAGTATTCATCATAAAATCAAAAGAAATCTTTGATTAATCTAAAGTAGATCTGGATGATTTGGATTACATTGATTTATTTGTTGAAATGTTTAAGCCTTATTTATTGAGATAAATCTATTAAAACATAAGAAAATACTCTTTAAGTGCTTGGAATCTTTAATTTTAGTTGATTTATTTGGCCTGTAGATTATCTCTATAATTAAAAGTATTTATTTGATAGGGTTGTACTAGGAATCACAGTTATTGGAGGCTATTAATTAGATTGGTTGGATTATTGTGATTATTGAGTTTATTGCTATTTCTTAGCTGTATAGATAGATGGTTATGATGCCTTTTAAGGAGTTTATTCAATTTATTTGGTTCCAATTTCTTAATGAGTTAAATTTTAAGATTTTCTTGACAAGCGTTTTTATTTTTCAACAGGTAATTCTGATATTGATGGGAGATTAGGCAATTGGTTAAAGGTTAATCTATTAGCATTCAAACTTGTATTGGATAAAAGAAGTTTCTCCTTTTCATTCTCTTCTTTGGCATTAACCAGCTTTCTTAATTTTTAAGACATCAAATCTCTAAAATAGTTTATTAAGATTTTTACGCTTTTCTTTCAAATTGGGTTTATTCACACTATTATGTATATTACAAAAAACAATCCAAACAAACTTAAGTGGTTAAGTCTTTCCAACTTTAATTTTATTATAATTATTAATATTTTTCTTCATTAATTTTACCCCAAACTTTGAGAATCAAAGGAGGGATATGATTAAAATTGAACTTTTAATCCTCTTATTCCTCATTCAATAATTAAACTAACTCTTTAATTGATGTATATAATTCATTTTCTGTTAATTTATTTTGGCATATCTTTTTCTTTTCAACTAAAATATTATTTGAGGGATTATCATTCTGAAATTCATTCTATACCTCATATTCTAAATATCAAAATGATTATTACCTTCTTTAAGGTTCTATTTTTATCTCACCCTTATGTTTCTGGAAAAAGTGACTTTAGGAATTTATTAATCTTTTTTCTATTTAATCTTCTCTAGTTCTTCAGGCAACCTAGTAAAGTCTTTCTTCACTAAATTCTTATATTTTAAATTAATACTTATTTAAAGCTTTCAATAATAAATTGTAATTTCAATTGATACAGTTAATGAGAAAATCTATCGCAATTGCTACAGATATTTTTAAATTAATAAAGGAGAGACTGCATTTCACCTTGGTTATTTATTTTAATAACAGTCTAAGCCTATTCCTTTGCAAAAGACACTGGTTCTTGATCTTTTCTTAAAACCCTAAAAATAGGAGAAAACACTCTTGGCTATTGCATTATGTCATTAAACTTATCCTTCACCTTAATATTAGTACAAAAAAGCAACCATATCCTATTTTCATAATCTACTTTAAAATATAGGACCATTCTTATTATTTAAATGTTGCCACCTGACACTTCTAAAATGTGCTTTACTATATTCACACATAATTATTCTAAATCTGCACTTAATAAAGGAGAATTAATTGAGTCTGCTTATATTAAATATTCTGGTCCATCAAATGTAGCAACTCGTTCAACTTGAGTCTTCCTTGCATCATTCATTTTATTGATATTTGTCTTCCTCATAACCAGGCAGAATTACGGTGACCAAGTGACTTTGATCAAAGAATTCTAATCGTTTTTCGGGTATATAAATCTTGTATACTGAAGATTCTTACTTTTATAGGACTAAATTTAAGTCTTTCTCTCTCTAATGAAGAAATATTATAAAATTCTCATAATCCAAATACTCAAATGTAATAATCTCTTGCTATTTATTTTGCATCTGAAGTATATATATAATTTTAAATTATACCTGACTTGTCATTAATTAAGCCACTGTATTCTCCTACTTAAATGAACTTTCAACTTGATCTATAAAAACTCTCTCCTTAGTTTTCCTGATAATTTACCCGTCCGATACAGTAAAATATCCTTAAATTATGATGGTATTTACTAAAGTATGGCTGAGCCCAACGATAAATTATTGAATCTGCAACAAAAATTCCATCACAACTATGTCCTGTTTTTGGATTTTTTTTCCATATATGAAAGAATAACCACTCTGTACATGTTCCCAATTTCATAAGTAACAACCTAATTTATTTATTATATTAATCAGTTTCGAAATCATAATCAATAATCTTAATTTATATAAATAGGTGATATTGATAACTTTTGGGTTGCTTCACATTAGAATTATTGCATTTTAAACAACAAACTTCCTTATGTGTAGTAATTGTATATTACTCTTTTTAATCATCTAAAAATATACAAATCTATATTTGTCTTAATAATAAGAACCCAAATAGATCGAATCCAATTTACAAAAATAGATTCAAATCTAATCATAATAAATGATTTATAATAATGTTTAATCAAATAATATTCAAAATTACTTATTAATTTACTTTAGAAGATCTTCCATTGCTTAATTATGAGTCGCTAAACCTTATTTGTAATCATTACAAAGATTTTTAACAAGCTAATTAATATTTCTTAAATTATACTTAGAACACATCATTAAATTACTATCCATCCTCTTCTTGCACTTCATTAATTTGCAGTTTTAGCTTTAATAACTTTTCAGTAATGTCTTAAATAATTATTATATTTTATACCTGTTAGCACTTTCTCAATATTTGAAACTGATTCTATATATTTGTCCACTTCTTATTATAATTAATTATCCAATTCATCAAGCTTTTAAACTAACCCTTATGTTTATTAATCATCATCTCCATTCCCTCCCTTTTTCTTTTTGAGTTTATTTAAATCATCTTGACTTTTGGCTATTTATTTTTCTAAATCTGTTCTTCTTTTATCGCTTTAAGTAGATTCCTTTTCTAAATTATCAAGTATTGGTTTTTATTCTTGAATAAACTTTCTCAATTTATCAATCTCTCCTTTTATATCATCTTTCTTCAATTACTGATTTTCCTTTTATAATTGATCTATTTATTTCTATTTTTCTTTAATTTCATCCTCTTATTACTTGGCTTACTCTTTAAGATTTTGTACTTGAGCATCAAGAGCATTGCATTCTTCATCCAAATCCTTATTTTCTTTCTCTTTCTATTTTAGTTGACTATTAGCTTTATCCAAATCTTTCTTTGCCTAATTTTATGCTTAAATGGCATTTTTAGCATCTTGTTCTGCTTTCTATAATTTGTTTTTAACTGCCTCTGGGTCTAATTAAGCTATTTATTTTTCAGCTTAAGCTAATTTGTTTTAGGTATCTTTTAATTGTTTTTTCAAATCATTCAAATTTTACAATTCTTATTTTAGTTTTTCAACCTCATTAACAGCTGCTTATCTTTATTAATCTAATTGATCACATTCGGCATCCAAATCCTTTACTTATTTTTCTAAGTCCTTTCTTTATTGATCCTTATCTTTCTACTCTTTTTGTTCCTTTTATTTCTACTCTTTTAGTTTATTTAATTCATTTTATACTTTAGTTAATTAATCTTCTTTTTATTTTAATTATTATTAGGCCTTATTTAATTCATCATTGAGTCTTTTAATTTCTGAGTTTTCTTGTTATTCCTTTATTTTTTATTATAGTTTTGCATCTAAGTCATCACATTCCTTATTGAGATTATTAACTTCATTTTATAAATTTTTCTTCTCTTTTTCTTGTTCTTTAATTTAATCTTTCAATTATTTGATTTCATTTTATGCATCCTATAGTTAATTTTTCAATTAATCCTAAGTCTTATTCTATTTCTGCTCGGTATTGTTAATTTAATCTTGTAATTTTTAATTTTGTTTTTTTGACTCATTTAATTATTTATTTAAATCATTATTATTTTATTGTAATTATTTATTTTCTTACTATTTACTTTAATTGTCTTACTTTGACTTTTCTAAATTATCTTATAATTTTTAAATATCTTTAGCTTGTTAATCTATTTATTTTTATTTTTAGGTAATATCTTTATTTAATTAATTAATTTAATCATTTAATGAATTAATCTCTTTTTATAATTCTTTATTTTCTTACTCATATTCATCCAAATCCTTATTTAATTGTTCTGCATCGTTGTGCTTATCATTCAATTCTTTTTATGCTTTGACTAAATCTTTTTATTATTGCAATGCCTTTTCCTCAGCCTAGTTGAACTTTTAATGTAAATTATTATTATCTGAAATTAAGTTTTATTTTTCTTTATTTAAATCTTTGATTTCTTATTCAAGATCTTTAATTTAATTTTATTAATCTTTAACTTTTTATTCTAACTCAGCAATTTTTTCATCCAATTGATCCAACTCTTGATTGGCTGTATTAATCTATTTTGCCTATTCATCATTTTTATCCTTCAATGTCTTATTATTTTTGTCCAATGTAGCAGTTTTCTTAAGTTCTGCATCCAACTTCCTCTAAACATCTTTAACTTCTCTATCTCTCTTATTATCAGCATCCTTGAGTTCTTTTTGTAATTATGATATTTATTTAGTCTATGCCTCCAGTTAATTGGCCTAATTAGAATTGTCCTTTTCAAGTTGATCTATAGTGTGATCTTTTTCATCCTCTGTTGCTTTAGCATTGTCTAATAACTCTTTGATTTGTTTTTCATAGGAATTCATCTAATCTTACAATTACTTTTCAAGCTGTTAAATGTATTAAGCCAATTGTTTAATTTTGGCTTGAGCATCATTATATTGCCCTTCATAGTTTTATACTCTTTACAAATCTTCAGCAAAGAATTGCAATTGATCTTTGAGGGAATCGATTTCTGCCTACTTCTCTTAAAGTAGTTTGTAATATTGGTCATTCTATGTAACAATAACTTAGTTATCGTGCTACATTTCTGCCAATTTAGCAAGGGTGTCATTGATGATTTCTTATTACCTATTAATTTCTCCATCCTTTAATTTGATGATCTTCTCCTTGCCTACTATAAATCTTTCTCTATCATTAACTGAATTTCTCAAATATTACGCCTCCTTCTATAAAGTGCTAATTTGGTTAGCTTGATTCAAGGTATTTCTTTGTTCTATCTCCAACATCTATCCTAGACTTTGTAGTTGTTCATCCATAACTTATTTACTAAGATATGCGTCATCCAACTTGGTTTGCAAAATTTACAATTCGTTTTTTAAATTAGCATTTTCTGCCAATGCCAGTTGCAATTCTCCATTTCTGGATCTTGATTTTACAATTTCATCATTTGCATTTTATGATTTCAGTTCGGCTATCTCTTTATCTTTACCTATTACAACTGATTTTAGATATTCGGCTTAGTCTTGGGTTTCCTTCAAAAGTTCTGAGTATTCGTAATTTTCCTCTTTGAGAAGACTAATTTCAGACTCGTATGTCTCCTTCATTTTTTCAGCTTCTTGCTGAAGCCTTTCAATTTCGTCGCTTGGATTAACCTTTAACTTCAGTGCTCTTATTTCATTATCTTTCAACATCAAACTTAGTTTGAGCCTAGATATCTCATCTGATTGTTTTTCTGGTTCTGGAGATTAATTACTCATTTTTATTAATAAAGTTTATTTATATATGACTGAGTCTTAGTGTTAAATTTGCATTTAATTTGAAGCTGAAGATATTTGTATCCTCTCTGAAATGCTAAGTTAAATTACTACTCCAATTTCTGGTATGAAATCGAATATTTACATAGACCATAAAATACCTATTCAGATGTTCCCATACATTTTTAAAAGTTTGAAGTTCCGTAAATGTCTTGCTCAAATATTTGATACCAAGTACCTTGAAATATGCGAAAAATGCTCACATAATAGACTTTAGCAAGTGTTTTTGCCCTTATTTTCATCTGCTGTTACTGAATATAATGAAACTTAAATAACTTAACAAATAGAAGAAGGATTAGACAAATTATATGATTCCATACAAGAGAAACAATAAAAACTCAAGTAATCCAAAGAATAGTTTGATAAACTGGCTTCTCAATTGTTTAATTGTGAAGATGACGTAGAAGAGAGCAATTCATTAGGAGAGGAAAGCAGTAGCAATGAAGAAATCAGTAAAAAATATTTATTTAAAAGTAAAAGAAAAAAATGAGGATGATGACCAACAACCCATAATGCAGTTTAACAAAAATTCTAACAAGAACAAATTTCAGAAGAGATCTATAGACATTCTTAAAAAGTGGTTTTTGGATCATCTCGATAATCCATATCCAGATAATACAGAAAAGTAGAGACTCTCCAAGATTACTGGAATGCACGTTCGATAAGTACCTCAAAATACCATATATTTTATAGATTTAAAATTGGTTTACAAACTCAAGAAAAAGATATTTGGAACCTTTAAAAAAGAAATTTGAGCATGGACTAATGAAGGATAGTGATAGTTAAGAGGAAGACTCCTCTAAAGAATAGAAAAAACCGTTAAAGACAACTTAATAGCAACAACAATAATAATAATAATAAATAATCTAACCTTAATAATTGAATATTGCTTCGTAATAATTACAATAATAATAATTTTAATAATAATAATAATAATTTTAACAATAATAATAATAATAATAATAGCAATTACAATAACAATAATTGCTTCAATAATAATTTCAAATGCAAATACCCCTTTAAAAGAAGGTGAAAATGGAGGAAGGAAGCCAAAATAAATCCTCAGATCCAAACAACATTAAGTAGGAAGCTAAAATTGGATAATTTCCTTCAGATCTTTTATAATTTTAATAGCCTAATCAATTTTAGTAATTCTAATAGATGTAATAGATTGCTCAATTATAACAATTACAATGGCTTAATCCTCTAAATTAATTGAATCCTCCTCTTTAATTTTAAATTCCCCCATAATTTTTATCTCAATATTATAACTTCTAAGATCAATCAAAAACTCCTCCTCTTAACGGAATACCCTAAATGCACTAAGTTCCTCTATTCCAAATATTGCCCTCATTGCAATAAGCTGGATTTCAATAATTCTTATAACAAGGTCCAGGATAACCGATTTAATAACAAGTTTAAGTTCCAAATATGTAGGCTTAATTACCTTAAGTGTCTAACATACAAGCACTTTAAGCAGGATTTTAATAGTTAAATGGACAAATTTAAAATCCTTAAAATGGAATATTGTACCCAATGTATTAATAGTAAATGCTTAATGAATAAAAGAAATGAAATCAATAGATTTTTATTTTTAATTGCATAAATTTATAATATATTTAATGAACTAAATCAAAGAAGTTAAGGCTTTTTATGAATTTATGTTTTCATATTAGGTTATTAATTTAATATTTCCTGTATTTTCTTTGCATGAAAATTCTGAATCTCAGTTATGAGTTATTATGGGAGAGCTTGCACACTTTTATTGGGTTGAAATTATTAAACTTAAATGTCATTGAGTGACTTATTTTAATTAATCTTTTTGGTTCCTCCTTTTGTTAACTTATTTATTGCTTCATTAATTGTAATTCTCTTGTTTGGATCGATTTGCATCATTTATAAAACAAGATTGACATGCTCTAAATTGCCAATCTTATTTTTTATTCTTTCCTCTAATTTTTCTTATTTAGTACTTAATATCAAGTCAAAGATTTCTTAGTTACTGTTACCCATGAATAAGACCTCCCCAGAAAATAGTTCATAAATCACTGCTCCTAGTGCCCAAATATCCACTGAAGCATTATAACCTATAGCCTTATCAGATAAACCTTAAATTTGTTCTGGAGCCATATAATGAGATGTACCGCATTTATAGGTTTATGAACTCTATTTAGTACTAGATAATCCAAAATCACATATTTTGTAAGTTATCTAGGTGTTTTCTCCATCGATAAAGGAGAACACTAGAATATTCTCTGGCTTTAAGTCTCTGTGTATTATTTTCTTTTCATGAAGTTCCCTTATACCATTTGCAATTTATTTAATTATATAGCGAGCATCTTGATGATTTAATTTTTCTTGATGAATTACATCTTCTAAGCTTTTTTCGCAATATTCCATCAAAATAAAATATTCTTTAGTTTAACTATTACACAAACATTCTATAGTGTTTACAAGATTTTTAAATTTTATTCCTTTGAGCCCAGAAAGAATTTTTTTTTCTTCTTCATTCATTTACTTTTAAACTTTAAGAGCAAAATATAAATTAGAGTTTTCTTTATTTAATAGAAAGACTTACCCAAAACTGCCTTGTCCAATTAGCTTTAAAACTTTATATTTAATTTATTAAATTTCTACATGTGCATTCTTTAGAATTTTCTCTAATGTTAAAAGAGTAAACGAGAAAATCATTTATCCAGGCTCATAAAATGAATTGTGATGATGATGAGTTCTTCCTAAAAATTATTGAATTTTTTCATCTGTTGGATTTTAAATTCTAAATATAGTTTATTATTGGGTTGGTACAGGTCTAGGAGTTAGTAAAGCCTTTTCGGTCTTAATTATGTTTGAGGGATTGTGCATTTATTGTAAATAAAATTTATTAACTATTAATGATAGAAATACTATATAATAAAAATATCAAAATATAAATATTATTGATAGCTTTTGAAAAAAATTATCTAATCTAACAAATCGATAAAAAATAATTGATTTCTTTATTCATACCAAATAAAGAACTTAAAAAAATTCTCAAAATTGAATCAAAATTTCAAAGGAATAAATTCTACTTTAATTCCTCCCTTTCTATGTAGGAATCGTTATACTATTGTTATATTCTCTCATTTACATAGCTTTGATGTTAACTATACTTAAAACTACTATGACTCATTCTCCTTTGTTTATTGAATGCAGCTGGTGTGTAATAATAATCATCACTAGAATAAGACAGAGACTTACTTTTCATATTTTTAAGGAGTGTGTGTCCATTACAGAAAATTCTCTTTGTTTGAATTATTGTTTTCCTTCTATTACTTCTTAAAAAGCAGATATTTTTTATGCATTCTATTTCTTCTGGGATGCTTAATAATAGTTCTATTTCTCATATCATTCTATAAGATATTAATTATTATCTACATATTATTAAATTCTAATTGCAGTACTTTCTCTGCTTTATTAGATTGGTTATTATTTTGGTTGTTCCTCTTCTTCGTCTTCAGAATCAGTGAGTAAACTCACATAGGTTTTGTTGAGAAAGATGATTTCCAAAGCTTTCCTTTCAAACTCAATCTCAAATTGCTCAAAATAGGAAGGTCTTCCTTCATAAAATTAATAGATACAACCCTTTTTAGAGAAACTACTATTTGATGCCTAATAATTTATGTGTGAATTCTGGGATCCTTTTTTTCATTCCAGAATTCCAATGATTTTTAATGGCATTGTCTGTTCTTCCTTCTAAATGTTTAGCGATTTCTGCCCATTTATTGCTAATCGCTTTATGATATAAGAAAAGCAGCCATTCCTCACTTAAATCCCAAGGAGTCTTTTTAATCAAAGGATTTAGGTGATTATGCCATCTAAAGACAATCAAAAAAACCAATACCTCTCTCTGCATTATTTTCCAATCCTTCCTGGTAATTTGGAGGCTATAAATGTCCACTTATGAGGACCGTATTATTCGACCAATTACATTACCTGGGTGTCTTCATAATCAGTCCAAGGTTCTAAAGATAAATGAGAGCGGATACTTTTTTTTGTTTTCTCTATTTTCTTTCGCATTTTAATTTTGAAATAATATATTTAACTGATGAATAACAAAATAAGAAATAAATAATCAAAAAATATCGTAATTTCTCTGAATTTAGTCTCAAAACTAAAGTAATCGTATCTTTACACATATATATATGTCAAATTAAATACAATATATTTTATAAAAATACTCAAACAGCGTCATATATAGCAATTATAGTAATTGTGCTTAATACTAATACATATATCAATATTAGCAAAACTGAAAGATCTCTGGCGAAATGATACTTCTTTACAATACCATATAAAAAAGTGATTATCAATACAAATAGAGTGGAAAATATGATGATAATCATTATCTATAATAATAAGGTTTCTATTTACTAAATTTTATTGAATTAGATCTTTATTAAACAAATCGAATTCAACACTGGCACCTGTTTTCAAATTAGTTTTCACAAGTGATATGCCTAGACCCACTAGTAATCCAAAAATTTACCCAAAATATCTATATATCATGAACTTTGATACGCTCCTGTTATTCCCATAATGGCATACCCTTATTTGGCAAGAGTCATGGTAACTATTCCATCTGGTAGTGCATTTCCCATAGCAATGATTGTCATGCCTAAGTAAGAATTGGATAGATTGGTTAGCATTCCAAAAAAGGTAAGAGTATCTATGAGTATTCCACTCAAACAATAGATCCAAACCAAGGATACTATGGTTATGTAGATCTAAATGTAAATGTAGTAGCTAGGTAATTGCTATTTTAAATTTGGAGTATATTACATTATCTTATGGATATGATGTTTAAATTGCAATGACTAATACAATAGAGATGGACAATATGTATAGATAGCTGAAAATGTCGTAATTATTTGATCCTAATATGAAGTAGACGAAGCTAAGACTTGGGAAAATGGTAATTAGCAAAGTAGATTTGGTTACATTAGAAGAGGGAGGTATACTATATTTCAAGATGAATCTAAAGGGGATGTCTACAACACAAAATGTTTTATCAGCACAAGTCTTTTTGTTATCTTGATTGAGATGAGCATCTTGCAATTCAGGTTGGATTTCCTCAGTTACCTAGGTTTCATCCATCACATTTTCAATTAAAAATTCATCAAATTATTTTTTAGATCGACCTATTTAATGTATAAATTTATACTTGAAAACTTGTCTTAAAATAATACTATAATTACTAAGATTATATAAATTAACAATAAGAATGCAGAATCAATCAATGAAAATCCGCCCACTATTCCATATATAATTACTATGATTGTTGCAACAATATAAAATAAGATATCTCTCCAAATAAAATACGATTTCATGACTATGTATGATTGTGAATTAATTATAGTTATTCCAACAACTAATGTGGCCACAAAAAAACCTGCTCCATATAAAGAACCGATATTATAGCTGATGCCGTCCAAGGTTTCAGTGGCCACAATTGCAGTGACGACATCTCCAGCCCTTTAATCTATTGAACATGTGATACCCATTAGCAAAAGCCAACAAAGTGACTGCACTCAATGATTGTGAAATATTTAATTTCTCTGTTATAAACTCTATTGCAGGTGTTAAATAATACATCACTAATGTACTCATAAATCTATATAAATGATATCAACTAACCTGAATACTATCAATACTACAAATATGGCCATCAATATGAACAAAATCCAATGGCCATCGAGTTGGCAATAGATTATAGAGTAATAGTTTATGAATATTTAATTTTGAGCACATAGAGAATTGGCTATTTCGCACTTCTATTCTAAATCAGAATCACTAAAAAAGAAGGATGAGTCGCAACTCATTACAATTAATATAATAATTTATGCTTGATCATATAATGAAAATATGGAATTTTCACAGTTCTGAATTTTCAGATGGAACATGATCCTTCCCCAAGTCTTGATTGTCCATCAATAATAAATGCTCTATTAGTACATCTCCCATCATTCTATAAACATAATTTTGTAATGCCTAATCAAGAGAGGCTGATTCATGTTCCGCTTACAACAATTACGTCATCTAAGTTGATAAAGGTTACGATATTTCCCGAACCATTTCAGAACATAAATCATTCAGGTATTTTTCAATTGCTAAATCATCCAAAGCCTCGAAGATTATTGTCCTCAAAGTGTTTGGGATGATATGATCCTTTATCACTCTTGCATATTATAAATCTATGTAATAATTAGCACTTGACTCCTAAATTGCCTCCTTTGCTATGATGTATACTTCTTTATCCATGAAATTTTGAATCGTTTGAAATGCAACCAATTTCATCGGATCCTTCTCTTACTCTGGCTTATCCTTGAACCTTTAATTTAATATGCTCGTAACTAAATAATCAGTCTAATCTTTAACTACTTCATTAGCCATTCGTCTCACCACTCTATTCAATAGATCATCGATGATTCTCAAATATGCCTAATGCTTGTCGCTGTAAAGTGATAAATCTTGGTTGTATTTGTTATAAGTAATTACTTCCAATACTATGTCTGGAATAAATTTATCCTAAATATATGAACTTTCATACATACAGAACTTTTCTCAAATAATCTTCAGCATACAATTAACATACTTTTATCTTCTACTTTATTCTTGGTATTTTGAATCTCCTTACATGATATCCTTTCATTGCAGCCTGCAGCATTATCAATCTCTTCAATCGCAATTTCGGAAGCGTATAAGCTTTGAATTCATTAATTATTTATTCTGGGCTTTTTTATGCTAAATTGGATTTTAACACCAGACTTTGGATTTTGTCTTACGCTTTATCCTTCTGTTCCATAAAGTCTTTTTACCTATCATATTTTTATAGATCAATAGGTTTCTTTTGTAGTTCTACAGCCTCATAATAAGGTTATTAAACATATTTATTATTCGCAGATGTATAAATTGTTTAAGGTTTCAATTATCTAACAGGTATATCAGGAGTTACTCTTTATGATAAATTACCATAATCTTTAAATGTATTTGGATCATACCTATTATATTGAGGTTTATTGTGAAGCATAGGATCATAATAGTCCATTGATAAATTTTATGGCTTCACAATCTCATAGCCATTTCTCTAAAGCTAGCTTTGATAATTTTAATTTGTGTTTTGCTAATTCATATTTTTTAGATAGCTATAATAAAAATGTAATATAAATAATATATAAGTTTAATCATATATATATAAATCTATTAATAATAAAGCAATATTTAGATGTTTAAGATAACTCTGACATATAAAAGTAATGGCCATAAATCCAACCGTTTTTGAATTTGGTTTGATCATTATTTCATAAATTTGCTAATGTATTGAGCAATACATCATAAAGAGATAGGTTTGAACTCTCTCATCAATATTGATTTCAGAAATTCCTAAATTTTATTATTTAAAAAATCCATGATTTAATTTAAGAGAAGAGAAAGTAGAATCGCAAAAATATAGACAACATGTAAATAGAATTTAAAATAATAATATTTAATGCTAATAAAATTGACTTAACAAAAGATCATAAAGATTTGAGAGATAATTACCTTATATTTTTGCCATTCTTTCTCTATCTCTTTTACTCAAAAATATGGGATATTACAGATTAAATCTATATTATAATAAAATATAAAAATAAATTGAATTGTATTTTTGTAACAAATGATGAGGAAGATATTAAAAAATAATTTTCCAAAATTTTAGTTTTAATTAATCAGCAAAATAATATAAGATGTGATTCAAATATTATTTACTTCAATATTTTAGAGATAATGTATAAATGATATAATAAACAATTATAATTTTTCTCATAAAGAGAATATTTCAATTTTCCGAAGTATTAATAAGGATAAACAAATGATCGAATTTTCTACTCTATTATCTTGCAGGCGACCTTTAATAAAGTGTTTACTTATGATTTTAATTCTCAATTTTATTATCTATTATTAATACTCATTGTATTAAAATTTAAGATTAAGCTTTTGTTTTAAATTATATAAATAGGTAACATAAATATTTATAATGAACTTTATGAATACTCACTCATAATTTAACATCTAAAGAAAAACAATACCTCGACCAACAATATCAAGATAATTTACAAGAGAAAAAAGCTAAACCAATTTTAACCCAGCAACTCCATCAGTAAGTTACTTATTGTTATGACTTAGACTAAATTTCGTATTACAAATAGCATTCAGCAAATAAATAGAGATAAAATCCAGAAGGTAAGTGGGAACTATTTTAATCAAAACGATGATACAACTGGGAGCACAAAAATGTCTAAAGGAATGACTTAGCAATTATTAAAAAAACATGAAATTGAATTTAAGCAATCGTGGTTTGAATAGGAAGATAGAGAAGAGGAAATTCAATTCGCTCTTCTTCTCTAAACTCTTGATAAGATCTTGTGATTCTATACTTGCATACATATGATAAGTGTTTTTAATCGAATGTGTTTATAATTAATAAATATAATTTTGTTTAGAATTAGATTATTTCATTCAGTATAGGGATAATTTATAGATGCACTAGACAATTTTAAGAGATAATATAATAAATATTAAATTATATACTAATGAATAAGACCCACTGATTCAACGTTTATATTTTGAAATTTCTCTTAAAAATAACTCTCTTAATCTCGGAATTTATAAATCACCTTCTTATTCGAAATCTAAATATATAGGTCCTACAATATAATGAATATTGATACCAGGAGCAACGATTTCTTTCTTTTTATCCCTGACTTTTTAAAGCATTGGGTGTTCAATAGCTTGATCCAAAGTGATTCTAATTTTCGGACTGAATTATAGACACTTATCTAAAAAATCCAAAGCATCAGGAGGAGCTCCTGGAAATATTTCTACAAATGCAACCTTAGGTTTTTTTGGAAAACTCTTCAAATATTCTATAGCTTTTTTATCAGTTACAAAATCCATATCCCTATTTTATTAATTACTTTGATACTTGTCTCCAGGTGTTCCTAATACAGAAAAGATAACAGTGAGCTAATCAGTGTTCGAATATGGAAATCCTCCTTTCTTAGCTATGGCACTTCTTTCTGGACTAAGTGGAAAACAACTGGTTCCAGGAAATAGAGGTGCTCTATCTAAAAATGTTGGCGCATTTTCTTTCATCATATTTAACAATTCAGCAAAGATACAACCCACAGACCAAACATCAATAGCTGCAGTATAATCTTTTTCCAACAAAATAACTTCTGGGGCTCTATACCATCTAGTTACTACATGACCAGTTAACTCTCTTTTTACAGCTTTTGCGTTTAATTTGTTTTATTTTTAGAGCATTCTAGGTCCTTTTTTCTCATCTTTCTTTTTAGGTTCTTCCTATTACCTAGCTAGTTCTTCTTCCAATGCCTAATCAGTAGCATCAATTCCTAGAAAATAATAAAGATAATTGAGCACCTTGAACACTTCTGGCTAAACCAAAATCGCAAATCTTAACCGTGCAATCTTCATTTAATAGAACATTTGCTGGCTTTAAGTCTCTATGTAAAACCTTAGCAGAATGCAAATATTTGAGACCTACACATATATTATAAACAATAGTTTGGATGTGCAGAAATTATAAATGGATTGGGGATTTGAATAATTTTTTTAAGTCACTCTTTGATAGTGCAAATAATTACTTGAGCATACTCCATAACAACATATATTGTATCAAATGATTTCGGATCTTATGGTTCTAGAATTTCTATGATTTGAATTAAATTTTGATGCTTCAATTCCCTCAAAATGCAAATTTCCCTTAAAATTCTTTTGCAATCAATTTCATCATCAAATATTGCAGTCAATCTTAAATATATAAATTTATATTGTACCTCTTAATAGCGACTTTCTTATTAGTAGATTTTTACATAGCTTCTACAACTTACCCATATGATCCTGATCCTATCTACCGGATTATCTCATAATCATCTCCAACTTACCAATCTGAGAAGTTTTTTGGAAGTTAAGATAATTTTTAAAGTTTCTAGGCGTCCTACATTTAATATATTAATAATATAAATAAAATTATTTTAAGATTAATAAGGATCAGACTATCTGACAGAACATACTCAAAATATCAAATAATAGTATGAGTATTTGAACTAGTGAGGAAATTTGATTTGGATTTTAATTTCTCTTTAAAAATTCTTCGACTCTACAATAAACAAAGACAACCTTACTTATAATGAATAGTACTCTAGAATTACTATAGAGTAAAATAATATTCATATCTTACAAATATGAATTTATATTCTAAATACAATTATGTTGGTTAATAAAAAATACATTTATCATTTTATTTTAATGAAATCTTTTTTATTCAGTAAATTAAAAAGCTTCATTTATTAAGAAAAAATATTGAATTAATCTAACTGAATCTAGTTTATTGATTTAAGCATCTTTAAACATGGTTTAAATAGAAATTCAACACTATCTAGAATCCCATTTTTATAAATTTAGGGTATTACATAAAATAAATAATCCATTTGTTATTCCAGAAATATGTCTTAGAATTCTAATTTAAACCAATATTTTAATTTATAAGGCCTAACCCAAGAGTCTCCTCATCAGATATATTATAGTTAAGCTATCTCCGAAATTTCAGTGATTGTACAAAAATAATCCTATAAAAGAAGATTTTTGAATGAAATTAACTTCATAATTGAATAAATCAACATTAGGCAGGATTGAGTTCAAAATTTACTTCCCATAATAGATATAGAGTATATGGATTTAATGTGATTGCTCTGTAATATTTAGAATAAATCAGATAAATGTATGGGTTATATAGAAACAACTAATAAACTACCTGATAATCCTAAACTGCGAAATATGGATGCTTGAGAAGTTAGATGATTATAAAAGAGTAGGACTTTTTGGTTCGCCTAAAAAAATCAGTTACTAAACTAATTTAGGAGTTTTTATAAACAAAATAATGGTGTAGAGAAATGATGCGTAAATTTTTCATTGACCTCGATAATATAATATTATATTAAATAATCATTTCTAAAATACAAATTATAATCACAATTTATAAGGTAAACCCTTACTCCTTTTTGAATTTTTAATAAGACTATATATACTAAAAATGTTATACTTTTGTTTTAAAAAGAGATTCTCTATGTTGTTGAGAAGATTTTAGTAAGTAAGAGGTGGAAGCTTATTTCCTTTTTTCTCTGGATGCTTAAATTAACACCTTTCTCCGTAGCAACAATACCTAATGTTAATTATTCAATATATACCCATCCTTGGTATAATTTTTACAAATTTGTGTTTTGTAATTATGTGGAACATGCACCTTTTGCCTAATTTCATGTTTTCCATGAGCAAATGCACACTAATTTAATTATACTTCAATATACTTGTTTTCCATAAGGGCAATAGCCTTCTATTGACCAATATTTGCAAATCTATAAATAAATAAAGACTGGAAATACCTCAGTTTTGACTTTCACGATGAAGGAAGTCTTATTTTTGTTCTTTTATAACTTTTTTATTTGGCGTTCACATTCGTCTTAAATACTTTCACTATATATGGTAATGCTAACAAAATACCAACTCAAGCCTTGTGAAAGATTATCATTCTCGTCTTAAGTTGAAACATTGCAACACTATTACATTATATATATTCTTAAATATCTTAATAATATTATTAACAAATTATTTAATCATTTTTGGATTAAATAGAATCATAAAATTAATAATGTAATAAATTAATGATTGTTATAATATTATTAACAATTAAGAAAATCTATGAAATCATCATATAGTAGCAATATCAAAGGCTATAACAGCAGTCCTATATTTGATATAAATAATAAATATAAATTTTGAACTTAAAAGAAATAAAAAATTTATATACTACCTTCTATATTCTTAATTATTAGCAAGCAAATGGAATAACAATGATGTAATAACAAACTAAAATCATATACTTGATTACTTATCCCAAACATTGTTTGTATAAGCTATATTTCTTTTTTAATCCTTTTTTATAGAAAAATAAAGAGAAATCATAAGTTCAATTACTATGATATATCAAAAATGATTAGTTTTGTATTGAATCCTTATGGATTTATAAGTGATAATAAATTTAATTGGCTAAAGTGTTAGATGATTTGACTTGATGAAATTATTAACATTTTATTATTTTATTATTGTTAACAAATTGAAAGGACATCACAAATACTAGCGATATTATTTTATTTCCGCCTCTTTGTCAATTGAATTAAAATAATAAATTATCAATAAAAATATTTTATATTTTTAAAATCAAATTATTTTTATTTCATTAAACAAAATGTGGCTCCATGATTGATTTTCATAATGATNTTAAATAATCATTTCTAAAATACAAATTATAATCACAATTTATAAGGTAAACCCTTACTCCTTTTTGAATTTTTAATAAGACTATATATACTAAAAATGTTATACTTTTGTTTTAAAAAGAGATTCTCTATGTTGTTGAGAAGATTTTAGTAAGTAAGAGGTGGAAGCTTATTTCCTTTTTTCTCTGGATGCTTAAATTAACACCTTTCTCCGTAGCAACAATACCTAATGTTAATTATTCAATATATACCCATCCTTGGTATAATTTTTACAAATTTGTGTTTTGTAATTATGTGGAACATGCACCTTTTGCCTAATTTCATGTTTTCCATGAGCAAATGCACACTAATTTAATTATACTTCAATATACTTGTTTTCCATAAGGGCAATAGCCTTCTATTGACCAATATTTGCAAATCTATAAATAAATAAAGACTGGAAATACCTCAGTTTTGACTTTCACGATGAAGGAAGTCTTATTTTTGTTCTTTTATAACTTTTTTATTTGGCGTTCACATTCGTCTTAAATACTTTCACTATATATGGTAATGCTAACAAAATACCAACTCAAGCCTTGTGAAAGATTATCATTCTCGTCTTAAGTTGAAACATTGCAACACTATTACATTATATATATTCTTAAATATCTTAATAATATTATTAACAAATTATTTAATCATTTTTGGATTAAATAGAATCATAAAATTAATAATGTAATAAATTAATGATTGTTATAATATTATTAACAATTAAGAAAATCTATGAAATCATCATATAGTAGCAATATCAAAGGCTATAACAGCAGTCCTATATTTGATATAAATAATAAATATAAATTTTGAACTTAAAAGAAATAAAAAATTTATATACTACCTTCTATATTCTTAATTATTAGCAAGCAAATGGAATAACAATGATGTAATAACAAACTAAAATCATATACTTGATTACTTATCCCAAACATTGTTTGTATAAGCTATATTTCTTTTTTAATCCTTTTTTATAGAAAAATAAAGAGAAATCATAAGTTCAATTACTATGATATATCAAAAATGATTAGTTTTGTATTGAATCCTTATGGATTTATAAGTGATAATAAATTTAATTGGCTAAAGTGTTAGATGATTTGACTTGATGAAATTATTAACATTTTATTATTTTATTATTGTTAACAAATTGAAAGGACATCACAAATACTAGCGATATTATTTTATTTCCGCCTCTTTGTCAATTGAATTAAAATAATAAATTATCAATAAAAATATTTTATATTTTTAAAATCAAATTATTTTTATTTCATTAAACAAAATGTGGCTCCATGATTGATTTTCATAATGATAAGTCTATTTGTCTAATATGTTCTTTTAAACATTATCAATGCTAACTATAGTTATTTACATTTATGACTATTAATATCCTTAAATATAGCATCTTAAAAATGATCCAGAGTTTAATTTTATCAAAAATATGATGCTTTATGGCATAAGTGGATAAAATATTCTTTTGGTTGAGTAGTTAAGATTTTAGATCTAGCCTAATGAAATCTTTCGTCATAAAAATAATTATTAACACAGTATTTTTGTAATGAGTTGTTGGACAAGTAGAAAAATATATAAATAATGAAAATACTCCTTAAATAATTATAATCATTGAAACTCTTTTTTACTAATCAAGATTTTTAATGATGAAGCTAACTTTAGTTTAGTATTTTTAAAGCCAACTATTTTTTGAATTTTTGAAGTTCGATCACTTCACCTGGTAATTGGTTTAACTTAATGATCGTATATGTTTTATATTAGTGTTATTCAGGTGCTTGGGTATTAAAATTCATGAGGATTATTAATATTTATTTCAATTATATTTAGATATGTTTTAATCTTGAATTAAATAATCACAGCCATGAAATCATCGAATCATTCTAATTAGATATGGAAAGGAACTTTTTAATAATTAATCATCTTTAGAAATTCAAATGATTAAACACTTTTATATTTAAATATAATTATTATTTTTATCCAAATATGTCATTCTAAAACTTTTCTTTCTAAAGAAGTCTAATATAAAATTATATAATAAAAAATTTTAAAACTATTTTTAGATATCCACGCTAGCTAATTATATCACAAATTCAAAACAAATTAAGATAATTTAAATTAAATAATATGATATAATTTACATATAATAGTGATTTATATGTTATCAATTCAAAATATCAAATTTTATAACATAAATGCTCTATTTCGATTTTCAAAATCAAATTGCCTATAATTTTTGAATTTGCTTGCAATATGATAATAAATGATCAAGATTTTACAATATTCATGTATGCAATTCAGATTTCAAAGGATTTCATAATGGTTTTTGAGTAATATTAAGACTTTTTCTAATTAACTCCTTATTTATCGACTTGAAGTATTAGTTTGAGATTTATTATTTAACTTCTTCTAATAATTAAATTAAGTTATAAATGTCTAAAGAGGTGTAAGGTTTGTTGAAGACGTATTTGTAGGTAGAAAAGGAGGCTCAATAGATTAAAGATAAATAAATAAAGTTAGCTAAAGTAAAGAAATCTAGTAAATAAGAATTTAGCGAATTCCTGAAATAGGTCCTCATCCTTAAAAGTAATCATAAAACAAAGTTAAGGAGTAAGTTTCAGCTTTGAAATAAAAGAGAATTCAATTAGAAAAAGAATCCCATAAAATATCTTAAGAACATGATTATATGTAACAAATCCTTTAAAATGAATTAAAGAAGTAATTAGCTCCTCCTCAAAAGCATAATGATATATTATTAAATCTAGAAAAAGTAGCACAAGAAACTTAATTTACATATCTCAAATTCAGAACAGAGAAGTTTGTATAAAAATTGGGGAAGATCTTTTCCATTTTTTCAATCAAGCAAGAATTTCTTCAGAAATTAAAGAAGCATCAACAGAAATCCCAAGAAGATTTACATCAATACATAGAATTCAGAAATTTCCAATTGCAAAAGAAGGCCTTTAATTGCTGGACTCTTTATTATAAATAAATAAAAGAAGAGAGGAGATTGAAGGAAGAATAGCAATAGAAGAAATACGAAATGGGATAGAATGTAAGAATTGAATTAATTTTAGTAATTGGCTTTGGAATTCAATAACTTTTGTTTAACAAATAAATGCTTCAAAGCTCTTAAGCAATATGTCAAGATGAATAAATTAACTAAATAATTTGAGACAGATTAAAATTAGATTAAAGTTAAAGTCAACAATTTCTTGAATCAAATGCAAAAGCAGATATCTGATGCTTTAGAAAAAGAGAAGGAGGAAATTTAACTGATTAAATAATCAAATTTGATAAATGATGAAGAATTGACAATTTCAAATTCTTAATAATCAATATAATCAGAGAGAGAAGAGTAAGTTGATCTCAACTAAGAAGAAATACTTCAGTCTTATGAGAATGAATTTTTATAATAGTCAAACGAAGAGTAAATGTAATTAACAATAAAACCAATATAACAACCTGAAGTATAATAAATTAATCAGAAGAAATAAAATGAGAAATAAGTACTCTAATAATAGGAGGTAGTTAATGAAAAATAAAAAACTCCTATGATTAAGGAAAATAATCAACCTACTTTACCAATAAATCCTTGGAAATAGAAGTAGACGACATCAATATAAAATATGGTTGAAGATAATGAATAATCGATATAAAAGCAAAATAGTCCTCAGAATATGTCCTAATAAAGTTTTTCAAGACAAAGATCTGTTGATAAAAAGAGTACTTATACTAAGGAGTTAGAAGAAAAGGCGAAAAAACGAAAGGAAATGAATGAAATCATTAAGAAGAAGCATGAAGATAAGAAGAAATAGAAAGAAATTGAAAAATAATAATAGGAATAGTAAAGATAGTTGGAGATAAAAAAGCAAAAGGAAGAGGAATACAACAGAATTTAGGAAAAAAAGAAGAGAGAATTAGATTAAAAATAAAAAATGGAATAGGAGAAATTTGAGCTTGAATATAAAACTGAAATTGCAATAAGGCATTATGAAAAAAGTTTACAAAAGTATCAAATATTCATACCTATTGTGAAATTGCATAAACAATATTAAAATAATCAGTGGAGAGCAGAAAATCATTACGAAAATAATTTAAAAAAAAACCTTTTCCTTTTACTAATAAAGATTAAATAAATATGTGAGGAATAAAGAGAGTATGAAGAATAAATTAGGATCAATATATCTAATAATCATTATGAGAGAAATTTAAAACTAAAAGCTATCTTTAGTCTAAAATCTCTTCAGAAAGGTCAAAAAGACAAACTAAAGGATGCATTGTAGATTAGAGAAAAGTATATTAAAAGACATATTATGACTGCTTGGTATATTTAATTGCCAGAATTGAGAGCTGAGAATGTAAAACTTGAACGGGCTTCAGAGAGATTAGTTAATGATTTTAGAAGAGTAAATTTTATTATAAATTCATAGGCAACACTTTAGAAATAATTTTTTAACCAATGGAAAACTGTGGCAAGGGAAAATATTGCTTAAAGAATACGAGAGTAGAACAAATAGGAAATGTGGCAAAAAGTAAATTAATGGCTTTAAGAATTTGATGACGAAAAGATTGAATGAATAATTTATTTAACTTTATATTCATATTTATAAAATCATTATAATATTTAGAATTATAAATAGAAAATGTATGAAAAATTAAAAAAGTATATTTCTTAATGGAGGTAGAAAAACCGATCAAATAAGACGTTCACAATTATCCACCTAAAATAGAATAAGCATAGGAACAATAAACAGTCTAAATTGAATTCAAGGAGATTTTATAGGGTTTGGAAGATTAAATTGCATAAGTGTTCTAAAATTCTGCATATTTTGAAAAAGAAAACTTTAAGGATCATCATTCTATACAAATGGTGATCTTTAAAGAGTTGAGAACTACAGAGCTGTGGTAATAATTGTAAAATGAAACTCCTATGGGAATTTATAATTCTATTTTTCCAAAGAAATTAATTCGATACTTGATAGACTAAATTAATGTAAAAATGAAGACGTCATTCGCTAACTAGGATGAAAAGCAAATTAGAAAAAAGTTAGTGAAGTTAGATTAAATATTCGATTTTTTTGGAATAAAGATTATAATGGGATACATTAAGATGCCTCATTTGGAAGATTATTTTAATGAAAAGTAATTATTTTAATGCAAAATATTTGAATGTTTTAAAGAGGGTAGATTCAAGTGTTTAGAATAATGGAGTAATTTCACTGATGAATGTCTACTAAAAAATATCAACAAAGCAAAACCAACAAATGAATTTTAAACAATTAGAGTATGCAAAAAAATTGGAAAAACCTTAAGAAATATTAAAACACCTGGAAAAGATTTAATATTATAAGTAAATTCAGGATTCATAATAGAATAGTCAATCAATTCTTAATAAATAATGATTTGTGATCCAAAAAGCAAATTAATAGTTTGGTAATACTTTTGTAGCAACATCCAAGAAGAGAAAGTAGGTCTCTAAATTGTTCATGTATTACAGTAATTCAAGGATAATAATCACACATTGTATGTTTACGATAATATTCTAAATTTAGAGTAAATAGCATTTTTGAAAATTAAACTCAAGATATAATGCGTCTAAAAGCTTGATAGTGTTTAAGTAAGTTAAGTGCCTTAAATTCCACTTTATCTCGATTATATGTCGATAATTAAAGAGCAAAATGAAGTTTTTGCTGTTACTTCAGGAGAATAGATTTAGCAATTAATCTGCACTTATAATCAATACAAAGAGACTATGTTATTGTATTGCATACACAAATTTAGGCCAAATTTTTCGTATCTTCATTTTTCAAGTGCAATTATGACTGAATTATAGGAGATCACAATATGGAATTCTTATCAGATTTTTATAAAAATAAAAGCATAGTAGCACTAGTAAACGTATGAATAGTTTCGATTAGGTTTAGCTTAAGAATTATTGAAGAATAAAATTGCTTAGATAAAGAATGTTCCAACTTTATTGCATAAATAAAAAGTAGTGAATGTGGCTTTGGGGACAGAAATTATTGGGGATTATGGCTAGGGAACAAAAATCAATACAAAATCCTTATTCCACATACCAACAATTATGGCCACTCCTAAGACTTATGCTGGATCAATGAATTGCTTAGTTTGTAAGAGAAATACTTAATTAATCACTTTATGTAAACCTTGCTCAGAGATATCAGGTAAGTTAGTGATTCTATGTGCTTGTGATTGTTTTTATTTGTTCCATTAGAATACTTTGGAATACATAATAAATGGAGAAGATGTTACTTAAACCTAGTATAAATCAATAGAATAATCAAGTCAGCAATTATATCATTAAGCCTTTTAATAGAAACCTGGTTTGATGTATGAAAATGTCGATAAGAGCAAATCTGTTTAGTATGCAAAGTAAGTAGAGATTGAATGATTGATTAAATATATAAATAAATTTAATAAGATACATTATTCTATCAATATCCTTATAATTATTATGAAAATGATTAGGATTCTTAAAGACAATGAGTCTAAGATCATTGAAAATAATATAAAGGATGAATGTAATAGAATATTTTTGTAAAGAATAAAATCATGAGAGCATACTCAATAATATTATTTCGTCTAATGAGATTGAATTAGTTGTTGAAAGGAGAGACCAGACCCTTGCTTGGAATCAATTGTATTAGAATATAAACTAATTGGATATGATTAGAGGATTTAATGAAAGAATTAATATAATAAAAATTATGTTATTTAAAATGCTTTTTGCAATTCAAAAAGCAAGATAATATTTTTAAAAAACCACATTTTAATTTATGGATCAAAAACAAAGTTTCGCTAGAAGAGACAAGTTAAGAGCGATTGAATTATCAATCCAGGAATAATGGGCAGCCAATTAATCCTTCTAATCAAATCCAGATGAAAGAAAGAAATTTTTCTTGACTTTTCCATTCCCTTATGTAAGTGATCTATATATTCTATTAGGCTAATGGTAGATTGCATTTAGGCCATTGTTTTTCATTTAGCAAGTGCGATTTTATTGCAAGATTTAAAAGACTTTAGGGTCAAAATGTGCTCTTGCCATTCGCATTTCATTGCACAGGAATGCCAATTAGTGCAGCTGCCAAAAGGCTTTAACGTGATTTGGACACTTTGGTAAAATCAATAGTTATTTTAGAAATAAGGATAGGAATTGCCAAAGCAATCCTAATATTCCTCTCTTCTTTAGATGAATTTGAAGGAAGAGGAAATTCCTAAATTTACTGATCCATATCATTGGATTCGTTTTTTCCCATCTTTGGGCAAGGAGGATTTGATTGCTTTTGGATCCTCAGTAGATTGGAGAAGAAGTTTCATTACCACAGATGAAAATCCATACTTTAATTCATTTATTGAATGGCATTTAACTAAATTGAAGGAAGCTGGATATGTCAAATTCGGATAGAGACCTTCAATATTTAGTACTTAAGATGGTTAATTGTGTGCTGATCATGATAGAAGAGAAGGAGAAGGAGTCAACCCATAAGAATACACATTAATTAAATAAAGAGTCTTAAAACCAGAATTGGTAGATGCAGCTTTGGCTGGTAAAAACCTCTTTTTGGTATGCGCTACTTTAAGACCAGAAACAATGTATGGTCAAACCAATACATTTGTATTGCCTGAAGGAGAATATGGAGTATTCGAAATGAAAAATGATGAATTATTTGTTTGTAGTGAGAGATCAGCATTAAATATGGCCTATCAAGGTTTGACCAAGGAAGAAAAGAAGCTTAACAAAGTAGCTACAGTTATGGGAACATAATTAATTGGATTGGAAATTAAAGCTCCTTTGACTAATTATGAGAAAGTATATGTGTTACCTATGCCTGGAATCAAAATGAATAAGGCAACTGGAGTTGTTACATCCGTTCCCAGTGATGCCCCAGATGATTGGGCTACCTTAAGAGATTTGTAAAAGAAACCTGATTTTTATAAAATCAAACCAGAATGGGCTGATTTTAAACCCATTCCAATTATTGATGTTCCTAAATATGGTGATTTAGCCGCTTTGACTGCATGCGATCAACTCTAGATCAAATCATTAAAAGATAAAGACTTGTTGTAAAGAGCAAAAGAGGAAGTATACAAGGCAGGTTTTTATGAAGGAAAAATGATCATTGGAAAATACAAAGGAATGAAAGTTTGTGATGCCAAGCCATTGGTTAGAAAGGATATGATTGAAAGCGGTGAAGCCTTACCATATTTCGAACCAGAGAACACAGTCATCTCAAGAAATGGTGATGAATGTGTCGTTTCCTATTGTGATTAATGGTACATCACATACGAGAATCAAGAGTGGAAGGAGAGAGTTAAGGAGCATGTTAAAAACAATTTCGAAACTTACAATGCCAAAGTCAAACAAGAATTATTGGATGCTATAGATTGGATTAGAGAATGGGGATTGTCTCGAAGTTTCGGATTAGGTACAAAGGTCCCTTGGGATAAGCAATATTTGATTGAATCCCTTTCAGATTCAACCATTTATTTCGCTTATTATACAGTTGCTCATTATTTGTAAGGAGACTTAAATGGGACTGTTCCAGGACTTGCTGGATTCACTGCAAATCAGATGACAATTCCTGTTTACGATTATTTGTATTTGGGCAAGGATAGTGAATAGGTTCCACCTGAAATGAAACCATAATTGGATGTTATGAGAAAGGAATTCTTGTACTATTATCCAATGAACTTGAGATCATCTGGAAAGGATTTGATTAAAAATCATCTCATCTTTGCATTGTTCAATCACGCAGCTGTTTGGAAAGACTAACCATAATTGTGGCCAAAAGGTTATTTCTGTAATGGTTACATTTTGGTTGACGGATAGAAGATGTCCAAGTAATTAGGGAACTTTAAGACTGTTTAAGATATGATTAAGATCTATGGAGCTGATGCAACAAGATTAGGATGTGCTGAAGCTGGAGATCTATTGGATGATGCTAATTATGAATTGAAATTAGCTGATTCTGGTATCTTGAAATTGACAACACTTGAAATGTATCTTGAAAAGATATTCCCAGCTATACAAAACTATCGTACTCAAGCCTAATCTAAAAACATTGAATTCTTTGATAAAGTCTTTGAAAGCTAAATCAATAATCAAGCCATTCAAGTCATTTAGAATTACGAAGAGATGAAATTCAGAGATGTCGCCAAAAATGGATTCCATGTCTTGTAAGGATACAAGGATGATTACTTACTTGCTGTTTAAGCTGAAGGACCTAATAAAAGTTTAATATTAAAATACATTGAAATCCAATTAACCTTGATGAATCCAATAGTTCCTCATATAACTGAACATTGCTATTAGAAATATTTCTACCCATTTGTTAAAGACTAAGGATATCCAGACACATTGACCAAGTTTGTCTTACCTAATGTTGGAACCTATGTGTATGATGCAAATGTTCTTAGATAATATAATTACCTCTAAATATTAATGAGTAGTTTGAGAGTGGCCATTGCTAAATACAAGGAAACCCTTAAGAAACAAAAGAAGCCAGAAGTTATCAACAAGGTTACTTTAGTTGTTGCTAAAGACTTTGCTGATTGGTAGAAGGAAGTCTTAATCTTTATGAATAGACAATTGATTGATAATGAACCAGGCTTTGATTTCAATGCTTAAATCAAGGCAAACAAGGGTAAAAATATGGCTGCCCAATTATAATTTAGTAATTATATTATGGTAATACTTCAATACTTAATGTTAGGGTGAATATAAATAAAGAGGAGCAGATGCCATCAATCCAAATCCAACCCTTGATGAGGAAGCATTCTTAAACAATTTTACTTAGTATATAATTAATGATCTGAAGGTTAAAGAATTCGCTGTAATCTGTCTTTATTATCCCTTAGATTATTGACTCAATAGCAGCCTAGAAGAGTGATGCAAAACCAGTTCAATAAGCAGGTAACAATGCATAACCTGGAAAACCCTGTCCATTATTTGAATGATTATATAGCATAATATATGTTCAAATCATAAATATTCCTATCATTTTATTTGAATCTTTACTTTGAAAAAACTAATAATTTAATAATGTTTTACTCCCCCAGAATTCATTAGTTTTCTTTTCTAATCATTTTCAATTTATAGTATATTCTACTGATTTTTTTCGTTAAAATCCTATATTTAGCCACCTTTACTATATTTATACTTTTCTTTCAATTCTGATACTTTTCAAATATTATGAGTTTGTTTTCTTACACTTAATTTTGTTATTTTTTAATAACAAAGCATCACACGGATTTCTTCTGTTAGATCTAAAGTATCTCAATATAAGCCATATTGAAAATATCATTAAGAAATACATATCTCTTACTCATGAAATTTGTTTCATATTAATTTTTAATGTTCAAACTCAACTTTTTATACATATCACACTTAACACCCAAAATAATAGAAGAATTTATAAAATTAGTAAATAATTATGCAACATCGTATCCTTATGTAATCGTACCTAAATTTCATATAAATTTGCAGGAATACTGAGATATTAAGATCCAGCCTTAACAACTTTACTGTCTAAAATTAAATATAATAATATGTCATTTGATTTTTCTGAATCCTTAAATAGTAGTTCAACTCTCTTTGAAATATTCCATTCTGTATTTATCAGAGAACTGAAATCTATATATTTTGAATATAGAAATGACTTTTCTTTAAGTTCCATCATGAACCTTCTCAATCAAGATGTTAAAATTTTATAACTGCTATAATTTGGAATAAATAATCTAGAGAGTATCAAAAGCGGTGTTATCTTTTGTTCGATAGATTACTTAGATTTATATTTGACATAATGTTTACTCTATTTATATACCTCATTCATAAGGATTATAATTTTTTATAATTAAATATGTAAGAATCAGTATCGGCTTATCTGAAAACCGAACCAGATTCACTTAGAGATCATCCTCCAAGCAAGTTTAAGCAAAATATGATCCAAAACAATCAAAGAATTCTTAATGGTAAGAAAGTTACTTATCTGAACATCAAAAAGCAAAATCCATCAAATCAGAAGGATGCTTGGAAGCAGATGTTTGGCAATTTCCTTCACGATATCAATTTGAAACAAAAGAAGAAACATTTCTCCCCTGAGGCAAAACAAGTACATATATTTAATATTGTGAATAGCATCTTTAGGATCCATTAGTAAATGAAATTCCTATTCTACTTCCTTGTACTAATAAGCAATTCAAGCTGGAGTTCTATAAATATCTTGAAGGGGAATAATCAATTCAATAATTAATGAAGGCCATTAACTTCCCTCATGTTCATGCTGTACTTCTATATGATATATTCTAAAATAGAAATAAATTGAGGATTCAAAAAGTCATCAGAGAAAACTGTCGATTGTGCAAAAGATCAAAAAGTTTAAGAATCATGGATCAACTAAAACTACTACTGACTAAACTCCTTTATTAGATATTAATAGTTCAACCAGATAACTCAAAGCACATCAAATACGTATGGTTGATTAGAGGAGATTTACTGAAGCTGGAAAATTATTGGACATTTTTAAAACAAAAATAAACAAAAAGATTCAGGTTCTGAGAGACTTCGTTTAATAAAGAGTACTTGTAAATCGTAATTTTATAGATCGATTTGAGGAAATCCTTAAATAAAGAACAAAGAGAGGAAGAAATTAGAAACATTCATTTTATAAAGACTTTTTTTGACATCACTAACGATTATAATTAACATATACAGTAACAGTAAGATGAGCTTAAAGATGATGCATAATATTATAAAAAATTAGTACCATGTCAACGAAAACTAAAATAATTATTGGTGAATTATGACAATGTGTAACCAATCATCAAACATTAGGAAAAGCATTTTGATAAATTTGATTATCCATCTTTGGGAATGTTGAAGAATTAAATGAACTAATATTCCAAAGATTACTTAATGGAGTTAGAACAACAAAAATAAATTTAATTTAAGTTGGCTTTAAATCAAGTCAGAAAACTTTTGGAATAACAGAATATTAAATTTTAATCTGAATTAAGAAAATCCAAAATCAAAAGCAATTAAAATTCAAAATCCCAGTCTCCACTCTTAATTAAATAACAATAAGATCAAATATTCTAAACTAATTCAAAGATGTCGGCTGATTGTGCATTAGATGTTGTAGTAGCCAGTCCTAAACATCACCGTAATTAATATCAATCAGTATGTTAACTGAAGGATTCCATTTCTGATCCAAGAAAAAGAAAGTAGTATGTAATTACTAAGAAACCTTTTTATCTGTTTACTTAGTAGGTGGAGGGTAATAAAAACTTGAAAAATTCAAAGGGGTTAATCACAAACTTTGATGTTAAGTTATACGATTATATTCACAATAGAAATATCTATACTTTGAATAAGCAGTAATATAGCTCTTTATTTTAGGGTTAAGGAGATGACTTAGAAATTCCATACTATGGTTGAAAGCGAGCATGAATAACAGTTAAATGAGTAATTAGATACTCATTTAAATCAATTAAAAAATCGAAAATTGAAATTTCGTTAACACGGATCTTTGGAGGCATAAAAAAGGGTTTAAACTGAAAGATAGGCTGATGAGATTTCAGATGATTAATCACTTTAATCTATTTATGAAGTGAACCTTGATGTTTTATATGATCAATCAAACCAATTGACTAAAAAATTAAGAGAAAAAAATGATGCTGGATTTGCTAAAAGAATCAAATAACTTATTAGATTGGAAGAAGTGAATTCGTAAGCATCAATCATTTATTTTTAGGTAATGCCTGAAAACAAATTTGTAGAAGCTGAATAAATCTTAGAATTCTCTAAATAGTTGATTATAGGGTTTTGTGTTCTCTATTTATTATAAAAATTAGTTAGTTGCATAATAAATTTTAAATTATATCGAATTAAAAATGACACACAGGGATATGGATGCTCCTCCTTTGAATGAAGATGAATTAAACGAAATTTACAATTGGGTTGATACTATACCTTTATCGAGACCTAAGAGACACATAGGAAGAGATTTTGCAGATGGAGTTTTGATGGCTGAAATAGTTTAACATTACATCCCCAGAATAGTTGATATACATAATTATAGCTTGGCTCATTCTGTTTAATAAAAGTAATACAATTGGAACACTTTGAATACAAAGGTAATTATAAACATCAAATTATAGGTCTTTAGGAAGATGGGCTTCTAAATTACTTAAAAAGATATCGATGCTGTTATTTCAGTTGTACCTGAAGCAGTCGAAAGAATTCTCAAAGTTGTTTAAGTCAAAATATCAATGTTTTTGGACAACAAGGAACAAAATTAGATTCATCAATAAGAGAAACCCATTGAAGTTTAGCAAAATTAAAATCGGGTTAACAATAAATAGGCACCAAATAACAAATAAAATGAGAAAGATTTGATTATCCAGGATTAGAAGGAAACCATAGAATTTCTAGAACTCAAAATATAAAAATTAGAATAACTTCTAAAATTAAAGGATAGTAAAATATAATAGTTAATGTAAAAAGTCTAATAAGCTGGAATAAAATGATATAGTTACTATATATATATCATTCACATAAATTTTAGAAATAGTGCTTCTCGATATTATTTTAACTAGAGTCACTTTACCCATCACAATATTCATTGCTTACTTGATATTGATTTCTTTTCATATTTTCTTGAATTTCTTCTTCGTCAGAAGAGAATGCTTATTATTAACCTTTCATTTTCTAGAATATGGACATTTTTTATTATTTTAGAGCCACCTATTTCTCTTAGATTTTAGTGATCAATGGGGAACTTTAAGGAGTTGAATTTGGAGTTCTTCTTTACTTGATTGAATTCATTTCTATACTCATTTATCGAATACAAAGTTGGGTGCCTTCCTTATTATCACTTTCTTCATTATTATTTGGTATGGTATCAAACGTCATTGTGCTGGATTTATTGAACCTTCTCTTGGGTTTTTTATAAAACTTCTCTTGCTTTTCCAAAGGGTCTGTTTTCATTTGTATCCCCAATTATTTTAAGTATACTACTATTACGTGCTCTTTCTTTATCCACTCATTTTCAGGGTGTTGATTGCTTAGTATTACTAATTCGAAAGACTCATCTGATTATTAATCCCAAGTATATAAATTTTGTGAATCTCTAAAATTTAATTGTTGTGATGTGTCATTCTTATTTGTGAAATTCATGCATTCTTAAGTATTTTATGTAGTTTCTGATTATTAAAACTCAGCTTATTTCATACTCTGTTAGATAAAAATTGATTATTGACTTTATAATTTTAATTATTAATATCATATATTATCTTAATAAATTTTTATTTAGATTTATAGATTAATCATACCGTAATTGAAGGTTTAGATTAATGATTAAAATGTTAAAAATAATAGTTGTATATTAATAATGAACATAAAACGAGATGAGTAACAATGTAATTTAATGTAATATTTTATGTAAAATAAATATAATTTAGTCCTAAAATATAACAATATTATTTTCAAGAGTAAGTATATTTTAGAATTATCTACTACTTTCCTTAATATCAGAGGAATTACAATAAAACATAATTTATTAAACATAAATTCATAGACCTTAATGAGATCAATTAATAGTTATTATTTTAAGTAACTCCAATATTTGAGATTTCTTATGCAACCTTTTATTCCTATGTTTTTAATAAAATTCAGGCCTCGTTTTCCTCCATTTCCTCTTGTATCTAAAACGATGAATATTTATTTGGCATAGATTGATAATTAATTTCATTGCAGGTAATTTGCTTTGTATAGTCTTGTCTAGATATGTTTCTGTCGACAATTATATAACCTTATAAAAATAATATTAAATTGAATATCATCTCTATAGCTTATTAATATATTTACATTTTGGTTTTAAATAAATATAAATGTTTGCATATATTTCATTAAATAATCTTTATTAAATTTGTAAAAATTGACAAGAAAAAAAAAATACTCAATTTTGAGCTTATTCTTGATTCAAATTGATAGAAGATTAATTCATAGAGGGAATTAGTTTTGATAATATTACAGATTTTGTCTGTTCCATCTTAATTTTTTCAAAATCGACTAATTATCTGCAATTAGGACAAGAATAGGGTTAGTTGTTATTGAACCAATTCAATAGACATTATGCATGATATATATGATGGCAAGGAGTTTATATCATGCTATTAAATTTTTCTTAACAAATGGAGCATTCGCTATTTACTTTCTAAGCTTTCTCCAAGTATTGTTCTAAAAGCTCTAATGTAAGATAAGGCTAAGATTCTGATAAGCATTATGGTATTACTGAAATAATTCTGTTCCTTTTAGCTCTATATTTTTAAATGGCACATCCAACAATTAAGATAAGGAAAGAACAAGCTAAAGAAATTAAGACAATAATTAAAATTTTGATTGCGTCATTATAACTATTATCTGAAGACTTTTCAGAGATCCAAAAATACAATTATGATTCCTAATTAGTAGTTATTTTGAGAAGCAGACGATTGAATCTAAATTATTAATATGAGTACCTCTATAAATTTGCATTATAATTTAAGTTTGAGATGTCAATTATCCTACTTATTGTCAACTCTTCTTTGGATAAGGTACAGGTTTCATTAATTTCAATGGGAACACCATAAATAAAATTTTCGAACATGTATGATAAAGAAACTTACACATTATCTTTATAAAAATTGTCAAAGAATCCAAAGTTGAATTATATTTTTTCCAATTTTGTTTCTTACTAAAAATAAAAGTAAGTTGATCCTTATAATGTAAAATTATCAAGTGTTTAATCTAATTTTAAAGCAACTGCATCTACGGAGCAATCTAACTCTATTTTATTAGAATTGCATTAACATATTCCATTAATACAAATTCCATAAGGTGAAGAACAATTTTTAGGGCAAGGTTACTCAGCTAGTTTAGTTATTTTAAGGCTATATTAATAAATGCGTCGATCATTTCTTATTAAATTTGTTATGTATAATGTGTCATTTATTTAGAAATGGCGAGCAGGCATCACAATACAATGATAATTTTTATGCAAATAATAAGCATTATAGTCAGCATAGTCAGCTTTAAAAGTAGAATTTTATAAGCTAGTTAACTAATTATTTCCTACAGTTGTAATGAAATTGACATCTCCATTTTTCGGAAATTAAAAATATATTCTAGGTTATTTGTATTAGCTTACTCTAAAAATATATATTTGGAAATATCTTAGTCACTTACTGTCAGATAGAAAGTTGCGTTGCTAATTTTTTATGTGATAAGATATTCTTCTCTATTTAATTCTAACAAATTTCCATCTTCGCCGAAATTCACATCTACATTTATATCAATTATTATGTTCCCATAGTAGGAACAAATAAATAAAACAAAAAATTTGAACATAAAGTTATTTTGTTATTATAATATTTATATATATCATGCGAATTTCATTTTTTAATTTATGATGGGCCCAAACCTTCTATCGTCAATAGAAGTATAAATTGGGCTTTTTTTAACCAAGGTATTCATCTCTATCTTCAATAAATAAAAATTGCTGTCAAAAATCAAAATTTTATTATTATTTATAAAACACTCGAGATTTATTTTTATTATTAATTTTGCGCGACGTTAATTATTTTAACGAATAAATTATGGAAATTAAATACAACAGATCACTAAGTGGAATACCAGAAAATCAATTGTAGTAACCATTCAGAAGAGTAACTAAAACTTAAATTGAAAACAAAGATCCAGTCAGAAGGAATTTGACTCTCTTGTATAATGAAGGTACAAATGAAATATTATTGCAATCTAGACACATAATAAATTAATAAATCAATGCTCAACAGTAATTAAGATTTGAGGAGGAAGCCATTCAATTAAGAAAGAGTAAAAAGATCTCTCAATCAAGATGTCTTAGAGGATAAAGAAAATATGCCTCAACATAAAGGACTTATGACTAAACTCTATACTCTCCCCTAAGAATTATCTACAATTACAATTAAGCATAAATTCGATCATACCATTTAAGAGAATAAGAATCTCCAAAAATGGTATACAGATGAAATATTTTTCTATTTAAAAGAGCAAGAGGTATTTATGATTGCAATTTCATTAGAGAAAATCGACACCCCTAGAATGGTTAAAGAATCACTCTATTCCAAGTAATTTGAGAGCTAAAATGATTGATTGGATGGTTGAAGTTCTATGTTCATACAAATGCACAGATTAAACATTCTTTGTGGCAGTAAGAACTTTGGACTATTACTTTTCAAAATGCGAAAAACAATTAGAAATATCAGATTTACATCTTTGTGGAGTGACTTCGATGTTTATTGCTGCAAAATATGAAGAAATTCATCCAATGAAACTATCTGTCGTTCATGAGAAAATTGCCCATAAAAAGCTATCAACTGATTAAATTAAGAAGAAAGAGAGTGATATGTTGTAAACTATTGGTTTTGATCTGGGCGGTGGTACTCTCTATGATATGTATAATCTAATATTAACAAATTGTGTTGTTGAAAATAGATTACAAGAAAAACATTACAAATATCTCAAAAAGCTTTGTTTATATCTCTCTAAAATGGTACTGTATGATTATGAAATATGTGGTAAAACTAATTACACTTTATTGGCTGCTGCTTTAATTTTTGTTGCCTTTAAAATCATAGAGCAATTAGATTCTAGTTTTCATGCTGATAGTTAAGTATAATTTTGTATTTATCATTAGATTAAAGATGTGGCTTAAATCATATAAGTTGATCAAGATTAATTGATAGAAACTGCAGCCAAGGTCTTGAATCTAGCCAAAAACTTTGAGAAGCATTTTCCAAATTTGGAAAATTTAAAAAAATTTAATGGATTTTAGTTAGAAGATAATGAATAATGATCTAAACTTATGTATGTTACTTTATTTAATTATATGTGGCCAACAAAACAATATTTCTAATGTACTTCTATATTTAATAAATCAATCAGCTTTCTTAGTGCTTTCAGTGGTATGTTTCTCACCCTTTCCTTTTGTTGAAACTTTGGCTGATGCCTTTCTTGCTAACAATTATTTTCTGTCTTCATTGAGGTAGGGTTTTGTGATGATGCATTATGATGGTCTGATTGGGATTTAGTATGGCATTCCTACAATAACAATTATTAATTTACCATTGGCTTTTGTTCTAGTAAGTTTCTCGATCTAAATAACCCATCTCTTTCTGTAGACCGATGAAACCTTACCCTTTGTACCCTTATGTGTGCCTACTCTCAATTTATTTTTATACCCCTAACAACTGTGACTTCATCATCCTTTCTAACAGGTAATGCTCTAACATTGTATTTCTTTCTTAAATCCTTTGAAAGATGAGCACTCATTAATTTATATCTAAGGTTTGATGGTGCTCCCAATTGGGCTCTTCTGCCCTTTCTTCTTTAACTTGAAACTTCGACGTGAGTTTTCATTTTGAAAAAGATTTAATTAAAAATAAATTTTTTGTTTTTTCTAAGTACTTTCACACAATATATTAAAATTCAATAAATTCTTCTAAAAACCTATTTATTCTAAACAGCATTTCCCTTAATTTTTCCATTCAAATTTAATATAACTCATTAGTTTTTGAATGCGAATAAAAAGGGATTAAATTGCAATAAAAGCTAATTAATAAAATTCATTTAATTTATACTTAACTAGTAGTTAAAAATAATAAATAAATTTTAAAATCCTTATTTTCTCTTTTACTTTCTATATTAATCACTTTCTCACATCTATTCATTTATTAATTATTTAACTGTCATCATAATCCCATCTAAATTCATTATATTGCTTTTCAATGTTTTACAGATTAGACTTTCAAATTATTAATGTACTTTTCAAGTAATTGTCATAAAAGACTACAAAAATAAGAAAAATATATAGTATTCCACTTTAGTGGTGAAGATATCTCAGATTCGATACAATTTAGATTTTCCTATATCTATAAGGGATTGGTTTATGTTTAATTAATCCAATTTAATTTAATCTAACCAATAAAAAGTAAGCTTTATTTGGCTCTTAAAAATTTGAATTACTCAAAGAAGCGTCAAGATATCAAGGTTTGGGAGAGATGAACAGTTGATGGAAAGAATGCTTATAATGATAGCCATTATTTAAGCAATTTTATTAAGCTCAATAAATAGTAATAAAATAAAAATTGGTTAGCTTAAAATAAAATGAGAGAGAAAGTATTTTAAAGAAAAGAACCATGTTTAAAAAGGAAGTTTAGGTAAATTAATTAATCCTGAATGAAAATAAGACTCATGCACCAAATCCATAGAGGGTTCTTCCTTATCTCTTTAATGAGTAAACGACATCCATAACAGTGACAGTCTTTCTTCTAGCATGCTCGGTGTATGTAATAGCATCTCTGACGACGTTCTCCAAGAAGCTCTTTAAAACATTTCTTGAGTCATCATAGAGGAATGAAGAAATTCTTTTGACTCCTCCTCTTCTAGCTAATCTTCTGATAGCGGGTTTTGTGATTCCTTCAATTGAAGCCTTGTTTGGCTTTCTAGCGTGTCTTTTAGCACTAACTTTTCCAATACCTTTTCCTGATTTTCCAGCCATTTTATATTTATTTTGAATTATAATTATTGCAATTAAAAACTGGAGGTTGTATATTGGATCAAAATCCAAATGATGCCAAAATTAACCAATCAAATTTTTCTTTAAAATTTCATTTATATAGTGATGAATAATAATTATATGCGCCATTTTTACTTTTATTTAATATATTCAAATAAATCATAATAATAATTCTCCATCTCTTAATAATTTTTATAATTTTTTCTCAATCTAATTTCGATATATTTCATTGCCATTATATTTCAGAATATAATGCTTATATTAAAATAGTTTTTAAGAAATTTGAAGCTTTATGACAGGTTTCATATCAATCTTGAGTACGATAAATTCAGAATATATAATCTTTATCGATGTCATAATCATTACACACTCAACCATGAATCTTATAATTAAAGATTTAGTATGAAATACTTTAGAAGAGAGACAATTCATTGATTGGTCACAAAATTTTGTGTATATTTAATGATTTATCCCTTGCTATGTTCACTTCACCTGAATAGTGTATTAATAGGATTTGTTGAAACCAACATAAATAATAACAATGTGATAATTTTTACAGTGAAATATAAAAGATTACAAATTATTTATAAAATAAAGAACTAATAGATGATTAGTATAGATAGTCACAATTAGTCATGAATAAGAGGTGTTAATCAAATCAAAATTTACATAATTCTACACTGTTATATTCATTATATAAATTTAAATTAAATTTATTTCTTAAGTCTTAAATCTAAGAACTGGGAGTTATTAAATATAATGAGATTATCATTTTAGTACACCTTAATATCTTGATAATATGTAACATTTATTAAATATCTAATAAATGGAAATCTAAAATAAATAATATTAATATTATTAATCATTTCATTACTTATTGATCTTTTATTGAGTTTAATTGAATAATAAAATAGAATAGAAGTAGCATTAATAAATTAAAGATAAATTACGTAGTCTCTTGAACAAGACTAAATAAGATTAATAAGAATAGTTATATAATGAATTAATAAATAATATTGATAAAATTAAATGATACTCATGCCAATCCTCTTTCTTTCATAACTTCCAACATAGTTTTACCAATTTAAGCAGGTGATTTCACAACTCTGATTCCTGCTTATTCAAGTGCTCTAATTTTTTCTGGGGCACTTCCCTTTCCCTCTAAAAAATAAATAAAATAGTTATTTTACTAGATACAATAGCTCCTGCATGTCCCATTCTTCTTTCAGGAGGTGCAGTGATACCAGCAATGAAACCAACAACTGGTTTATTTTTGGGATTATTCTTCTTAATCCATTCAGCTGCCATTTCTTCATTTTCACCACCAATTTCTCCAATCATAACAATTCCTAAATTGAATAGAATTAAAAATGTACCTTCAGTTTCTGGATCAACCATGAATCTTTCCAAAACATCAATAAAATTAGTTCCATTGAATGGATCACCACCAATTCCAACAACAGTTGATTGTCCTAATCCAGCTCTGGTGGTTTAATCAACAGCCTCATATGTTAGAGTACCAGATCTAGAGACAATACCAATTTTTCCATTTTAATGAATGTATCCAGGCATGATACCAATTTTGCATTCATTTGGTTTAATGATTCCTGGACAATTTGGCTAAATTATAGACAAAATGAACATACACCAATGACACGAGTGACGGATTAAGATCTCAATGCATGCTTGACTTTAATCATATCATGTTATGGGATTCCATCTGTAATAACAACCTTTTACATACAAATAGTAAAATTACCACTAAACCAATTTAGGCTTCGATTGCTTCAATGATAGCCGCAGCAGCTGTAGGAGGAGGAACATAAATAACTGAGGCATCACATCCTGTGTTTTGCTTGGCTTCTTGACAATTCTTAAATACAGGTAATCCTAGATGAGTGCTTCCAGCCTCTATTTTATTGTTTCAATTCTTACTCTTAGGTGACACTCCACCAACCATCTTTGTGAAATAGTTTAATGCTTATTCTGTTTAGAAGGTACCCTATTATTATTTAATATCAAGCAATACCTAATTACCAGTGATACCTTAACAGATCACCTTTGTATGTTTGTTAACCCACACATAAGGAGCTGTGGTCGATGAAAATGCACGAAAGATTTATCTGCCAATCATTTATTTTATTTAATCAATATATATTAATCTTTTCTGAACTAAATCATTTCTTAAAATCAATGGCTCATTGCATAATCCCGATACTCCTGAATTCTTCTATTAAACTATTTATTTTCTATAATTTATTTAATTGGAATTGATTTGACTCTACTTTAGAGCACCTAATTTATCTATTTATTTAATGAAATAATATTAATCATAACCATAAAAATCACCCTCAAATAGAGAAAAGAGTAATACGGTTTTTACTTAAATGGAATCGGTTGAACATTTTTACTCTAATGAACATAATTAGCATGATCAATATTTCAATCAGATTATTTAAATGCTTTAAAAAAGGCAGGAGTTTTAAGAATAAGAATACAAAATCAAGGTCACTTCTTTAGAAAAAAGGATTAAATACCTAATTTAGATTAGTTCCTAATTGACACAATAAAACACTCAGCTAAAATTATAATATTCTGATTTAGCCAAAGAATACGAGATTTTGAAAGCCAGAATTATCAACTATGAATCTACTATGCAAAACAAGAATTAGGACTATTCGTTAAATCTAGACGATTTAAATAGGTTGAGAATTGAAAGGGAAAAACTAATAGGCTTAGCTAATAAATATCATGAAAGATCAAAAATAAGAAAAAAATAAATTATAGACTAAGAGAACACTATCACTCTCCTATAAAATTAAGTTGATGGTTTGAATAAGGACAATTTGTTATTGGCATCAGAAAAATAAAATTTATTAATGCAATTTCAATAAAACTTATAATTTGTAAATTAATAACAAAATATTTTGGAAGAGGACATTATAAATAAAACATAACAAATAGACCTATCAAATAAAAATGAAATACAAACAATTATCACAAGATTCTTAAATGATTATTGTGCTCATCTAACCTACATAAATAATGAGACAAATCAATTAATTCTTTTAATTAAAGAATATCACGACATCAATCTAGATGTCAATAATTAGTAGAAATATAATAGACTCATTAAGCAATTTGATTCATTAATAACCAAATATAATCAGATGCTAGAATAGCAAATAAAATTTCAATATTAATTTAATATTTCAACATAAGACAATTTATTATTAAGTAATAATTCTAAGAATTAGTTCTAACATAATAATAATGTAAATAATACTATATTAAGTAGTAAGAGGAATAGCTAAAATCATTTTTATCAAAATAATCTAAAATAGGATATACTTAGAACAAGTAAGTTTATTAAAATCTAATAAATTAATATATTTCTAAACTAAATTGTTGAATCGTTTATTATTTATATTTTTAGAATCAGAAACTTAAATCATTAGATTTTATAATCAGACCCATCTCATAATGAATAGAAAACTACCTTAAAGAAAATTGTAATTTTAATAATTGCAATCATAAGAATGCAGAAGAAAAAGAAATATCATGATTATAAACAATTGGTGGTAGAATTACCTATTGAGGAGACTATGTATTAATTACTAGAAATAATAAGTACATAGTAATAATTAATAGAGAAATATTAGGAGTGATTTATATTTCAGCGTAATTATTCACTAATTTTTAAGAGTAACATATCAATATTTTTATGCAATCTCTAAACTATGAGATTCATTTGGTTGTTTAATTATATAGTATATTTTTCTTAAGGTGATTACACTTGTACCAAATCAGCAAGGATTTTAAATTTATGCTCTATTTTTTTAATTTCACTCAAATATTTTCGTTTAGTTCCAGCCAATTAATAATTGAGAGATTTAGCCTTTTCTGAATCACAAGTAATTAATTCCTCAAGAAATCTTTGGGTATTTTGATTTTCATATAAATCGAGTTCTTCAATAAAGGTTTCTAATTCTAATAAATTGATAAATAATAGTTTATTATTTTCTAGATTGATATTCTGGGTTTTAATCTTATTAGTAATCTTTTACTTGACTTAACTATTAATTACATAATCTAAGTCGCATCTTAATCCATTCATTTCCTAATTTAAATAAAAAGTCTACTTTATAAATATTTTTGTATTCTTATTGCACTTCTAGTTTAACAGAATTAAGATTTCTTTTAAATGAATTTTCAATTTAGAGAATTTCAGGTCGTCTGGGTTATGTTTTGGAATTCAAAATCTGATTGTCCATTTCAATCATTCTTGATTCAAGTAATTTAATTTGATGTGATAATTGAGAATTATTTTTATGATATGATTTGAGTTTTCCACAATTTTCAGAATCATCTATTCTTTGTTATAATAAGTTGATTAATTCTTGAACATCTTCCAGTAATTTGATCTATGTAATTAATCCATCCTATTCAGTGATGATTTTATTGATATTATCTATGTTAAAAATAGTTGTTACTTTCCAAGGTTGTTATTTTTTGATTGGGATCTGTTTCTTAATTCAGTTTTACAGTGTTTAGAAATTGCATAAAAAGAAGAATAAAATTTAACGAATAATAATAATCAATTTAGTAAAATAATGGAGAAATTAAATTTATATAAACTGATATACAAACAGATGATTTGATATGTAAAGTTTCAAGAGATAAAGAAGTCTGAATAATGATTGGACATTATTTAAGAATATTGAAGAAAATAATACAGCTTATTTATTTATTTTTTAATGTGTATGGGTGAATCAATTTATAACATTGCTTAAAGTTTAGATTAATTGATTCTCGTTTACTTTTAAGATGAAGGTCACTTAATCTAATTGATTAATGATTATATTTAATACTTGCTTTTGGATCTTTTTCTAACCATTTGACTGAAACCATTCCTCTTCCTTCTCCTTCCAAAATAACGTTACAAGGTCTTTCAACATATTCAGTGATAATGTCAGGCATGGTGGCTACTAGTATACATAATGGATCTTGAATATCATATCTGTTATTGGCATTTTTCATTCCTTCATAAATTTCTTTAATGAATTTTCCTCTGATTGTTGTATCTTATTCAAAAACTTTAGTAATCTAAGGTTAATTAATAAGAATACCGTGAATTCAGAGACTGAGATGACTCCTTCATAAGGTATGACGATGAGCTTCTTAGCTAGGACCTTAAAGACAAGGTGGGCAGCCTCTGGATCTGTGTGAACATTATATTCAGCTACACCATCATTCATGAATCCTAATCCTAAAATGTTACCACACAGACTAATTATAAGTCCGATGTTTTCTTCGAAGTCTGCAGTTTTCATCATGGCACATGCAACATTTGTCAATGCACCCAGACATATGATTACTAATTCTTCCTTGTATTTAATAGCACTTTCTATCAAGAAATCAACAGCATGTTCAGGCTGGATTGGATATTATGATATGTTTAGATCTTTGAGATATCTTTCTTAATGGCCACTTAATCCATCATCACCAAAAAACTTAGAACTTAATGTGATTTATTATTTCAAGTTTCTATCACACCCCTTATAAATGGGGATGGTCACTCCAGCTATCTTTTAAACTATAGAAATGTTTTTGATTCCATCATCAATATAGGAGTTTCCACTATTTTATTTAGATATTAATGATACTTGATGCACGTGATACCAATTATTTCTATGTTCTTTTTGGCTGCCAAATCAAAGGCTGTCAACAAAGCATGTATGTCATCACCACCGGAATCTGTGTCGATGATCATTTTCGTTCTTTATTTCAAGAGTTTTTCAGGAATACCAAATTGATGTTTGATGAATGAAGGAAGCGAAATCATTTATAAATATTATTTTTAATACTAATTTAATTTGCCTTTGGAGTGAAGATTTTTGTTATCAAATTTTAATTCTTCCTCTTGGCTCTATCTACACTTGATTTTGGTCTTAGTAAACTCTTTTTAATAACAACAACCTCATTTATTCGATCTTTCTCTTAGATAATTGGTTTGATGAAATCCATAACAAAATCAATTTTATCTTCTATTACCAACTTAGGTTGATGGAAGGATTGTTTTAAAGAGGTGCTTTTCACCTTCATTTAATTTTCATTATTGTGAAATAGAATTCTCCTTACTTTCTTGCCTCTATATTACGTAGTAGTATTGTTAAAATTTTAACATGAACGTGTATGTTGTAAATCAATATCTTAGCCAGATAATATCCAAGTCTGTAGTCTTAACTGATCCCAAACCAAGATGTGAATATTTTCAAAATAGCAACCAGCACACAACTTCTTTGTTTCGCATCTCCAGATATTTAGCAGGAAATTTTTAAAATGTAATTATACCTCCATATTTGATTACATTCCTTATATCAAACAAATGTATATACATTATTAACTCTACTTTGGAGTAATGTAGAGTAATTTGGTTTATTTAAAGAACTAAGTTTAATTGAAGCATATATATCCTTTTGTTGTGATGTGACCACTATCTATTTCAGCTATCATGGTTTGAATGTCCATATAAGTTAAGTTAATTTTAGTTTCAGCTTGTTACAGTAATTTGATTTCTTTTGGGGATTGAGTAAAATAGAAATCCTTCTAACCCAAAATAGACCATAAGTCTACACTGCCGAAGATGGGCAAAAACTCGTCTTCAGTAGTGCAGGTGCCATGTTCGGTTTTTAGTATTGTTCCCTCTGTTTTAAGTATTGTTCCATCTGTTTTGCATCTGACTTCAGAACGAGATTTCAAATTGATTCTACAGATATCTAATGCTGAAGTGAATTGAGTGAGAATTCGTCTACTGTGAATTGCAGATGGCAAACGAGAGTCTAACTATTTCATTAAAATTAAATAAAATTAAAATTTCATGTTTAGAGAAACATCATTCTCTAACTATTTTGAATAAAATAATTATTCAACAGTGTTATTATTATTACATGAAGCGAGATTTATATCATACTAAAAGCGTAATGCGCTGATGTAACTTAAAAACATTAAATAGATGCATTAAAATTTTGTAAGGCAATCAAATATTCACTTCAGAGACTAAATCTAATGAAAACTTGAATCCTAAATGGAATTAATCATTTCAATTGAGCATGAGTGGCATCGAAATTATAGTCAATGACTAAAACATGGCCATAGGTTCACTCTCCTTGGATTTAAGAGAATTGCAATCCAACAATCTGAATGAGTGGTACAGCTTCTCAGACAAGAAATAAATTACAGGCACTCTTCGTCTTACTTTCCAATTCAATCAGAATAATAAAATACAAAAATGTCAAGAATAATTATAATACCTATTTTCTCAATTAGAAGTTAAACTCAAGCAATAACGAATTGCATCACCCACAGTAGGAAGTGTGCAATTAATGCAACAGTTTCTAACCAAATAAAAGCATAATAATAGTAACATCATCAATTCAGAATATTAGATTGGAAACGAATTCGAAGTTCACACCATTAAACAACAAATGAATGAAATCAAATAACTCATTAATAAATTCCAATAATTGTAGGCTTAAAAATCTAGAGTCTATTAACAACAAAGTATATTTTTATTTAAACCACTCTAGAAATTATTAGTAAACAAAAAGAAATCTCTGATTTACAATAACAAATTGCACAAACTAAAGAGTCAGTCTAAAGTCAAATGGCATTATTAAAAATTATAAATGAAGAAGGCAATTACGGAATAACCAAAAAGCAATTGATTTTGCAAAAATACAAAAAGAAACAATAGGTTCTCATATCATTAAAGTAAAAACTGAACGAACACAAATTTGATAAAAGATAATCCTCTTTAGTTGTCTAGGCTTATAAATATGAAGGAAGACCAAGGCAAAATAATAGCGAATTTTAAGTTAAATGAATCAATTTCTTTTTTCTTTTATATTATACAATTATTTCTAATTTAATGGAAAAATTTAGAGCATATGCTGATTCACATACAGGAATCAATCTCTTTGTGCCAGCTTTTGTTAATTAAAAAATATCCCCCCTCATCCTTTTGCTCCACATAGTAATGTTATGTTATTATATTATTTAGATCCTTGGATCCTTATTAATTTTGATTAGAATTCCTCTGTTGTTAATTTTGATATTATTACTATAAATATTGAATGCTTTGAAAGTAGAATCCCTAAATTAATTGATTGGTAAATTGATGTTGTTTACTTGTGGATTTGTTAACATTGAAAATTAGATTCCAATTCAAGATAAGGGTGGATAACTCATTTTATCAAATCATTCTAGCCCAATAGATTGGATATATTTCTTAGCTTAATCATCACCAAACTTCGCAACTTTTGTAGAATAAGGCGATGAAATCAGATATCAATTACTATCCTTAAATTAAGTGCTTAAGAATTTGTTTTCAATTACTACTGCCTAAACAGGAACTGGATTATACTTAAATTAAGTGATATTTTAAGATAGACCAACTTTATTGTTCTTTGAAGTATTTTAATTAATATTCACATATTTATAGGGATGTTAGACCAATCAATTGGGAGTGTTATCACCACCAAGATAAATGATTACTGAAATACAGAAAATGGGATAACCTATTGTAATTGATATTCTTATCGTAGAACATTTATGTGTTAACTTATCCAGACAAATCTGTTTTTACTCCTATTAATACTACAAGGAATGGATTATGGCATTTTGTATTGTTGTTAACAAATATTTGGAATGATTTGAGAGTTGTTAGCCAAGAATTCGACACCTCCAAGGACTATTAGAAACTCATAAGTAATTTCTATGAATGCGAAGGGTTGAAAATAGTATCTTATATAATTATTTAATTAATAGATCCATTAAAAATACACAGTATAAACAGAATTCTTGAATTATTATTGGAGAACTTCCAGTGGAAATTATATTAAATTAGATTGATTATGCTATTAATGTTTTACAAAAATTAAATTAAAAATGAATTCTGATTTTTTGAAATAGATTGAAGAAGAAAATAGGATTTTAGAATAGGAATTGTAGAATCTATTAAAGTAAATAATAATCCCAACCTTTTCTAAGTTAAAAGAGACAAAGAGTAGAGAAAGAAATTGAAGATCCTGATGAGGATATTAATCAAAATTTTAGAAGTGAAAAAGGGGATCTAAGTAAAATAGACGAAGAAACAGACGAAGAGTAACCCAATCGCATTGAGCCACATAGATTGATGGAATCTCCATAAAAGACAGGTAAAATATTTTTGAATTTTTAATTAGAATCGGTAATAGATAACATTTAAGATTCCATAAACAATTATTTGGAGAAAAATAGTAGTAGTATTGTCGATATTTAAAGTAATAGGCAATCATAAAAAAATGTAGACTAAAAAAATAAATAAATTAATTCTTTGGAAATGCGTCTATTGGGTACAAGAGAAGCTTTGAAATGTTTAGAAAAAGAAGTGAAAGATAAAAATGCAATTATATAAAATTTGGAGATTGATTTAGCTAAAAAGTAAAAATAAATTGATTCTCTCTAAAAAACTACTTTTAAATCAAATACTCCTCCTAATAAAGAAGTTAATAATGAGGGATTTTAGGAAATCAAGAAATAATGTAAGGAATGGGAGAGAAGATACATTGAATGCAATAGTTAATTAAAAGAGAATCAGAAGTATGCATCGAAATTATAAGAATTAAATCAGCAATTATTGTATAAGTTAAAATAATTTGAATCTGACAAGGAATACTCTAAGACCAAATTGGATTAATAGAAGAGTATAAACAATGAAATGAGCGAGACAAATACAAATATTTTAATTAAGTATGCAATATGATATATCCCATTTAGATTTGAATAGATTATAAAAGCTTAGTAAGAACAGATCTTATCTTAAGAGAATAAGTACAGATTATTAGAGGATAAGTATGATGAATTAAAACTGAATAGTGAACAATTTCTATTAAGTTCTCGCGACTTGAAATATCAATATGAGCACATGCTTAACACTCTACAATCAATTGCAAATAGTTATTGAACTCTTTTGTTTTATTTTTTATTTATTGACATTTATCTACATTTCTACAAATAAATTTATTTTATTAACCATCAATTAGATTTTAAGAAAATACATTTGAAGAGTTAATACAATGGGTTATGTTAAAATAATAAATAATAAAATTAGAGAGTGGAATGAATATATTAGTTATTATTATTATTTAAATTTGATTAAAAATTAATGAACAATCATTATGAACCATATGTTAGAAATAAAAGAGATTTAAAAGTTCCATACATTTCATGCTAAGATTATACAAATTTAGAGTAGGCATCTAAATTGATACCTGCTTTGAAGTAAATAAATTAGAGTGACAGACATTTGGCAGATGCTACTAATGCATATTCATACATACTTCGTAGTAACAATGATGATGATATTCATAAGGTATTAAGTACAAATAATAGGAAATCAGTCTATAAAATATGGAATTTGGACATCAAGCAAAGAAAACAATGAGAAGTTGAATGCAAAGTATTTGGAAGCCCAGTAGGATGAAATTCCAGTTTATTTGTTTTTCAGCGTAGTTAGAAGTGGGCAATTTGTCGGAGTAGCCAAGTTGACATCTGGATATAAAGAGGAGAGCTTCCAATATTGGTGGGAGATAAAGAAATGGAAGGGGCATTTCAACGTGCAATGGCTGTATGTAAAGGATGTGCCAAATAAACATTTTGAGCATCTGAGAAACAGGTAGAATTAATCATAACTGTGAATAGTGATAACGTGGAGGTGACTAGATCAAGAGATGGCGTGTGTCTAAGTTGGGAAACTGGGAAGGAGATGATGAAAATATTTGAAGAGTTTTCAGATAAAAAAAGCATATTGAATGATTTCACAGTGATTGACGAAAGAGAATAAGCGTTGAGATAATACAAATATTAGATGCAGCAGTAACGCAATCAACAATAATACTATCCTTATTATCCATATCAATATTACGATTACCAATAATAATACCAATAGTATCCTCAACAATATCAATAATAGTAATATCAAAATTATTATTGGTAACAACCCTAGAAGTGATTTTATATATCATAGATTGTTAAAGTTTCACCATACACATAAAACAATAAAATTTATATAAATAAAATGAAAATGGAGAGAAGTCTCTATCTAAATGGCAAGCCATTGATTAATCCTCCATTGACAATTGAAGAACAATTGAACGAAAGACTCGATAGAACAGGATACAAAATTGATGATTTGAATAGATTGAATGAAAAGCCAGTTTTACAAATAGTACTTATTCAATTTATGGACTAGATAGATCTTGATGGTCTTACTTCTGGTTACTTGAATAACAATCCCGTATTTTAAATGTTGAAACAGTAATTAATGAATTGGAATGAAAAGGTGACACTTCATAGAGCTGAACAAATCAAATTACAAGATCCTTTAGTTTCTGACAATCTCTATAGATAACTCAAGAATTCCCTGCTAGAAGTGGTTAGTACAAGGAACAAAATATAACAACACGATTTCTTAAACAAAGTATCTAACTGGTTCTTTTCTTAATTACCTAAATCTTAAACTGCTTCATTGAAATAATCTCTCCTTGAGAAAAAGGACTCGGTAATTAATTTATTACTATTTAAGACTCTCCATTTTATTCCTACTATTTACAATGAAAATTTGTATGCTTCTGGCATTGAAGATTACACTCTTAAATTTAGATCAGTTCATCCTGAATTTGATCCTCCTGAAGATAGGGTTAAAACCTATCAAAGAAAAAACCTATTATCTGATACTAGTACTCGTCCTGGAACTACTCCAGGAGTCTTAGGAATTTCACAATTTACCAGACCTCAAACTTCTCAAACAACTTACAAAATGATTGATTAAGTTGAAAAACTCTCAAGGCCAAAAACCAATCAATAACATGCACTTCCCAAATAACAGCAATCTTGGATGTATGATCCTACCTTTCCAGTCTTCTAAACTAACGAAGATTAATAATCAAAGACAACAAGAAGGTAGATTCAAAGAGAAGAGTCACCTCTGAAAGCAGATAAACCAACAGACAGAGATAAATTAGATTAAATAGAAGGAATCGAATAGGAACCAGATGAAGATGAAGATTAATCTCCAGATAAATTAGGGGAATCAAACAAAAATTTGGCCTCTGAACAAGAAATTTAGCGTGCAAAAAAGAAAAAAAAGGAAAGACCTGATAAATATATTAGTATTGCTCCCACTCATAAAACCTATAAGACTGATCTTGAAACATAAAATGCTTACTAAATTGGGTAGAATAGTAGATTAGGAGAATTTTAAGGGACATTTCATTAATATGATCCTACTCAAATTGAAGACAAAATGGTGGCAGCCAGACTTAATTAATATTATACTGAATAAAGAGTCAAAGATGTCAGAGAATAAAGAGAAGATATAGAGATGGTCTAATCAATGAAAAACTGGTCAACTAATAAAAGTAGAATTGATGAAATGGTACTTCAATCTGAATATGTAATATAAAAAATTATCATCTCTATTAGTTAACTGCCATGGGATCGCAATATCCTAATGTTGGAATTAAAATTTCGGATTTATACGAATCTAAAAAAATGGATTTGGCAGAAGAGAAAGCCTATGCCAACTATCTTAACAAATCTTCCTTACCAAAAGCTAGAATGGTTTAAAGTGCTGTTCCTATGGCAAAGATAGTTTCAAACTCTGTCATCCCTACATAGGTTGAGGAAGAGGCAGAAGATTTTTAGAGTAAATAAGCTGATCTTGAAAAATAAATCAATTCATAACGACTTCACTTGTTGAAAATGTCTAGAGGAGCCTGTTTACCAGGTGGACTGATAAATAATCCTAATCAAGAAACTATTTAAAGTAACAGGGTTATGTCTTCAAGTTGCTTTAAGAGTGCTTAGCCTAAAAGATAATTTAGTTCTGTGCTAAAAACACATAGTATTAAATAAGAATTAGATTCGCAAGTATTTAGATAGGTTTATTGAATTTATTTAGATTGGAGAAATAAAGCAATTAAAAAATAGATTAGCATCCGCTAATAAATTTGTTCCAATCAATATTCTTTAGAAATCTATACTGATTCCTTAAGGACATGCCAATCCTTATAAAGTTCCTCTTCCAAAACCAGGAATTCTCTTAGCAAACCTTCCAGTTGATACAAAATAAAGGAAAGGTAAAAAAAAGAAGACATAAAAATGATTAAAAATATATTATGAATCTAAATGATACCTAGATTTTATTCATTAGCTTACGTTATCAAGACATAAATATTCCTAAATTTAATATTGTTCTAAAAAAGGAATACAATTAATGATGAATTTATAAGTATTCTATAATAAATTTAAAATTCATTTTCACAATGTCTCAATCAGACAGCAAGCCAGGATCCAAAAACAAAAAGTCATTGTTAAGTCCACTAAAATTGATGGTTGACCCAAACCTAAAATTAATAAACTTTTCTATTTAACATGAATAACAAATTCTTAAAAAAATCATCTACTTGAATTCTAAAATAAAACTTATAGATGCTGTTAATTAAGTTCTTTAAGAAGTAGGAAAAGTGCATCAACTGGATAATAATGCAAATAATTATGCCATTTTCATTTCTAAAAAGAATGGGCTACCAAAATTGGATTTTCCATCATATTAAAAGGATATACTATTAGAAGAAACTGGAAATAGTAACTTTTCTTTGGTTCACATAACATTACTAAATAATAACTCGCCTGACAATAGCACTCATAATAGTCAAGAGAATGATGAAAAGTAAAATGATGAAAAACAAAAAAAGAAGCTTAAGAATTGGTTTCTCAATCTTCTTGGATGTAGTTGACTTTAATAGTTTAATTTATATACTACTTTATATGTTTATTATGATCATAATCTCTTTATTAATTAGAATAAATTTTTTTAATAAAATGATAATAAATCTCATAAAAGCAATTAGGTGAAAATAAAAATATAGAGTTTAAATTGAACACTGAGATAAGTTTAAGTGTCATTTATAAATTAATAGATCATCCTCATAACATTTAAATAGCGTATTGAAAATAAATACAGACATAGTTTGAATTTTTATTTTAAAGTCAACTAATACGCTTGAGTAGATAATCTCATTTTAATTTAAAACCGAAGCCATATATATAGTAATGAATTATGATGATTCAAAATTAATAAATTTCCTTTAATTCTAAAATCATATAACAATATTTTATTTTAGATAATTTTACAATTAATTATAATGCATTTACTCAAATTTTATAAGGATTTAATGGTTATTAAAATTTGGATAAATAAGTTATAATTTTCAATAATATGTATTCAAAATTTCTCTACACAAGAAGACTTGAACAAAAGACTTACGTAGATCATTATTTGAAATATCTCATCCCAATTTCAAATTATAAGGTTGTTTGTTTCTTTCAATCTAACACCGAAGAAGCTGGAGAATATGAAGTTTACGAAATCAGGAAAACTGCTCCAATAGTTAAGAAATAAATGAAAGAAATAGTTATAATGAGCGAGCCATTTGAATATTCAGATAGAGAAATAGGATTTTTCAATACTGAAACATTATCTTTATGGATACTTGACTTTATGGATTCAAAAATAACCAATACAGAAGTAACTTTACCTAGCCAAAGATTAAATAACTTTTTTACTCCAGAATTTCTAAACATTAATAAAGTTGTTTATGTGGATCAATGTTTGAGATACAAATATTTTTAAGGAATCTAAAGTTTTATTACTTTAGAATAATTTTATGTTTTCGCAAGTGAGGACGCCACTTGCAATGAAAATAACTTTATAAGTTGGAATGTAATTGAAAACAAAAAGATAGATGAATGTTAGATTAACGAGTCAAACTACCTTGTTTTCGAAGAGTTACAAAAACAAAAGATTATCTTAATTTGTAAATAGGTGTATTTGGATGAAGATTTCACTTTTAGTTTATGGATACCAGGAAGCAATCTATATAAATTCATTAATGTAAAATAGGCTCTGAATGCAACCATTCTCAAACCTTTTGATAACCAAAATAAAATTATAATCAAAGAAGAGTAACCTGATGCATCATTTATCAGCAAGAAAATTATGATAACTGCAAATCCAAATCATTAGGCTCATCCTATTTTAATTAATATTGAATGTGATCAAGACCTTAATCTAAAAGACTTTAATTATGCTCCTTATTAAATTGACTCAAAAGGATGCATCTTGATAGAGAGTCCATGGCTGGTAGGAAATGAATTGATAGTCTCTTACTATACTCACACCAATATCACAATTGCTGTATGCGACATTAATAAGCAATTAGAACCCTGCAAGTTGATAAATTTTAAATAAGAGTAAAAGGTTTCCAATTTCTACTTTTCTCAAAGTCCAAAACACTTTGTTGAATTATTTGATGATGCAACCAAAAATAAAGTTGAAGAAGAAATTATATTACCGAATCAAACTCAGGAAGTAACACAATACTATCACCATTCCTTTGTTCCAAACCAAATTCATTTCTTTCATTATTTGATATAAAAAGGGATTTATAATTAAATTGGAGATTTGTGCATGGAAGTTATGCAGTTTGCATTTTCTAGTCCAATCAAGAAGGAAAAGGTAGAACATTAGAATTGATTAATAATAAATATATGTGTTTACAGTTTATTTTTATCTGTTTATAAACATTCAGAAATTATTCTATTTAATAAATTAATTGAACAAAAAGATCAAGGCATTAATCTTATATGATGAAGTGTTAAATATGAAGAAAAGTATCAGATTTTTTATGAAAAATGAAATCAAAAATACTAAAAACTTCAATAAAGCAAAAGATACAAATTATAAATGAATTAGAGAGGGCATTTGGCAGTTAGTTTAGGTGTAAGAGTAATTAAATAAAGTATTAATATTTTAATTTCAAGGAACTTAAAAATAATCTGTCAGTATTTACTGTAGGTTTTTTTTGAATTGCATAAACTAATAAGAAAAATTTTAGAATTATTCAAAACTTAATAAACTAAAATAATTGATACTTCTTTATAAAATAACATTCATAATGGGAAATCATTGTATAGCAGAAGTAACTATTGAAGAAGATGATGAAGTATTTGCAAAATCAAGTATTTAAGCAAGTAATTTGAATCATTTTTTTTCATAAAAATATAAAGTGGAGGCTGATGAAGATTATCTTTAAAACTTAATTGATTAAATTGAGCCAGGCTTTAGTGTTTAATTTGAAATGATAAAAAGAAAGAAGAGAATCAGGGGCGGCTCAAATTTTGAATCAGTAATTTATAATAAAGATAACAACTTAAAAAAACTTAAGCCTTCACTCAAATAAATATCTCATAATAGCATTTTTATGAGAGAACATAGTAATAAAACAGTACGATGGGGGAGTTAATGTTATTAATCTGATTCTTTCAAATAATGAAATGTATATTTTATATTAACATTTATATTGAAAATTTATTAAACTTATCAAAAAGGTTTACCAACCTAAGTACTTTCGATACTAAATATTATCAAATATATTTCCTCAATAATTAACTACAAAAACTAACAGCTTCTAATTTCTAATACATCTTACTTGACTAACTAAATTAATCGATTTAATAATATAAGCCATGAGGTATTTGAAAAAAATACATAAACAACTAAATATTAATTAATTTAATGATTTAAGTTATTTGAAATATCACTTATACAAGATGGACCTCCCTTTTAGAGTTATGTCTAATCTTCTTTCCTTTTGATTCTATTGGGAAAGATTAATTAAGGCTTGCTAAAATGGAGACTTTCTTCTGCTTAATTATTTCTCGTCCTTCCATAACCTTGGAGTACATAATTTACTATTTGTTGGTGAAACTTATTTGCTCTAACTTAGTACTTCCGTTGATGTTCTAAATATAGAATATTCAGATTTAAGATTATTACATCTGGTTTCACATTCAGGTGAATTTTTTTCTATGCTCTAAGATCTTTTTTTATATTATCCAGACAATAGTTTGAATTTTTATAATTCTTGTATAATCGAAATTGGAAGTCTATCATGACTATTTCCATATTTCTTTTTATCATTCATCTATTATTAGCTAAACAATTATTCCCTATAATTTTGATTAATTTTATTTAAATTCAAATTTAAATAAGGTTTGTGAATAAAATTCTTCCGATTGGAAGGAGATTAATTTAATTTTAATTGTTAGGATTTCGTATTGTATAAACTTTTTAAATCAGAATTTAACTAGCTTGAACATTTATCTATTTTAAAGGTTGGTTGAAAACTGATTGAGTTTTGAAGATTTATTTTAGAACTTTCTATACTTTTATTTAACTATAACAAAGTATGTGTTGGGCTCTTTTTCTCCGATTTCAATTTTTATAATTGAGGTAAATCCTTGCCATTCAGGTCTTGGGATTAAATTATAAAATTTACATGAGCTTTTGGAGGATTTATATTTATTTAGATAGGTTTTAGTGAAATCAATTTCTTTTTTGGCATCATTTTACTTTTCTTATGAATTGATATTTGTTTAAGTTTGATTGTTAAAATTTTGCATCTAAATTTAATTTAACTCAAGCAAGGTCAAATATTTTTGGAATTTTTCAAATGTTGTTTATGAAGCTTCCTATTAGATAATCTTATTAATACCTAGATGGATTTTTGTAATTCATCTCTACTAATTAGATAATTTAAATAACTAATCATTTCATTAAAATGAAATGGAATATAACCATAATTACTTTAAGATTCCTTTTAATCCTATTCTCTAATTTGTTTGATGATATTATAAAACACTAAATAGATTAGATTTCCTTACATTTGGATGCTTATTCATCAAATACGGAATTCTTGAATTCATTCCAATTCAATGCATCTATTAAGTCATATAATAATGATACTGTCTTTGTCTTTGTCTACCAATTTAAAGAAATGTTGAAGTTATTATTCTGTAACTTTAAATCCATATTTTTAAAACATATCATACATTTCAGCGATGTCAAGGTTATCTTAATTTTACTAATTGCACAATACTTGAATTGTCTCGATCGAAATTTTAAAATATCTTCTGAATCTCTTGCTCCTGCTTAATTTATTCAGGAAATAGGAGGTATGACTTTTTCACTTTGTTACAATGCCTTTTTTAAGGTATTTCATACCTACTCTTAAACCATGAATTTACATTACTCGCATGTAGAGGAGATCTGGGAGATGTCTATTAATGATCATTGAGTGGATTCATTATTAATTAAAATGATTTTTATTATTTTGATAATTCTCTTTCTCATAATTACACTTTTAGTTGTTTTTGTAAAAAGGTATAGAAGGAGACAGCAGATTCCTTAATCTTAGATGCCAATCAAATTGGAAGAGAATAAAGAGGATATCAAAGAGAAGGCAGAAATAGAAGCAATAACCATGACAAAATAAAGCTCTAATAAAACTAATGGGAATGAATAAAATAATCATAGAGAACATTTAATTGATGAATAAGCCTTTTAATTTGGTGAGGATAGTGATAATGAAAAAGATGAAGAGAGAAACTCTTCTGGCAATTAATCATCAGATCATAAATAGAATCATGTATTCTAATTCTAGGAGGGCGAATAAAAGTTGGATGAATTAATTGAACCAGAAAATTGAGTGATGTCAAAAGAGTGGAATTTAAATTTGATTTTCATTTATTTTTATATATTGTCTTAAATGAATAAAAGTCTAATTATTCTAATTAATTCAATTAATTTAATTAGCATCACTTTCTTCCTCATCAAAATCTTGGTTCTCCTCATCTCTAATATAAACTCTTTTCTGCCATTGTCTAACATCCTTACTGAGAATAAATTCTTTAAATAAATCGTAATTTCCACTATTTAGATGGATATAAGGATAAATTTTAAAAAATGTAATTATTATGTTATCAGCTGGTCTATTCTTTTAACTATAATTTATTAATAAAGGAACCCTTGAACCCTTATCTTTTAATCTTTAGAAAAACCTGACCAAATTTATATATTCATTTTGACGCTCCTCCTTTCTTAAATAGAGTGGTTAATTATTTTAGGTCTAATCCATGGGCTCTAAGTCTAAGATAATTCTAAAGTACACTTGAGACTTAAACAGTAACTAAGGTTTTATTTAAAACAAGAAACTAACAAACTATGATAAATCTGATATATTCTAAAACTGTTGCAATTTCACTTATTTCTAACCAAATAAATGTATTAAGTTACTTGAATGCACTCCTAGATAATTTATTAATACTAAATTAAATCTTTAATATTTAAATTAAGCCAGGCCACCAATTTTCCATTTTCTAATTTATTCTATTCATGATCACTTAAGTAATTTTTCTAAAATTTATCCAACTTTTTGATGTTCTGATGAATATTTTCTAAATTCTGAATTGCAGATGGAGATCGTATATCAAATTCAAAGTCACTAGCTGATTAGATTGATATAGATGTAAAGCTTAAAATCATTAGAAAAACATAAATTCGACAAACCTCACTATATTTTAATAATATTTACCATAAATAGAACTACTAATAGGGCATTTGTTATTTGACCAGTATTCATGGCTCCTCTTTCCCACTCATTTTCTGAAGTTGGAATAGACCAAATTATCATACAATAAAGTGAACTAGCATATGAGTCATAACTCTCAAAGTTTTTACGAAATGCTATATAAAAGGCGAGAGACCAAGTCACATATTGTGCAACTCGAATAAAAAACATTTTAAAAAAATGAATTGTAGTTCTGTATATTAAATTAATAAATTTAACTATCAATTCAGTTCCATTTAAATAGCTTAATATCCAGAATACGTTAAATGGGATGAACAATAAGACAAATGCCAAAAAAATGATTCGGATTTATTAAATTTAGTATGTTGCATCTAACAAAATGTAATTATGACAAGTGGAGAGCAATGGGAATCCATTGTTCCAAATGCTAACTGCTTTGTTTTACAAACAATTTTAATCATTCAATGCTTCTTGGATATCGCTATTTAATACAGCAGACTCAAGTGTACATATAACTGAAAAGGCTGATTCTAAAATAGAGACTAAAAACACTAACAATTAAGTAGCTCTTGGATCTATTGATCCTTCAAATATTATTTTCATGATAAAAAAGAAATTAAACACAATTAAAATGATTGAAAAAGAGTACCAAGTTGAGGAGTTCATCGAATTAGTATTTATTTAATTAATTTAATACTCAAAAGTTTATTCTTCAGTTTCATGAAATTATTGAACAAAAGTATTTTAATAAATTACATTATTATATTTATTAATCCTATTAAATTAAACAACAAGAGCAATCGTATTATTGGTAATCCAATCATTTCGTATTAGTTTATCAATCATTTCTTCCATTTCTTCACGATTATTGAATTTGATATCAGCAATAAATGCACTATTCGGATATGTCCCAAATTGTCTGGTCTTTATTTAATTTTCTGAATATCTCTTGAGAATCCCTTCATAACTGTTTTTGAAAATATCTCTTAATGAAAACTCAATGCAGTCTGTTGAATATAAACAAAGTTTTGTGCTGTTGCATATAAATAATGACGGTTATAAAGATGAAAGAGTATCACTATCCGAAGGATTACAATTGCTCGACAAACTATCTATAAACTTTTATTGTTCTGAAATATCGGATTCTAATTTGGACACATCATAATGACAATCCACTGAATAGGATATTTAATATTAAACTAATCTAAATCCAGATAAGAATATTTCAAATTCATTGGGATCAACAAATAACTCCCAAAAATTCTCTTTTAAAACATGTAAACTAGCATTTTGCAATTTGTCCTAATAGAATTAGTGAGATGTCAATTTCTAATTTAACCTATCTAATGATAATTTTTATTAATCCTGAGATATTATTTGATATTGAATATTGTTGCTTAAATCATTAAGGGTATCTAAATATAAAAGAATCAAAATTGAAATAATCCTAATAAGTAAGGTAAGTATTTCTGCTTGTGGAGACACCAAAATAGTCTTAATTGCTCTATATGCCCTTTTAGAAAATAGTGACATCCAAACTTTTGATTATTAAATAAAATATCATTGTTAATTATAAAGTTTAAAATCATTCAGATGTACAACTGTTTCATTATTTCTATCAATGATAATGGATTCATTCTTTTAAAAGGCAGCGTTACTCAATATTTTGCTTTCCCTTATCAAAGTTATATATTATTTTTTTTATCTATCGCCCGAAAATACTTTGTATAAGCATCCATCAGACTCTTCTACGATTATTGAAAACTCAAACTCTTTATCATTTATGATAACGGTATTTACTTTGGCGAGGTTAACCTACTACCTTGAATTGTATTCTATTGTTCTAAATTAATATTCTCTATTGTTTTCTTCCATCTCCATTTCATCATTACAAATTTGATTGTAATCCTTTAGGATCAAATACTTGATTTCTAATAAATACTTATTCTGTGATTCGTTTTTTACGTTGCAATAACTATAAAATAGCAGCAAATCCCCATTTTATAAATTTGCTACTATTGTCGGTATTTACATATTCACTTAAAATTAAACCTATCTGCATCTTGAAATTGGTGATTATTAGAACTACAAAGGTTCTTTCTCCCAAGAATTTAACTTATATCTTAAAATGTTATCCCATTTAGTTTTTCTTATCTACTTTATTGAAATCTCATAAATTGTAGTACTTGTACATACAATTAAATATGGGCATCTTTATCCTTGCTCGCCTTACCATTTCACTTCAAGCCCAATCAAACAAAAATCTTCTTTTAGTTCAGCAATTCTAAAGATTTGATTTATTGGAACCTTTGTAATTGCATCTTCATTTGAATCCTTTACATCTTATAGATTTATCCAATCACTAATCTATTTTTGAATAATTACCTATCATACAAATCTAGGTATATCTTATCTTGATGATTTATCTTTCTAACAATCCAAAGTTGCTCATTTTCCAAATCGTTCAAAATAACTTCATCAAAATCTAAATTATCCTCTTTATCCTACTGATCTTCAAAGATAAACTTCCTTGTCTTCGGTTTTGGCTTTTCGTAAAAATATAACAAATATAAGTTCTGCACTCCATTGTAATGAAATATGTATTAGTTGTTCCTATCCTCCAACCACTAATTTAAAAAATTATATTTACATTAGCATAAAGACATGCATTTCTTAGACTATTTGATTTTTCAACCTATTCTATTATAAAGTAAAAGCTTTCCTCTTGAATATCAAGTATCTATTTCGTTTTGTTATCCTCTTATACCTATTTTGCAGGGTCATATGTAAATCGGAACTTATGAGCTTATAATTAAACTTATTTTGATAGCTATTTCAAATTAATACTATCCTCCTCATCTACTATTTTTACCTTTTCATATATCAATTCTTAAACAACCACAATAAAGTCAACTTTCTTTTTACTTTATTCAATTATTTTTTTATTTAATTGATTAGATCTAAACAATTTCTTTTTCTTTTGGTAAAAATCAAAATAATCCTGATTTTAAATCTTACAGTTATCAAATTGCAAACTTTATTCAAAGCCAAATATTGACATCCTCTATATTTATGATTAGAATGAACCTGCTTAATACTTGGTTTATCCTTCAAAATATAAGAATGACTGATCATTGATTTTCTAAATAAGAGAGTTTTCATAGCATTTTAATTTACCTACATTTTCTATAACTTTTAATTTATTTTTTTATTATTCATTCATTTCCACAGTTAATGCATATGCACCAAGATTAAATTCATATTCTGATTACCTTTTTTATTCTTCAAATTGGTTTTATGGTACGTATGATTCATAAGTTCCTCCCATTAGTATGAACTGACAATCCTTTGTTGGACTAATTGTAAAATTTATTAATTAATCCAACCCATCTTTTTGATTTTCACTATTATGATAAAAGTCGGGCTTATTTCCATATCTTAAATTGTACTTTTTAAATTAAACATAATAATTAAAGCCTGATGATTTTTTTCTTTAAATTTGATTGAGTGTTTCTTTCTAAAATGATACATTAAATTAATAAAAATATTCACCTTCTAATAAGTAAGAGCTTTTTAATTTTTTTTCGAACTTTTCAAAATATCTATATTCTTCCAAGTAGATTGAATCCTCTATTTATTTTTCTTAATTTAATTTGTATGCTGAATATTAATAGAATAGCTTATCATCCTTAACAATACAAATGATAAAGGATTAATTATCTTGATTGTAGTAAATGAAATGCTCAACTTCAAAAATTCTTATAGGTTATTTTGATTGTTTTTCAAATAATTTCGTTAATTCTATTTAGTTTCTGCTATTCAAAATTCCAAACAGATTATATTCCAATTCTTAAGCTTAATTGCTATCTAAGGCTTCAATAACTTAGGTACTTTTTTCTGTCGGTAACATTTATTTCTAGTACTCAATTTCCATTTACTCCTGTTCCAGTGATTGGAAATTATTTTGTCGAACCTTCAAAGCAGAGTACTATCTAAGGAACTACTGTTCCTCCTTTACAGTTTACGCAAAATATTTGCTATACTCCTTATACTATTAGGCAGAGATATCTTCGCATTAATAATGAGTTTTGTTTTTTCTCTTAAATTTGTAATCATAGTATGAATTGCTAATAAGGAGCGTTGATTTTAAATATTTTTCAAAACCTTCTGGAGTATGTGATGTTAGTAATGGAATAATTATGAGACAATTTTATGAGATTTTCTCTAATTAAAAAATTAATTTTTAAAAGAAATACGCTTCAAATTCAAAGCTATCATTAATTTCTAACAATAAAACTATCAATTTTGGTTAGTACCTTTGAATCTTATTTTTTAAAAAGTATCTATAAAGATGTAAAATTTCATTTGTAATTTTTTTATTGGCAATGTTTAGTTTTAAATAGTATTGATCCTATTAGATTAAGCTTTTAATATCTTATATAGGTTTAGAACTAAATGATTATTCATCCTACAGCATTATTGAAAAATTTTAGAAAGAATTACCCTCTTTAACTTAGAGATCATCTGCTTTTAAATCATAATCTTTTGTAATTGCAATATAACATAATTTCAAAACATCGTATTTGTTTTTTCCTTTTTCTGCATTTATTTTTTAAAATTTTTTAATAGCTTATGAGATCAAAAGCCTTATTCGGTTTGGCTCATTACTTATGTGTTATAGAATAATTTGTGAGTTTTCTCCTTCATAAAAACTATCAAAAATTTAATTTAAACTATTTTTGAAGTTTTTATCAACCATTTTTCCCAAAGAAGCCTCTTTGTTTTCTTTACAAGCCTATTTTTTTCCTATATCAACCCCTTTTTTTGTTTCTATTTCAAGCTTTTTTGTTCCTATACCAACCTCATTTGTTCCTATATCAGCATCTTTTGCTACTTTTTCAGCATCATTTGCTCCTGCATCAGCCTTATTTGTTTCTTTATCGACATATATTCTTTTTAGCTAATAAATCTATTTATGAGAGAGATTGTATTGCTATTGATATTCAATAATATAATTTAGGATTTTATCTAATTTATTCTAAGTGTCGTCTTAAACTAAGCAATTTTTATAGCAAAAATCCTTTTTAAAAAAATCTACAATCTGAATTTATTATTAATAATTATCCTGTTTTTGAAAAGGTGTATTATATCTGAAATAATTTTACTTGAATTCCTACCAATTTTGATATGTTGGATTAGAAAAAGGTTAAGATTTTTGCAGAAATTCTGTGTTAATTTTTTGTTTCATCTCTTTTCTTTTTATAAATATATAAATTATTTATTAAATATTATATCGAAAATGATTAAAGCATTTATATCATCTAAATAGAACATCATTTATTTATTGCATATTCAAAACATGTTTTTTAAATCATTTTCTTGCTTAATTATAGAGATTAATAGAAATTTTTAATTTTTGTGAGATAAAATAACAGGTTTTTATTTACTAATTTAAGAATAAATTAAAAACCTAATTGCCATATTTTTTATTTCTTTTTTAAATAAGGGTGCTAATATAGAGTTTGTTTAAAGTTCTTCTGGTTTCAATCCTTTTTGTAAATTGGATTAACTTTTTTCAAATATTTTTCAATTTAAGCAGCTTAACCAAGAGTTCATCATATAATGAACGAATTTTTATTAATTCTATATTCAAATTAAAGTTGTATTTAGCAAGAATTAACCAAAAATTCTTAATAGTGTATTTTTTTTTTAGTATTTTTAATCTCCAATTAATCCTTATCAGTTGATATTATAAAAATATATAAAATGATATAATCATCAGAACTTTGATTTTGAGAAAGGTTTCATAAGGTACGTAAGTAAACTTAAGATTAGGTACACAAGTATAATCATTCTTTAGTTTCTAAAGACAATTTTTAATTTTCTTTTATTTTTTCTTGATAGGTCTCATTAAATTGGGATAATCTATTCTTATGCGACTTCAAAATTTAACTTGTTTTGAGAGGGCATGATCTTAAATATCACCTCATTTCCTTGAAGACTGTAAGAATTGCTGCGAAAGATGAAAATTTATGAATGAGATTATTTTATAATCATGATTTTTCAATTTAGTATTTGTTGCTTTCATAATATATTTAATATTTATTTTTATGTTAATGGTTTTTAAAACAAACGATCTGCTCCTTCTTTAATGCACTATTGTCTTGTTTCCTGATCATCAAATGCGCTAAGTATATAAATTTTAGCATTTTTATTAAATTTTTTAAATTCTCTTATACATTAAATTCCACTCTTATCTGGTAAATTGACATCCAGTAATATCATATCAAATTACTTTGATTTTACCATTTAGATTGCTTCGCTGGCAGAGTAAGCTATCTAAATTTAATTCACTCCACATTACTAAAACAACTATTTATTAGTTGCATTATTGAATAGTTCATCATCTACTAACAAAACACTTCTTTATTTATTTTATGGAGTTTACTTAGGTATTTTCTAGTATCGCACTTAATGAATCTAAATTGGTTAATCATCCAAATTGTCAATATCATCTTGATGAACTCTATAAATAACAAACTAAAAATTGGTTCCAACTCCAATCTTGCTGTTAATGTAAATATATTTCAGAGGTCCTATATATCCACACAACTATTTACTAATCATCAATCCTAGTCCTACTCCATTCCTATTATTTGAAGATTTGTTTACCTATTCTATTTTTTCTCACTATCAAAAGTGCTGTAACTTTTGAATAACTAACCTTTAACCTCATCACTAATACCCACTCCCGTATCTGAAACTGTAATCAAAATCAAATTATTTAATTATTCGTCTAACTAACACAAACTTTGCTTCGACTTATTTTGTTTCATCTAATTTTTAACATTCACATAAAACTCCTAAATGTCCTAATTGTTATCTGTAATATTCAACGATATCTGTCCTTTGGAAGTGAATTTCGAAGAATTAGAAATTAAATTAAATAAAACCTACTTTAATCTAACCTCATCATTTTTTATCAAGGTATCCTCTGCTTTATTTTTAATATGAAATTCAATTTACTTTATTTACAATTACAATTAGAAAGCCTATTAAATTTACTAGCAAAGATTTAATATATCAAATTCTGTTATAAACACTTTCAACTTTTACATTTTGATCATCTAAAAATCAGATAAATCCTTAACAAAACTTTATAAAAATATTATGTTATTGATGCAAATATCTATAAATTGAACACTCTATTGTAGATCTTACTATTATTGGATTAATCTTTATAAATCATCTTGAACAAATAAAAGTGTTTAATGAATAGCCCCAATAGGGTTTTTTAAGTCATGACTAACTGTGGCAAGGATGTTATCCTTATAGGAATCTAGTTTCTTCAATTCCATCACCAATTGATCATCTGTTATGTTGATGATAGTGATGGCATAACTCTATTACCCTTTCCAAATGCATTATTGCATATTTATTTTATAAGTTTAATCTTCTAATTGTGCCTGTGCAACAAAGGGTGCCTACAAAAATAGATCCTAATGATTAAGACTTTCTAATATGTTTGTCGACTTCGTAAAATAATGGTCAGTTGATTTATTTCCCTCGTTATTATACTCATGGTCTGTTTGGAGGATGAACTATTCTAATTTCCTTAGGATATTAGTTTATGCTCCAAATTTCTTCAGAAATGGTTTATTTACATATAAAACCTCATGGTTTCTGACCTTTTATATAATATCAATAAAAAGTTACATTTAAAACAACAAGGAACTGCTTGTCATTGATATCGAATAGTTATTCGTCAGAGCTTTCTGCATCTTTGGCAATGCTGAATTGAGGGAAAGTTAGGGATAGTTTTTTTTTATTCGTCACAAATAAGTTTAGATAAATTGTACATAAAATTAACCAAGAGAATATTTGTTCTCCATTGTTTAAGACAAAATTTTCAGGTTTCAATGTCTCATAAATCACTTAAAATCCCAAATAATAGAACACCTTCATTGCATCTAATTCTATTGCTGAGGAAACGTAAATCAAGTAAATAAACAAAAAATCTGGCGTTTAAAATTTATACAAATAAAGTGCTGAAAACAATAATGAATGCAAAACTCTTATTAAAGGATTTATTTTTGTTTTTAAATGTATTAAAACTATTGAACTTAAACTTGAAAGAGACAACAAGAAAAATGTGATTGCATATAAATTAGGCAATAGTCTATACCCCAATAATAACTCCAACACACTCTTAAAAACCTCCATTACAAAATTAATCTTCTTCTATGCTTATACCAAAGCCTCTTATTCCTAATCTATTTCTTATTGAGACAAAAAGGGTTCTTTTATTCTAAAGAGTCTTATTAATTTGGACAGATACATAATTAATAAAAAATTTATTAAATGTAAGACATTCGATGCTCCAAATGAAACAAGAGATTTACATATATTTAATCTGTATAGAATATTTACTAATTGCAGTGGCAAAGAAGACTCAATAAAAGGTTAACATAAAAATGGTAGGAAGAGGTTCTACTCTTATCAGCAAGAGCTTAAGAAATTTATATTAAACATAATAAACCATCCTTTGAAAGAGAAAGATCAATAAAAAATGATCATATAATATGGAATTTGCAGTTAAAATTTATATTGCTTCGAAAGAAAGATTAATACTTAGCCAAACACATATGCAAAGTCTATTCAAAAAGCTTTATTACCATTTTTTTCATCTTGAAAATAGTCCAAAAACACCAAAGCTTAGTTCTGTCAAAAGAAATAACAGATCTATAAAAAATGACTCAATCATAAAATTCAAGTTAAAATTGAATTTGAATAATCTAAAGAAATTAGGTTCAATTTAGCAATATGAGAAAAAAATGAAAGAAAAATCATCTTCAATATAAGAATAAAATAATTCTTATGGAGTTATTAATAATTAAACTTAACAAAAAAAGACTATGGTACAAATATTTGAAAATTAAGAGTAAAATTATTCTTTAGAGAATTCAATATTTGCCAAAATTAGTTAAATAGATGAGTATACATAAATTATAATTGTATAAACAAACTCAGATTGAATTTTTGGTTTGTTGATAAATCAAAAATATATGAATTTATACAATAATAGTCACTCTGAAATACAATTGTAATAAATAGTCAAAATTCTGAATCTATTGGAAATTGAAGATTTTATAAGAGACTTGAAATGAAATAAATAGTAATATGATTAATATTAATTTATTATGATTAACTCATAATCAGTGCCTAATCTGTTAAATTCAAGTGCGTTGCCAATAAGCGAACCAACTTTAGAGTAAATTAATAAAAAGTAGTATGGAGATACTTTGCGATAGTAAATTGAATAAAAGAAGATAAGAGAGTAGTAGGAGAAAATTTAAGAACGACTTATGGTTATTAATTTAAGTTTATTGGATAGGAATTATAATTGTAAAATTAACAAAATGGTTAAGCAAGAGGAGGAGGAGGCGCTCCATTAAGAGATTTTTAAGGAAATATAACTGTAAATAATAACATTGTGTTTAGACAACTAGAAGAAATCCTATGGACCCTAATATGTCTACGGCTTAAATTTTTGGTCCATCTAATTCATCTGTTCAATTCAATTAACCTGATTATTTGAGTGCTAGTCAATTACCTATTTAAACACAAAGACTAGTAACTACAAATCAAAGTATGATAAATCTACCCACTTCAAATAATGTAAGTTATTTTTATATTCAGAGTATGAATCAAAGTTAATTAAGTCAAATTGGAGAATAAATAGCTAAGGCAGAAAAAAAATAAAAATAATTTTTTTTATAAAGAGAATTAAAAACGTAAATGGAAATAGCAGAAAAAAAGAAGTAAGAAGAGAAAGATAGAATAAAGAGAGACAAAGAATTAGATGACTTAAGAATATTAAGAGAAAGAGAAGAAATAGAAAGAAGAATGAAAGATGAATTTGGAATTGATAAATTAGAAAAAAGAAATCTTCAATAAACAAATTTTGATGTTGATGGTTTAAAAGCATTAAAAAGATTGGAAATGTTAAGATACTAAAACGAATTAATTGAATAACAAAATAGAAAAAATGCTAAAACAGGAGTCAGAAAAAGAACTCCTGTGTAAGAAGCTGAAAAAGCTTATAGAGACTAAAAAAATGATATCCTGTAGTCTCGAATCGAATAGAGAATCATCAAAGAGTTACCTATTGAAGTTGAAAAGACTGTTAGAGATACAATCAATGTTGAATTACATAGATTGAGATAAGAAATGAATCTTCAGACTAATTAAGTATCTGAATAGGTAGTTTCATTAAAGAGTCAATTAATGAAAGCAAATGAATAGAGACACTATAATGAAGAATAAATCAGAAAACTAAAAGAAGAACTTAGGTCGACCTAGATCATTGATGAAATTCGATAAAGAGAATTATATTAAGCATTTCAGAATTAAGAAAGGACAAGATAAATTATAGAAACAGCTTAAAGATAAAAAACACCAGATTCAATAAAATATGCATTTCCAAGAAGATAAAAATTAAATTCCAACCCTTACGACCCATTCTTAGGAAGTAATGAGGATGTCAATAAAGATTTATATGAAATAATCACAGATAATACATAAATTGGTCCTGCATCTTAAGATTTTTAAAAAGGATTTAATCTATAAACTAGAGAGAAGAATTAAGATCAAAGACTATAAACTGAAGAAGACCGCGCAATCAATAATCATAGATCAGGTTCGGAAATAAAACATAATAAATTTGATTTACCTGAAGACTATCTTAATCGTTAATAATTGTATATTGCTAAAAGTTATCTGGATTCTAAGCCTGTTAATAACTATGATTATACAAAAATAGAAAATAATTCAATTATTCCAAAATCAGATTATGTTTCTTTGATTAGTAGTACTCATCCTTATTATATACAAGAATAGGATGAAGTTAAAGATGTTATTTAAAGATATTCTAGTATTTATTAATTGTTATATCTATTATAGACAAGCTTGATAGATTAGAAGATATAGATCTTTTATAATAAAAAAGAGACTTTAATCAAATGGACTATGCATTATAAGATTTATTGGATTAGTAAAGCAATAAATTAAATAAACATGAATATATCAATGACCCTATTGAATATAATGATTATTATTCAACTGATTACTAAGAAACAAATTTTTATAATAAAATGAATAAATTATCTTGACTTATTATTATAATATTATTATTAATATATTCTGTCAAATACTTCATAAACAATTACTAAAATTCAATTTTTATAGTGTCAATTAATTAATCATGAATAAAACAAGAAAAAATAGTTAAATATATTAGTAATTATTTAAGAAAAATATAAGAAAAAAATGTTTATTTTGTTAATTATTGAAAGAAAGTTCAGAATTCAGTAAGCCTAAAGTAACTCAATTTATTAAGACTTTAATTAGCATATATAAATGAAAGTATTATTCTATTTGAAAAATTTCAACAGTTCCTAAATTAAGGCTAAATTAGAAATCGAGAATAAATTAGTGTAAGAGAAATTAACTTTATGACATTCCACCATTAGCATATTAAAGATTTTAAAAGACTATTTTTATCTCAATTTATTTATAATTTGATTATTTAAGCCTTTACCCAAATATAGTTTGAATAATTAATATACAATGGCAATAAGTCATGTAAAAGACTTCTGAATTTAATCTCTTCTAGTTTCATTTGAATTTTTATTCTAAATTTTGAAATTCATTANAGAATTAAGAAAGGACAAGATAAATTATAGAAACAGCTTAAAGATAAAAAACACCAGATTCAATAAAATATGCATTTCCAAGAAGATAAAAATTAAATTCCAACCCTTACGACCCATTCTTAGGAAGTAATGAGGATGTCAATAAAGATTTATATGAAATAATCACAGATAATACATAAATTGGTCCTGCATCTTAAGATTTTTAAAAAGGATTTAATCTATAAACTAGAGAGAAGAATTAAGATCAAAGACTATAAACTGAAGAAGACCGCGCAATCAATAATCATAGATCAGGTTCGGAAATAAAACATAATAAATTTGATTTACCTGAAGACTATCTTAATCGTTAATAATTGTATATTGCTAAAAGTTATCTGGATTCTAAGCCTGTTAATAACTATGATTATACAAAAATAGAAAATAATTCAATTATTCCAAAATCAGATTATGTTTCTTTGATTAGTAGTACTCATCCTTATTATATACAAGAATAGGATGAAGTTAAAGATGTTATTTAAAGATATTCTAGTATTTATTAATTGTTATATCTATTATAGACAAGCTTGATAGATTAGAAGATATAGATCTTTTATAATAAAAAAGAGACTTTAATCAAATGGACTATGCATTATAAGATTTATTGGATTAGTAAAGCAATAAATTAAATAAACATGAATATATCAATGACCCTATTGAATATAATGATTATTATTCAACTGATTACTAAGAAACAAATTTTTATAATAAAATGAATAAATTATCTTGACTTATTATTATAATATTATTATTAATATATTCTGTCAAATACTTCATAAACAATTACTAAAATTCAATTTTTATAGTGTCAATTAATTAATCATGAATAAAACAAGAAAAAATAGTTAAATATATTAGTAATTATTTAAGAAAAATATAAGAAAAAAATGTTTATTTTGTTAATTATTGAAAGAAAGTTCAGAATTCAGTAAGCCTAAAGTAACTCAATTTATTAAGACTTTAATTAGCATATATAAATGAAAGTATTATTCTATTTGAAAAATTTCAACAGTTCCTAAATTAAGGCTAAATTAGAAATCGAGAATAAATTAGTGTAAGAGAAATTAACTTTATGACATTCCACCATTAGCATATTAAAGATTTTAAAAGACTATTTTTATCTCAATTTATTTATAATTTGATTATTTAAGCCTTTACCCAAATATAGTTTGAATAATTAATATACAATGGCAATAAGTCATGTAAAAGACTTCTGAATTTAATCTCTTCTAGTTTCATTTGAATTTTTATTCTAAATTTTGAAATTCATTACATTATGCAATTGACCAATGTTGTTGATAATTTCTTTAGTTTGAACTGTAAAAGAAGGTCTTAGTTCTAAAATTTTAAAAGGATATTAATAGTATAATTTGAATGGTTAAGTTATTAAGAAAGTATTTATATAATAATTGAATTTAGTTAGAATATTAAAATGGATATTCAAACTTAATAATTGAATGTATAGGTAGCGGTCAGAGTTAGACCGTTAAGCAACAAGGAACTAAATGCTAAGGATGAATGTTGTTTGAAGACTGAGGACAACAGAGTATTAATTACAATGAATTTAGATAATTTTGCCACAAAATGGAAAAATCTTTACTTTTGACCATGTATTCAATTAGAATTCCAATTAAGAAGAGATTTTTGAAAGGTAAAGACTAGAAATTCTAAATGTAGTTGTGTAACCAATTTAATCTTAAGATGCTTTGAAGGATATAATAGTACAATATTGGCATATGGCCAAACAGGCTCTGGGAAAACCTTTACAATGGGAACATCAGGTTTGGATCAATATTCTGGTTTAATATTGTGATTAATGCATAGACTAAAATGAATGGGGAATGATACCAAGAGCAGTATATTTTTTATTTGATGAAGTGGAGAAGAGGAAATAAGAATAGGACATAATTATTACATGTTCATACGTAGAATTATATAATGAATAAATAATTGACTTGCTAAATGAATCTACAATGAAATCAAATTTATAACCAACAATAAGAGAGGAAAAGGATCATACTATTTCAATTCAAAATTTGACAACAATAGCAGTAATCAATCCATAGGATATGCTTCAAATATTAAATAAAGGAGGAACGCATAGAACAACAGCAGCAACTCAAATGAATTTAAATAGTTCAAGATCCCACGCAATATTTACAATTTATTTTGAAATTAACCGGGAATCTGAGGAAGGGTCTTTGAGTGCCAAATTCCATTTTGTTGATCTAGCTGGCAGTGAGAGACTAAAAAAAACTATGGCTATAGGTAAGTAGATGGAAGAAGGAATTAATATAAATTAAAGTCTTTTGGTGTTAGGAAATGTAATTAAAACATTAAGTGATTAAAAAAAATCAGCTCATGTTCCATATAGAGAAAGTAAGTTAACAAGGTATGGAAATATATTTTAAATAATTATATAGAATTCTACAAGATTCCTTGGGAGGTAATTCAAACACTTACATGATAGCCTGTATTTCACCATCAGCTAGTAATTACGAAGAAACAATCAATACTTTGAAATACGCTAGTAGAGCTAGAGAAATTAAAAACAAGCCTACCCAAAATAGAGTATTTTGATATATTTATATATAAGGATCCTCATGCTGCTTAAATATTGATATTAAAACAATAAATATTTGGTCTTTAGGATCAAATCAAACAATACTCTTAAATACTCTAAGAGAATAATATCAATACAGATTCTATAAAATCAACGGCTATTTAAATTTATGAGTCAATTTCTCCAAGTTCTGGGCCATAATAAAATTGCTCAGAACATGGAGAGACTATTCTTAAATTAAAGAATTAAAATTATCAATTAGAAAAACAATTAAATAGTTTACAAAAGGAATTGTAGAATTCTTAAAAGGTTTTGAGTGAAAGTATGTTAGAATCTTATAAAGCAAAGAAATAAAGAGACTAAATTATGAAGCAATTTCAAGATGCAAAGAAGTAGTGTGTTAATATATTTTAGAATTTTATAAAAATACAATATCTAATACAATTTTAATGAGGATCAGCAGATGGATACATATTATAATGAAATAGCTAGTTTAAAGAAGGTTGTATAAGAACAAGAGCAAAGAATATTCCTCTTATAATCTAATAATGATTAGCTATTAAAAGTAATGTATTTTGATACATAACTTAGTACAGGAAGCACGCAGAGATCAAAAGCTATTGAGATAAAAACAACATGAATTAATGAGATTAGAAAAGCAAAAATAAGATGTAGATTAAATTGATGACGATTTTGAATTAGATGATTCTGAATTAATTGAAAAAGATCTTCAAATTGAAGAATAGGAGTAGCAGCTACAGGAACTAGATAAAATAAAAATTGAGACAATTTAATTATTATAAGATGATAAGCAAAACTATTTAAAACAAATTTCCATTTTAGAAGAGGAGAAGGCTAAGCTATAGAAGCAATTGAATAATAAGTAGGATTCTGCTTAAATGAATTCACTTAAATTAAAAATATAAGAGTATGAAACTAAGATTTTGGACATGAGATAAAAAGAAATGACATCCAAATAATTGTAAAAGAAGTTAGAAGATTAAGAATGTTAAGTAAAAGAACTAAGAACTAATATTGAACAAATGAAAAAATAGAAAGTTGATCTGATTAAGAAAATGAAATAAGAGAATGAGAAATACATTAAAGACAAGGAGTAAAAGCATAAAGAATTGATTTATGCCAAAAAATAAAAAATATAGTAAGATACTTTAGTAAGTAAATTGAAAAATGAAAATACAAAGAAAGATGTTTAATTGAAAAGGAAGGAAGATGAATTATAGAAATAAAAGAATGAAAAATTGATTGTCAAATAGCATAATCGTTATAATCCAAATAAATCTTTATAATATGACACATTTGAAAAATAAATTGATGATTTGTTTACAGAGTTAATTCTTGGAGAATAGGCTGAGGAGTAGATAACAAAAGAGTACTCTAAATTAGAAGAACTTTAAGAAGAATTAAGATAAATTGAAGTTAAGATATGTTCATTACAAATTAAAATTGATTAAATTCAATTTGATATGACCTAAAATAGTGCAGTTTGTAGCATTGAAAATGTGTAATAATTTGAATTAGAATTAAATGATTTTTAGTAGAAAAGAGAGAATATATCAGAAACTATAGAATTCTAGCTTAAAAAAATAGACGATTATCGAGTAATTTGTTAGAAAGCTAACGATTACTACACCATAGTTTTAACCAATTAGTACTTCAAAGATTTACCGAATTGGTGTACAAGGTCATTCAGGTATGTTATTGATAATTGGGTTAAAGATCATTATTAAATGACTTTATATGCCCAATAGATAGAGGAATTAAACTAAACAAATTAGGAACTCATTAATGCTAAGCCTAGTCCTATTAAAAAATCAATTAGATAAAATACTCCCATAGATGATCTCAAAAGGCAGATAAATGAATATAAAAGAAAACTTTAAGCATTATAAAACTAATATCGAACCACAAGCATAGAATTAGATTATTATAAAAACTTTTATAGTGAATAAATAAATAAATAATAGAAAGATAAATCAATAGGAATAAGTTAATAATTATAGCATTCTTAATCATTCCATTCAATTAGAAATTCAATTACTAAAGAATAAAAACAAGAATAACTACCTTTGGCTTTGACCCATGTAAAATCGTTCGGATAATTAGGATCAGGCATGAGAATTAGAAATTCTGTATCATAACATTGGATCACTGAATAGTTAAATTCGTCTCAAGAGATTATTAATTATGAGTAATTATCAATATAATTTTAGTATTGTGAAAACTCTTTAAGGTCATGATCAACCAGTCCTATCTTTATATACTAAAGATAATATTTTGTGTTCTGGGTAGTATAAATAATTTAAAGTTTGGGATATAGAATCTCAATAACTGATTAGTACAATCGATTAAAGTAATCACTGTAGATCCATCTATTATTGGGCTGATAGAGATGCTTTTGCAGTTTCACATGGATCTCAAATATCTTTATATGATCCTTTAACATTGATGTGCAAAGGGTTACTTAAGTCTTCCATTGAAGAAATCAAATCAATTACTAGCATCAATGGATTATTGGTGGCAGCTGGAAAATCGATCAATTCTAATGCCTTAAATATTTGGGATTCTAGATAAAATACGTATTTTAATAAGACTATTTAAGTATTCTGTACGAATTCGAAAAAGGTTCTGATATTCTAAGTCTTTATGGTTCTGATGAAAATTCTGAGTTGATTTATGGAACTTTGAAGCATTATACTAAAAGAATTCCTTTTAACAAAAATAAATATAATCAAATTTAATAGTTATAGCCACCTTAATTAGATAAAGTAAATGGAGTTGCTTCTTTTGGTGACTATATAGTGAGTTGGTAAGACATTCTAATAATGAATTAGTTCTCTGAGCAAGAGAATGTTGCTCTGGAATTAGCAAACAGGCTTAGAAATTACAACAAATGATAGCATTCATAAGGATTTAATTACAGCTTTAACAAGTACATTGTATATTCATCTCTAGTTGATAAAAGTCTAAAATTAATTTACACAGCTTCCAAAGACGGTTATGTTAGGGCCATAAAAGTTAATGAAGATGGAAAATTCTAGTTACTGCATGACATTACTGCTTCAAATGTATTAATATTCTAATTGTTAGTAATAAATTAATGCTTTGCATGTCATCTAAGATAATCATTTAGTTATAAGTGGAGGATAAGATAAATTAATTAAGATATGGAAACCATCAAAAAATTTATTGCAAATGTAAAATGCGATTGGCGAGTTTATTGTTGATGATTAAAATTGATATTTATTTAAAATTAACAAAACATTTAAAATAATTTATAATTTTTCCTTAAAATCAATTTGATTTCTGAGGTGTTTATTCTCTTTAAGTATTATTCGCTATCATAATAATCTAAAAAATCTGTAATAATAAAATACCAATATTTTTATTGTCTCCTCGTTTTCATTCGACTCTAAGGCTTTAGATAATGTTCTATAACCATTAAAGGATTTCATTCGAGTAGGAAAACTAGAAATATTAATTATTATTGGCTTAATAACATAGGTATAATAAAATAATCATATTTTCATTCTTCAGAATCAATAATTAAACTCATTAACATTAAACATCTTTACTATATCCAATACTTCAAATATTTCTTTGCTTATTCTTCACTTTAAATCTATTCGAATGGCACTTAATCAATTTTTCTGAATAGTTTGAACCAGAATGGATATTCTTACAATTCTGAAGCAAATTAAAAGTAGCCTTGATCTTCCACAATTTGATCAACTTGATTAATAGTAAATTTATATACTTGCATTAAAACCCTTTTCAGCAATGTATTTACAAAGTGTAAAATCATCGAAATTGGTCCACTCTTCATTTTTGTATATAATTTATTCTTAATCTTTTTGCACTTTATTTTTTTGATAGTCTAAAATTGTATATCGATTGATACATACTTTCATGTTTTATTGTAAATTTCACTTATCTATTTTAGTAGAATTGATATTTCTTTTTCAAATACATCAATCCACAAATTCGATAAAATATCTCCTTTGGATTAATGTTGCAAAATGCAATATTTCGTTTCTCTTTGAATTATTCATAATCTAAAAGAAGGGAGTAAAACTCTTTAACGTACTTTTTAAATTCATCATTACTAGGTTTATACTCAGCTGAAAAGCATTGAGGCTTCTCTCTTTGTAATCTATAATATGATAAATATTAATGTAATACACTTAATAAAACTAATCAATAGAGTCGAAATCCATTCCAAAAGACAAAACAAAATCAAGAAATTCTAATCTATGATAAGCAGTAAAACCATATGTCACAATATCATTGTCTACACTAAGTTATGCTAATTCTGAATGTTCAAGAACAGTCTATTAGAAAAATCTCATGATTTGTAAATCCTTGTCTATCAATTTCTACATTCTTTCAGATACTACTTTTTAATCTTTCTTATTTTCATCATTTTCTTAATCTGATCCAGTTCCTTAACTCTAATCAGATGGACTATATTAGGATGATGAAACTAATAATATTCCTATATATAATATACATTGATGATAATCTTCGTGATAGTTTGGTATGTTTTACTTTTTCAATCTTTTGCCTTTTCCAAATTCATCCTTCTCCTTTTCTGCAAATTCTTTTGCTTCTTCATCTAAGAAGGTCTCCCAATATTTGTCTAAATTCACATTCTAATGACTTTCTTCTCCTTCTTTTTCTACTTATTCCAAATTGAAACTTGTAAATTTGAATCCTGACAAATAATAATCGTTTATATCATTTTTTTTTAAATTTACATATTACTAATCAGATTACTATTCAATATCTCTTTGCAATAAGATATTTAATTGTTCATCAGTAAACTCTTAGTCTTTCTCTTCTAAATTTTTATTGAACAACTCCCAAGTGCTTTCTTTAAAGATAGATTAGAAATCATCTTTAGTAAATTTATTAATTGGATTTATTATTATTTCTTCCAAAAGTAATTTTTTAGTAGCTATCTATATTATTCTTTCTTCAGCTGTGTATTTACTTACTAATCTAAATACCTTCACCTTATTCGTTTAACCCATTCTATGAGCTCTGCTAATTGCTTAAAGATCTCTATAAGGATTAAAATCACTATCAGTGAAGATAATTGTATCAGCAGAGGTTAAATTGATTCCCAATCCTCCAGCTCTTGTTGATAGTAAGAATATTTTAGATTTACCAGTTGAATTATTAAATGAATCTATTATTCTTTACCTATCCATAATACTTGTAGTTCCATCCAATCTTTCATAGCTATATCCTCTTAATTGCAGATAATGTTGCATCAAATCAAGCATCATTGTAAATTAACTGAAAATAAGCATTTTATGCTACATCTCCAATAATCTGGGTATGATTCTATCAACAAACTTCAATTTATTAGATTAATTAATCATTTCTTCAATGTCCTCATTTGGAAATTCTCGTTTATAAGTAAATAGATAAGGGTGGTTACATACTAAACGTAAAGACATTAAAATATTTAATAAATTAGCCTTGCTAGCTCCTTTCTTTTAATCCAAGACTTTTAACTTTTCATAGTTTCTTAACATAACATTTTTATACAGAAACTTCTGCTTATCTGTCAAGCACAACTTAATAATTATTTCTTCCATTTCAGGAACTTACAATTTGACATCAGCCTTTGTTCTCCTTAGAATGTGAGGTTTTAATAAGGAATTCAATTCTGTAAGAGTAGTCTTTTTGACTTCTTAAAAGTCTTCTAAATCCTGATTATTGAATAAAACATTTAATTATTCCTTTTTAAGTTACTTAACCTTTTAAGGAGCAATGAATTCAATTAAATTAATGAGTTCTTATAGATTATTTTATAATGGAGTTCCTGTTAATAAAATAATGTGTTAACTAGAAAATTGAGAGCAGACTTTGAAGAATTTGGAATCATTATTTTTTAATCTGTGAGCTTCATCTACAATTAAGCATTCCCAATTAATTTTTTTGATTATTGCTTAATCTATGATAGCTATATCATAACTAGTGATCAAGACATTAAATTTGCACACATTATTGTTATTATTGCTATAATAAAACTCTTTTGCTTTGATAATGTCTCTACTTTCTTAATTTCCGGTGTAAACAATGACATTGAATGTTTCAGCCCATTTTTTCAATTCTTTCAACCAATTATATAGGATGGTAGCTGGTCCAATAATAAGAAATGGCCCTGACTTTTTATATTCATATTATAAAAAGTTCAGAAATGAAATAGTTTGAATAGTTTTACCTAATCCCATTTCATCTGCCAGAATTACATTATTATTAGTTTCATATGATTTTTATAACCACTATAATCCTTGAAGTTAAAACTAATGCAATTAACCTCCAGTTATCCACACAGGTTGATTCTTCTTGGCTTTGTTAGGAGGTACCTTCAAAAACTATTTAATGAATTAATCATATTCAGGAGTGCCATAGGTTTCTTCTAATATTTTTGATTTTAGGAATCTTTTAAATTCATCTCTATATTTTTCCATTATAAAGTAAGCATCCTCCCAACTACTCTCTTCGTAAAACATTCTAGACCATTTAATTAAGAATTTGTAATTGTTTTTAGTTCCATATTATGTAATTTTGGGCATTTCTTAATTATAGATTTCTCTCCATGTTTTCTTTTAATCATTTGCTCCTCTTTTACACCCTATAATTCTTTCAGGTTCTAAATATTCTAAGATGTCTTCCTCAATATAATTCAAAGATGTCTATAATTCAGCATCATTATCATTTTCAATAGCATCCTACTTGCCTTCATTTTTTTCAATATAGTTTTTCAATTTCCTTTGATTTACTGTTTGTACTTATGCTTAGCTAAAAAAGTGACAATGTATATATGATGATTATTCAAGTAAAATTAAATAACATTATTTATCTTTGAATTTTAAATGAGTTAATATTTATCCCACTCCAAAGCCTTATAGACATCTTAGACAGCAATGAAATATTAATGGACAATTCTTAGTAGGTTTCTCAGCAGATAGTAATTATTAAAATAGTTCTTCTGAAATGTGTTTCCGATTTACTGGTGATCTAAGAACGGCCTCAAATGGAATATCTTTTAAAATGCATTCCAAATGAATAAAAGTATTACATTTTGAGCATATAATTTTTTCATTTGTACTTTATTCATCACAATAGGGACAATAAGATTACTCATATTAACAACATTATGGACAATACCAAGAACCTGCAGGCATCTTTTTAATTCCAACACATGCCATATGAAATGATCTGTAGCATGAATCACAACACAACAAAGGTCTATTTTTTTATCTACATTTCCAACAATAGTCCTCATTGTAATCTGATTCATATTAACTATCTGATTGTTCATCCTCTTCTTCTTCCACCTCCATTGAAGATTCCTGGCTTAATTTTCTAAGCTTCCTAGATTTCGATGGTTTCTCACATGATTTGATTATTTAATCTATTTCCTCCTCATCCTAAAACTACTTTAATTAAAATCTCAAATTTACTTTATATCGACTAGGCTTTCTGACTCTTTTTTCTTGATTTTCGCGTTAATTATTACTTCTCATTAAATTTATAATAAAATTAAAACAAATTTCGCATAGTCATATAAATCATTTCAGTATAGTTACCAATTATTAAACAAGCATTCGGTCATACTATCCTCCAGCTTAATGATTCATTTAAATCCATTTATGAACAGCCATCTACTCCAATCTCAATCTTTACGAGGGATCCTTTCTCAAACAGCACTTTGAAAAATCTTATAATTCATTAGAAACATATTTGGGAAAATCAACTCTACCTTCTATGATCTTTCTCATGGTATCCTCTTTAGATGATTAGTAAAAAGGAGTAATTCCTGTTGTCAATTCATAAGCTAGAATGCCTATTGACCACAAATCAACTGAGTGATCATAATCTTATCCAGAAGCTATCTCAGGAGACATATAATCAATTGTGCCACAAAAAGATTGCCTAGGTTTTGATTCTGGCGAATAAGTAGCTAACCCAAAATCTGCAATTTTTAAAAATTACTAAATTTATTCATTTGCCTTACTAGACTAATTAGTATATTTTCTGGTTTGATATCTCTATGGATTACTTTCATTTTGTGCATATATGAAATTCCTTCAACAATTTATGCAATATAATTTCCTGCTTTATTCTCACTGAATCTACGATTAGGTTGCTTCTTTAGTAACTTATATAATTCCCCATCTGGTGCATATTCTAAAATTAAAACAATCTATCTATAATATTCAATTAAATACTTTAGTTTATTCTTAGAATACGCCAAATAATTTAAGGATGTTTGGATGGTTGAGATAACTCTAGATTTTGATTTCATGGGCTAACTAAGCCTCCATTTTATATTTGCTAATAACACTTTTTTGGATTACTTTTAAAGCTACTAGTACTTTTGATGTTTTCTCTCTAACTTTAATTATAATTTTACTATGCTTAAAACACATCGCTAAATTTACCTTTTCCTAAAAATTTTCCTATATGAAATCTATCTGATATATTTTGGTATTTGGGACTCAAAATTTCTGCTGCCTTTAGTTGCATTCTCAATGTGGAATTATGGACAATGGATGAAATTGGAGATGGACAGTCGGTAGTTTCAGGAGTTCGAATTGGAGATTTCGATGCACATTGTCTCAATGCTGGTTTTTCTCTCATTTCAATGGATCTGCTGTTATGTTGAATAATTAAGGGAACATTTGTTTTTGGAAGGATAGGGTCAGGATTGTTGACTTTATTATTTTCTTCAGATTGAATGATAAGCTGTGTCAATGCTGACTATAATCTCATTTTAATGTTCTTAATTTATTAATCTATCTTTGTGGTTGATTGCACCACTTTTTACCATTCATTGTCTTCGGATTGCATAATTGAATAATAATTTATTGAATATAATTTATATGGGTAGTGGAACATCAAACAATCAGTTAAACAATTATAGGTATCTATGATTTAAACTGGTAAGGATGCTATCGCTACTTTAAGAGCCAGAAAGACTGAAAACAGATCCAAGTGATTTTAATCTCAGATGGGATGATACAACTTTGTTTTCGCATAAAAATAAACTTAAACACTAGACTAATCTCCTTGAAATAGTCAGAAATGTTCCTTCAAAAATAGTTCTAAATTAAAATCCATAAAACTTGCAAGCCTTCAATTCTAAGTCGCCAGGGATCAAAACGCCATTTCTTGAATATGTTACTACTAATCTGATTGATGTGGTTCGGAAATCAAACAAAATAGAGGTAAAAATGAGTATATTGTATGAGAAAGTAGAAATATCAATGGAAAAATATTTGAACATTAAGGAATCCTAGATGTTGAGCTCCTAAAGGCAGAAACAACCCAGGAGATCCTTATAAGTCTAACACACTCTCGAAGTGGTCCAAACTTCACGTCTAGAGAAGAGTATAAATGAAGAAGGCATGGCATAAATCAACTAATATACTATCTTGGAATCTCTGGGACAAGGAGCCTTTGGAAAAGTTAAAAAAGCATAAAACTTTAAAGGCGAAATCTTTGTAGATATATTAACTCGATTTCATAGGCGATTAAAATTGCAAATAAAAAAAAGCTGAAAAAGAAACTGCTTTCGAAATCAAATGCTTACACGATGCTTGAAAGAGAAATTGCAATCATGAAAAAAGTATAAAGACTCTAAAATAGATTTCTCATGAAAATGTTGTTCAATTATTTGAAGTCATTGATGACCCAAACAAAGATAAATTATACTTAGTGATGGAATACATGGGCAAAGGAAGTATCTTAAGCAAAGGATTCTTTAAAAAATAGAAAACCTCTTCAAATATACTCGATGAAATTGATGACAAAAATCCTGTCTCTAGATTAACAGAAGAATAGTGTAGGCATTATTTTTCTGATTTTATTAAAGGATTATATTACTGTAACATAGTATTCATATTTAGTGCATGAATGTGTGAATGTTATACACAGAGATATCAAACCAGAAAATTTATTAGTCAACATTAAAAACTAACTTAAAATTGCAGACTTTGGAGTATCCCACATTATGGAAGATGGAGGAGATGGTCGAATATCCAATCAGACAGGCACTCAAGCATACTTAGCTCCAGAAGTATTTAAAGGTATGAATCCTGTCAATCATTTAGGATAGAATTTCGACGGAAAGCCAGTTGATATTTGGGCAGGAGGAGTAACTTTATATTAAATGGTCTATGGAAAACTGCCATTCACAAGTTAAAAGTCTATGGAGTTGAGATAACAAATTTTAGAGGAGAAGTACAAATTTATGTGTTATTTAGTCCTCCATTCTCGTAACCCTCAGGATTTTCTAGTTCGATTATTAAATTATTACAGGGTTTATTATAAAAGGCTCCTGAAAAAAGGTTGAAAATTGATTAAATTATTATGGATGATTGGGTCACCGATTTTGGTAAGTAGCCAATTATTAATTAATATATTGAATATGTCGATGTCACAGAAATGGATATACGATTTGCTTTAACTAGTCTCAATATTTAAATGGCTTTGAAAATAGTTGTAAAATTGTTGTATCAAGCCAAGAAAGCTAGAAGGAAGATTGCAGAAAGAAAAAAAATGAAAAAATGATCATAAAATTATCTTTTATAGAACATCAATTTTATTATTTTGTATTTATGATTTATTACATAATGCAGAACTTTAGAAATTATAAATATAATTATGACTTATAGGTACAGTCAAGAATTAACACTAAACACTTATGAAAAGCCTCCCCAAAATCCAGACTGGCTTCAAAAGTAAGAAAATATAGATTTGATCCTAAATAAGGTCAAATAACAGAATCTCCTTAAAAGAATTCAATATACTATGAATGAGTAGATACAAGTATTAAAAATAATAAATTCAAGGAAATTGACCCTTTATTACTCAGAAGTCATCGATTAAACAAAAAATTAAAAGACTTTGATCACTATCATGAAGAATAAATCGAAACATATAGAAAGATTTTACAATCTGATAGGGAATNTTTCTCATGAAAATGTTGTTCAATTATTTGAAGTCATTGATGACCCAAACAAAGATAAATTATACTTAGTGATGGAATACATGGGCAAAGGAAGTATCTTAAGCAAAGGATTCTTTAAAAAATAGAAAACCTCTTCAAATATACTCGATGAAATTGATGACAAAAATCCTGTCTCTAGATTAACAGAAGAATAGTGTAGGCATTATTTTTCTGATTTTATTAAAGGATTATATTACTGTAACATAGTATTCATATTTAGTGCATGAATGTGTGAATGTTATACACAGAGATATCAAACCAGAAAATTTATTAGTCAACATTAAAAACTAACTTAAAATTGCAGACTTTGGAGTATCCCACATTATGGAAGATGGAGGAGATGGTCGAATATCCAATCAGACAGGCACTCAAGCATACTTAGCTCCAGAAGTATTTAAAGGTATGAATCCTGTCAATCATTTAGGATAGAATTTCGACGGAAAGCCAGTTGATATTTGGGCAGGAGGAGTAACTTTATATTAAATGGTCTATGGAAAACTGCCATTCACAAGTTAAAAGTCTATGGAGTTGAGATAACAAATTTTAGAGGAGAAGTACAAATTTATGTGTTATTTAGTCCTCCATTCTCGTAACCCTCAGGATTTTCTAGTTCGATTATTAAATTATTACAGGGTTTATTATAAAAGGCTCCTGAAAAAAGGTTGAAAATTGATTAAATTATTATGGATGATTGGGTCACCGATTTTGGTAAGTAGCCAATTATTAATTAATATATTGAATATGTCGATGTCACAGAAATGGATATACGATTTGCTTTAACTAGTCTCAATATTTAAATGGCTTTGAAAATAGTTGTAAAATTGTTGTATCAAGCCAAGAAAGCTAGAAGGAAGATTGCAGAAAGAAAAAAAATGAAAAAATGATCATAAAATTATCTTTTATAGAACATCAATTTTATTATTTTGTATTTATGATTTATTACATAATGCAGAACTTTAGAAATTATAAATATAATTATGACTTATAGGTACAGTCAAGAATTAACACTAAACACTTATGAAAAGCCTCCCCAAAATCCAGACTGGCTTCAAAAGTAAGAAAATATAGATTTGATCCTAAATAAGGTCAAATAACAGAATCTCCTTAAAAGAATTCAATATACTATGAATGAGTAGATACAAGTATTAAAAATAATAAATTCAAGGAAATTGACCCTTTATTACTCAGAAGTCATCGATTAAACAAAAAATTAAAAGACTTTGATCACTATCATGAAGAATAAATCGAAACATATAGAAAGATTTTACAATCTGATAGGGAATAAATAACAAATGCTTTGTCTCAAAGAAGAAGAATGGGGTCATTTGTGAAGCATGTGAGAAGCATCAGCACAACAGTTTTGAAGCCGTAATATTTTTAATTTTAGTAGTAGACATATTTAAATCAATAATATTGTAAATCCATAAAACAATGATAAAAAGGTTGAACATCAAGTTATTACAAGATAGAAAATCAAATCGATACAAGAAAATAGAAAAACAATTGATAACTGTTCTAAAAGACTTTAATAATTATTTAAAGAGGACTCATCGAATCAAGTTTCCAGAGTCTAGAGCCATTTGGAACAAAGATCGAAAATTAAAAAAAAATCAATTGAGTTAATTCGAAACCTTTATTGATTTGATTTCTATATACTAAATTTGTTAATGTATCTTTTTTAAAGAAAATTTTAAAGCCGTGTGATCATGAAAAATTCAAAGCATAAATTACTTTACTTTTTAAAATGAATACTTCTACTTCTATTACTAATAAACACTAATCCTTCAAGAGAGTTAAAGAAAGACTTGTTTGTGAGGCAATTGAGAAAGTCGAGAGATGGAGATAAATGTTTACTGAAGGATTATAAACCAATAACGGAGAAATAATCAAAGTTACCTTGAATTAAGCTGCCGAAATAGTTGGAATCCCCAAAAAAACGCTTGAAGATTATACCCAACTTTTCAAAAAAGTGAAATTACTCACTGCAGATATTAAGTAATTTTCTAATGAGAAGATGGGATTTCTAAGAAGCTATTTGAGAAAGAATCAAAACAAACTTAAAAAAAAGCTTAAAGATATCAGACTCAAAGAGCTTGAAGCTTAAAGAAAGACTCAAGAAATGATCTTGGAGTAAAATTTATTACTAAAATAAAAATTGCAGGAAGATCCTGAAACTACAGATAGTTGTGGATCTCAATAAGAATCATCCAATCTTATAATATGCGATGATCAAAATTATATTGATACTGAAATATAATTTATATAGGTAATTCCATTTGCTAATATTTTTAGGAAGAAAATTTAAATTTTGAAGATTACGAAAGCCACTAGTATTATTTTAACAGAGTGTCCAATTTCTAACAAGACGAAGATATCGACAATTATTTCCAATCAACATAATGAATAGGAATTAAATATTTATTTTTAGCACATATTAAACAAACATTATTTTTAGATACAAATCAATTTCTGTTTTTATTAATATTAATATATACCTTAAATAACATATAATTTAATACTACACTTCATCCGAAATTAATCATAGTAAGTAAGATTGTAATGAATGCTCAATTCTCTGCATTAAACAGAAGATTATAAGAAAACTAATGATTATAATAAGTTATTTATTATACTAATGTTTTGATTGTGGCCCTTATTTATAACACCTACAGTAATTCTATGTTTATGGATTGAAGAATACAATAGGTTTGAGAATTCCATCTTGAATTATTTGGGAATTGAGGCAAATTGTAAAATATAATCATGATTATATATTAACAAACTTTTGAATTTTAAAATAAATAATGAGTAAGCTATTCTTTTAAGATTTCTTATCATCCAGAACAAGATCTATGTAAGAGAGAAAGAAGATTGTTAAAACACAACAAGAAATAGAACGAATAAGCGAAAGAAAAATTAGTGAAACATTAAAATCTAACGAACATATGGTTGATGAGTTAAGACTTTACAAAATGAAATTAGAGAAATAGGTTCAAGAGTATTAATAAAAAGTACTGCATTTATGAAAAATAGAATTTAGAATTAGTTGAGAAGGTATCATATTTAGAAGTGCAGAATACGACATTGTAATATGAATTGGAAACATCTAGACTCAAATTAGAAACAATAGCTAATACACAATAATCATCTTAGACACAATAAATCAATATATTGAAAGAATAGGTGGATTCATTAATTAAATATAAAACTGAGAATGAATCTTACAAGGTATAAGTAGGAACATTGAAGAATGAGAATCAAAGCTTTTAGAAGGAGATTAAAGAATTAATAGAAACAAATGCCTCTATAAAATCTTAATATTAGAGTATAATGAAAGAGAATAAGAGATGTTAATAGTAGTTAGACAATAGTTAAAATGAATTCTACAAATTATCAGAAAAGGTATTACAATGATATCTATAATTTAGTTCAATCAATTCGAATCTATGTATCACAGTAAAATCAAATATTATGAGGAGCTACAAAAGTAGTTTGAGTTAGAATAGTAAAGAGAGAAGTTTCAATATTAAGAGTTGGTTCGGGAATTGCATTTATTGGAAAATGAAAATTAATAATTGTACAAATAGTTATAAATTACTTAATTTGAAAAAGAAGAGAAAGATAAAAAGATTTAAGATGAATAAAATTAATTAAAATTAGAATTAAACAAAATTTAGGATGAAAATAAAATATTGGAGAAGTCTCATAGAACTTTAAAAATAGAAAAAAAAGTGATTTATGATAATTAGAATCAAATCAAATAGAAAATTAATAAACTGGAATAAGAATTAAATTAGAAAGAGCAAATAATAAAATAAATGGAATAAGAGTTATAGGAAAAGATGCTAATAATTAATTAACTTGAGAACATTGCTTATGGATTAAAGTAGAGTGCAGAGGAAGGGAAAGAAAACACAAATTAAACATTATTATAATATAAGGATTTAATGAAGGAATGTGACTAATTGGAGCAATAAATAGCTCGGTTAGAATAGGATAATGATATTGTAAAAAAGGAATATGAATAAGTTTTGTATGAGTTAAAAGATCTACAACAAGAAAACAGATAATTGCAAGAAAGAAATGCTTTACTTATAAAGGATAACTAATAAATCTAAATTGAGAATACTAATTTATAAATGGAGATCTAGAATTTAAATTAAAGAGTTGTTGAACTATAATAATATGCAGTGGAATTTTAAAGGGAACTTAAAGATCATATAGAATAACAAAGCAAAATTAATTAATAAAGATCTTTTTAAAATTCTCAATATTTATAGAATTCAGCTACTTTAAGTAATCAAAGAAATAGTTATAATTCAATACAAAGAGGTACAGATGATTCTTAAGCTATGGGCAATCAATCCCCATTATCTAATTAGACTACTACAGTGAATCAATTAAAAAAGTTAGTTAAATAACAATGTGTAGAGGGAAATCCAAATATTGGTTAATAATCTATTGAAAATACGAAAAGACACTAAGCTAGGACAGATCATTTTTCGAATTCAAGTAAACTCCAAACTGATAGATAAATTGATGATCACTCTAAAGAAAATTGTTTATAAATCTTATAGGATAAATACTATGCTTTAAGGAACAGAATTTATGAATAAAAAAAATGAAAATTATAACTTATTAATTTATCTATAGTAAACAAATATATAATCAACAGTTCTTGTGCTTAACTCTTAATGGGTTCAAATCTTATTCTTAATGTTTTGATCTTATGAGTTTAGGCTTGACACAGATTTGATGATTTGTTATTATGTTAAGAGGCATTCTTGCGTTCTACGTAACTCTAGTGACAGGAGGCATAGATTTGCAAGTAGTAAGTGTATTAGGTGACAAGGCTCGTGAAACACTTTTTGTATTACTTAAAGAATTGTTTTATAAAAGATTATTGAGTTGACCATAGGTGTCAATCAACAATTGATTTTAATTTTCTTCAAGCTGAGCTTATAGTTAATGTGGACTAGTGAACATAACCAAAAAATTACTACAGAGGATGCAACCGACATTGTTTTCTCATGTATAAAACAATTGCCATAGCCAAAATCTTAGTGTTAATTTACATCAATTAAGGTATTTTGGTTACTTAATAGGCAATTTTAGAATGGTCTTTTAGCATCTTACTACAAACAAAATTGATAATGTTGTTATCCATAATTCCATCATTAGTGTCTGTAGAGAAGACTACTCCTATGCATAGGAGACTTTAGACTTGTTCATATAAAGTGTTGACTTTTAGTTTCCTATGAGAATAAGTATTATAAATTACCAATTTAATGTTTTTAAAACTAAGCATTCTGCCTATTTGTATTCATTTTTATTTAAGTTTAAATCACTAGCTTTAGACAATTTGTTCATTCCTGGAATATGAGTATCATCTTCGATCATTTTCGAACTAACCATCAAACACAATAATGATATTAATTTTTGATTGTGAAATTGAAGTAGGTGTTAACATCTATCCAAATAGTAAATGGCTAAATGAAAAGTTTGATCAGTTAATTATAAGCGTTGTTTAGTTTAATACAGGAAATCAATTAGTTCTTCTCTTCTTTCATAATTTGTGTTTATGTTGCTTAGGTCTTCGAAAAGATTTTTAGCTTATTGATGACTCTTAAAGTAATTATGCTTATAAGCAACAGATCCATCTTTATAAACAGCTATTCCACATAATTTGCATATGTTTTTCTTAGGTTTATGTTGGCAGTTTAGCATTCGTTAAAAATTAAATATATATATAAAAATCACAAAGCATGAATACTTTTGCTTAGGACCTTTTTTTCTTCATCTGGAAGTTTGCGTTTCCAATTCATATTTTTAATGAGTTTTTTAGCAGTTCTTTTTGCCATCATAATAGTCCAAAAATCTTCATGCTACGTATTTTATGCCTTTTTTGGATCCTTTTTTCCCAGGACTTCAAAATGCCTCTATTTTTATAGGTGAAAATCAGTTTATTTTCTTCTCATTTCCTCCACTTCATGTTGTAATCGGAGGAATGTAGTTATATCTCTGCAATCTATATCCACATATATTTCTTTATCTATTTTATATTCATCCAATTTAACTAGACTATTATTTGTTAATTCTGAATTTTGACATAAGCTACGCAAAAACTGAATTTCTTTTTTTTAAGGTCTTGGTTAGCTTCTTTAAGTGGGAACTTACTTTTATGGAGAGGGTTGGGGTGTAAAGATATTCTAGTTTATAGAGAATTCGAATACCATGCCTAATTTTTTGATTGAGCGTATTGCACGATTTTAATCATCTTTTTCAGCAATGCCTTCAGAGTTTGTAGAACTACTAGACGAGGAGACATTGAATTCGAATTATTAGGCTTGTCTGTCCCCTAATATTTAAGCATTTTATCTATTAGAACTTCTAGATGCTTAATTTATTTTGGTTTTCCTGGGAGGTTTTAATTGTTATTTACTTTTTTCGATGAGAGAGAGCCTGTGATCGATTCTGATTTGAGATCTGCTGTTGATAATGTCTTTTGATGATCTCATCTCTCTAGAGACTAATGATTGAAACTTAAATGCTCCTATGCCTAATTAATTATCCATTAAATGAATTAATAGGCAGAAAAACTACGTCTTTATGCCCAAGAAAATGTGGTGTTTCTACTCTAGAAATTGATGGAAGACATTCTAGCCCAACAGCCAAAAAATGTGGTATGATCAGATCAAAATATTAGATTGATTGGTCAATTGCTTGGTTAGATAAAAAGGGAAGAGATATTGTTAAATCCAGATAGAAATAAAATGCGCAATCCTCATCCTCTGATGACGAAGTTATAGAATTGCCTAAAAGACCTGTTGCTGCTAGGAAATAAAGAGCTTCTATTTCAGCCGAAGCATATGGATAATACAATAGAAAGGAGGTGTATATTTAATATTAAAATAACAGTCATTTTAACCTAGAGTGATTGTCAAAACTCAATAATAGAAGGAAGTAATAGGGAAAAGATTAGAGCAATCATTCATGTTTGCATCACTCGATTAGAAAGAAAAAGATATTGTAATTGATGCAATGGAAGAACGTAGTTATAAGTAAAAATTGATATGCAATAGTGTAGTGGAGAGGACTGGGTCATCAAATAAGGAGACAATGGAGATAATTTATATGTTGTAGATTAAGGGGAGCTGAATTGTTATAAGAGATTTACAAAAGATGGGGAAAACAAATTTTTAAAAGTTTACTATCCTGGAGAATCATTTGGAGAGCTAGCCTTATTGTACAATGCACCACGAGCTGCCTCAATTCAAAGTAAAACTAATTCTGTCTTGTTTGCATTAGACAGATAAACATTTAATCACATTGTTAAGGATGCAGCAATGAAGTATTCTTAACTAATTACATTTCTAGAAAGAGGGAAAAATATGTAAATGTCCTTAAATAAATTGAATTGCTTTCAATGATGGATCCATATGAAAGATCTCATGTTGCAGATGCAATTAGAAGTGCCGTTTTCTAAAAAGGAGATTATGTTATTCGAGAAGGAGAATAAGGAGATATTTTCTATATGATAGAGGAAGGTGAATTAATAGCAACCAAAACATTGATTCAAGGATAAGAGCCAGTTAAAGTCTTTTAATATAAAGCAGGTGACTATTTTGGAGAATTAGCTTTACTAAAGGATATTCCAAGATAAGCCAATGTTGTTGCTGAAGTAAAATTAATTATTAACTGTTTTATAGACAGAAGTCAAATTGATATATTTGGATAGACATAGTTTCAAAAGAATGTTAGGGCCTCTAGAAGACATATTAAAAAGAAACACTGAGAAATATGAAAAATATGAGTAATATTGGATCAACTAAGGTAAATGAAAAAATTATATAACAAATAAATCTTTCTCCTTTTTTTGTGTTTCTTTTCAATTTTGAAAAATTCTATTGATTTTTCAATTATTGATACTCTTCCTTAATAATTAAATCCTTGATATTTATTTACTTCAAAATTTAAGTTAATAAAATGATTTTACTACATTCCTCAAAATAATGCTTTTCTTTACTTAAATTCTTAATAGAGAAAAAGCTATTTGACAAAAGATCGAAAATGTAAAGCAGGGTTTGTTGATGTAAAAGATTATAAAATTCTCTTAAGAAATTATAATTTAATATTTTTTTTGTTCTGTGTCTCTTCATTTTTGGTTGCACACCTTTGTTTCAATATTTTACTACACATTGAACACGCTTTTACTCTTGAAAGACTCAAATACTATAGTTTTAATTTTGATCCTTAATATTGAGTATATGTAGTAATTAAACTCATTTTAATAAAAAAACATAATTTGTTTTGATTTCTAAGTTTTTAGGTTTATGGATGAGTGAATGTATCTAATTTAAATAAATATCTCAATTTTCTCAATCAAATGTCTCAATCATTACCTATTCATGCTGAATAACGCAAGTTATTTGTTTTGCAGCAAGTCAATGCACTTGAAACTCTCTTTTAGAAGTGGATCAACTCCAACAATCTAAACGACGAACAAAACCTATCCTCTCAAATCGAAGAGCAAGTCACATAAAGTCAAACAGCCACACATATTTCTCATTTTTAAGGTTTCTTAACCTACCTCCGTTCACTGAATAATAACGAATTGGAATGTCACACCATCAAATCTCTTTAATAGCACTTTGACTACATGCAATAGGTCCTGGAGAATGAGGTTAAACTCTATTCATAACGCCAAATTCTCAAGGATCAAAATCAATAGGACAATAAAAAGGGCCACAAGTTTTCAAAAAAGTCTAATATTATTCTCAAAGGTTGGTTATATAAGCATTTTTCATACCCTTACCCAACGAAGGAATAAACAATCCAATTAGCTGAGAAGTGCGATCTTACATGCAAATAGGTAGCCCTTTTATTTAACAATTAGATTTAAATTTGGTTTATAAACGCAAGAGGGAGGATTGCCAATAAAACTTATGAAGAAAAGAAATTTAAGAATATTGTTAAATACAAATACCTATCAATTAATAAAGCACAAGAGAAATAAAGAGAATGAATTTTATAGATCATTATCAATACAATATTTTATGACATTAATTAGCTCTTCTGTTTAAATTATTTATATATAGATGTTGAATTAGGCTATTCAATATTAATTAAAAATCAATTATTTTTAGTAAACAAATATGAAAATATCTCAAACATCAAAATACAATTATCAACCTATTTTTGAGTATTTGAATGTGGATGAAATAATCATTAAATATATATTAATTATCAAGATAAGTATGTGAATTCCTTGGCTTTAAGTTCATATAATTTTGAGTTATTTACTCTGATTTTCTACATTAAATCAGTCATCTCTTGTTTCAAGTGTTGTTTCTATTATTCAGATAATTGATTGTTCTTCGAGAACTACTGGAATAATGTTTAATAATTATTATTTAATCGAAACGCTTCCTTTTCTACTTCGATTATTTGTGAAAGTAATAATTTATATTCAAGATCTCTTGTAGATGATTATGGTTACTATTCGTATAGTAAATCATTTTTAGATTGAGAAGTAGTTAATTACAGTGTTTTATCATTATGCAAGGCATTATATATTTCTTTCTTATCATCTTCATTTAATTCTGATTCTTCATCAAAATTCTGTTTCTCCACTTCTATTTTTTATGATAAGTCTTATATTTAAAGATTAAATTAATTTATGAGTTCATCATTCATTTATTTCAATTGTTCATGTTAAATTTACAATTGTTCTAATTAAGATTTTAAGTTTAATAACTCCTAATCTTTAAAGAGTAGTTATTATTTTAACTATTTATTTAGATCTTCTAAGTCCTCTATAATTAATTCTTATTCCTATAATTATTGATGATAACTGCTATTTTTGCTTCTTAATTCTTACATTGCACATGAAACTTCTGTTTAGACTTACTACATCTAGGCTTCGAAAAAGCCTTTTATATCAGTATACTACTTTTATAGTTTTTAGATCTCTTATTTTTGATGAGAGACAAGCTCTTTATAAGTGTTTTCTAGTGCCTTTATTTATTCCTATTAATCCTACTTTTCTTTCACTAATATAGCATTTTAGTTTTTCATTTCTTGATAAAGTTTTTATTGATACTGCAACTGCTTCTCATATTATTATTCATTATCCTCTAATAATAGCCTCTAATCTAATTTGAATTTATTAAGCATTTGCCTCTCCTTTCTTAATTCATCTAGAGTGTTCTGAAGTAGACTATCCTAATCATTTCTACAAACTTCTATGTTCTTATATCGTTCATTTTACAATTGCATTTATTGCTTCATTTCTTCTAATTACAATTTATATTGTTGATTGATTTAATCAATACATTAATCCTTTTCTAACTTAAGTTGACTTAATTATAATTCATAGGATTGCAACAATTATTTATGATCTAAATCTAAAGCAATGTATTGTTATTATAGATTTTGATAGATGGTATTGATTTCATTAATAGTGCTTTATTAATTTTAATAATTTTTTAACTGCTCTTTCAAACTATCATTATCTGTTTTAAGCTCGAGATTCTTTTTTTACAAAGCCTATAGAGCCTAAATTTATGAGTTGCTTCTTTATGTTGTCTTGTCAGGTGTTTAAATTCTGGTGTGATAATTGGATCGTTGATCATTTGAGATTGAAAATGAATTTTCTTTGTTAGTAGAATTTTAGAGATTAGGTAGAGGAGCAATTTAAGCCATATATTAATCAAAGATTTTTTGAACTTTCACACTGCTGCTTCTGATAGAGCATGTGGATGTGTCGTTGTCCATTCTTATAACTAATTTAATTTAAATAATATTTCGAGAATTTCTTTCAGGAAGTATAAAGTTTCTCTAAACAGAATAATATTAACAAAGGACACCTCAATGTCTTTAAAATAAATTAATATTCGATGTGAGTATGGATGGTAACACATTAAATTCACAACCTCTATTGTGTCTAATTATTAAAAACCTTTTGAATTGGTATTATTATAATAAATATAAATCAAACTAGAATTCTGAAATGGATGAAACATTTAAGATGGATCATTATTTAAGGCCAATTATCATTATGAGAATAGATGAGCCTTAAAATGAATAGCAATTGAAGAAGGTTAAAAACAGTAATGAAACTTAATGGAAGAAATATGAAATCATATTAGAAAAATTTCATCGAGATGCAGCGGCTGCAGAAGAAACCTTGATATAATTTGCTGAGCCGAGTTCCACAACCACGAACATTCAGACTTTCATCATTACATTTTATTCTCTATATACAGCAATGACACTTGGCTGGAATGAAGAGCGGATTAAAAGTGAAATCGATCGATTAGCTAAGAATGAGAGAATTCCTAAGGATATTACTGATTTCATTGAAAAGAATACTCAATATTTCAATAGAGCGTATTTTTATCTGGAAAAAGATTCCTATTACATTGACATAGAAATGAAATTATTGCAAGAATTAAAACAACGAAAATTTGGATAGATGCACAACCTTACAAGCATTGAGAATTACGATAGATAAGATAGTCTATTGAATGATAATAAAACATTTGTTAAATTTAAAATAAAAGCTAATGAGCACTTTAGTGTCAATAGGGAATTAGTGGAAGATTTCAATGTACCTGTTAAGCAAGAATTCGATTATCTAAAAGACTTGGAAAATACAAAGCAAGACACATAAAAGAAATTGTAGCAATTTAGAATGAAGGCCATCTATTAGTTATATAGCCATTAGAATAGAGCCTTGAAGAAAATATTCTAAAATGACAAAGCTCATTCCGGAGTTATTATTTTACCTTGTGGTGCAGGTAAAACTCTCCTTGGAATCAATGTGGCTTTAAAAATCAAGAGAAAAACACTTATTATATGCGATTAGGTTAATGATGTCTATTAATGGTAAAAGTCTTTTATTAAGTTTACAGAAATGGATAAAAACAATTTAGCTATTATTTTGAGAACCCAATAAGAAGTGCCAATGGCAGTCTTAGGGAGGGAACACATCATCGTGATTACAAATAAGGACATGATTTCATCAAACAGAAAAGACATCAAACATGTAACTACTTTGGAATGGCCATTATTGATTATGGATGAAGTCCACGGTTTGCCTGCAGAATAGATAAATGCTGAAATCTCAAAATTGAAGGCAAATATGAAAATCGGTCTAACTGCAACACCCTACAGATAGGATAATAAAATCAAGGAGATTTTTTATAAAGTAGGTCCTAAATTGCATGAATCCATGATTGTGGATCTTAAGTAGATGGGATATGTGAGTAAAATCTATTGCGTCTAAGTCTATGTTGGCATGTAGGATATGTATAAAAACAAATATGAGGAGTTCAGAAGAGTGAATAATCAATTTGTTACGAACACTTTGTATTAAATGAATGTAAATATGAATATTTAAATAGCCAAAAAAATTCGAAGTCTTGTAAAGTTTAATCAATATACACAGAGCAAGAAAGGATAAGATCTTAGTATTCTGTGAGAAAGTTAACAAATTAGCAGATACTGGCACTCTTGAGAAATTCGCTAAACTTAATAATTGTCCTATTATAAGTCAGAAGGTGGAATAAACAGAAAGATCAGCTATCTATAAATTATATCAAGAGGATAAATTGGATGTGATTATTTTCGGGTAAATTGCCGATCAAGGTTTGGATTTGCCATCTGCAAATGTGGGAATTCAGATTAGTTTTAACTTCAAATCTGTTAGATAGGAGTTTTAAAGAATGGGTAGAATTCAAAGAAAGAAAGAAAATTAAATTGGGGAATATGATTGTTTCTTTTATTCAATTGTAACTAAGGGAACAAGAGAAGTAGAAATTCAATTTGAGAGATAAATTGCTGTAATTAATTAGGGATACCCTTACGAAATCATTTCAGCAGACGAACTCAAACCTCCTCAATCAGAGGCAGATAAAAAAATACAATTGGATAAGATTTTAGATGAAATGTAAAAGAAGGTCTTAGATACTTGCACATCAAAAGGAGATGATGATAGGGAAGAAGATGGTTATTGAAAGTAATACAAAATATAAAATATTATTAAATTATTATATTGACAAGCAAATAATAGAGACAAGAAGTCTATTTTCATTCTATATATATATATAAGCCATTTGTGAATTAATTAAGTTATATTTGAAGAAATCAAATTAATTTTCTTTTATATTTATTGTGAATTGCGCTAGAAAGTAGCTTTTTTTAAGAGGATTGCAAATTTGTAGCAGGCTTCTTTCTAAATCCCATATTGCTGGATTATAAAGTTCTAGTTTAAGGTAGTAATCTTATTGTTTATGAAAAATTCAATTTACTTTTTTGGTGGGGTTAAGTGTGTTTCTACTTCATCTTCCCAATCTTGATCATCTATGTCTCGTTAGAACTTATTTTTAAAAAAGTCAATTGAAAGTTGAGGATCCTTGATCAATTCTTCTTATTCTGAGACTGTAAGTAGTTGATTAATGTCCATTTCCAGAGTTTCCTTTGGAAGTAGATTAAACAAATTATTAAATGACTTTTTGATCCACATCTTAGAATTGTTGAAGTTCTGCAGATTAGATTCTTTTGCTTCCTCAATCAAAATAATATTGGTTTAAATCAGTTCTTTTAGTATAGACTTGTCACAATTCATATTTTAAATTTAAATCAATAATACAAAAATTATTAATATTTTAATTACAATGAATGATACGATAGATAATGAATTGTGTTTACAAGAAATGAAGGAAATCGAGAAAAGAATTCTCAAATATTTATGTGAATAGTTAAAACTGGAACAACTAACAGATCCAAATTTGAAACAATTGAACTACGAGGACTCCAAAAAGAAACAAGTATTCTCCTTTAGATCTCTTGATTCTGACAATGAGACATCAGATAATATTTCAAATACTCCGAGTCATCGTTGCTCTTTACTAATTGCTCGATCTCCACTGATTTTAAAAAGGTTAAGTGCTTCCATCTCAGAATAACTCTAATGATGATTGTATATATATTTTATTTGTTAACTATTTCTAATCCATAAGATTCTCCTAATAAAAAGCTGAATTTGTTGCTCCAAACATAGAGGAGTCAAGAAAATTTTTATTTCCATTTTTAGCTAATAGGAATCTTTAAGAACAATCAAAGAAGAGTTAACATTAATTTTTCAACTAAAATTAGTAGAATATTATCCAGATATTTATTAGTATTTAGCTTCCTTTAAACAATAGTCTTAACTTAAATTACTTAATTTAACTATTTCAGATAGTTAAAAATGATATTACTTCAGATTATCAAACTTTTTATATTAGAATAAACTTGTTGAAATCTTTTGATTTCAGTAAAATACCATTATTTCATAAGAAGAAGAGATAAATTTAACTTGAACTTTGGATTTTATTTAAGATTTATAAATTTAAATTTTATATTAGTACTAAAATTTTTATATTTTATAAACTACATCTTTTAGAGGATCTACTAATCTATGATTAGGAATTACTAAATCTAGCAAACTAAATGATTTTATGAGTTCTCACTTATTGTAAGACAATTTATAAAGTATTAGGATTAATAAATTTATAGAATACACATAAATATATTAATATAATATAAATAATAATGATCTAATAAGTGTAGGATATTTTTTGGAATAAAGATTTAAACACAATTTTAATATTAATTTATGGACGTGGAATAAGAGTTTGACTTGTTTGTAATAGGTGGAGGGTCTGGAGGTCTTGCTTGTGCAAAATAAGCAGCCAAATTAGGGGCAAAGGTGGCTTTGGCTGATTTTGTGAAACCTTCTCCTTTAGGGACTAAATGGGGATTGGGAGGAACTTGTGTCAATGTAGGTTGTATTCCAAAAAAACTAATGCATTTTGCTGCAACCTTAGGAGAATTGAGACATGATTAAGTAGAGGCAGGGTATTTTAATTTTAAGGAATTCTAGATGGGTTGATACATAGGTGGATTCAAAACATAATTGGGAAAAAATGGTTGAGAATGTGAACAATCATATTCGTAAATTGAATTTTGGTTATAAAAATCAATTAATGAGAGGAGATGTCAAGTATTATAATAAATTAGCAGAACTTATTGATGCTAATACAATTAAAGTAAAGAATAATAATATTCTAAGTTAACAGATAATAAAGGACAAATTGAAACAGTTAGAGCTAAAACAATTGTGATTGCTGTTGGAGGTAGACCATCATACCCAGATAATATTCCAAATATTTAAAAATTAGTTATAACATCTGATGATTTATTTTGGTTGTAGGAGAATCCTGGAAAAACACTCGTAGTAGGTGCTTCCTATGTTGCACTAGAATGTGGAGGATTTCTACATGGAATTGGAAATGAAGTGGCAATTATGGTGAGAAGCATTTTGTTAAGAGGATTTGATTAAGAGATAGCTGAAAAGATTGGAATATATATGGAAGAGAAAGGAATTAGATTCATAAGAGGTTGTGTACCAGACATGATTGAAGCAACAGAAGACAATAAGAGAAAAGTGACTTGGATACTTAATGGATAAAAATATGAAGAAATATTTGATACAGTTTTAGTTGCCACAGGTAGAGTTAGTGATACCTAAAAGTTAAATCTTGAAAAAGTGGGAGTAAATTTGAATAAAAATGGAAAAATATTATGTTCAGCAGATGATAAAACATCTGTTCCAAATATTTTTGCAATTGGTGATTGTGTAGAGGGTAGGCCAGAATTAACTCCAACAGCTATTAAATGTGGGTAGCTTTTAGCTAATAGATTATTCAACAAGGCTACTGAATTGATGTCATATGAATATGTTGCTACTACTGTGTTTACTCCTTTAGAATATGGATGTATTGGATATAGTGAAGAAGATGCAATCAAAAAGTTTGGAGAGGACAAAATTACTGTTTATCATTCAATATTCAAACCATTAGAGTGGAATTACTTTGAAATGCATTCTGGTGAAAGTTGCTTTGCTAAACTTATTGTGTTAAATGATAATCGAAGAGTTATTGGATTTCATTATCTTGGACCTCATGCTGGAGAGGTCACACAAGGATATGCAGTTGCTATGAAAATGGGAGTGACAAAGGAATAATTTGATTCTACAGTAGGTATTCATCCAACTTGTTCTGAAGTATAAATTTATTGATATTATTATAGGAACTTGTATAAGTAACAGCAGTTAAAGGAATAGATGAAGCTTAAAAGGAAGGTTGCTGAGGTTGAATCCCCTGGCCTTTATGGCTAGGGGATGTTTAAAACAGAAACTCCGCCTAACCTTTAATAGAAGTATTCTGAGACTGATTTCGAGGAAGGAAGACATTTGTTTGTTTTGAAATAGAAGCAAACTTAATGAAACATTTATTGGAAATAAAGCATCGATAAATGTTGAAGAAGGATGTTTTTTGGATTTGAAATTTGTTAAAGAGTATTTCTCAAAAATATATATATTCAACTTTTTTATAATTTTAAATTAAAGTTATAAGGATATTAAGATAATAATTGTTTTAAGGACAACAAAATGAATCAATTTATTAGTTTTCCTAGTTGTTTTCTTCCTTCAATAACTAAATTGTGTTGATTTCCCAATTATGCAAATAGTTCAATCAACTTTTTCTAAGCCTTCTTGTCAGCCCAATTCTTATCCATTTTAACAATCTAAAAATAACAGAGTAAATTACATTTAGGAGTGTTTTAATAGCCAATTCATAGTTTTTTGCGTTGATAGCTTCCAAGGCCAAGTCAAAATAAAGATCTTTGTCTTAAGGATTGTCATTTATTCGTTCCAAAATTCTTTTGATTTCAGGAGTCAAGGATTGCAAGTCCTTAATCATTTAATATTGATCTTAGACTAATTAATATAATTATTTAGTATTCATGTCTTCTAAATCATCTTTGTATTATTTATCAAATGATTCTAGAGTTTCTTAGATTTTATTTAAATCTTCCATCAAAACATATGCTAATGCTTTGAATAACAAATATTTAGGATGTTCTTTTTTGATGTTATCTCTTGCCAAGGCCTCTGTAGTTAAAGTCAATAATCCTTAATAATTCTTGCTCTAAAACAATCCAGACATTTATTCCAATATCATTTCTTCAATGTTTTCACCTCTCAATATTCTTGATATTTAATCAACGATAGTCATAAATCTATCAAACTTTCCATTCTTAAAATATCCATCAACAAATTAATTATTGTATACCACACCTGCAAAGGGCACAGAATTAATTTGCAATTGAGTGATCAAATTCGCATGTTTATCGATGTCAATGTTGATTATTGTTGAGACATCTGAATATTTTTCCATATTTTTAATCAATACTTCTTTGAATTCCTTGCATTCTAAAGACCATTGGGCAAAACAATAAACAATGATAATTTTCTGATTGCTTTCTTAAACAAGCTGATTAAAATGGTCTGTATCAATAACATCCACATGCTACAATTTATTATCCACTACTATGTTGTCATAAAATTATTATGCTTAATTCTTCAATTTATTCATGATTTCATCTGAGAATTTAGGATCTTGGTTTTATTGACTAAACATGTAAATAGCTGGAGCATGGAATTTCAGACTTCTAAATATTGGAGTTCTAAAGAGTTTTCTGATCATAATTAAATTATATTAAGAAAAATTAATTAAACAGAAATAAAAAATAGAAAACTAATACTTAAAAGAGAACTGTTAAATTGTACTTGGATCTTAAAATTGGATTGATTTGCAAAAATAACTAAAAATGATTATCAGCAACTTAATTAATTATTACTATAATTTTATTAATTCTTAGAATGAATCAATAGGAGAATGCGATAAAAGGTGTTCTGAAACAATAATTAATTGTTGACTCTGAAAGTGGTCCATATAAGACAATTCAGGAAGCCATTGATAAGGCAGAGCCTAACACAGTTATAAAAATAGCTCCAGGACTTTATTCCTCCAACATTGTTATCAATAAACCTGGATTGCGTCTGGAACCTAAAGAGAAGGTTGGAGATATCATCCTAGTTGTGTCCTCCAAGCCTACTATTTTGGTTGATTTAAAAAAGGACGAGCGTTGTACCTTGATTGGATTGAAGATGTCACACAGTGGAACAAGTGAAGAGGTAGAGGAATTAGAAAAATTAATAGAAGGTTAAGAGATGGCAAAGCATCTCTTTGGGAGTCATGAGGATGGAGTGGGTGGTTTGGAGCAGAATCCAGATGAAGAGTTTGTAGACAAAGTGACAATAGATACTAGTATGAATTGCGTAGTGCTATTGAATGGAGGCAAATTATTTATGGAAGATTGCTTTATCGCATTAAAGTAACAATAATTTCAAATTTAAGTTTCATCGTGAAATCCTTTAAAGGCATATTGCCAGGTATAGTTGTGAATCAAAATGCTGAAGCACTATTCATTCGATGCGAAATCAAAGGCACTTCATCAAAAAATTAAGATGCCAAGACAATAGGAATTTTAGTGAAATTAGGAGATTTGATTATCAAGGATAGTAAGATCCACAATCACACATACGGTGGTATATTGATATAATAATCTCCAACAAATAAAAATGTTCGAGTCATGAATAGCAAAATAATCCAAAATAAAAAAGTGGGAATCCATGTGGTTGGGTCAGATGCAATCCCGTAAATAGAGTAATGTAGAATTGAAAACAACGAAGGACCAGGAATTAAAGTAGGAATTGGAAACAAAGCCAAGATTTTTGGAAACGAAATTAAAACCAATGTCGTAGGAATAGAAGTACTATCTGCTGATCCATAGATATTTAATAACAAAATTGATAAGAATTTCACTGATGGCATATTAACAAAAGTATTTGAACAATTAAGATGTGATGGCAAGATTAAAACAAACCAAACTATATCTGGAAATAAGGAAAATGGTATTCATTGTACTGGGTAAAATAATTATACCAGGATCGAATAGAATTCCTTCATAGGATATAACAAGAAAGCAGGCATCAAAGCTGATACTGAATCTCGTATTTCAATTTATAAGAACAAGATATCAAAAAATCTGGGTTAGGGAGTACTGTTGGTAGAAACTTCATCTGCAGTCATTGAAAAAAATGAAATTACTGATAACATCAAAGCTAATATTGCCTTAGGTGGTGCCAACTCTGTAGATACATTTATAGTCGAAAATAAAATTCTAGGAGGGAGATGTGAAGGTATCTTCTTAATTGAATGTGGAAGGTGTTGGATATTTCGAAATATGATTGCTGAAAATGTAATAATTTACTTATGAAGATAGAATGATGGAATCGTTTGTATCACTGCAGTTCCAATAATAAGAGGAAATGTAATTCAAAAGAATAAAAGCAATGGGATTATGATTATCAAAGATAGTAGACCTGAGGTCATTGAGAATAATATTAATGATAATGATGGAATAGGCTTGTTCATTAGGGATAAAAGTCATGGGAAAATAATTAATAATGTCATTAAGGCTAATGAGATTGAATTAGTTGTTGAGAGGAGAAATCCTTCTTTAGAATCGATTGTATAAGAAAATAATGTATCTGGAGATATTAGAATACCATAAAATTATGATTGCACAATTTAATGAAAATTAAAATACTTAAATTTATGTTATTTATTTTAATATTGTTAAGAAACTACTTATTACTTTAAGCGATTGTTTATCAAAATTAAACCAATCAAGAAAAAAAGATTAACAATGAAGCCACAGTTATCAGAACATATATAATTGGATTAGAAATCAGAGCTTCTTGATTAATTATGAAGAAGCATACTTGCTACCTATATGTTTGGAACCAAAATGAATAACGTTACTGGAGATGTTAAATCAGCACTAGTAGTTTCGAATGAGGTAAGATTTGTCTTTTTGGATTAGTAAAATTTTGATTGAAATACTTTCAGATTCAACCATTTATTTTGCTAAATATACAGTTTCTCATTCTTCAATTAATAGGTGTAATGATAATCGAATAATAGTTCCTTTTAATGGTTATTTTTATTTGGGCAAGGATAAATGAATTGGTTTTAATAAAGCTTAAGATAAAACTATTGTTCTAAAGGCTAATCTTAAAAAAGTTAAATTTGATAAAGTTTTTGAGTGATAACTCAGGCATTTAGCCATTTCATATTAATTTAGAATTATAGTAAGACGAAATTTAGAGAGGTTGCAAAAATTATTATTTACTTATTGATTAACTAAAGGACCTAATAAAAATTTCATATTAAAATACAATGAGACCCAGATATATTTATATTAGAATTATTTCAATCATGTCAATGTTTTTAGCTAATATTACTACCTTTTAAATATAATGAATATTTATTAGTAGCAATTGCTAAATACAAAGATAAACTCAAGAAAGCAAAGAAACTAGAAGATATTAATAAGGTTAATTTGCAACCTCGAAACACTGTCTATTAAGCAAAAAAAAATAGATTTTCTGTTATAAATATTAACATCTTATTTATTAAAAATCTGAATTCTAGATTTATGAGATGAATTTAATATATTCTAAAAAAATCAAGCATGGATTGTTTTCAACTTTATTCCTATGATTGGATAGGTCTGATTTAATTTTATAAATTAGCCTTATTTTAGTAGAATTCTTAGATCAGGTAGTAGGTTAGGTATATTAATGTCCCAAGAGTAAAGATTAAAGTTATTATCCATCCAACTAAGACACTTTTGCTAGTTAGAATAATGAATGCTCCAAAATAGAACTATTATTTGCTATTATATTTACATAACATAAAATTAGCAATAAGGATCTGTCTACAATATTAAACCATTTTATATATGAAGGATTAAGTCTAAAATGGAAATAAATTAAGCCAGCCATCACTGCAAAAGAGAAAAGCATTTAATACTAATATGCTGATTCCTACAAATTGGAGAATACTGAACTTGACCCTAGTATCAATAATTTAGCTTATATATATAAGACTACAAAATTCGATTTGTATTTTAGATCTAAGGAACGATCCATGAATTGAAATGTAGGTTATAAGTATGTTGAAAGTGGATAATAAATTCCGCATCCTACTATAGCAAAAGAGATATATAAAAAATGTATGTCGCTCATACATTCTACAGAAGGTTGTCTTACTAAGGTATATGAATATTGACTATAATCACAAATGAAGGCATCTATGTATGTCTTCATTACAAATATAAATTATCCACTAATAATTTATATGGTTTTACTCACCCAGAATCTAAAGCTTTTAATTCCTGCTATTGATCCATCTTCATCAAATCCAAATGAATTATCAGCTATTTATTTACTAGCTTGTAATCCTAAAACTATATAAGCTATACTCATGGTCAAAGCCATAAAAAAGAAAAAATTGTATTCACTCCAAATAGCTGAATAATCTACAGATTTTATAGGTTTAAATTCTGATTTCTCTCCAAACCAACCTACTTGAGAGTCAAATGATAATGTTATTAATCCATATAAATCATAAACTCTTAGGAATACAGCTAATAGATTTGTTATTGTAAGTTTAAAGTGGAATTCCTATTCATTTGCTTTCCTATCAAATTTATTAAATTCTTCTACCAAAACTCTGCACACTTATTAAGCCACTTTGGTCCAATCTTCATTTATTGGAATGGCTTTGGGTTCTATTGGTGCAATTTTGCTGTAGAGATCTGCTAATTAATTCATAAATTTTTGGGTGTATTTTTTAGGCGTTATCCAAATAGCAATGTGTATCTCCTTACAAATTTCCCAAATCCTCTTTTCCCATTGGTGTGGAGTTTTCTTTTTATAATTATTTTCGATTTCCAGTATTTTCTACTAATATTTATCATTAAGATCCTTATATTCAGCAGACTATAAATCATTTAATTTATCTGTTTCTATTCGTACTGGAACCTATATTTTATTTAAACATTTTCTTTCTTCTTTGATCTTCTCAATTTTTATAAAGTTGTGTTCTTAGATGACACTTGAAACACCCTTAAATTTTGTTATTTATTCATAAAAATTAGGATGATCATTAACAAAATGATAATAACTTGCAATAGCTAATTCTTAAACAGTTTCTTAATAAGAACGATCTTCATCCTTAAAATTATCATATATAAATAAGGCAAAGTCTTCTTCAGATAGAATAAACCCTTCATTTTTTTCTTCAAAACTTTAATATTACTTTAAGATTTCATAATCCTTTTCTAATTTTAAGATCTCCAATATAGTTGACAAATCTCCTTTATTAATAAAATAGTGATAAACAGTTATCCAAAACCTTTCAGCTCTTCTGGAATCTGACATCATGGGTTAAAATTAATCAAGATATTTGGTATCTTTTGACAAAATAGTTGAATGTCTCTATCTTATTCTTTTTTTTAACTCTATTCTTTACTCAAAACTTTATTTTTATTTTTCTAATTCCTATAAGTCTTTTTATTTGTTAAGTTCATTTAGTTCCATATCCTCTAAATCATAGAATCCGAATTTACACAATAAACAAGAGAACAAACAATCTTGAACCTTATACAAAAATCCTTGCTCTTCTTCTTAATTTCTTTATTTAATTGTATCCGCAGAAGTTAATGATGCCATTTCTACTTCATTATCACTTAAAGATTTCCTTATTTTTAGTCTTTTTCTTTCTTAAATATGCTCTAATTTCTTTTTATTTTCATAATCTTATTTTGTTACAAGAAGGTATTTAATATTGTTATTTTCTGCAGGGTCTGGATGTTCATACATATTTACTGGATCCCCTTAGATTAAATCTGCTTCTAACTTACTCGAATTTCTATGTTGAACATATCTTACAAATAATAAAGATGAAATCTCTTCAGTTGCATAAACTCCATTTTCAGAAAACTCCCTCATAACTGCTCTAAGTACTTCTTTCTTCTTCATTTCTAATTATTCTTTGTTTAACAAAACAGAATAAAAAATAGACAGAACTGTAACACTTATTATGATTATTAAAATAGAATAAGCAACAGCTAATTAAGCAAATAACGCAAATTCTGTAGAAGAGTTTTCAAAATAGTCTGCAAAAATTGGAAATATAGTTCCTATAGGACCTATTATAAATGTCCATCCTATAATTACTACGAGTGGCTGAATAAATTATTAATAGATGACTGATTCCTGTTTTAATGAAATCTAAAATTTATAATACAAAAATGATAAAGGTACTCCAACCGTATTTGCTAATAAAGCATTTTTAGTTACTTCACTCTCAACGGTTAGTGCTATTGGTAATAATACTATTAAAGGAAGTAGAATTCCCACTGTTGTAAAATCCTACATTCTATTTAATAGTTTTTGAGTATAAGTTTAATTCTCTTCCTTATCAATTTCTTTTTATGTTTGTTCTTTAACTTCGAGAGATAATGCATGACTTGTTAGAATAAATAAAATCGTGTGTATGCTCAACAAACCTATTATCTAAAGGTATAAATAAAAATATACTGTTCCTTTTTTTGTTCCAGTAGCTGTTTTTGGTTCATTCCATGCAAAATAGCAAATTAAATAAAATGATATTATATAGCATATGGAATTATACCAAACTGCATAGCTATTTAAGTTAACATACTCGTAAGCAACAAACTATAAATTTTCTGCTTATTTTGGTAATTTCAATAAGTAGATTATTACTATAATAATATAATAAATGATTAATAATAATATTGGAATAAGTCCAGCACTAGCCAATACAAAGGCTCCTATCTACAATCCCTTATCATCAAAATACTCAGAAAATGTCAATAAAATTCCAAAAGGTATTGCAAAGGAAAAACATGAAAAAAGCATCACAAACAGTTTTTGATTTCTCTTTTCAGATCTGAAGTATCCAACTGTCAGCCACATTAATGATATAATTAATGGACATATGCCTATTAATCTTGAAATTGACTTTAGATATTCGTTTTCAATAGTAGAACTCCATACTTTAATGCATATCACACTAAACACAGCACCAAATAGTAAGGGAGTGTAGAGATACAAGTTCTATCTTTTGAATCTTGAGTTGCTTATACATATCCCAAATATTATAAAAATAGGTAGAGCCAAAATTAAAAAACCAAAAGTAACAATCTATTCAAAATCATATGATTATAATCCTATTATTAAATTTGCATAGCAAAATATCTCAATAACTACATAACTAATTGTAATCATCCATGGAACAAATTTTTAGAGTTTTAGCTTTTTGAATATCTGGTTTGATCTTTTATTCAAATTATAATTCAAATACTCTTTTTTTATTTCGTTATCAGCATACTTTAATAACGAGAGCTAATATAAATCATATTTTATGGTCTTTTTTGGTAAATAAAATAATCCTTTGATTATGAAAATTGAGAAGAAGAATATAACTAAAAATGTAGATGGAGCCACTATCTTAGATATATTATCAATAATATATTCTACTTTTGTTGATTAAATAAGGAGTACAAAGGCAACTATTTTAAAGAGGATAAAATATGACACTAGCACACAAAAACCACAATTAAATAATGTTGCAATAACAGCTGATGAAACTCTTCTAATGTATTCTAAAAATCCCCTATTTATTAGAGAATTTATAAAAATTGCAATACTTACTATGCAATATCCTATCCCTATATAGTCTTATGAGAATCCATCGTAATTTCCAAAAATATTAAGATGGTATCCTAGTAGAACAAAAATTGGAATTATTATTAAACCTACGAATAGAATGATCCAAATTAGATAGTTTTTAATTTATTAGCAACTAAAATTTGATAATTTCTTACATTTATGATGATATTGTATATAAAAAAGCATATACAGGCAGTTGATGAGCTATTTATTAACGTATTTTATCATTTTTTATGATTTAATTATTTTCGATTGCCTAAAATAAAATTCAGTTTTACTAGAGATTCTGAGAGAACACTGAAGTACGCACTCCAATATACTATTGTTATGATAAGTTAATTTAAATCAAAACTTATTTTGTATTGTCTAGGACTACAAGTGAAAAATGCATTAAATCTGTCTTCAAATTGATTGTATTTTTGAAAAAATTATTCTACATACAATGGTTGCTATGGGGTTTTAGCATTTTCTTTATTCTCAAGAAGTGCACTTAATTCTTATGCTTCCTCAGTCTCTGGGATAAAGAATTTGACATTTTGATCTTTCAATTTTAGAATGCATTGTGATTTATTTGATTCTTACTCGCTACTAAAAACGATTTTATATCTTGAATTCTATTCATTTGGTTCAGATATATGATTGTTTGATTCTTCTTAATTAATCATTCTTCTAAATTCTATATAATAATTTATTTAAATTTAAAAAAATAAAATGATTTCATTAACATGTAGTCTTTATGCCTTAATTTAAGTTATAATATTTTAATCTCCCTTTCCCCATTATTTTTAAATATTCTTTAACCACCTTTCTTTTCAAATCATTTAAATTAAAGAAATTTGTTGTAAAATTTATTTTCTTTTAATTCCTTCTTTTTTTAGTTGAAAATATTATTGCAATCCTAATTTCTTAATATTCCTTTAGTAATTCCGTCTTAAAATCTTTCTGGTGTATCTCCTGACAAAAAACTAAAATCAATTTGTCTTTGCATTCAGTTGCTCAATTATTCAGCCTTTTAAATCTTGAATTCATTTACAATCCAGTGATCTGAGAAAAAATACGCTTTCAAAAAAGGATTTTGGGACTATGATATTTTGCCAAAAAAATTATTTGTGTAATTGATTTTTTATTCCTTCATTCTGCTTTAAGAAGTAAATTAATAGTTATCATTTTGCATTATTTCTAAAACCTTGAGCAATTTAATTTTTAAAATGTTTACAGGCAAAAAATTAAGGAATTCCTATCCATTTTTGTTTTATCTAAATTCTTTAAACCTCAACAAATCAGCAGGTTGTAAATCAAATTGGCTTGAATTACAATACCTTTGTTTAAATCATGGTGTTCTTTCAGTGATTCTGAACAATTGTTAATGTATATATAATCATTCAAATTTATAAATATTATTTTTAATAAGAAAATGATTTTGGAGTAAATTAATTATTAATGATTGTTATGCGATCAATATAAACCATTCTTCTTTGCATAAGGGTTGTTTTGTTGAAAATTGTCATAATTTTTTGGCTTACCATCTTGAGTAAATAGACTAAAGGTACTAACATTTGAATGAGCAATTTAGTAAGCTAAAATTTAATCTTATATTTACATGCTCCACCACCAGCATTATAAGCTGGTCTACCATAACCAACATCATTCTAAGAACTTTTAGTAGGTTATTAGTATTATTTCTATGGCATTTGAGATATAGGAGACTTTTGGACCATCTTTGTTTATTATTATTCATATGTAGGCTGCTTATGGGTCGTTTTAACACTTTATGAATAGCCCTTCTGACTGTACTATTATTATTATTAATATTGTGTTTATTTCTATTATTGATATTATTTTGATTAAGGCTGATTTTTATAATTTTACTGATATTAATTGGCCTTCCCATATTTGTTAGGTTGCTATTTATTGGACATTCCATATGATTAACCATATTATTGATGACCAAAAGGATTGCCTCTACCTTCTGCTATTTCTTGTTATCTAACCTTCCTCATCTCTCTCAATGCTTATTAAAATTCAAGATGCTCCTATTTCCATTTACCGGTTTTTTTGGGTCTTAAGTATTTGGCAGCCCTTTTGTTCTATTCCTATTATTATTCTTTTATTTTTTAAATATCTGGTTCTGGTCCAATACACACAGATTCATGTTTTCTGATTCTATCAGGATTGAATCTTCTTCCGCATTTTCTGCACTACAAAGCTATTAAATTCATTTACTCCAACAAGAGCCATGACTTATTAGGGTTATTCATATAGCATCTGCTATGACTTTTGGCCAACCTTTGTTCCGCCTTATTACCTTACTTATTTCTCTTAGTTCAACTTTTGTAAAACCTACTGAGCTAAAAAGTCAATAATTTATTATTACTAGTAGGCATCTATTATCTGTGACCAGGATCCATATTAATCAAATCATTTTGATACTTTTTAATGCAAGTTTTTTAATGAATTTCAAGAGAAGCTGTTCCAAACTCTCTCCCACAAATTGTGCCTAAAAATGGATATATTCTTTACAGAGCAATGATTTTGGTCGTACTGCAAAACCTCCTCCATTCAAGTAATTCAAATTGTTATCATTTGTTTTTTAATTTGTATTTGTTTTTCTCATTAAATTATTATTATTAAAACATGAACAATCAAAAATCAATTGTATTAATACTAAATAACTAAACTACTATCTGAGGAATATAATAACATATAATATATTTATAAATAAGTATAATTCAAGCAATTCTTAGTTACGATTTATTTCCCTCTGGATTTACTCAGTATTTAGGTTTTAGAGGCATATAATTCATCAATGGCTTTCTTTCCATATAGAAATTTATGTTTATATAGAGAAGATCAACTGTTGTTCATATCTTTTGAGCTTTCTTTATCCATAACAACATTTTACATTTATATTTTTATAATTTAAAATATAGTATCAATAAATAATAACATATAATAAAATAATTTGAAATCAAAGTTCTAAGATCCTTTGCATTATTTCTTTATCTGGAAATTGTTAAATATCTTAAAGATCTGCCACATAAAAACAATCATTCAGTCTTGCCGTTCTCAATGCTTTATATAAGTATTTTATCATATATGTTGCTAATAATTGATGTCTATTTAAAGTTCCTAAGTTAGCAGATAAATTGGAATAATGTTCTTCAAGTATTGATATTAATTTCATCATATCAAAGTTAAGTGATTAATAATTTTCAGGACAATTATCAATAAAAGCTTGTTTCATCTATTTCAATTAAGTTAAACAATACAAACCTCTTTCGTCATTGAAAAACTTCTGCTATTCTTTCAAAAACTTTGAGTTTTCTAGCTATTATAGCCAATTAAAAGAAAAACATCTTAATTTTTAGGCCAAATCTAAAAATGATTGTTCAAATTGTTATATGAAAAAGCTAAAATTAAATGCACTTCTTGCAAAATTTAGTTGATTCAAATATATTCTTTAATTAGCTTCAAACTCAATTTACAAATAATTTGTTATTAGAAACTTCCTATAATCAGTTTAATCAGGTTCTACTTCTTCTAATATTCCTGCATATTATCGTTTAGTATTCTCTTATTATTATTATTATTCTTAAATCAGTGGATTCTAATAAATTTCATCCCAATTTATTCTGTTTTCTTCATGAATTTACAAACACGCTTAAATTAATTACTATAATTAAGAATTATCTAATTGAGGTACAATAATTGGTTTACAAATTCTTTCTTACAATTGAATTATATTCTCAGCAATAATAGGAGGTTTTTAGAATAGTAATTCATATAATATCATACCTAAGGACCAAATGTCACATTTAGAGGTGTAAGGTTACCTCAAAATAACTTACGGCGCCATATAAAGAGGAGTACCTGCAATACTTGTCATCAAATCATTTTCGAAATCAATCTTTTTTGCAAAACCAAAATCAGCTAGTTTAGGTATTCCCTAATGCAAAAGTATATTGGCTGGCTTTAAATCTCTATGGATTAAAGAGTTTAAATAAAGTTGATGATAGCTAAATAGATTTAATTCAATACCCATTCAAGATTTGTTTTAGGATATTGATCACAGATTTTGAGTCTAATTTACCTCTTTTAATTATATCTCTTAAATCTCCACCATTACAAAATTCTGATATAATATAAAAATTGTTTTGAGTTTCATAGAAATCTAAAAATTTAACAATATTTTTATGATTAAGTTACTTCATAGATCTAATCTCATTTAGTAATTGTTAAGTATTAGTCTACTCTATTATTTTATAAACGTTACTTGATTAATCATTCTTCTATCTATCACTTTGATTGCAACAGGTAATCCATCATTTGAGATCCCCTTATAAACTGTTCCATATGCACCTTTACCAATTAGATGATTCATATTGAACGAATATTTCCCAACAATCTTTTACATTTTAAGTTAATAAAATTAAACGATAACATTTTGTATACAAAATAAAATGGAATATTATTATAGTATTATCACAAAATAGTTTAGTTACTGAGTTACTAATTTTGAATTCTCAATTTATACTTATAATTTAAGTATTTCTAGACACCAGAGCCTCTTCAAAATTTCATCTTCAATTTCTATCAAACAAATAATTTTATCCATTAATGAAAGAATCACAGTTCTTAAATTGAGTAATCTCTATTCTGATGTTCCTTTATTAAAAATTATTGACTCATACTTAATTATTTTATCAAAACACACTTTCCCTTAATATTAATTTCTATAATGTCATAAATATTTGGAGTCTTGATTTAATTTCATTCAGAATACAGCAGAATCCAAAACATCTGAAGTGCTACTTTAAATTCTAGCAAAATAATTAGACATAACATTTTTTATGTTTATTATTATCCTCAATGAGTTGAACACAGAAGAAAGTGTTAAAGTTATGATTTAATCTTTTTAATCAAGAATTGAGATTTTAGAGTAGATGTGTGATTAAAATAAACACACTACAAGAAAATCTATCACAATTAATACAATACTTTTTATAGCAAAATTACAACATTCTATAATCCAATATATTAATGTATTCTTTAGAAATTCACTATTGGTAATGATTCTATTTGTATTAGAATTATACATGCAATTCTATTTTGATATTTCTTCAAGGTTGAAGCTCAATAAATAATTATAATAATATATATAATCAGTAATGGGTTTTCGTAATATCCGCATGAATTTTCAGCAGACCGTACGTGATTTTACATCATAAGAATATAGTTTTATTAATCAGTGTAACTATGACTAAAGTCCATGAAGAATTGTCACCATTTATGAAAATCATCATAAAATAAAATTTTATTAAATTAATGAATTTTTTTTATCAAAATAATCTGACTTTAAAGTTGGAAATCATGCCTATGCCAATTTAAAAGTCGAAATATTTTCACTTTAAAAATTATTCCAAATTTTCTAATTAATTTATCCTTTTGATTTTCTAATGATTAATTATCTTTATATTTTAACCCTTATCCTCCCTTCTCAGATATTCTATTTTCTTCTTCCCTTTACAATTTTATATAGATAAGTAAATTCATAAATTAAGGATGAGGGATCAATCAAAAATACATCAGAGATAATAATTAAAAATATAAAATGATCTAATCTGGATTTTAAAGTAATAAAATTTGTTTTGTTATTAAATCAATTTTATAGTTATCATCTTTTAAGATGACATGATTTTTAATTTTCAAGGTATATTAATCTTAATTTTCAACTGCTTAAGAATTATTGATCATAATATTTTATGTTTTTAATAAAAATTATTCATTTCTAGATTTTAAATCTATCTTATTTATTGGCTGTGGGTTGAGGTACAACGATGGGTTTTATATTCCTAAGATTTTAAGATACATAATTATACCAAATCTTTTAAGCATACTCATGAATAGTTCTATCACTACTAAACTTGCCTGATCTGATAGAATTGTAGAATGCTTTCTTTGCCCATTAAATCTTATCTTGATATAATTGATCGATCTGAAATATAGGATATATAATATACTTTAATTTGAGCTTAGGCGTAATGATAGAAATCATGTCCCACTAAATAGAAATCATTTCTGTTTGTAATTGAGTCTAATAATCCATGATGATCATGTCCAAAGATACCAGATCTTATAGCTTAGATAACATTCCAAAGAGGTTTTTGAATGTATTGAAAAGGATCAGAGTTTTTCATGTTGTCAATCAATTTACCAACTTCTTCTACTCTTGCACCAAAAATGAAGATATTGTCAAGTCCAACTTCTTCTGCAATTTCAATATTAGCACCATCCCAAGTTCCTAAAATGATTCCACCATTCATTACAAATTTCATATTGGATGTTCCTGATGCTTCTGTGCCTGCAGTTGAAATATGTTAAGAAATATCTGAGGCAGGTATAATGATTTCTGCTGATGATACATTATAATTGGGTAGGAACACTACTTTCAGGAAATGATTAGTATCCAAATCATGATTTACGACTTCAGCAACAGCATTAATCAATTTGATGATTCTTTTTGCATTCAAATATCCAGGAGCTGCCTTTCCCCCAAAGAAAACAGTTCTTGGTGCAAACTTTTTTCTGCCTTCAGTAGGAGTATCCTTTAATAAAAGATACCTATAGATGACATAAAGGATGTTCATGAATTATCTTTTGTATTCATGAATTCTCTTGACTTGAATATCAAATAAAGTATCCGCATTAACTTCTACATTACAATATTGTCTAACCCACTTGATAAGTCTTAATTTATTATTTCTTTTGACCTTCATAAATTAGATTAATGCCAATTGATCTTCGCATTTGTCTTCTAGAGTTTTCAACATATCCATATTGAGTACCCATTCGTCTGTGCCTAACCATTCATCATACAATTTAGCTAATTGTTGATTACATGATCTGAGCCATCTTCTTGGTGCAACACCATTGGTGATGTTAATAAACTTCTTTGGTCTCATCTCAAAATGATCCTTAAACAAATCTGTCTTCAATAACTCTGAATGTATTCTTGCAACACCATTAACCATATGTGATCCGATGATTGATAAATTAGCCATTCTGATCTTCTTCACTGGGCCTTCTTCAATAAGTGAGAGTGCTGATAATTTGTGTGCATCTCCTGGGAATTTAGCACTTACTTTATTCAAGAAAATCATATTAACATAGTAGATAATCTCAAGATGTCTAGGCAATAAACTACCTAACAAATCAACACCCCATTTCTCTAAAGCTTCAGGTAATACTGTATGATTTGTATAACCGAAAGTCTTGGAAATGATTTCCCAAGCATTTGCATGAGTCATACCCTCTTGATCAATCAAAATTCTTAAGAGTTCCAATATAGCTAATGAAGGATGAGTGTCATTTAATTGAATGGCTACCTTTTCTGGCAGAATGGACCAATCTCTTCTTACTTTTTTGAATCTTCTCATAATATCTTAAAGTGTAGCACTAACTAGTAAATATTCTTATTTCAATCTGAGTTCTTTTCCAGCATAGGAATTATCATTTGGATATAAGACTGATGTTATGTATTCTGCTTTTTCTCTGGCTTCCAATGACTTGAAATAATCTCCCTCATTAAAACTAGTAAAATCAAACTCATTTGCT